TCCTCGACGACATTTGTTCTCTTTACTCACCTATCCCATCCGCCGCCCCCTTTCCCCTGTGTCTCTCTTTCGTGTTCTATCCCCTTGTCTTGCTTTCCTCGGTCAACTCTTTTGTATTTTGAACTCCACGCAACAAAAATGATTGACTTTTCCCTATAACACATAGCATCCATCCTCACACACCCTCTATAGACACCACTTTCCTTTGTTAGCTACACTTGACGCCATGTCGACTAGTGAAGAAAGCAAGAATGCGAGAGAAGAGCCTTCCACTTTTTTTTTCTTTTCATCAGTTGCAGACAGCAACTGAAATGAGATGAATAAAAATGAATTGATATTGAAGGTGTCGTCATTGCCGCCAGCAATCACTTGAAATTCACACAACTGGAGTTTATTGCACCATTCCCCATTACACACTATGTGGGCCTATTTTTTAATCTTGGCAGGGTCTAAAAGCAGACGAGGAAAGGGAGGAGTGGGGAAGAAAGATCCAACGTCAGACAGCATACTCGCTTAGCAAGCACGCGAGAGGATGGGGGGTGGGCAAAGTTACTTGTGGGGGAGAAAGAGAGACGGTTCTTTTGTCAGTCTATGCATATCCTTTTCTTTTAACATCGACAACGTGGTTGGCGACAAAGGAAGCGATGATCACAAAATGCAGACCGATCTTCTACATCGAATCAAAAGCTATCCCCTTTCCCGCCTTGGTCCTTGCTCCTACGACATTCTAGTTTACCTCCTCTTGATCAACCCTTTTTTTACTCGAGAAAATATTGAAAGACCATGCATGATCAAAGGGATGAAAGATAACTCTTTTTGGCCAACAAACGGATGCACACGCTGTGCGAACGATTGGGATGGCTCCATGACTTGTCGATTGAGATAACCAGTGCCTTTCTTTCCTTTTTCATTTCTTCAGGTTCCTTTTATTATCTCTCTGCAATTCCATCCGACTAACGAGTTATAAACGATGTCTGGAAATCGGGCTATTAAAGAGTATGAAAAAGGCTCTCGTGTTTCTTTTTCTTTTTCTTTTTCTTTCGTTTATGTTTTTTGTTGTTGGTTTGGGAAGGACAAATCGGGACTAAAAAAAAAATCCACCGGTCGAGCCAACTCCGCCGCTCGGCTTGGGTTCAGTTTGTGAGATACGGCAACTCTATTTTGCAAGGTTGGGAATGCACAGACCAAGGTCACAGAGGGAGTGTAAGGAGAGAGAGATGTGGGCAAGGGGAGGAAAAGCAAAGAATAGCTCAGCCTATCACCGTACAGCCGGGCAGCGCCATTGGTCAGGGCAAGAGCTAGTAGGGCTCTCATTCATTTGTATTGATTAGACACTCCCATCCGTTCTTCCCCACCATCTTTTCTGTCTTTCATAGAACATAGTCTTGCTCATGTGCAAGCTTGGCGTTGGTTACATAGATGTTCTTTTTCTCCGCTGAGAGATAGAGTGGCAATAGAGCAGGAAAGAGATAGGAAAGAACACAAGTAAGCTAAGGCCTATCTAGCATCCATTATGGACTTGGCAAAGTGAGCAGACACATTTCACGTTTAGTAGGGCGCGAGTGAGTGTATGTGTGCATGAGAGAGAGAGAGGGTGAGTCCCCCTTATCGTTGTTCCCCATCGACCTTTCCTTCAACCCGTTTTAGTGCCTGATGAATATGTGTCTACGCCACATAAAGAAGACTCAGCGTGAATTCTCTCCCACACAATGGTCACCTTTTCAATCCGGATAAAAGAAAGATGCCGTATGTACCTGTGCGAGTTGTGGTGGAGGGATGGAAGACAAGCCGCAGGCAGCTAGTGGCAATGGGCTTGCTTGATGGCCTGCTGACTCTCTCCACTATTCAGATCTCTTTTTTTCCACAGTAAATAGATAGAGACATCCGTGTAAATAGAGGGTGCGTGATTCATTGCCGTCTATGTGGATGAAGATGAGCTCTTGCTCATTCGCTATCGATTCAGCTGGATCTCCAATCCCACAACTCTTAATATTTTGATGGGGAGGCCGATGCGCCGGTGTTTGTAAAACAATACAGAATCGCCATACCCTGGTAGCCATTGGCACATTTGAACAGCTGATACAGGAAGCAGACATGAGTTTGAAGTTGTGAATAATCTACGTCTACGTTTCGTGTAGTTGTTGCTGCCCACATGTTTAATGCGAAATGCATGGTCAATCTTTTCATTTTTCATTTCCCCTTTTCTCATTCATTTTTTTTTTGCATTGCATGACTTTGGTTCTACTTTCTTCTCCCACATCCGATTTCATTTAACCACCATGCATGCCAAAAAAAGATCATCGCCCCGTTGTGCCATTCTCAGTTTCGATGAACGCAGGATAAAACTGGATGGGTGGGAACAAAACAAAGACAAAGACAAAGATAATGAAAAATGAGAAACGAAGGGAAGAGAGGGCGGGACCTCGTCCCATCACTGCCACGTATCAATGCATGCAAACAAGAAGAGAAACCAAGTTTTTTTGTTTATGGTGTCTTTTTTTTGCTCGTCTCAGGGGTGAGAAGGACCGTGTCTTCGCAGAGGGAAGAAAAAACGCAAGACGTTTCAAGGGGCGGGCAATTGGGATTTGTGCTTGCTGTTTATGCGTCCTACTAGAATAGATCTACCCCCCATCATTTAACCTCTATCTTTTCTTTCCAACCTTTTATTCACTCTGTGGTTTTGTCATATTATGTCTCAATCTTTTTTTGCATCATATCTCTCCGGAAGGCAGACAGGGTTCATTCAAGAGGGGGTAAAGAGACAGGAGCGAGAATGAAGACTGAGAGTTGAATAAGGAGTGATGAAAAAAAGACCTTTTTCCGATCATCTCCTCTTCCCTTTGGAAATTGCAGGGGACCGGGGGAGGAAGAGGGAGGACATGCATGCTTTCAACAGAACGGCTATTGAAGACAGACGGTTCTATTGCTCTTGAGAAGAATAGGGTGGAAAATGAAGAGTCAGCAGACTCTTGGGTATGAAGGCTAGAAATACGAGGGCGACACTTGAGAGATGCGCATATCACCACTGGAGGGACCAGAACTTCTTGTTTTTTGTTGAGAGAAGGAATGGTATTCCGAGAGGGAAGGAGCCTTTGTTGATAAGGAAAAAAAAACGCGTCGTACAAAGAAATGAGAGTTTATCTCTCCCTCTTTAGGCCGTATTGAGTTTCTATTCAGCTCACAAGTCATTGATTTGGCACAGTTTTTGCCTCTCTCAATTGATGGAGGTAGCCGGCCCCAGAGCGAGCAATACAATCGATATGGAACTAAATAGAAATGGGTTAGTAATACCAATGGCTTGCAAACCTTGGTCCCCTACTCCACTTTGTCTGCGTATGTATTGATCCCCTTCCCAACGGAAATACAAGCCGACCATCCTCTCGCCTCCGCCGCTTGATTTTAACCTTGTCGACTCTCGCCTTGACCTCCTCAATGTTGACCGAAGCGTCCAAAAACAGGCACAAACAATAATGCACCTTTGTTTTTTGACTCCACAATCCCGATCCAATCCATCATTGTATATATATAAAAACTACAGTAGAAAGCCCGTCTGTTCCTTTATGCTCTTACCCACCTATAATTCTCCTTTTTTTTTCTATTTTTCACACGTCCATGACTAAGAATTGCTTACCCCAAAACTTTTTTGTCCTTGTTCGCAACGGATAACAGACGTACATTGGCGTACCGCATGCATCGCCAACCTGTTCGTTTCCTCCACATCACATCACTGCTCAGTTGTCAATTGTCCATCTTCAATTACCAATCGGCAAACAGAATGGTGTATGCATAGTACAGCAGATAACAACCCCATGCCATGTCTATATCCGGCCCTTCTGCTTTACCCGCGATGCGTACATGTTGTTCAGCCAAGGGCGTCTAGAATCTGTCGTTCTGGTTGGTTCAGCCCCTAGTCCAGGCTGCTGCGGGCATGGATCGGCTGATTGGTCGATGATAGTTCGATTGAACGACGGTGGCTAATGAGAAAGGGATCATAAAAAAAACGGGTCTGTGGTTTGCTTTGCTCTAGCAGCCTGACGGATGACACGTACGCCCAGAGATAACTTCCGCCCTCAACATTAGGCACAACGCTCAAACAAAGTTTTTTTTATGTTGACTCGGTGGCGCGAGCGTGTGAGTTGATTAGGTTGCCAGTTAGCAAGCAGAGCCCCCCCCCCCCTTTTTTTTATGCTTGACTTTTCTCGCTTTGTGTGGATGAAACTTTTTTTTTTTTTTTTTTTTTTCGTGCGGGCGGCCAGTCCATTTTTATATCCTTATGTACTATCGTATACTTCTCTTGGTCTGAAAAAAGTCTTCGCCGAAGCACGAAGGGCCTGGATCGAATATCAGTTGATCAAGTGCCTCTTCGTTGCCTTGCCACCAAATTTTTGTTCTTGTCTATGAGGGGGAACGGCTGGGTGTTTTTTAGCAGCTCATGGAGGGTCGCATTTTTTTTTGAACCGGGATCAAGCTCCTGGTTGCTTATTTGGATTACGCGGATGGGGCAAAGAGAAAAGAAAGGTACTTACAAGAAAAGAAGGGGAGAGGGCAGGGCTACGTACAAGGAAGGAAGCACTGAAAAAAACTTCCAGGGAGGGGAGGTAAAAAAGGGAGGAGGAAAGGGGGAGAAGAGAAATGAGATCAATGAGAAGAGCAACGCTAGGGGTACCAATGCGGCGCAACACACCACCCATCCCCCATTTCTCAATGGCCGCTCATCGATCTTTTTTTTTTTTTTTTTTTTTTTTGTTTTGTTTTAACTCCATGATGGAGAATTTCTGGGAAGACGAGGAGGTACTTGTTGAGGGTATGTCTCGGATCTCGCCCAAACTCAGCACAGCCTCAGTCTCGGCGACTTTTTGGATCTCCTCGATGTCGCGGACTCCCCACAAGGAAGTCGTGGCCACAGAGGATCTGGTTGAACTATGCATGCGTGGGGTAATGGTATTAATTTCGAAGGAATAAGGGGCGAAGGGAAGTGGAAGAGGAGAGTAGGAAGGTTGTTAATTTTCATGGAATTGGCCAACCTATCAAACGAAAATATATAAATCACCGCAATGTGATTTTTTACCTGGGCGTGCCTTTCAGTGCCGAACTTGCCGTTCTTCTTGAACGCGCCATAGAGAAGAATAAAGCGTCCAACAGGCTTCGGAGTCTGTCCAGACCCACGGATGACACCCAAAGTAACAGTCGGGGAGGCGATATGGACGACATTGGTGGTGATCACCAGATCGTACCCGGCAGAGGCGATAGCGGCGTACGAAACAGCGTGCCAGTGATCGGCCTTGGTGGCATTGAGCTCGAAGGGAGACTTGACGCGGTTGTTGAAGGGGAGGTCGGCGGTGTAAGCGTGGATGGAGGGGAAGAGTGAGTTGTCTTATTCGGTCAGTTGGAAGGTTACCTCGGGTAGGTTTCCGAGAAGTGCTAGACGCGCTGTTTCGATCCCGAGGCGACCTCGAGAACTGAACGGCCACAAGATCAAAAAAGTGGAGATGGCGAAGCAGAACAGAGAGAAAGAAACCCAGAAACAAAGGATGATAAGTGTGCTGAATTTGGAGATTATGTCGTGGGTGGGTATAATTAATAGCGTACTGATGAACACTAGTACGACATCATGTATGAATGCATGGATGGATGGGTATGGACAAACTTATCAAGCTTGGACTAGTTTAGGAAGGGACGGAGAGCATCAAGGATGACATCCTTGTTGCGGTCCATAGAGGCCAGGAAGACCTTGTCGCCGGTTTTGAGCTCGCTTGCTTGATGACGCCGTTGTCAAAGACCTGGGCAGTGGTGGCGGCGGTAGAAGGCGACATTTTTTTTCTTGAAGAAGGCTGGTTGCTTGAGGGTATGTGTGGTAGTAGTGGCGGTGGTGGTGATGAAGAAGATGTTGTTGTTGGTTGAGAAGGAAAAAAAGAAGGGATCACACTGTATATTTTAAATGTGCATTTCGGAGAAGACAATGGTAACCATTCGATCGGCCATGATCGCTGCTCAAAACAATGAAGAACATTGAAAAATAGAAACACCTGAGCACAACAGAAAAAACCCCGGCCAGAGCATCCCCTCTCTATCCACCAATACCCTCTTCAACTCTCTTCAACCCTCCTCCACCCCCTAACCTTTTTTCTCTCTCATTTCAGGACGAGCAAAGGTATGTCGGACTAATTGGCTGGTTGTTGCTATGTATGTTGCCCACATTTTGTGCAAAAACAAGACATTGGCGGAAAATAAGTAGGCAGGATAGAAGATAAGAAAAAAAAGGCGCTTGAGCCATGTGGGCTTGAGGGAGAGGAGTTGCTAGCACTTGCAGACCACAGTCAGAAGGAGCGAAGAAGAGAATGAGGGAAGAGGTGGAGGAGGAGTAGGAACAGGAAAGGAGGATGGACATGATTCAGACGAGGCTCCTTTTAGTCAGGCTTACCTAGAGCAAGACGCGCCCTTGGCCTATACGGGCTATTGTTTCGCGCGTTTCGTTGTACTCGATTGGAGGGCATTTGTCATTCCTCACGGGACTGTTGCACGTGACTATACTTGACGAGGAGCAGTTCAAACTTCAAAGTGAAAAAAAATTCGAAGCGCGATCTCTCTTCAACCTTCTTACAGTCGATGAACCAGGTACGATAATTGAATCAAGGAGCATTCAGGAATCAGGACATGCTGATGCAGATGCAAACACATGGAATCCCGCACATCTGACTCGGGGGCACACACAAAGAATTGTCAATGCTTTTTCCACCAACCAGTGGCACTCAGCAACTAATCGGCGATTTGTTTGTTTATTGACGTTGTTTCCATTGCGTTTCTAGGACGCCATCACAATGACCGAAGCCAGCACCTTAGAAGCAACTGCCAGCAAGGAACCTAGCGCCCCATTGACGGAACAAAAGAGCGACGAGACAAACGGGACGGACGAGGTCAGCCAGCCCAGCGCCAGCGACATCAAGAGCGACGCGGGCGACAAGGATAAGACTGAGGACAAGGCGGAAGAGAAAGCCGCGTTCAATCCCGAGGAGAAGGGCGAGAGCAAAGTTGACAGCATCGATAAGGCAACGACTGACAGCAAAGATGATGATGATGAGGAGGACAGCGAGGAAGACGCAGAGGGGGCAGAGTATGAGGTCGAAAGAGTTGTTGGCCACAAGCACACAAAGGGGAAACTACAGTACCATTTGAAGTGGAACGGATACGACTCGGACGAAAACACATGGGAGAACAAGGAAAATGTCTTTTGCACGGATCTCGTTGAGGCATACTGGGTGCGTCACGAGCAAGCAGGAGGATCAAGGAGCGACCTAAAGGGCACGGATGGTGTCCATGTCAAGAAGGAGCCTGCAAGGACAGCAAGGTCTAATGGTGCGAGGAGGACAAAGAAGGACCGTGATGGCGATACCGTGATGAGTATGACGCCTGCCAAGAGACAAAGGACAAGCGACACGTCAAAGGAGGTCATGAGAGCAGAGGGCGGAGCCGAGGATGTTACGAGCAACAACAACAACAAGAACAGCAGCAGTAGCAGCAATGACAGCAGCTGGAAGCCACCCAATAGCTGGACATCATGGGAGGACAAGGTGAAGTCGATCCTGACGGTGGAGCGAAGCAATCAGAAGCTGCTAATCCGTCTGCTGTGGATCAACGGCAAGGAGACACATCACTCGATCGAGGAAGCCCACCAGAAGTGTCCCCAGAAGCTGATCCAGTTCTACGAGGCCCATATCAAGTTCTCCCAGGCGTAGTTGTATTTGTGTTTGGCATCTCCTGTTCATTGTTCAAATGAAAAGTTCAAATGAAAAGCTTGATGATCCCTTTGTAAAATGAACAGGCAACGAATGTCTACTTATGTGGACAGATTCTTGACACCCTCACCCAAACAAGCAAAGACTGGCCGATGCTGTTGCTGTCATCCTGGGCGCTGACGGAATCCAAGACTGCAATGAGCTCACCGGCCTCACTGCACTTGGGCTTGACGGACTGGACAAGATTGCGACTGTAGAAAAGCAAGCGGAAGAAAAAAAAAAGAGTGTTAACAGGGTGTTTCCAACGTGGCGCCTTCCTCCAGGAATTGAGAGTAGGGGCAGCCTCCTTCAAAACGGCGGTTCTGGACGATTTCAGTAATGAAAAGGGTCCCTGATAGATGTCTTTTGTGATTTAGAGCCAATGGAAGCCGTTTTAGTTTGAGGATGAGCATTGCAATTGATGAAAAAATACCCCCCGCTTTTACTGCAATTTGCATCACTTTGGAAGACATACCTTTCCCAATGGTTCTGAAAACAAAGAAAGCTTCAATGAGTTGATAATGGAAAGAATGGCCATTGGAGATCCACTGGAGTTGCGGGTGATGTCAAAGAGGGAAGGGATATACCGGACGACGCCTCGAGCGGCTTGGATCTTGTATTTTCCTACTAGGGCTTGACAGACCGCGGTCCTGACAATGCATGCCAAGACTTCAGTGTCATCGGGTCTTAATGTCAGCGAGCCGCCATTCGTATTCGAACCACCGTGCAGGAGTGCACTTCCAGAGGTAGCAGTATTCAAGAGATCCTTGGTAAGTATATCCAAGCCTAGCTGGAGTTTCCAACCTTCTACTCGTTAAAACCTCAATGAAAACCTACAACGCACCTTCAAAGATGAATGTAGGCTCTGAATCGCGTCAGCTGCATGACACGGCTTCCGGTATCGCCCCTCAACACTGTCCAATGATCGAGGTATCAGCGTTCTGTCAGCACCCATGACGGTGATAGCGGATATAGCGGTATTGACTGCCAACAGACACGAAGGTCCATTGGTGTGCTGTTGACTGTTCTGGATCCAATGTGGCCGCCATATTCGCTCCTGGGTGATTGGAAGAGTGCGGCGCATCCATGCCTGTCGCGAGATGTAGAGAGAGGTGCGAGCAACTTGTCTCGTGAGATCCTCGGACAGCAGGTTCCATTCGTTTAACTGCCAATGTAGTCTGGCCGCCCAATCCCTCAATGTCGGATAATGCCAAAGTCAGCAATGAGTCTCCGCATCCAGACAAAAATGATCTCGTCCGCTCAGTTTCCATTACGAGTCCGTGCAAAAGTGTGAACAATTTTGCTGCATATCGATGCAAATGCCCTTCTTGAATCCACATCCTCCATGGTTCTCAGAATCTTTGCTGAGTGAAGCACGAACTCTCTCATGAAATGCCTTGTATGCGCCTGCACGCCATCAACCAACACCCCCATGCATGCTGAACGAATGATAGCATTGCTGTCCGAGCTTTTCCCAGTAAAGATATGAGTGGGGGGTTGGAAACTGACAAAGAACACACTTGTGTTGGTCGGATTAGTAACCAAAGTAAAATGCCAGAGTTGGGTTTCCTCTCCTGATTTCGACAATCTCCCTCTTTTCTCTTTTCTCTTTTCTCTTTCCTCTTCCAACCCACCTCACTCTTCCACTACTCTATACAGCCTCCTTCTCTTCCTCCACTGTCCCTACCTCTACCTTTCACTCTCCCTTCTCTTTACTGAACCTCCCATTGTCCACCTGCAACAACGAACCAGTCGATCACTTTGCTCACATAGCAGAGAACCCTCGGCGGGTGGGTTCATTCAGCACGTTCCTTTTCATCCTCAGCCAGACGACCAGACGCCAACGAGACATCAGATCACGTCCTACCTTCTTTCGTTCCTATAAGTTACCCTCGAGCGACATCAACACGCTTGTATCCTCGTTAGCATCTTTTATTGTTGTGCTCTAAGGCCTGTTGGCACTCATTGCCATTCCACTGTTTCTTATGCTACTCAACTCTTCTCTTTTGTATATCTCTTGCAGACAAACGAACAAGTTACTTCAAAGTCAATTCTCACCGCTTCATGTGGGAAAATGTCAATTGACACTGTAGAGGCAGTTTGTTGTTTCCGCGACCGCTCTCCAAAAATGAATCCTTCTTGTTCTCTCCTCTTTGTCCTCCCGCTTCGCTTCTTCTTCCCCCCTTCTACATCACCAACTCACAAAACAAACACACACACACACATTCAAACACCTCTCCTCTGTCAATTCTTTCTTCTCCTTCTTCTCCTTTCTCTTTCCGCCTACACAACAACTACAACTACAACTACAGCGACGCATCACCTCTGCATACATACTCACAGTAAGATCATCTCAACCGCTCAGAAGAGTGTTGTGCCCAAAGCGCCACCATTCCACTTTTCCCTAATCAGTAGACAACACCCCATCACTCCCTCCTCATGAGTGCACATACAGTCGGCTTTGTACATTGTACTGTTGCATGAATGAGGGCAAGTACGTTTTTTTGTAAAGGTCCAAAGGATCCACCTACTGCAGCCAGCCAACTTTGTACTGACAAAACTGGCTCGTGCTTGATATTCTCGCGGATTATTATGAGCCCTTGGACGACTTGCGTACAAGGGGGCCAGCACATTTCATGGATATGGCTGTGAGAATCCCATCCAGGAATCGACGACATCCTTTCCCTTTGTTTGCCCCTATCGTCGTTTGATTGTCCAGTCAAATCCAAAAACCTGAACCTGAACTCTATTGTGTTTTCGTTTTTTCTCTTCTTCGCTTGTAGGTTCCCATTCATCCAGAATCCTAAGAGTGCCCATTTTATTACTTCTTGCCAAAGGAACATAACGCAAGGATAGCTTTATCATCAACAATGCAACAACAATCACAACAGCCGTCATACAGTCTACAGGAGCAACAGCGACGACATCTGCAGTACTCCCCGAGCCCTGTTCCAGGAACACACTCCCCAAACCCTCGCTTGATACCCGTCCATCAGGGCTCTGATCTACCGCTTCAAGGCCAGTGGACAAGAAAACGTGGCTTTTATTCAGACCCAGAAGAGACCCCAACTCACAAGGTAAATAGCAGTCAATTGGATCTAGTCAGCTAAAGGCTACAGTGTATTATCAATGGAACGCCCAATTGAACAATTTTCCTTCTGCTAGAAACGGAACACAGGCTCTGAAGCAGAGGGTCTCTTTGGTTGGAGCGACCTGCTTGCTGCCACGACACACAGCCCAGGGCGCCAGGAGTACTTTGACCAACATTCCACACATCACTCAAACCCAGCAACCCCACCGATGGATCCTGGAGTTTCGCCTTTGGCACCGCACTTTACACGGTTTCAGCCTTCAGGATATCAGCAGAGTCCATCACACAGCAGTTGGGGAGAACCAGGACAAGCAGAAGGATATGGTCAATTCAATCATGCTGCCTCAGCATTTGGTCGAGCGCGCATGGATGTTGGGACGTCATGTCAAGGTGGAGCTTACTATAATGGTCAAGATCACATCTCTGCATTCCGATCTATATCACCTGCGCCTTCGTCGCCCGGAGGCAGTATAGATGGCTCGGAGGCAAATACACGAACGCAGGACCCAAATGGATTGATAGAATCGATGGTCTCTCAACTTCAGCAGAGGGGCGCGGAGAGACTGGTGGATCAGTCGAGGACGTCACTTGCGCAAGAAAAGAGGCCTCCCAGCGGACGGACGCAATTTGTGATGGGGTTCCGCCCCGACTGTGAAAGGTGTCAGCGACGCGAAAAGGGTCATTTTGCGCACTTCTCGTGAATAACAAACAGACAATAAAACTGCTACGCATGTTTTTTTACGCCTGCGCCTTCGTATATCATTATCTGATGTGGCATGGTTCGATGGCATCAAACAAGTCTATCTCATTTGACTTTTGGAAGCAAGTTGTCAACTGACCTTTAAAAGACAGTCCTCGCCTCCTTTGGTCTGTCTGTCATTATTTTATTTTTTATGCTGCTGCTCTTTTGCGTTGTTCCTTTCTTTGTTGCCTCCTCCTTCCTACTCCCCTACTCCATCACCCCCCCTACTATTCCCTCTCGTAATCCACACACACGCACACATTACTCACATTCCTTATTCCCTTTTATCCCTCCCCCACTCCTCTCCTCTTAATCTCTCTTCCTTCTCTCTTGACCATTATCTCCTTCCTCTTTCCTCGCAGACTCACTTCGGAAACACTCAACCCCGGCACTTCTCTTTAATCCGCCACCTCTTACACCTCCTCCTCGTCATGACGCCTACTACTTCCACAGTCAGAATCCCCATCAAGGACAGGCCACTGAAGCCAAAGCCGGAGCCAGAGCCACGGATTCAAATACTGAAGGACCAAACCATTGGTGCCATCGCAGATCACATCCTCCATGGCAAAGGTAACCGGACATTATATATCACCTCTTCGCCCATGCAGCAAAAAGTCGTAGCAGAATGGCGCAAGAAGGTTTTAATATCTGTAAGTACGCCCAAATTGCTAACGATTTGTGCACTCCTTTTTTTTTCTTTCTCTATTACAGCCAAGAAGATCATTGTGATGACGGGAGCAGGAATCTCGACAGCTGCAGGAATCAAAGACTTTCGGTCCCCAGGCACAGGACTCTACGACGATCTTGAAAAATATAACCTGCCGTTTCCAGAGGCGGTGTTTGACTTGGCTTTTTTCAAGGTAAGAGTGGGACATTTCAACCCGCACTACACTTTTTTCTTCGCTGACTTGCTTGTGCTAATGTCATTGGCCCTGTACTCCTATCAAAGGAAGAAAGGAGGGTCTGGCCTTACTTTTAATGAACAGCAGCTCATTACTGTCCACTCTTTCTCACTTACTATCTGTCTCTCATCTCACTTGATCTAGGAGTCACCTCTACCATTCTACCAATTAGCAAAACACCTTTATCCAGGACAATATCGCGTACGTGTTATGCAGGCTAAACGACAAAAAAAGAAAAGAAAAGAAGGCATTCGGGTGACAATTGGTATGGTTTTACTGACATGGTTCATTGTGGTACTGCGGTGTCCTTTGTTCTCCTTCTTTTTCCTCCTTTGTCGCCTTTTCATAGCCAACGTTGACGCACTACCTTCTTCCTCTGCTGGCAAAGAAGAAGATTCTCCTCAGATCCTATACTCAAAACATTGACTCTCTCGAACGATTGGCAGGACTTGACGAAGATCTTCTCGTGGAGGCACATGGATCGTTCGCGACGGCAAAGTGCATACAGTGTGATATGGTGACCGACTCAGCCTGGGTGAAACGTAAGCCGGCCATAATAACCACCGTGGATTTCAGTCTCTCATAAACGTTCGGGAGGATATGTGGGATTATAACTAACGTTTTGTTTGGCCTTTTTTTATAGAACATATCATGGCGAGCGAGATTCCATATTGCAACCGTTGCTCAGGATTAGTCAAACCAAGTATCACATTCTTTGGTGAAAGTTTGCCACGGCGGTTCTCAACCCAGACCGAGAAGGTGAGGGACTTTCTGAACGAATAGTATGATCGTGTACAAGAAAGAATTGCGCACATCAGACAACCTCAACTAACGGACATTTTGTGCATATCTATAGGATTTCCAAGAGTGCGACTTGCTGATTGTGCTTGGAACATCCCTGAAAGTGGAGCCATTCAACAAATTAATTGCCCAGGTGTCGCCTAAATGCCCCCGACTTTTGATTAATCGCGAAAAGGCTGGTCAGGAGCTGCATTCTGGATTCGACTTTGAGGACAAGTGGAAGTATACCATCCAACGCGACGCCCTTTTTCTCGGAAACTGTGATGAAGGTGTCCGAGCTCTTGCGGACCTTTGTGGTTGGGAGGTAATGAATCGAATTACTTCTGACCAAACGCGTGTTTGCAGTCTGTGTTTTTATTTTATTGGTAGGACAGAAAAAACTAACATGAATTGTGTTATTGCTATCCATTGGCGTTATTAGATAGAGCTTCAAGCGATGTACGACGAGGGTCATGCAAAGCTAAAGTTGGCAGAGGATCAGGAGAAAGCAGGCACAAAAGAAAAGAAGGAACTCGATGAAGATGACGACGCTGACAAGGATGACCAGGACTTTTCAGACGATTTCTCAGTCCTGTCTGCTTCGAGCGACTCCTTGGAGGATATCACCCATCAATTTCAACGATCGACATTGCTTTCACGACCTGACGACTCTTTGATTGAGGCGCAACATAGTTCAAAGACCGAACTTGACGACAACAACACTAAGGCGAGCGCTGGAAAGGCCTTGGAAGCAGCGGAAGAGACGAACAAAACCACAGCTTTACCAAAATTGACAGGGGATGGACCATCGACGACCCGCCGGAACGCCCATGAGGACTCGAACACAGCAACGACTTCAAAGCAACCAGTACATGATTCAGAGGCGGCGAGTGTCCATTCTGTCCTGGCGACCGAGACGCGGAGTTCAGAAACCATGACGACTATTCACCTGGGTGAAACAAGCCAAGCAGCATCGACCTCGAAGGATGGCCCGGCCATTACCAATGAACGAGAGGTAGTTGTCGTCAAAGCACAGGAGGCAAAGGATACTTTTTCAGTAGCGTTGACAAAGAAGCCTGAGGAGAGGGTCGTGACAGCCGGCTTCGTGATGGAGTTGCCTATTGTCTCTGAAGCTCTAACAGTAGTGCCTATGACTGAGGGCATTGATGATGTGCAGCCATTGATTCGATCTACATCGTTATCATCGAGCTGTGGTGCAGATGAACTTTACATGCTTTCACCGATGGCGTCATTCCAAGAATCGAATTCTTCTGACAGCTCGGAAACCCGACAAACGTCAACGTCCACACCCCCATATACCCCGCTTACCACCTCCACTGATGGATCCGATGTCTCGCGGTCGTTGTATGCGTTCGTCCCCATGACAGCAACATTTACAACCACCGAGGCCGGAGTTGACCAAGAGATGAGTGTGAAGCACACGTTTGGAGGTCATGGCAGTCTTCAGGATGGAGCATCTGGACTGGTGCAGATGATGAGACGAAAGCGCAGGATGGAGACTGAGAACTTAGCAGGAACAGCAGCAGGTGCATCGACGACGACTTCAACCAAGCGAGAGATGAAGAGTCTTCGAGGGCCAGGCACAGCGCCACCTCGAGTGACCAAACGACGACGCGTTGACTAATTGTCTCGCCCGTCCACCTTGTACATTATTTATCTATTTATTTTTTCTTTTGTTGTTGCATACCCCCCTCCCTTACTCCCTTTTCCTCTTTCCTCTTCTTTTCCCTTCCGTTTTCCCTTTCCCCCCTCACTTTCCCCTCTTGTTTTTCTTCCCTTTCCCTACACCACTACCTTTCCTTTTCCATCTCTCCTTTCCCTTTCCTCTCCCTTCTCTCTTAGGATAGTCCTTGTTTCATCAATTCAAACAAAAAAAACTAAAACACTAATGACCACATGGACATCATCCCCCTAAGAATGAAGATATATGAACGCAATGACCCTGAATAGGACTTCCGAAACACGAAGACGTCCAGACGTTGCACAAATGTCCAAATGGACAACGGACAGACTGCATGGTGCGTGGGAAAGAAAGAGGGAGATGGAGGTATTGTTGACACGTATTTCGAAACCGTCTTTGTTCAGGTGTAAAAGATGTGTAATGAGCAGAGACAGGAAAGAAATAAATGAATGGATGTTATATGAGAGGGCGTTTGAAGGAGAAGGATCCTGACCAGGCGCCGATGCGGCTGTTGAATTTAATTTAGTCCTGTGCCTGTGCCTGTGCCTTTGCCTGTGCCTGTGCTTCTGAGAGAGAGGGAGAGGTGTCTGATCGAAAGTATTTGTTTTAAGGGAACTACGGCCTGCCAACCGGCCAAGGCGTTTGGTGGTGGTGTGGAGGCGTGGCGCACAAGGTTAGTGCAGGGTAGATCAAAACCTAGGCCCGGGTTCAGGCTTTTTCGAAATGAAAGATGAACAAAGTAGAGACTTTGATGGCTGAGTCGATGGAAGGAAGAGGCTTGAACGATTTGCTGTATGCTTAGAAAGCGCTAATATTAGTAATAGGGGTTACCTGTGTGTTGAATGTCGGAAATAGCGGGTCTTGATTCAGAGCAGGTAAGAGAGAGACGGTCTTCCCCTGGGGCAAGGGAGTCGGCCGGATCAGAGGAACACAGCCAAGCGGAGTATGAGACTTACATTTCAGGGGTGCCCCAGGCACGATCAATTATTAGCTAAAGTGCTGTCATCCAGGAACAGCTATCGACAGCAAGGGAGGGTATGAAGTAAGAAAAAACAGGGCAGGGTGCAGGACTGGAAGGCAGGGAAGCAAGGCAGACAAGCAGTATGGCAATTAACTTTATTCGAAATGATTTGGCCATTTGATCCCTCGTTTTTTTGTCAGATTTGCAAGGTTTTTTTTGTTCAGGGGAACTGAATCCATTTGCAGGCTTGTGCTTTACCTGGACTATTGTTAAATTGGTATTTTGTTTTCATTTCTTTCCTTCTTTTCCTTCTTCTCTTCTCTTTTCCTTTTTTTTTCTTTCTTTTTTTTCTCTCCCTTCATCATTTAACTCTTTTCCTCTCCCTCTCTCTTACTCTCTCTCACTCTCTCCCCTCTATCACCTCCTTCTCGCTCTATCCCTATCCCCATCCCCATCCCTTCCTCCCTCACCTCTCACCTCACCTCGCCTTCACTCATACCCACTTGCATTTCCACTACACTCTGTCTTCCACTCGTTTCCACGACTCTCACGACATCTCCAACCATACCTATCGTCCCACTCACACTCACATACACACACACACTTATCTCTCAACATCACTCACTTCCCACACTTCTCTCACTCTCCCGCAAACACTCCCATAAGCACAAACACATACACTTATATACATACATACCATGGCTGGCCTAAAGGTATGTAAAAATTCTCTGTACACCCATACCCATACCCTTGCTCCTTTCCTACATTGCCGCCAACATTCACATGCTCCGCAATACCCAAGACTGACAACCAGTTGGTACCCTTTTCCATCTTTAATAGTATGAACTCGACCAATGGAACGAAGGTGTTATTGCCTTTGACCAGGGACTCTACGAGGACGCCCTCGAAATCTTTGAGGTAAGACTCTACCTATTCATTTCAATATACATGGGCGTAAACAAGAAAGGTGCATGCCCCCAAAAATAAAAAAGGCGGCGCTTGTGTTGCTTCGGTGGCACAGGCGCATGTGCGTGTATGCCATGGAATAGGCTCTTATTACACGCACAAACAAGCAACAACACAGGATGAGGAATGAACTGCGTTTTTTCTCATTCGGCATCTCCATCACAATCCCTCAGTTTCTTTCTGGAATAAAGGAACAAATACACCAACTCAGGGCTGGTGCGGGTCTCGGACTCAACCTTCTTTTTTCTATCCTTGAACACCAATCGGGGAATGAGATGGGTGCGTAATACTAACTCAATTCTCCCTTTTCATAATTTGTAGCCCATTGCAGACTCCGCCAAGATCCATTTCAACATTGGAGTCGTCTTGACGACTTTGGGCGACTTTGAAGGAGCGGTAAGTGAATCTCTGACGATATGGAGAAAGCACAAGTGTTCGTTCTTTTCCTACGCCGCCTTCTTTTTTTCTTTTCCGTTGTGGTTTTGACAACGAAGGAGAAAAGAAAAGAAGGGGGTGTTAACAGAGAGAGAGAGAGAGACAAAAACAGCAAGAGAGACAAGCAAACGACAAAAAAAAGTGCAACTCTAACAACCCAAGCGATTCCACCTTGCACAAAAAAACTAGAGCGCAGCTTTTACTAGGGCAACCAGCCTGGATCAGTTCCTCGCCATCGCCTACTTTCAGAACGGAGTTGCTAACGTTGCCCTCGAGGACTATGGCAAAGCTCTGAGCTGCTTCCACGATGCTTTCTTGGTAATATTCTGACTCTTGATTAATTTGGCTATGCATCTGATGGTTATATTAGAAAAACCACCACCTTTGAAGAGAGAGAGATAGAGATAGAGAGAGCAGCTCCAGTGTTTTGGAATGCAATTTTTGAGGATCTAGGTTTCTGACTAACAGTATCTACTCTTTTGTTTTTATAACCATCGGGGTTAAATAGTATCTGCGCGGGAACATGGTGATCGATTATACACAGCTGGGGCTGGACTTTAAGCTGTACTCGTGCCAGGTTCTCTTCAACCGAGCATTGTGCTACCTGGAGCTCGGGGAACATGATCTGGCTATGACAGACATGTGGCGGGCGACTCGAGAAAAGCAGATAAAGGCTCACGATTTGCTGGATCAGGCCCTCAGGGATAAGGGCCAGAATTGTACTGTCTTTACAGTCCCCCAGGGGGTGCTCTATCGCCCTGCAGAGTCCAAGGTCAAGAATGCTAAAAAGAAGGATTACCTGGGTAATTCCAAGGTCATTGCTGCATTGGATGCCAAGGATGCACATGCTAGGTTCCAGGGCAAGTCTGCATGGCAAGTCCAGATGAGTGGGCCTACTAATGTTGCGGCTGTTGAGGAGCCTCGTCCCATGACTCCACCCGTTGCCGGTACGTTACCTTTCGTTGTTACTGATTCTCTCTTTCTCCGTTTTTTCCTGGTTGCATCTGATTTTCTTTACTCCGTCGGTACATTTTCATTCTCCCTCCTCCCTCCTCCCTCCTTCCAACCATCTTTTGCCATGACCTGCACCTGCACTTGCACACTCCTTTTCTCTTGCCCCCACACTACCTTTTTTACGTTATCCTCCCACATGTTTTTGTTGTTGATTGGGGGTCGAGTTGGGGGCGGAGCGTGCACGAGCTCTGGTTGGTATTGGAGTAATGCGGATAAAAAATTAATTTGAGCAGAAGAGAGCACTTTCTTCTTTTCCTTTACACGGAATGAGATGGGAGAAAGGGCAAGGGAGCTCTCAACCAAGCAAGGCAAAAGGAAAGGGGAATAATGAGAAAACCTTACTGCAACGGACAAAGGGAAAAAAAGGGAGAATATGTCCTCCTACCCATGCTCCCTTTTTTTGTTACTACAGAAAGCACCACATCTTGCCCCCTATTCTCCCGGTTCAGGTATTATGGACTCCACTTTTCTACAGTAAAAGCGAAAAAAAGGAGAGCCAACTCTTGGTACAGGAACACAACGGACCTCATTTATGCATCTCGGCACCTTATCGCATGGGAAGAGTGGAACTGAAAAAAAGGAGCATCTAATTATAATAGTAATTATCACGGAGCTAGCTGGCTGGCTTGCAGCAACTCTTTTTTTTTTGTCTATTTCTGTCTTACTCAATCACTCACCTAAACATACCACTGCATACCCTTTCTATGGTGTAGGTCTTCAAAGGAGAGCAACGGAGCGAGCAAGTGGAAGCATGGGCATGAACGGACGCGCACGGAGGGGGACTGATCCCCAGCAACGACCCCAACTGGAACACTCTGCATCTTTCAGCGGCGTCGACAACAAATCCCGTCGTGGCCAGGCAGCAAACAACACTAGTCTTCCAGGACCTTCTCTCCTTCGAAGCAGTAGTACTGCTGGTAGGGGAGCAGCCGAGGCAAGGCTGTCGTTGCTCTCTCGTCGCAACACGGATAATCAACGGCCTGCTAGGTTGAACTTGGGTTCTTCGTCTAATTTGAAGAAAGGGGGTCCTGCTTCTGCGGCACCCTCGATTCCACTCCCAGCTCTGCCGTTGGCTCCTATCCCTACGATGGATATTCTTTCTGTGAATGCCGCCGCTGCAAAGGCGGATGCGGATGCGGATGCTGCTGCGGCGGCACTTCGGGAGTTTTATCAGGACGATATGGTGGAAGATCTGGACCAGCATGTCTATGCACTCAGCATCGAGGCCCAGGAGATCACCATCGTCGATAAGCCCACTACTACTTTCCCTATCTCAAAAGCGCCATCCAACACCTCTTCAACCGACATCCGCGTCTCACCCACCCCATCCCGGTCCAACTCGGGTGCCAGCAAAAAGGGAGGGATCCTCCGCAAGGCCTCCCATAATTCTGGTTACTCCTCCTCATTCTCTTCCCCACCCATGCCCTCTTCTATCCTCCCTCACCAACCTACCAACAACTCTGACTATACCGGCACCAGTCCTCCAAGCCGAACAGGAACTCCCGTCTTTTCTGATCTCCGTCGTATGGGCTCCAATGGCAAGAATGGAACTACTGGACTCTGGAGGGGCGACAGTGTTCGGAGTACGACCTCAGGAGGCAGTGGTGGATCCGTTGGCGCTTACTTCCAGCAGCAGCCTAATCATGGGGATCATCATCTGGGGTCCATGAACGGTGCTGAAGGCGCTTACCTCCACGAACCCGTCTACGCCGGTCTTCGCAACAAGGTAACTTTTTCCTTCATTTTTTTTTCTCTTGCTCTCTCAAAACTCAAGCCTTCCTTGCCTCGTCTTACCACGGTAACTAACTTTGTTCTTTCCTCTTCTGTTTTTTCTGAATAGCTCCGCGTGAAATGTCACTACATCGACACACGCGCAGTCCTCGTCCGGGCAGATACACCACTCGAAGAACTGATTCAACGGATCCAAGAAAAGTTCCAAGTCGACCGACCCCTGAAACTGAAATACAAGGACGAGGACCAGCATATGCTCTCAATGGTCGATGATGATGACTGGCTGATGGCCCAGCAGGTTCATATGGAAACCACCGGAAGCCTTGATCGTATTGAGCTCTGGTGCTTCGACGAGGAGTAAATTTCTACCCCCACCTTTTGACGACACCTTTTCATTTTCTTGTTGTTCGTTTAAAAAACTTCATCACTTTTGCATGCATTTTTCAGTCCCCCCCTTTCGCTCCACATCCTAAAAAAAAATATCCCTCTTTCATCACGACCAGCAATACCCAATACCCAATACCATAGACGTTATCCAGCATTTCATTTTTTTTTTCCCTTCCCATGAACATCCAAAAAGCACATACTCATTTTCAACACAAAAAAAATAAAAGCCATCCGAAAATATTCATGCCATTCAGATTTTTATTGCTGTACTTCAAAAATGAGGGGATACACTGAAGATGCCGATGTCGCAGAAAAAAAAAAAAAAAAAAACAATGAAAGAAAAGCAAACAGAAGAATAAACAACGAAGAAAGTAGAAAAAGGAACAATGAAATGGAGGAATGATGTTCAGAAATGAAGCTGATATCAAAAGAAAAGAGCAAAAATAAAAACTACTGTTTTTGTTTGATTCTCCCAGAGTTCGCGTTCGTATTCGCATTGGCGTTGCCATTACCGTTCCCGTTACCGTTACCGTTGCCAACCTTGTTACTGTTGTTACTGTTGTTGCCGTTGTTGTTGCGATGGTCAATTAGGCTGGAAAGACTCGCATTGGAGCACTTTCGCGACCTCGATCGGCGTCGACGGTCGCTGTGCCCGATACCTTGCCCAAAGTTCCGATCCTGACCTTGGCCTTGGCCTTGGCCCTGGCTATGCCCTTGGTTCTGCGCCTGACCCTGACCCGAAACTTGACCAAACCCATGTCCATGTCCATAGCCTTGATAAGGCGGGTGCACCGGGTGGTGGATTCCTTGTTTGGAAGTCGAGGCTGCCTGGAAATGGGCTCGCATTCCTGGCGCAGAGTGCTGGCGGGCGTGATGATGGTGATTGCGCTGGTTGCCTCCAAAGCTATTAGGACCTTGCTGCTGTTGCTGCTGTTGGTGCTGGTTGTAAAAGTCGGGGAAGTGTGCAGGAGGTTCGACCGAGCCAGCTTGTTGTCGACGATCAGACCTCCATCGATCCTGCTGACGACCATGGTCGCGTGGATGCTGCCAGTTCTCGCTCCCATTCCGACCATTATTGCCATTGTTCTGTGCTCCCTGGCCAAAGCCATAGCCAAAATCACCGCCGCCATGACCGCCGGAGGCTCGTGAGGGTACCCATCCAGTCTCTTGGCGATCCATAGAGCCAATGGCTCTTTCTTGATGCTTGCGCGGGGCGGGCTTTTCGGAACTGTGAAGCTCCTGGGCATGTCCCCTGTTGGCGGAGGCTTGTGATCGTTCGATGCCTGGCTCTTCCTCTGCCCCAGAGCGGATGCTGAGGGACGACAACGATGACGAAAGAGACTTGGGCGACCCTGAGGTAGGGTCATTGACCATAGGGTGTGGTGGGAAAGTGTTGATGTACTGGTGGCCAGAATTTTTTCGGTTGCCTGAAGGAATAGGTTGCGAGGCGCTGGGTTGATTATGTCCTGACCTGGCACCATTCTGAGCCTGCAATCCAAATGGTGGCTCGTCCAAGTAAAACCGAGCATCCTGTGGAGGATGATGACGGCCAAGGGGTTGCGTCTGAGACTGAGTCGATATGCTAGGACGCACATTCGATGACTTTCCGTTACTAGGGACAGGGGTCAGCTCGTCCTGGAAAGAACCAATGTGGAACGGGGGAAGGATGTCGCCGCTTGAGTTGGACTCGCCATCATTTTCTTGACCCCAGCGTGCCAAAGGATCATCATCGCCCCAGGAAGGTTTGCGCTGTCTTGCCGTGCCATAATCTGCGCCATCCTGGTAGTCGCCATACATCCCGAACGGAGTATCCGATCCAAGTACCTGAGGCGATCCCGGAGCTGGTCCCCATTCGATCTTGTCCTTGAGTTCCTGATTGATATCCCGAGGCCCCATCGCAGCCATGCCGCTAAGATCAGGAGGTGTTGTTGTCCACATCGAGTTCGGGTTGTAATCTGGATACTCGTCTTGTTGGGGAGGAATGTACTGAGGTCGATTGCGCCAGTCCTTCAAAGGGTCCTCCGGTTTGCATGACACCTTGGTTCGCATGGGTTCGTGTGCACGATGGATTTGAAGACCATCGAAGCATTGCTCGAGCGACTTGGACATGTGGATGACAGGTTCACGGTGGCAACGGACTGTATGCGCCTCAGAGCCACGGCCTGCTGAGCCTCGAAGGATGTTGCGGAGGTATTCATAGTCTGGTTCCTCCTCGAACTTCAAACTCCTTGCATAGCCAATGTACGACATGAATCCCTTGGGAAGGCCCTCACAGAGCTCGTCCAGTTCGATGTCCTCTTTGATTTCCTTCATCTTGGACCATCCCTGCTTCGAGTTCCTTGCCATGATGCCAGACCAAGGTAGAGCCCCGATCAAGAATTCCATAAGCATGTACCCCGTCGACTCGATGTCGTCACGACGCGTATGTTCTAATTATTTGCCGCAGGTATTAAAGAGCGTTAGTTACTGGTGATGAAATAACCTTCTATCAAACACAGACATAGTCAGGGCGTCAAACTTACGTCGTCCGCAATGGATGTTGATGCTGGCATAGCGAGCGGTTCCAACCTTGTGAGGGGTGCTGCCTCTGTTGGGAATGTGTTTCCCTGAAGCATCGCGGTAGAAGGCAGCGAGGCCAAAGTCGACAATTGAGAGGTGTGGCTTGTCGTAGTTGATGATAGGGGACCCAGGAGACGTCGACATGTTGGACTCGATACTGTGCTGGCGCTGACGAGTGTCGTTGAAGAAACTCATTGTTTGGTCCGGATATGTGGGCGGTGTATGTGCCTTGCCCAGAGGCGGATCCGGCAAAGTAATATCGGCGTCCAAGAGAAAGTTCTCGGGCTTTATATCTCGGTACACGATTCCGCGCTTATGGATGAACTCGAGTTGGTTGAGCTTTAAAGATTCAATGACAGCTTTCAGATCAGGTTGTGCGACAGTGGGATTACTTAGACATAGTAACACAATCAAAAAGTACCAATACTTCAACAATGGACTGTCAACTTACGATTTGAACACCAAGGTCGATAACAAAGCTAAGAGGGAACTTTTCGTTTTCGCGTCGAACCTGCTTTAGGTTGGGTCCCAAAAGATCGACGACCATTGCATTGTACATCCCCTCTTTTCCAAACCAGTGGACGCGCGCAATGCCAACTAAAAGACATATTGAAAGTGGTAGAATGGAACAAGGATGAGGCAATTGGATGTGAGTGTGAGCGCATGGACTACAAGACATGGAACAGAACGGGAAAAAATAGACGGCGGCAAGAATGTATGCCAGGGGTCAATGCATGACCCAGAGGAAAGGCAAAGAAAAAAAAATGCACAGGGCGCGTATGTGATAGTGTGACCCCCCCCCCTCCTCTGCAAGGCATTAGGGTCAATGCTCTACTCTCTGTCCGTTCTTCTTTTTGATGGCCCCTGGAATTAGCTATGTATTTCAAACTAGTGTCAAGCGAGCATGTTCCTCGTGCCCTCAATTCCATTGACCAAAGGAAAAAAGAATTACCTCCGCCTTCGAGTTTGGCATAGATCTTGGCTTCGTGTTCGAGCTGGGGGTGTGCCACATTAATGGGCTCTCGCTTGATAGCATAGTCGACACCAGTGGCAATATGAGTCGCTAAATTAAGAATGTTTAATCGGCAGGGAGTTGTGGGGTGAGGTGTGAGGTTTAGATCGTTAATACATAACCATAATTCTGTGATATTGTGATCTTCAAGTTCGATTGCTGATTGTCGAAAATGCAGTTGAATAGAGTAGGGGTTATGCTAAGTTATCGAGCCGAGTCGAGTGCATGATGAAAAGAATGAACAAAAAGAGGAGCTACAATCTCGACCGATTAACGAAAGAGCGTGGCTAGAATAGTAACAGCGAATGGCAAACAGCAAACAACATAACCCAGGTCAAGGGGCTTTCTCAAGACGAGGAAGTGGAAGAAAGAGCGTCATAAAAATCACCGTCACTCGTGACCTTTTTACTTTTTTTTTTGCTCTTTGCTGGATGGTAAGGGTAAGGGTAGCCCAGTCAAGACAGAGCCCCACCATTTGGGCAAATGAAGGGAGCCATTCACGGTACTTTAAATATGTGGATGGATATGGTTGTATGCTTACCTCGAAAGACTTCTCCAAACGACCCTTCGCCAATCTTGCCCAGGACAAGGTACTCTCCTCCGATGACGGTCGCAGACGAGCCCATTTGAGGAGACAGTGGCGATATCTCTGGGCTCCGGAGGAGGAGAAGGGGGAAAAGCGACAGAAAGGGGAGGGAGGACTGGATTTAATCAGAGAATAAAAGTCAGCAACAAACGGAGATGCTGACAACAATGACGACAAGGCCGTTTGAGAGGACGCCTTGATTGCCAATGAGATCGAGGGAGGATCAACGCTCGACGGGTCCTGTTTGTTGTTGGGTGTTGATGTCAGGGAGTAAGGACTCAGGCGTGGCGGTGGGGGTGCAGAGGACAATCGCAGCAAAGGATATAAAGGACCGTTTGCAACGACTGCAAGCACGCCGTTGTTGTTGTGACCAGTCAAATGTGCAGCGAAAGCAGCAGTAGAGGCAGTCGAAGGAAGCGAAAGTCCAGCTCTGACGATGGACTCAAGCGAAGAAGAGTTTGAAGAAGAATATCCAAGGAGTCGGGTCACAGGCGAGTGCGGGGTCAGCTCTAGTCTTTCGAACGAGAGCTTGTGTTTCCTGCTTGTGTTTATGTTGTCTGTTTTATCTGTGTTATGTTTGAGGTCCTGGTATTTGTTGTTGTTGTTATTTTTGCTGCTGTTGCTGTTGCTGTTGCTGTTGCTGTTGTTGCTGTTGCTGTTGTTGCTGTTGCTGTTGTTCAGTTGAGTGTTGAGCGCTGTTGCGGTATGGTGGTGTTGTTCTTGAATGAGAGAAGAACAGCAAGAAAGGACAGTAATGAGTTCCTGCTGAGAATGGTGGTGGTGGTGATTGCTGTGGGTAGAAAAGAGGCCGTCCGGGAAGGAGACAAGCAGGCGAGTGGTGAAGGGACACTTTTCAGCCTGGATGGACGGGCCTTGCTTGAGCACAACAGCAACAGAGACAGAGGCGAGTGGAGGAATGGTGGGAAGAGAGGGCGAGAAGGTGAATGAGAAGATGACCGATCAATGTAAGAGGTCGGTTCAGGAAGGAAGGAAGAAGGAAGGGGGGAAGGTGGGGTGTTGTTGGGGAAAGGGAAGGGTACGAAGGGACGTTCTAGTTGAAGTGCATGCACAATGGGGAGCAAGGGAAGGGAAGAGAAAGAAGAAGAGGAGAAGAGAAGGAAAGAGGAAAGGAAGAAAAGGAACAAAGAGAAAAAGAGAGGTATGGTGCGCGAGGTGCGTGTGAAAAAAAAAAAAAAAAAAAATGAAATTCTATGTGACCTGGGTCCGTTCAGCTAGGTCATTTTCTCATTGCAACCTTGCGGTACACAACTAAAGCACACTAGCATACAAGCAACAACAGGCAAGCACAGTCAATCAAGACCAAGTCATTCATTGCTTTGGGGATCCGTGCACAAGTGTGCCAGGGGAAGGAGAGTAGGAAAGGGAGAAAAGTATTTATTAGTGTTCCGTATTGCGCATGGCATGGTGAGAATGTGCAATTGCAATTGCAATTGCAAGTCCGCTTCATTTGGGTTCGGGCGCCTGCTCGAAAAGGACTCGGCAGCGGGAGATCTAACCCACCCGGTTCTTTGCCACTCCAAGACACATATGCTCATGTGCTTCATTTGTCTCTTCACCTGGAGGGAGGGAGGGATATGTCTCCACCTGTACACCTGTACGCAAGTCCATGTCATCACAGTACTTGATCAGCAGCAACGAAACAAGATCGGCGCTGCGGGTGGATCCATGTCTTGGAGCCACAACCACCTGCACAACCCACAACCGCAGCCACAACAACACAACCCATAACTGCAGCCACCTACACAACCCACAACTGCAACCACAGTTGGCCAGTCAGCTCACGTAGGAAAAGCCGCTTGCTCATTTTAATTTCTTTATTCTTATATATATATATATTTTTTATTCTCCTAATACCGTCTGTGTCTTGTTACACTCACTACTCAAACTGCAGTTTCTCTTCACCTCTTACATCCGACTACTTTCAAACCCCCTTGTGACATGACGTTGCATGAAGAAGCGAGTTGTTGACTCATTTCGTCGAATGCCCTATGTTGATCAACTCTTTTACCTTTTGTCTTCCTTCCTTTCCTTTGATTCAATTCATTTTTCCACTCTCCACTCTCCTCTCTTCCACTCTCCACTCTCCACTCTCCTCTCTTCCACTCTCCACTCTCCACTCTCCACTCTTCACCATCTAATATCCTCTCCTCCAACCTTCATTCTTCACCTTTGTCGATACTCAATAAAGAGTGGACGGATTGATTCCCTCTCTCCACTTCACAGCAACAAACTGCCCTGCAGCTTCAACTTGATCTCACCAACTCTACGTTTTCGACAGTCCATACCATCACAACAAACAAACAAACAAACAACAACACCTTTCGAGCATCCCCAGTAGTCGAACCCACTACTACCACAACACACCTTTTCTGTCCGCCCTTACAAATAGATCAAAAGCCTGGATGTCAAAGTATTGAGATGCATACCCTCGCACCTCAATGCTACTTTCAAACCATGCTCATGACACCCTAGACGAGTCCTCTCTCCCAGGAACAGGTTTGCACGGACACCGTCGCTCTCTCAACAACACAGCCTCTCCTGATCATCCATCCGCACACGACCGCGACAGCCCCTCCGACAGGAACAGGTCCACTCGCACTCGCACTCCGTTCATCAGCCCCATCAGGCAGTTTTTCCGAAATGACGACCCACCTCCTGCTGCAAGCGATTCATCCTCGATCGAGACGAACTATCGCCTGCTTCCACTCCTCATCGGATGCATCCTTCCTGTAAGCCTAGCCCCACAACCAGGCTAAGCACATTACATCCCATCTACCACTTTTTTTTTTCATTATGTCACTGAAAAGTAGAGTAGCTTTGACCACACCACACCCACACCCCTACCCCTATGACCCCTATAGCGTGCTTAACTAACACAAGGTACTTACTTCATATATATTCCTCCCCGTCTATCTACTATATCTACAAACACGATCAAACCACTAGGTCTCGATCCTGATTAATGTCCCTTCCATTACGTCGCCATGGGTCGGACGAGCCTCGTAAGTAGCTCCGGGAAGTGTGTCCAGGTCTGCCTGCCTCTGTTATCGCTCCTCAGGTTCGGTGGGCATAACTTCCTTTCTAGCTTACTTCCCCTCCCCTCGGTGATCTTGTTTTCCACCCTATCATTGCAATCACATTCTACCCTGCGTTATGCATGTAAACAAAAATATGTACTGTCTTCATGCAGTTGTATGAATCGGACGACGTTGAATTGTTACACAAACAAAACAAGCACTTGCGGAGCAAATTAATAACAGCGAATTGCTTTTTTTAATAACAATGATTAGATACAATGAGACCCTCCAGGACTGGAACGATCCCGAGGTGCTGGAGATCCCGCATTGGCTAAATGGGATCATCATCTCGGCGCTCGTCATGTCCGTCATCTGTAACATCTGCGTTCTCTTCCGCTTTTTGGAGCAGCACGTCTATCACAGCGTCGTCCTTTCGCTCATCACGGCCACCATCCAAGGTACAATCATCTCCTGCGTGTATAGCGATTGTCGACATTCTTTGCACAGCTCAGAGTACTGATCATCTCATTTTTATCATCGATAGATATACTCTGTATTTGTGCTGTTGTCCCTTTTGGCATCCTCTATCCACTCTCAAAGGGCTATGCGTACCTCGAAGGTTTCTGGACTATGCTCGCCTCCATTCTGTTCAGTTTCCTTGCGACAATCCTCATCTCAATTGATTTTCACCGGACGCCTAACTTCCGGCTACAGGGTTCAGGTGTCACCCACAAGCAGCGAATTTTGATCGCGGAGGCCATGTCGCTCTGCTTCTATTTGGCCATTGGCGCCTTGATTTTCATCTATCTGGAAAGGTGGACGTTCTTGGATGCCTTGTAAGTCGCTCAAAAGAGGTTTGGCATATGGAGGTATGTGCACGATGATACAAGTGGACCGCATTCTCATCGGCTCTGAACTGTTTCTGAAATTAGGTTCTTTGTGATGGTGACGATTACGACGATTGGATTCGGAGACAGGGTGCCGCAGTCAACGGGTGGCCGTATCTTTGTTGTTGTCTATGCCGCTGGCGGAATCGTACTTTTGGCATTGGCTATCAATGCAATTCGCTATGTCATCGTGGAAGATCTACACCGACGGTTTGCAGCTCGTTCAAAGGAGCGCAAGGCCAAGCGCGATGCAAGGCGACGAGAGCGTCGAGACCAGCGTGCCCGTCAGGAGGTGCAGCGACTGCGACTTCAGCAAGCGATAGAGCGAATTCAGCAGATGGATGCGTCACAGCCACCGGTCGGTTCAGGAACTTCGACTACACCAGGAGCACCAGGAACAAAGCCCAGCCCAAGCGGCACAGTGAGCGATTCGCACTATTTCATTCACTTTCCTCGCCGCTTTAATGTTGCCAATGGGGGTCGACTACGTCTTCCAGGCATCTTTACTCGCAGTATAAGAGGTTCAGAGCCCAAGTCTGTCGACGGCACTAACTCTCGACAGCGCGACGCATTTAATATGACGCAGACCGACAATCCATCTCAGGGTGCAATCGAGATGCTTAGGACACCGGGATCCAACATTTCACGGTACGAGCAACCTGGAGCCAATGCCAGGGAAGTTTCATCGGAGTCTCAGGCAGGAGCGGCTTTGCGGAGAACCCCCTACAATGTCGACGACGATCTTCTTCGTTACGCCACCGTCTGTCCCGGATATTCTTGCGGCTCGACCCATGAAAAGTCGTGGCTGGATCGATTTCGGTTCTTCCGACGACCACCTACTCAGGAGGCAACGCAACCGACAACTCTGGAGGAGCAGCGGGAAGCCGACAAGAGACAGGCCTACAAGGAAAGCATGGTGGAGTACCAGCGACGACTCCGGCTGAGCGCTGCCATGTTCCTGACCTTCTGGCTGGTTGGAGCCGTCATATTTACGTTTGTCGAGTCTTGGAGTTTCGGGGCATCGGTGTACTTTGTCTTCATTGCCTTTTCCACGGTTGGTTATGGAGATTTTGTGCCCAAGACTATGGCTGGACGATCCATCTTTTTGGCCTATTGTCTCGTTGGTGTCGTCACATTGACTTCGTTGGCGTCGTTGATATCGGAGGTCCTGAACAAGTCAATGAGGAAGCATGTAGTTGAGACGCAACTGAAAAGGTCGGAACAATTGGAAGCTCTGGACGATGAACGAGGTGGTCACCAAGACGACGACACGGATTTGGACCATGGAACTTCTCGGACCGGTGCCGATGTTGCTGGATCGTTTAGAGGAGGAGCTTCTGATACTGACGGCCCCAACGGTACTGCCGCCCAAACGACTGAAACGGACGACAAATCCTGCCATGGCACACTCCAAAATCTCGTCAAGGTCTCGAAGAGTTTTGATGAGATACTTCGTAAGATTCTCGGGCTGGAGTACACGGATAACGAGCGAAGAGTCACCGCTTCGAACATTTCGAGACTGCCTTCGCGAACTCTACCTGCAAACCCCAATCCTGGAGCAATCGTCACCTACCTAGAGGCAGAAGAGGATGAGTCCGAGCCTTCGTTCCTCAGTCCTTCGATATCCATGGACATCACCTCGACAAGCTCAATTCACCGACATTCTTTACGACCTATGATGCACGGGCGACGACACTCCCATGACCTTCAGTTCGGAGATACATTCCATGGCTCTGGATCCACTTCACTGAGGGATTCTAATCGCCTCAACATCACGGCGTGGCCTTCCACAATGGCCCCAAGCAATGTCACACAGCTTCGCCGAGGGCAAAGTCGCTCACGCAGCCAGTCATCCACTCCTCCGCCAGCTCCAGATGTTTTGCAGATTCCAACGTCTGTATCAGCTCCGCAACATACCAAGGACAGCATGATCACCATCCCTGCGGTCCAGTGGCAGAGCATGCTTGAGTACTCGAAGCGATTCAAGGCTCTGACACTTGCCTGCGAGGAAGCATTGCAGAAGGTAGCAGAATGGGAGGTTTCGGAGAAGAGGCTACGCGAGAAGCGATGTGAGACAAGATTCCGGCAGAAGCGTCAGATCGAGGAGCGTCGCAAGCGGTTGGAGCAGTTCAAAGGATCCCATGGAGTGGCTGATGATGATACAGACAACGAGGAAGAGTTGGAGGAATTGGACGAATGGGATGAGGAAGGAAGTGATGATGATGAGGACGACGAGGATCTAGACAATCAACGAGCCCGAATCGCCTCTAGACTGTTGGGACCACCTTCTGCGATTCCCAGAACTCGATCAAGTCCAAGTCGGTTGCGGCGACAGATCCATCGCCGCAGTATCAACCCCGATTCGCTTCAACTTCGCACACCGCCTGATCCTCCGATGCGGACGCCACATCCCCATCCCCGACAGCATCGCCGTTCTAGATCACGAGAGCGTCACCGTGATCAAGCACATCGACGCCAACAAGATCAGGGCCCGAAGCAGGGTGGAGCTCAGCAGGCTATTGACACTCGGAATCATGTGCTGTTGGATGTCCCGCATATGTCAGAGAGACCTGAGCCGTTGGAGACTCCTGTGGCAAGTTCGCCGAGTGAAGATGGCAGTGATCCCGTAGGATTGCCGTCTTCTGCACAATCCGGCCGATCCATATAACTCCCCGTGCGATATGTCTCCAAGGTTGACTTGACTCGTGCCTAATAAACATCGAAAGCCTATCTTCTAGTTCTGATCTGTTGCCGTGTTACCCCTGAGTGACTCCAGCCACCTTCGAATCTTATTGGCTACCTCTAGCGCTCTTCCCATCCCTCTCTTTTTTTATTCTTTCCTCTTCTTTTGCTTTTCCTTTTCTCCTTTGTCCAACCTCCATCAACTCACCGCTCTTTCATCCTCGCCATGTCGACCCAGCCTTCATTCGCAGATAACCCCTCAAATGAATCCAGGGATCCTGCCTACTTTGGCTACTATGCCATGCTGCAGCACCAGGTATACATCCCATACCGAAACACACGCACAGCATAGCATAGCACTACAACCGACTTACATCACAACAACAACGACAACGCACGCACACCAAACAGACGCGCATCAGCAGTATGAAAAAAAAAGAACCTTCTGGCCCGACAGATGCATGCTCACTTCCAAGACGATCGACTGTTCTCGCTTTCATTGTCGCCCCCCCCCCCCTTTTTTTTTATTCGAACGTGTCCCTTTTCGAACTGTTCTTTTCTACTTTAACCCTCACCCACTACGACACAAACTAATCCATATCATACCTTTTCGATACAATTCTCCGATCTTGTAGCAAAACATGCTTCAGGACACGGTCAGGACATCGACTTATCGCAACGCCATCTTGTTGAACACCGAGTGCTTCGAGGATAAGCTTGTCATGGATGTTGGAGCTGGTAAACAACCCAATTGAGAAACGATCGATAATGCATGAGAGAAAAAAGGAAGCTTGTGGAAGGAAACTCTTATCTGTTGGGACTTAGTAGATTCCCCCTTTTTGTTGGATCGAGTTCAGCACACAAACGCTGATTCTTTTATTCTTATTATTTTATCTTCTTTGACCTTGCGTGTGTATGTGATTCTTTCTCTCTAGGTTCGGGTATCTTGTCTTACTTTGCGGTTCAGGCTGGAGCAAAAAAGGTCTATGCGGTCGAGGCTTCGGATATGGCTTCGAAGATGAAGAAGCTAGTCAAGGCGGCCTCTTTGCCTAACGCGAAGAACGTCTTTTTGAAAGATCGCGTCGAAGTCATTCAAGGTAAACCGTGAACCATAGCTTCCTCATGGATCGATCTCTTAGGGGAACGAATATCGTCCAGATCTGCTCCTCTGTAAGTATTTGATTTGAACATGCAGTAACTAACCCATCTGCATTTGTTACTCCTCACCTTAGCCAAGATTGAGGATCCCAGTGTCAAGGCTCCTAAAGTCGACACTATCATTTCAGAGCCCATCGGTATGAACTCCATCATAACGTTGAGTGACTCGAGCAACTGAAGATACGTTGATGCATGCTAATTCTCTATTCGACGGTACTAACCAAAATATGCTTGTATGATAACTTTTAGGTGTCTTGCTGGTTCACGAGAGGATGGTATGGCAAATAGACATGCGGATCAAATGCTGTGACCAGGATAGAAACTCGGACGTTAAAGTCAAGGAACCTAACACGCAATGATTCTTGACGGACCGCCGGTACTGTTAGATCGAGAGTTTCATCTATGCCCGTGACACGTTCTTGAAGCCAGGTGGATACCTCTTCCCCAACAAGGGTACCATGTACTTGGCCCCTTTCACCGACGCTCTCTTGTATACTGAGACTATGGGCAAGGCGCGTTTCTGGGAGCAGACCACCTTCCACGGTGTTGACCTCTCGCCCCTCTACCCCGACGCCAAGGCCGAGATGTTTGGTAAGGATCTTTTGACCTATCTCCCATTCTTAAGCAAATTCGGCAATTTATTACCAGGATGGAAGGTGCATTCTTTTTGACATATATTGTACCTTGATGAATAGGCATGCCGGTGGTGGGCCACTTTGACCCCAAGTCGCTTTTGGCGACACCAACTTCGGATGCAGAGGGCTTTGAGATGGATTTCAACACGATTACGATGAAGGCATTGAGGGACTTTGTTGTGCCAATTTCATGGAAGGCTCAGTACACAGGATTGATGCACGGAGTTGCAGGATGGTTTGATCTGCTATTCTCTGGAAACACCGAGTCCGAGGCCAGTCAGCCTGTCGAGATGTCCACGGGACCTAGCGCGGAGAAGACACATTGGCAGCAGGTCCGGTTCATGTTCCGGGAACCCTTGGCTGTCAATGCTGGACAGACCATTCGGGGATGGATGCACTGTGTCGTCAACGATATGCGGTCGTACACAGTCGATATTGAGGTCATTGCGGGACAGTATGGCGAGTTGTCGGATCCTAGCCAGCCCTTTGAGCCTCTATTGGAGCAGCAGGCTAAGCGGCAGGGTCATGCACGGACATCAGAGTCCGAGGAACAGGAGGAAGAAGAGGAGGAAGAAGATTTGCAGTTCTCGAGGCGGAGAGGACGCTGGGAGTTGCATGAGCAGAGCTACAACTATTCGTACACTGGATCGACCAATGATATGTTGACCAAGCCTGAGCACCTGTGCATGTACGAGCCCGAGAATGTCGATGATGCCTATGGTGGTATTACTTACACCGTTTAGACTCCTTCACGTTTTCTTACTATTTTTTTCTCCAGACATTCCGCTTATCTTTGCTTTTATTTTGCCTCTTCCTTTCTTCTTTCAACATAAACGTAACTTGAAACTCATTTCGCTTTTTCCTTTAATTACGTAACGATCGTTGTAACTATTAACATTACATTCACTAAGATTCAAACAAAAGAAGGGGTTATGCAGAGACGCGGATGTTCTTGTGAGCGACAACGTCTTCGACAGCAATGGCGGCGTTGGGACGCTTTGTTCCCCCGGTGGCAGCCAAGACGGCGAGGTTTTTGAGTTCAGAGTGGGCGTGGCCTTTAAGCTTTGCCACTAAGTTGTCGCGCACATGGATCGCGTCCTCCATTAAGATCGAGAAGAACTGGCCCAATGTCAACCTTGATGCCTTTAGGATCTATTTCAGTGGGTGTTGGTGGAGTGAGAGGAAAGAGTGTCAGTGTTTAGTCTTCTGATTCAATGCTAGTTGAAACTGAGAATAGTTGTTGATGTGGCACAAGAGGAGTTGCTTTTTTGGTTACTTTTCCCATTGCACTGTCTTCATCCTCGTCGATCGAGCCGTTGGCTATCATTGTGAGGAAGTTAAGATAAAAAAGTCCGTCAGTCCTCTTGCAACTTATACATGGTAATCGTCTCATGTCATAAAAGAACCAGAAGAAGAAAAAAAATATGGAACGAACCGTTGACGTCGACGACATAGACTTGGCCCGACCGATGGTCCTCCCTCAAATCCATCCGACAGTAGCCATTTCCTCCAAAGCTGGCATAAATAGATTTAGCTATTTCCTGGAGCCGTTCCTGATCGGCATCAGAACAGATTTGCATCCACCATTGGGCCGTCTTGACGGTCTCGTCGGATCCGTAGCTGTTCTCGCCCCATTTCATGTCGTGGGTCAGCATGCGCTCGCGTTCAGGGATCTCGGACCGGAAGACGCGTTCAAGGACCTTGAAGACCTTGATTCCTGTCGCGCTCGATCCTGATACCAGCGCTGTGTACTCCCGGCCTATTCGTTGGGAATGACACAAGGTCAGAAGCAGGTGACAGGAATAAAAAATAAAATAAAAAAGGGTGAGTGTCATTTTTCTCATGGATTGAAATTGCAAAGCATTACCATTTCATAATCTTTTTGACAAAAGTTACCGGTGATGTATTCCTCGACGTATACGGGTCCCCAGATCTGTTTGGTCTCCATTGCGCGCTCATAAGCTTCTTTAGGCGTATCGACCACAGACTTTGTCGAGATCCCGCGACTGGAACTCGAATTGGCTGGCTTGACCAACAGAGGGAATTTAAGTTTCGAAAGCTTCTCAAACAAGACCGCCTTCTGGACCATCTCTTCCTCCTCCCGATCCTCCTCCAATTCCTCTTTCGACATTTCCCTCTTCAACTCTCCTTCTTCTTCAGCCATGTTGGCATCCTCTTCTACCTTGGCCTTCAAAGCCTCCATCTCCTCATCCAACCGCGAATAGATATCACAATACCCCGGCGTCGGCGTCTTGGAATCCACCAGGTGCCGCTTAATCAACGCCTTATCACTATCCAGGTAATATAACGTCGAATCGGCTCCTGTAAACGCAATATGTCGACTCTCAAGTTTCTTAATAACCGTAATCCCCGGCCACCCATCCGTCTCCATCCCGTCAATGAAATTCAACACCACGGGTTTGATGAGGACGTTTTTGCCGGCGAGGTCTGGGAACTTGGAGGGGTCCAGTGGTCGTCCGTGGAGGTCGTGATCGCTCTCTTTGGCCTCGATTCGTTTGATGACGCGGTCGATTGCGTCCAGGCCCACGTAATGCCATTCCTGACGGTAGACGTGTGGAATCGTGTCTATCGCCTTCTTGATCCCCTATTTTTTTTTGTTTGGGAAGAAAAGGACAAAACGAGTGTCAATTTGGGGGGGAGAAGTGTTAGTTGTTTGCTTACTCCTTTCTTCCCCCTTTTTTCAAGTGAAACAGAACTCCTTTGGAGAAAAGCCTTTGGTTTTTTTTGGCGTGTGCGTTCGTTCATATACCAGGCGCAGTTCAGGGTTCCATTCGGTGACCATTTTCTCGCCAACATCGTTGGTGGTAATAAAGTACGATTCGCTGTCGTCGATATCATCCTTGTCCTTGTCGATATCCTTCACCAACGCATACGACGCAAACACTAGCGCGACATTACGAAAAGAAAAAAAAAAAGTGGTATGGTATGGTATGGTATGGTATGGTATGGTATAGTTAGTTTTTTTTTTTTTTTTTTTTTTTTAGCGCGTATCCTGGGCCACGACTAGACGGGAAAAACGCCTCCTAGTCTAACGAGCATCTTTTTCTCCACAAAAACAAAATAATGCTTGCAGATGCATGGTAAGTTTACCGTGGACGCTCCACATGGTGGTCGGATTTCCGGTCGTCGTGTGGCTCTCTGCGGACTTTGAAGGGGTCATTTTTTTTTTAATTCTGTGGGAGGACAAAGAAAAAAAAAGAAATGAGCGAGAATGAACAGCAGAAGAAGGAGTGAATGAGAGAGCTGAATGACGAGAGAAAAGTGGGAGCAGTGGTGGAGGAAAGTGCACAAGAGAAAATGTAAGAGAAAAGAGGTAGAAGACAAAGGGAGGAGAAAAGACAAACGAAAAAATGAAGCTTGAAATTTGAGAGGTATTTCTTTCATTGGAGCAGAGGGGATAAAGAAACCGCGCACTGGACCCACTCGTGTGTGAAAAAACATACAAACATTTTATTAGGATCGTTTTGGATGTGCGGCCCTGTGGATTCCCAACAGCCGCTTCATTTTTGTATCACTGTCAATTATGGGCACGCGACCAGAGAGAAAGGGAAAGAAAAGAACAAGGGCAAGAAGAATGTAAGGAGGTGCGAGGGAAGGCGGAGGAATGGAGGACTCAAAACGCAGAAAAAAAAGGCTACGAATATCGCCTTCGAACGGTATGTTGACAGCCCTCTCTTGCAAGCCTTCCTCACAGACTTCCTCCATAGTTCATCTGATTGACATGTAAGATTCCTCAACACGTTGTGTTTATTATGCACTTTGGGACTTTGTTGAATTACGGATTAGATGTGATTAGATACAAAAAGACAGAGTGGTGGCGGTAGCTTGTTCAGTCATACGGGCACTATCTACAAGAACTGAGCAAGGGCAACAACACCGGCACCGACGGCCAAAACGGCCTTGGCATTGACAGCCTGGAGGGCATTTCCGGCGTTGCCAGAACCAGGTCCAGTAGTAGGAGAAGGTCCATTGGTACCGGTAGAAGAGGTGGTAGGAGTCGCGACGGTGGTGCTGATGATGGTGGGGACGCCGATGGTGATGGTTGTGATGATGGGGATGGTGATAGTCGAGGTCTTGGTGGCGGTCACGACTGGAGCAGAGACGGACGAGGATGTAGTTGTTGTCACGGGCTTTTGGGCAGAGACGGTGAGGGCCAGGCAGGCAGCGGAGATGATTGAGGCAGCGGAGAACTTCATTTTTATTGGAGAGGTTTGTTTTTGGGGTGGGTAAGTGAGTGGTCTTGGGTTAGAGAGAGAGAGAGAGAGAGAGCGCGCGTGTGTTGAGGAAAGATGCTTTGAGTATGGAGTAGAAAGAAAGGTAGGAGTTACCATGCCTTTTTATACAACTTGAGAAAGGAACGTTGAACGGACAAGGGTCCCTCATCCTGCACTTGAACAGAAGAACAAGAAAACGATGACCGCGAAGTGACCGACTAGGGCCACCAATCGCCATCCATGGCTCATAACTGCAAAAGGAAGGATATACGCTTCAAGACCATGGATAGCAAGGTTGCGGGCGTCATCCTTTTTACACCCATTCAACGATGCTCTGTTTGACCCAATGACAAGTTTATCCATTAGAGCACTAGAGAAGTTGGCGTCATTGCTTTTCTTGTATGTTGTGACAAATGCGAAAAAAATATCAACGGGAGAACAACAGGCAATCCACAGGTAGATTTGAGAAGTGGAAATGTTGAGGTCATCGTGATGGGACGAACGGAGAGGGACCATGGTTCTTCCTATTGCACATTTCTCAGGCACAAACAAACAAACAAACAAACAAACAAACAAAACCTTTTATCTTATTTTGACGCTAGAAGTAAGAGCGTAAGCCTGCCTAGGCCTAGCATCAAAGCTCGTATGGAGTAAGGTGTCTTTCTTGAAGTCACCCAAAATGACCGCCATGGAGTCTTTTTTGGTTGTCTTTATTATTGCGGATTTCACGATCTGTACGCAACTCCAGGGGATTTTGACCGACCCGGACCACACTACGTCCCTCTACCACAAGACCCAGGAGATGTTGGAGACTATGGACAACGAATCCTACGTCTGCAGCATGGTCAAGGAGATTTTGGATGCCAATGGCGACACTTTGGACCTGGCCACAAAAATTCAAGAAATGCTGGACCAACTTCAAGCCTCCACCAATCTACCCACCAAGATTCGGTGCATACAAGACGACCTTTTGGGTAAGTATTTTGTTATACCATTTATGAATTATGAGTTCCTCATGCCATCGCAAGTTCATGTCCACTAATGTATATTCTTATATTCATACACGTTTAGCCCTGTCAAGGCCATCTTCAAGGAAGTGCCACATTGGACCTTAGGGATTTATTCCCGAAGGATTTCGTTTTTCGCGACGAATACTTTAATCAAGAGGAGCGAGCCATGGTGGAGGTTGGCGCCATAACCCCCGAATGGCAGCAACGCGTCAAGAACGAAATCCAGCAGAAATCGCGGCTGAAAGGGCATGTAGCGTTTTAAAGTCAGGATTACCTCCAATACCTTGGGGCACGGATGCCCGGTTGCCGGGACAAGTCCAACTGGAACAGGGCCTCTCATGCCGACTGGGACCAGGCCCTTCTCGTCATCTATGGAGACGCTAGCCCTGACCCCGGAGCTGAGATTGATGTCGAACTCGATGACCCCGTGGCGCTCAACAAGAATGTGACAAACATCTCCAATACGTTGATGAGAGAATATGCGACCAACATCAATAACATTTGGGATGGCCCTATCTACCAGCAACTACGTCGTTATGTTGTACGATATGTCCTTCGCATAAGCCTGCGCCCTATCAGCGAAAGAAATTATCAGGAAAACAAGCGTCAGCGAGAGATCGACAAGGCGGAACAGAGGAAACTCGAATCGGATTCTGCAAATGAACGGGAATGTGGAACCCTTCGAGTCTGGAAGAGACGGGACTCGGAGTTATTTGATCAACTGGACAGAGCAGTGACCACCGGACGCCCGAACGAACGTGTTAACAAAGTCCTTAAACTCATTGGAATACATATGAGTCGACATCCAAGCAAGAAGGAGGCACCCGCGTCTCATCGAGTCAGCAGTGGCATGGAGTACGAGTACGAGTCCGACTCAGAGTTTGATGAATCGGATTCAGAGGACGGCGATTGCGGCGATGACCAGGAAAATCTGACCGGTGTATCCAATGTTGAAAATAGCGCATTTCCGCCTGGTAGAAGAGTTCGTTTCATCGCTACGGTTTTGAAAATGAAACGATTTATTGATTTTATCACTTTTTTAGGGACGCCCAAGACCAAGGAGCCGACGTCGTGGAAGCTCAAGGGCCTCGAGGCTGTCGCAATCAAGTTACTCGACCGCGTGGAAAGCCTCGACGGTGTGACCGATGCGATGGTTCGGAACGAACTCTATGAACCCGAGCTCTACATGGCCGAGGAGATTGGTGTGGTCGCCAGGGTGGTGACACTGCTAGCACCATTCACACCAAAACGAATAGGACCAACGCCCGACGGTGCAGATCCTCACCATGTCCTCACGACAGGCCCATTCGCATATCTCGCGAACAGTATTTTGCGCGTGGCTGGCTACTCGGACTTCACGAGGAGGATATGTCCCGTTTACGCTGTGGGTCATCGCCACAGTCTACTTATGGACTCAACAGGAATGTATGAAGTATTTTGCGGGCGAGGTCCTGGACGGTTTGACGCCACTGAACCCAATAGTAGAATAATCGCCTCCTCAGTGGCCACCCGGATGTCGCAGAGTCACAGAGATGCCATATTCTCGGCCTTTCTGGACAGAAATGTGATTGATGAGGCCTGTAAGGCTTACGGACTCGTATTTGCTCATTGGTAAGAAATCCCTTTTTTCGGTAAACATTGTCGCGCATGTCCACATAGTCAATTATCAAACCCAACTAACATGTGCTTCTGATGTCTTGGTGAAACAATAGGCTTATCTTTGTGGATCGATATACAGTGCGGATACAGGGGCGCCAGGTCACATCAGGCACGAAATGCCACGTGGTGACAAGTACATATGATGACAAGAGAAAAAAGAAACAACGACCGCCCGGTTCCATTGACTGGGGTCAGGAGTTATCCACATCAGGACACACCCACGTTTCGGCCAAGACAGAGGCAGACCGTTTGAAAGTGGGCCAGGAGGCTTTGCTTGCGAAGCTCAAGCCATTGCGGAAACGTCTCCAGGTGATTGAGTCCGACTGACGAGGTGCGGACACAGTGTTCCGCAAGTCAAAGAGTGCCGACAAAGAGTCCAGGACTGTGCTCCACAAGGAACTGCAAAGTACCCGAGCCGACGTTCAATCTATCCACAAAGAGACGACACCCCTAGAGAGTCGACTCCGGAATGTCAAGAAACATCGAAACTACTACAACAGGCTATCAAAAACAACGACACCGACATCGACAGCGACCTCCGACGAACGAACGCCACAAACAATATCAAGACCCACAGTTGGTCATCCTGGCCTCCAAGATTTCGTCGAGGCAGTCTGTCTTGACGATCTACTTGCTGGATTGAGCGATGTGGATCGACAGCTCGCGCCGTCAGGAACGGATAGAGGACTTATTGTGGTGTTAGAGACAGTCCCGTCATTGTGGTCGACCCTTGGTAGTCTGAACAACCGCTTTCACGCGTTGTCTGGTATGTGCCTTTTCCAGTTCCGACCTGTCTTTGTTCTCTGACTCTAAAGTCATCGCTTTGAGTTCTAATTCCTGTATATTTTTTGGTAAATTTATTTTTGTAATAGGACACCGTGACACACAGGATATATCTGTCGACCCAACACCATAGGGGAGCGAGGAGAGCGAGGACAGCAACATAGATGTTGAAGAGAGCACCATCCCTACGTCAGGACGTCCCTTCGCACCCAACGCACCCCTTCTGCCGCATCAGAGGAAGCAGGCTTTGAAGTCCGTCAAGTTTCCGGCACCTAATCGAATAACGTCCCGCCAAATTTACGAGGTGGAGGAAGGAAGGGAATCTGCGAAGAGAAGAGAGGCTTTGCTGCGTCGCCCAGAGAATGCCGATATACCTCGACTCCACGAAAACATCGGCAAGTCCTCTGTTCTCCGCGCAATCACCCTTGATGAGGTCGATAACGCACATGCTGTTCGAAACGGTGCCGCCGCCCGTCTCCGAGCTTTCGAATCATCCAAAATAACTGGTGAAGAGTGTGCACCACCGGCACCTTCAAACGAAACATGAATGGCAGACTCTTGCTGCCCAGGAATGGAGGCTTATCCAAGATAATGCTCGTCGTAAGTTCATAGCATGGGAAATGCCATGCAGTACACCCGTTCTTCTTTCGCTGGCACCTTCGATGTCTCCCCCATTGGTGGTTCCGCCCTCTATGGTCTCCACATCGACAGCACTACCTGTTATGGCTTTCTCTCCAGCGGCCCCATCTCGATGACACCCTCATCGGCGGCACAGCCATCCGCTGCGTCTCTCACCGTTGACTCAATTGATGGCTATTGTGCAACGTGCGAACAGCATCATTTCCCTCACTGGACACAGACAGGATTGCAATATCCCACAACCTGCCCAAATTAATTCCGATCATGTTTGTCGGGGCGCCACCCACTCCCAACACCAGCCCGATGTTGCCGGAACCCATACATCTCTGACTGCACCAATGACAGGTCCGCAGGACCTTGATGCCAACTGAGTCCTTGTCTAGCAAGGCTTATGTAAGTCAACTGTTGTTATGTTGTTTATGAACCAAGCCTCTTCTGGTTGCCTTCTACTCTCAGGTTAACTAAAATTTGTGTTGTTTTCCTAATTTTGTATGAAATAGTCAATAATGTGTCCAGCCAAGCAACAAACCCCCAATCGGTGACGGAGCGATAATAAATCCCACCTCCACATGAAAACACTCTATTCTTCATTGAGCATGGGCCGCTTTTTTAATTATCCTAGCAACCACGCTCAGCTAATAACAGAGAGCTCATTTATTCCCTAGACATTCTCTCGTGATTGTTGCTCACCTTCGCCTAGCAAGGTCGTCCCTTAATATGAAAACTGTTTCTACAATATGCTGACGACATGGCATTGCCGATGCTTCATGCAATTTGAAATCATCAAGGGTCTAGAAATAGGAGGAGAGCTGATAGACAGGAGTTCTGCCGTGCAGAGCAAACAGACAATCCATAGAAGAAAGTCACCTTTCAGCTTACTGCTTGATATGATCCCAAACTCTTTGTCGATTGGTCCTCTTCGCATTTGTTCGCCTTCTTGCCTGCTTAAAATAACATTGTTCCGATGAAGACACTCATGACAGGGGTATGCGTGCGTGCATATCTTTTGTCCTCTCCATATAGTTCTTTTGAAGAGAACTGTGTAACATGTAGTCGGATGATACTTTTATTTTTATATCCTGTTTGTGTTTTCGTTCTGCTTACAAAACAGCATTGCACAAAAACATAACCTAGACATGGCCCCAAGTTATTCTTCGCTTTGAGGCTTCACATGCTGGTAAGTGTCATGTGACTAATTGAGCATCCAGTCCGGGGTAAAGCATCAGTCACCAGTCGATTCACCTTCACTATCACACCAAGCAGCGATGGACAGGTCAAGAAAAGAGAAGTGCAGTGAAGACAAGAGAAGATGCGGGTTGAGAGCATAAAGAAAAAATCCTTCGTGTGGAGCACCGACCAGTAAGGCTTTTATTCTCATGTCCATGTTCTCCACTCTCTTCCCCAACGAGTGGTTGGATGGATAGGGTGTGCAATAAGAGACCGAATGACATGAGAAAAAGAAGACGCGAGAGCAGTTTGTCTTCTTTGACGGGAGGAAATAACATGGGTGGTTGGACCAGCCCACATCCTTTTCCTTGTGAATTTTATCCGCTTGTGGGGCAAAGTCCATTGGAGAACACCAAAAAAGAAGTGAGAGCACAAAAACGGTAGGTATTGTTCCCTGTCTTCCTTCCCCCTTCTTTTTTTAACTTGTTTGTCGGTCTGTCCGTCCCTGCCTTGTCTCTCTGTTCGCTGTTGTGTGATCTTCCATCCGGCCTTTCACATTCTTCGTCGTTCTCCGTTGACTTTTCTGCGCAATAATAACCGTATAAATTAGCAATTGAAAGAAAAGAGGCCATTAGGCCGCATGTCAGACATGTCAGCAGCAGCACCTTTATTAATGGCACTTCGACTGCAACCCCATAGATTGATGACATTTCGCTTGGCTTTTTATTATTATTATTATTGTTGTTGTTGTTGTTGTTGTTGTTGTTGTTGTTGTTGTTGTTATTGTTATTGTTATTGTTGTTGTTGTCGTTTTTGTTGAGGACAATGATGCTTGCTGTCACTTTTCTTTCTTTGTTTTGACCACCCCTAGTAGTTGCTGTTTGCGGGTGATCCGTTTCCCTTTTCCTCGTGCTCCGACTCTCTCTATCGCTTGTTCAAACCAAGTTGACAACGACCCAACGTCCAAACGTGCAGCAACATCCCACCCAGCAGGCAAGCAAAGTTGACCCTAAAAGCTAGCGCTATCTTTTCCTGATCCTTTGCGTCCTTGGTGCGGCAGAAGGGAAAAAAAGAAGGTTTTGAGATCCCGCGCGTGGTATCTGTCGTTTCTTCTTTTTCTTGTGCGTTGTTTTTTTTCCCTCTTCTTTATGTCAACGGTACTTCCAGAAGTAAACGATAGCCATGAGAGGACGCATGGGAGAGGAGGGAGAGACAGGGTAAAAGAAAAAGAAGTGTTTTGATCCGGTCCACAGCCAAGCAAGACAGGGAGAGACGGACAGACATCCGCTGTCGTAGCACGAGCAGAGAGGTCAAAAAAAAGAAGAGAAGGCGACATCTGAAAGAGACGGAAAGACAACAAACACAAGAAACACAAGAAACAACAAACATGCGAGAGGACCGACTGGAGCATGGGATGGGGTATGGGATGGATGGGAGGGAGATCGAAAAAAAAGAGTTTGTTGCATGTCCCTTTGGAGAACAGGCACAACCATGCCATGGGTCGGGATGAATATTGTGTGTGTATTCACTTATCTCTTCTTCGCCTTTTTTCTCTTTTTCTTCCTTCGTCTTCGTCTTCATTCTTTCGTCTTCGTTCTCTTCTTTCTCGTTCTTCATCCCCTCCTCTTCCTCCTTTCTTTAATCTTTATTCTTCGTCCTTCTCATTAACTTCGCTCCACTCCTTCTACATTCTCCATCACGATCCCCCAAACCGTTCTCGCTCCCATTGACCCTTGTCTCTCCTTCTACTTCAACCATAATGCCATCTGATCGCCCCTCCATCGAGCCCATCTCAACCACCAACTCCTCTCCTGCAGCACAACACCCTCGTCCTGTAAGTCGTACATATCATATCTCCTCCTGCCATCCACCTCCGACCATCCATACTGTCCATATCAATCATACCATCACACCATCGACAACGGTCAAGCGCACTTTAAAAAGATTCCGTTCCTGAAGTGACCCCTCGCACAAACATTGTCCTTTCTATGTCTCTTCCCCCTTGAAAAACAATAACACCCCCCGTACTCCTACATACCTTCTCTCCTTCCCTTCCACACAACAACATGCACTGTCATCCAACGGAGAGCAAGGCTCCCACAAAACGTACACAATCAACGAACAATGCGCATTGAACGACGATTGAAGGGTGCACTGGCTTCACCTTCAACCCTAGCAAGCTAGGGCTCCGAAACGAAGACGACGTTGGTCTTTCGTTGTAGACCCTTTCGTTCTTTCGTCTCACTCCGCGCTTGAGAGCAAACAACAGCGAGCCTTATCTGATCGCATTTTTTCTTCCCTCTTGACTGAAAAATACATAGGAGATCGCCACAAAGTCGCTCCCATCAAGAGTCGTTCCAGGGCTCCCTTCACCACCCCTCTCGCCTCTTCAGTTCCATGGCCATGGCAGCCACGGCAGCGGGAAGCGGTTGAGTATGCTCTCGTTCCCATCTCAGCCTTTAACGCCCTTGCCTGAGGATTCGACGCCTACAGTAACCCCAATCGACAAAGAGGCTAGCCAGCGTTTTGAAGGTGGTTATCTCTCTGGAGATGGAGAGGAGGTTGATCCTTCGGTCCCCATGTTACCAAGCCAGCTTCGCAGACGACACGAGAGCATGAGGCGCCAAAGGTCTGCATCGATGCAACTACATTCTTCTTCCCGCTCGGGTGAATCCACAGCCGTCAACTACAGCCGCCACTCCATGGCCTCTATTGATTCCCCCATCGACACCCACTCTCACAAAAACAAATCCTCTCACGCAAAGAGCACCATGGAATTGACTCCGACTTCTAGTCTGCGAATTCTGGCCAGTCAGGGTCACTCTTCTGAAATTGTACCAATGTCTCATTCTAATAACGGCATTGTCAGTACATCGGCGACAAGTGGCTCCGAGATGCCCACTCGAGACTGGGTCAAAATGCAGTGCAAGATCCAAGCCCTGGAGACGGAAGTGTCACATGTTTCCAGGACCAACTCTCTTTTGAACCAGGAACTCGACAAAGTGACAGCCCACCTTTCTAGACTGTTGAACAGTGACACGGACGACGACCAGCAGCAGGTGGGACAGAGCGGCGCCGTTGGAGCCGGACCGATGGAGAGCTGGAGACGAGAGTATGAGTTCTTGGTCCAGCAAGTCGACTTGATGCACCGCCAGCTTCAATTGGCTCAATCGGAGCAGCATGCTCGTGCACGCTTTGGTATGGAGGTTGTTTCGGCCCGCCCGGAGGATCGTTCAGAGGTAACCCAACAGCTTTACTCTGAAGTCAAGGATCTTACTGTTTCTTTGAAGATGTGGCAGACGGCGTTCCAGCAGGCCGATGAAAAGTATCGCCGCAAGTGCGGTAAGTTTATCCTTGTTTTCTTTACCTCAGCTACTGTTGGCTCTTCTCTGGCTTCATTACATTATATCTCGTCTGTAACAAGAAAACTAATTCGTTCTATTCTTATTGTATGTTGATGATAGATGGCGAGCGTGTTCTGAAGGATACGTTGAGGGACCGGGAGACGCAGTTGACGACGTTGGTTGACAAACTGTCCGGCTGCGAAGGCGAGTTCCGAAAGTCTATTTCCAACTATGACGAGATGATGCGACTTTCTGCCAAGATTGAGGCCCTTGAGAGTCAACAGGCTAGCCAGTCCACCACCCCCAAATCGTCACTGCTCGCACTCGAATCGCCTCAAGATACCCTTTCTTCCACCACAGCAGCGTCATTAGCAACGGCAACTGTTGATGATAGTGAGATGCCTGGTTCGTTCCCTGAGATGAACAAAAGCCAGACCCGTCGACGATCTAATACCCTGCCATCCAACATGGCATCCCCCGCAGCTGTCGAGCAGGTCTCTGTCTCCATCCTCTCCTGGGCTACCCTCCTTGCTACTTATATGCTCTCTTAAGCTCTTCCTTTCCTCCTGTACTATATCTTTGATTGTAAAATAAAAAAAAATCGCGCCACCAAAAAAAAAGATGAGTGACGGTGTCAGAGACCCAATTCTGAACAAAAGTGTTCTTGATCTTACACTTGTGTTCATTCATTCCTTTAAAACGCACACTTTCTTTGCCCATACTCACAACTATCCTTACCCAACCACAGCTATGCCTCCAAAGTCAAAGACAAAGTCAAAGCCGAAAGCAAAATCAGGAGGACCACCACCAGCAGCAACAACAACAACAACAACAACAACAACAACAACATCAACAACAGCACCTTCAGATTCAACAACCACAGAATCGTCACACGGATCCTCAACAAACACGCCTGCCACTAAAACAAAGGCCGAGACCACCAGCAACAGTAGTAGTTCCACAGTCCCCTCAACGGCTACACCATTACCTCCGATCGACTATGTCGGGTACGAATCAGAGCATCAACTCCAGGGGATGATGTCGCTGATCGAGAACGATCTCTCGGAACCTTACTCCATCTACACCTACCGCTACTTCCTCCACCAGTGGCCCAAACTCTCTTTCCTCGTGAGTTTCCTCTTCTTTCCTCCACCACCTCCTCTTTCTTCTGTTCCTTCCTTTTCACCTCCCCCGTATCTACATACGACCGGTTTAAAGAAAAACCATCGTCTAAACTAACAACCCAATGCTTTTCTCAACCCCACCCCCACTCTTCTTCTAGGCGATGGATAGGGAGAAGGGGACGTGTATTGGGGTGATTGTCTGTCGATTGGAACCACACGGTCACTCGGCACGGAACCGTGGGTATATTGCCATGTTGGCCGTCTCGAAGGAATATCGGAAACGCAAGATTGGCTCGACCCTTGTCCTCATGGCTATCGAAGCCATGAAAAGTGCTGGCGCCGACGAGGTAAAAAAAACACGCGCATCGATCATACAATAGGCGAAGGGGTGGGGGAGGCAAAGAAGGACATCTGTTACTTCTCTCATTCTCTTTTGCGTGTAAGTACCTAATTAACCAATCAAGCAACGTATTCTAACCAACCCATGGCCATTTTCTCTCCAAAAACATGAAATGTAGATTGTGCTGGAAACCGAGTATACGAACCAGAGCGCGATTGCGCTGTATCAGCAGATGGGATTCATCAAGGACAAGAGACTCTATCGCTACTACCTCAATGGTGTCGATGCCTTCAGGCTGAAACTCCTCTGCAAACCCGAGCTACTCGCCTTAGACCTGGCTCCAGTAAACGCATAGTGTCCTTGCAATCATGCGAAGCAATAAAAAACAACGCTCAAAATATCTCCTTCTCGGTGTGGATCTGACGTGCGCAGAACAGTCGCTCCCTGACTACATGGCAATTTCGTCCGCAATTGATCTTACGCATAAGGAGCTTTTTTATTTGGAGGGAAGAAAAGGAAGCGGGCGCCCATCGTATTTAACATACTTGAACACCACTCAAACTACACCCTGTCTTGAGTTAACTCTTTTTTTTTTTTTTTTTTTTTTTTTTTGGATTTTTGTTTTGTTTTGTTTTGTTCTCAATCATAGGCCGATACGACATGCAAAAAATCACACGCTGCACAACAGACACCACAGACAAAGAGGCTCTTTCAAAGGGTCTGAACTAAGAGTCCCAAGCCACCACACGGAGCCTCCTTAGAAGCCCTGGTCAAATCCGAAGCGGTTGCGACGAGGTGGCATGTCCGTGCGGTCCGTGTGAGGCTCAGAGCAATCGCGCGAGATATGGTCGGTGGAACCACAGCGAAAACAAGCACGCTGCTCGCGCTCCTGGCCGCAGTCACGAGCCATGTGCCCCATCTCGCTACAACGGTTGCACTGGATATCTGTTCTGGGCTGGTCACAGTCGCGACTCTCGTGGTCCTCGGCTCCGCACCGGTTGCAGGTCCTGGGGACAGGGCAGTCGCGCGAAAAATGGCCGACCTCGTTGCAGCGGTTACAGGTCATGTCAGTCCTGGGTTCGGGGCAATCACGCACCATGTGTCCGACCTGATTGCACCGGTGGCAAGTTACGTCCGTTCTGGGCTGGTCGCAGTCGCGGACCATGTGACCATCTTGGTTGCAGCGGATGCAAGTCATATCAGTTCTCGGCTGGTCGCATTCGCGCGACTGGTGGCCTTCCTGGCGGCAGCGGTTGCAGACCATTGGTGCGGGAGGCTCAGGGCATGCGCGAGCCTGATGACCCTCGTTGCCACAGTTTCTGCAAATCATCACCTTGCGAGGCTCAGGACAATCGCGGCTCCGATGCTCCTCAGCTCTATCGATACAATATTAGAAAATGTGTAAATACGCGTCAACAACTGCCAGGAGTTAAACAGTGACACCACCGATAGGAACGGAAGATCGCGAGCAGGAGAACTTACCCACAGTTATAACATTTGCCAAAGTTTTCGGACCGCTCAACGTCACGCTTCTCCTCGGGGCAGGCAGAATAGACATGGCCCTCCTGACGGCAATTGAAGCATCTGGGAACTCCACTGGGACGAACGACACCTGCGTTCTCGAGACGCTCAAAGTTCTCGTCGTAGTTGGAGGCGACACCGATGGCCATACGACCCTTCTTCGCGGTACCGGGCTTGATCAATGAGGAAATGACGCGGTACTTTTGGTTGGGCTCTGCGCGTAAGTTGACAAGTGTGTATCCGAACGAGACTTGGTCATCCTAATGGTAAGAGTTTGTTTGAAGGGAGTGATATCATGAATGAGAGACGTATCAAATGGGTTTCATCTGCTACAATGAGTTACAATGAGTGAAAGATCACATGGGCTGATGGCAAGAGTGCGCGTTGGCTCTTACTACGGCGACGAGGTATGTGTTGCAGTTTTCCTTGCGAAGCAAGTTCTCCAGCTCTTGCCAGGTCCTTCCCTGGTAGGCACTGCAGAGCTGGGCCAGTGCAGTCTTGATGTCATCCAAATCCCGCGAATCGTCCGCCTCGGCGAAACTAGGCCACGCCTCCTCAACGGTTATAGTCGGTTCGGGGACTATTGTTGTGTCCACATTGACCAAGAGGCAAAAACGATAGAGTATGTTAGATTATCAGCTGCAAATATGTGCGTCTTGTCCATTTAGCTCGCATAACCAAAAACAACATGCTCCTTTACCTTCATGTGGATCTTGATGGAAAGAGGGTCTGTTGTGGCGATCTAATGGAGTTTCCCAATGAAAAAAGGCGTTGACGAAAAATCCAGAGTTAAATAAAAAGGCTCCTTTTTTTCTCGCTAGTTTACCGCCACCAAAAAAAGGTGCCTTTTGTTTTTGTCGCGAAAGGTGAATGTCACTCACCAGGTTGATCGTCTTGGAGCGATGTCGACTCCATCTGTTTGCTCATTTCATTCCATTTGTTGGCCTGAGAGGAGCCAGTGTCTGCTTCCCAACCACTGCCTCCTGATGCACCAGCAGAAGAGTTCCAGCCTCCTCCTTCGTTCGAGGCAGGAGCACCAGAGCTTGACTTGTTGGGACCGGACGAAGTCCAGCCTCCACTGCCGCCAGAAGCATGAGCGTTGTTGTCGTTGTTTGTCGAAGAAGAACCCCAGCTGTTGGAAGCTTGGTTGGAGGTGCTTTGGTTCGCAGGGGTATGGTCCCATCCTCTTCCGCCACTACTGTCTCCAGGCGCCGAGTCTTGTTGATTGCCGTCCCAGGGTGTAGTTGAGCCCCACTGCTGGGTGGCGGGTTGGTTGGTTGCAGGTGAATTCCAGCTCATACTGGTTTAGTGGGAAAGGGCGATGTATGGTGTTTGGAGAGAAGGGTACGAGGTGGTTGAGAAGGAAGGGAGGTGAGGATGAGGCGTGGAGAAGAAAGAAGAAGAAAGGTACGACACCTACGCGCGAATGACTGGGCTAATTAACACGATTGCAGACCATGCGATTCGATTTCCTTCCCTTTTAATCACCAAAAGGTGGTAGACAGGCTTTGATCAGTAGTCAAAAGAAAAGGTCAAAAAAAGGCGCGTCCATGGCGAGTTCACACTGCTCTCGAGGGAGAAATGCTAGGCGGCAGAGTGTGCTGTTGTTCACGCCATCGTTTTGTTTGTTTTCTGCGCAGAAGTGCTGGTACTAAGGAGATATATGCAAAGTAGACAGAGAGATAGGAAGAAGAGCCAAGACTTCTGTTGTCAGTAAGTACGAATAAGATCGAAGGGGAACTTTATTCGACAAGACGTTTTTTTATTTTTGTGTCTGCTGGACAAAGAACGACATTGCATGACGCCCTGTTTTGGGGTTCAGCCAAGGCGGAAGAGAGCGCAGTTTTCTTGGACTCCTATTCGCTGATGTTGTTCTTGACACACTTCATCACTATGAACCAGCTGGTTCTCTCTTTTCTGACTTATGTGACCGACCACTCTTCTTTCTCTTTCACTTCCACTTCTTGTCTTCCTTTGTCCTCTCCTTCACTCCCACTCCCACTCCCACTCCACTCCTTCCCCTTCATTCGCCCTTTCCTTCACCCCATCCCTTTTTGCTCATCAACCCACTCACTCTCCTTCTCTCTCAACCACCACTCTTCAACCCTTGTTCACTTCCTGCACACACACACCCAGCATACACATACTCGCTATTATGAGGCCACTTCTTTGGTCCTCCCTGCTGGTCCTTGGGCTCTCGAGCACCCTGCAGGTCTTAGGTAATCATCCTCCATCCTCACTCCCTTGAATCCTCGCAGCGCCTTCCTTCTATCTCTACCTTCTTCTCTCACCCCCTCTCGTCCCAAACCCCTATCATTATCTCTTCCCATTTCTTCACTGCCATCGCTCACTCCCTCCATCAGGAGCGACCTTATGACACCCCTCCCTCTCATTCACCCCATGGCCAGTGTGACCTGATCCCTTTTTTTTTTTGACTCTCTCACTGCTGACTCCTGTTTGCTCACTCTTCCTTGTTTGTATCCTTCCTCTCCTCTCCCCCTTTCCTTTTCCACCTGTCTGTGCGACAATGTGTTCGCCCATGCACTTCATTTCCTTTCCTGGCCTCTTGATATCAATGCAGCCGCGGGCATCTCCCCGATAACAGACATCAAGATCACCGTCTGCCCAGAGGACAATTGCTCCGTTCCCGGCTACAGAAAGGTTGCCCAGGATCTCAACAAATACTCCAGAGGCAACTTCGTGCACCTCCACTTTACCAACCTTCCCACACCTCAAGGCAGCAGCAATGTTCGACTGAACCCGATCACAAACATTGCTGTCTTGCAAGGTCCGGATGCAGAGATGGGTCCAGACTGGGAGAGAATCGAGGGCAACCTGAACGATGGCAACCGTGGCCCCGTCCTGACCATGTTTGTCCAGCGTGACCCTGACGATTCTCCAATTGACAGCGTTGTTGTCAAGTATGGTTATGACAGCCATGCCGCCATCGGTTACGACCGTCTTCCTTTGGATCTGAATGTTGGCACAGGTTTGTGAACAACTCCTTTTTTTCTGCGTCGTTTGTTATATGTTGAATGAACAGTTGCACAATTGCAGGATATCGTCGTCATCGAGGGGAAACTTTTACGCCATCCATGTGGATAACTTTTGCATGTTTATCTCTCCTTTTGCTTATCGTTTTGTGTTATTTTTTTTTCTCCTCCCGCAGGCGGTCAGTGGGTACACTTGTACTATCGAAAGGAGGGCTACCGTCCCCCAATCACACACATCGCCACCAAAGCATGTACCTTGCTTCGATGCTCGATGGACGATTCTTGGACACGCGTCAACCGCCCCATCGTGACTGGCGCGTTCAAACGATACCTTTATCTCTTTTACAAGTCTGAACCAGGAGAGCGCCCTATCGCGAGTCTCAACCTCAGTCTTAGAAGTCAACAGCCCGATGATGAAGATGATGGTGCGCCGGGAGAGTCGATTGATACAGGAATTCGATTCAAGGACAGCAACGTCTATGTCAACTACCGACGAGGTCGACTTGGCAACCGCAAGGATGTTCTGGACAACCTTGCGGTTGAACTTGGAAACAACCCAGTTCCCTACGGCTGGAATCTGGCTTCATTTGACCATGACCCAGAGGAAGATGTCCCAGATTGGAATGCTCAGATCGTCTACAGAACCGGTGAAAAGGCCCTTCCCAAGGTCCCCACCCTCAAGTTCAAGGACGACGGTTCTTTCAAGATTGTGCAGTTTGCCGATATCCATATGGCGACTGGCCCTCACTCATGTTACAACGCCCCAAGCTCGGTATGTGTTGAACACAGAATGAAAATGATGCAAAGTGGTGCAATAATTGCACGATTCACTTACACCATTATGTTTCCTTGCGTGATTTAGATGACTTGCACTGGAGATATCAACACTTCGGAGATGATGGAGCGTGTGCTGGAGGCAGAGAGACCTGATTTGGTTGTCTTTACAGGCGACAACGTCAACGGAATGACCTCTAACGACGCCTACTCTGTAAGTCATGGGTTTCATGTTCGTAACGTTATGAAAAACGGGCTTCTGCTGATCACTCGTTACTAACGTTCTTCTGTTGCTATTGTGAAACTTACATAGACGATCCTCAAATATTCCAAACCAGTCGTTGAGCGCGGAATCCCATGGACCATTATCTTTGGAAACCACGATGAAGAAGGCGATCTTTCTCGTGAGGAGATGATGCGGTCAGTGCAGGATGTTCCCTTTTCGATGGCAGAGCGCGGACCTGCCGGAATTTCGGGCACAGGCAACTTTGTCCTCCAGATCCACAGACGCGATCGTCGTCAGCCTCCACCTCGTCATCGCCATCGTCACCCCAGCTTTGATGCGCAGAGCGAGGACCATGAGCATGAATGTGATCATGAGGAGGAGCTGGATGAGGGCATTGAGGCCTTCAACAAGGAGAGGGATGGTCGTTTTACTCTCTACTTCCTAGACTCAGGTGCATACAGCTTCAACCTCGCATACCCTGGCTATGACTGGATAAAGGAGGATCAGGTCGAGTGGTTCCGACAGACATCTCAGGCTATTACTTCGCGCTATCCCAAGGACAAGGTCCCCAACGCGTTGGCATTCTTCCACATCCCAATTCCCGAGTACGCTCTCGTCGATGGTGATAATGACGACAACGACAATGGCGACGATGATGGTGAAGACGGTTTGAAAAAGAAGGAGAATGGTAAGATGGTGGGTGACAAGGTGGAGGGTGTTAGTAGTCCCTCGTACAACTCTGGCATGTTTGATGCTATCTTTGAGAGCAAGGATGTCAGAGCGACCACTGCCGGACATGACCATCTCAACGACTATGTAAGTCTAGTATCCTTTTGGTGTTTTTTGTCCACGCATACATGCATGTCAACTGGGTTATGTTTCTAAACCTGAATATGGTATATCGCCCTACAAATAGTGCTTGGACCATCGCGGAATCGAACTTTGCTTTGGCGGAGGCCTGGGTTACGGCTCGTATGGTCGGGGTTCGATCTACAGACGCTCGCGCGTGTTTGAGATCCTCAAGAATGGTGATAGAGTCGATACCTGGAAGCGTCTGGATGATGACGATTTGACGATTATCGGACAGCAGACCCTCTTTGAAGGACCCAAGGTCCACGACAGTTCGTCTCCTTCTGAGCGCCATGGCCGTCCCAACAACCAAAAGGGACAACGTCAACGACAGATTGATGATCTTTTGGAACGTCTTCGACAGGGTACCCAGTTTGTCATGGGAGACGTTGGAGGTGGAGGCGTCATGTAAATACTGAAATATGATGAAATACAAAAGAAATCGTGGTGTCTTTTTACTTGATTTTTTTTCTATGCAATAGTGGTATGAAAGGGTATGTGGTATGAATGGATGTATGAATAAATAAATGATGAGTGGAGAGTGTCTACCAAAAGCGTCCTGGCCGCTCGCTCAAGGCCTGGTCAATCAGATGCCGTTGGTTCTTGCGGAGTGATTTCGATCCGCGCAAAGTTCCACTAGGTGACGCGGACTGCTGCATGCTCATCCGGTGTTGTTGTTGTTGTTGTTGTTGTTGTTGTTGTTGTTGTTGCTGCTGCTGTTGCTGTTGCTGTTGTTGATGGTACTGATGTTGGAACTGGTAGGGGTAAGGAAGTCCTTGACTACCAGCACTGCTGGCACTGTTGGTGCTGGCCAACGAGACAGACGACGCCATGGGAGTTCCACCCTGGTCAACGGCAAACGGATCCATGGTGGCTCCATACATGACCTTCAACTTTGTAGCAACCTCCTTCCGGTTCTCGATACGACGATTACCAGTCCACTGCTCCAATAGACTGAGCATAGGCTTGACCATATCCTTGCTGATCCGGTCCGCCTCTCCATACGCGACACCCGCCCAGCTGTACTTGCCCAGATCGCTAATGTTCTCCAGATACTCCTTGGACGCAGAGCTGTACGGGAGATGATAGTCGTTCGAACCTCGACCACCATCACCGCCCAATACTGCCGCAGCCGAGGCACTGGCAGACCGTCCATGACCTCCTCCCATTCGACCAGCCGAACCCGACTGATGCAATAGTTTGACAACCCGGATAGCGCGCTGAACTCCGGCCTCAGAACTAATGTCCAGATCATGGTTAAGCAGCCACTCGACGTTCTTGATCCTCAAATGCGCCGCCGCCGCCACCAATGCCGTCTCACCACCAAACGACATGGCTGGGTCCAATCCCGCTTCACAAAGACAGTCCAAGATCCAGTAATCCTCCTGCATTGCTGCCACAACATGGATCAACGGACGTCCTTGAGCAATCATCCGGTCAACTCTTCGTCCTCCCCGCTCCTGGTATACATTCTGGTTCTGGTTCGACAGCTTCTGGCGCGAGAATCGGCGGTTGCCCTGCTGCAGCTGCAGCTGTTGTTGTTGTTGTTGTTGTTGTTGTTGTTGTTGTTGTTGTTGCTGTAGTAATTGTTGCTGCTGCTGCGCATGCGACATCGCTGGGTTATTATCATCCTGATAAGCAATCTGCCGGGACTCATTCACAACATTGAGCGCATAGAGTTGCGCGCTGTTGAGGGGAGTGATCGGGTTGCGGATATAAGCTGGGATGCGTGCTCCACGCATGACAAAGAACTTGAGCGCCTCGTAGCAGTGCTGGGTATTGGAGGAGACAAGGATTGTCACGGGTGTATAGCCCTGCAAGTTTTCCAGATTGATATCTGCGCCCAGTTCGACAAGCACCCTTATCGTCGCTATGGGCGACTCTAGAAAGAGACAAGCCAGGTGAAGTGCCGTGTCGCCGGTCTGCGGGCTGGATTCGTTAATGGGGTTGTGATCCGGCCCGCTCCGTGAGAGATAGTACTGGAATCCTGCCAGGTCTCCGACAAGTGGACAGAGATAAATAGGTGTACTGGGTGGGTTTGATGGTGAGTAGGGCCGCACTGGTTGTCCTCGATTCCTGAATGCTTCCCTTGAATCTAGAAACCAAAAATAAATGCAAGTGGTACTTTTTGATTATTATTCTACTCCACCTGGTTTCTGTGTCCAAAAAACAACAACAGCATGGTTACACACAAAATCAATAACAACGACTACAAACATTCAAAGAACTTACGCTCAATAAAGTTCACGGTGTCCTTCATCATGGGATCCTGGATATCAAAGACCATCTTGTTGAGTGTACTCGAAGCCCTCTCCAGACTCGCCATGCGTGCATCCAGCTCTGGAGGGACAGGCAAAGCGGCAGAGTTGCTGTCGCTAGGGACAACAAAGCCTCGTGGGTGATGTGGCAGAGGTACAGCCGGCTTAGCGATCAGGGTCTGCAAGACTCCAATAACGACATCAATTTGGAGTCGCAGTGTCGGCTCCTTGTCCCAGCACTTGACAATCAACTCCTGGAACTCCCACGGTGTGCCCTCAACCAGCTGTTCGCGGTGTCCATCTCTCAATTCCTGAAGAAGCCGTGGGTCCCGTAACCGCTTCACAAACGGAATTTTTCCCGAAGAGATGTGCCAAAAGATGACGCCCAAACTGTAAATATCGCAGGAGGCTGTGTACACAGGTCTCCTGAGGGGAAACCTCTCTGGTGCCAGGAAAGGTGCCACACCGACGGTTGCTCCGAGGTCACTTGTTTGTCCCTTGTCCGACTCCCGACTCAACCCAAAGTCACATATCATGGCAGTCTTTTTGTCGTCGAGAAGGATATTGCCACTGTGGAGGTCGCGGTGGTGGAAACCTGACTTGTGCAAGAACTCGAGTCCCTTGGTGATCTCGATCGAGATGCGGTAGCGTTCTGACCAGGTCAGGCTATCGTGGTTATTTTCCAGAAAAGTGACTAGGTTGCCGAGTGTGCAATGCTTCATGACAATACACCGGACATTGTCGACTGGATCGATGGTAACTCCGTAAAAGGGGACAATAAAGTCATAGTCGTGAACCCGCTTCAGGATTTCCAACTATATAGAAATGCATGATGCAATTAGAGAAGAAGGTCAGAGGGACGGCAATTATTTTGTGGTGGTCGTTTCTCCTTGTCCCTTTTCTATTAATAATCGCACCGTCAGTCCATGCTCTCTTCCCAACGAGTATAAACCTATGGATAGACGTGTATGTCTGCTTGTAGTTGTTGATGATATTGCAATTGTGTGCGTGCGGAGGCGAAATAGTAATTGATGGAAGGAGCGAGAGGAGAGGGGTTGCATGCTGGCGAGAAAGAACAGCAAAGAAGACGAGAGGAGGCAGAAAGGAGCAAGAAGATTATGAACATGACAGCTTACCTCGTGTTCGAATTCCTCCGCTCCTTTAGCATTGCCAGGCAGAGAACGCTTGAGGACAACAGAGAGGCGAGACCATTCGGCGGTGTGGATCTCGCCGTATCCGCCTCGCTTCAGCCGTTGGATGTTGGAAATGTCAGCAAAGTCGATCTGGCGGTAGCTGTTGACAACGGTTCGCTCCAGAATACGGGTACGTTCTCGTTTGAGGACCTCTGGTGTCTCCGTCTCGACCTCTGGCGGACGATGGTCAACGTGTTCGCTTTGTCTGCCAGCAAGAGCACGACCTTCCTCCCCTTCGACGTCATCCTCGCCATCGTCGTCCAGTACCTCGAGACATTCAACCGGCGAATGAACTTCGTCGTCGTCGTCATCCGTCTGAGAACCTGACGAGGACAATGCAGGCGTTTCGTCATGAAGTATTTGCGACGACTGGATGTACTCGCTGTGTGAAACGGAGGTGTGGACACTGTGTCCTCCGACAACATGACCAGACCCGCTCGTGCCATAACGGCTTGAATGACTGGAAGGGGTGGAGCGACGAGAGGTAGGCTCGTGCCTTACTGATTGATCCGAGAAGTGGTGTGGTAGCCATGGTTGCTGTTGTTGTTGCTGAAAGTAGAGTTGTGAAGAGGGGCGAAAGGTGCGTGGGCGAGGCATGGTGGCTGGATATTGGCGAGAGAGGAGACCGGCGTTAGGAGAGTAGGATCCAACGCCAACTCCTGCGCCTGTTTCCGTGCCATTGTCGCCTTTGGGTGTTGTGATGTTGTTCCCTTCTTCCTCTTCTTCCTCCTCTTCCTCTTCCTCTTCGATAACTCTATTGAGGTCGGGATGAGAAGAGTCGCGAGCATGACTGTTACGAGGTGGGGCTGGTGATTCTGTTGTTAGGGACTGAGTCAGTTGGTTTGTGCTGATGTACTCGACTTCGATCTCGAGAGTAGAGAATTGGCGGGAGAGGCGGTTCCTTGCGGAGGAGGAGTGTATTGAGGGTCTTCTGTTGAGTGTGTTCTGCTGTTCATTCGACATTAGAGCTTTCTATTTTTGGTTGTATGAGAGGTCGTGATGGTTTCGTATGAAGTTCAGAGAAGTGAAGTGGAGTGGAGAGGAGCTGAGGTCGCCAGGTCAGAGGAGGACGGAGAGGTGAGAGTGGGAGACAGGGGAGGGGATATGACGACAAAGCAAAGAGAGAATAGAGGAAGAGAAGAAAGGGCAAGGGAGAGAAGAAAGGAAACAAAGGGAGAGAAAGGGAGAGCGAGAGGAGAGCGAGAGAAGGGAGAAAGGAGAAAGAGAAAAAATTCAAATGCTCGGTCACCCACCACTCACCCTCTTTTTTTTTTGTTGTGGTTGTTGTTGTTGTCCACAAGTTGCCTCTTTCTTGTTCACAACAGCCATGACAGGGCAACCATAACAGGAGATAAAACAAACAAGCGAGCCCAATCATAACTCGGAACAACAAAGCAGCTTTGTTGTTGCCGGTACATCTCTGTTATCATTTCCTGTGCATTATTCCTTCTGGAATTGTCGGTATCTCGTGGACATGGACATGGCTCATGGGGACAATTGTTATTATTTTTTGTTCTGAACGTTATGGTTATGATTATGTGGATATATGTTTGTCTACCCCTTTAAGAGAGGCTCTTGTGTCGCTTTTACTCCCTATACCCATAAAGCATGTCCCCTACTTAGCTGTTTGGGCTGAGGATGAACCTGACTTTCGCCGCATGCTCTCCTTTCTTTCTTTGTCGATGCATTTTATTTGACACGACCGATCACTGTTGTTTTTTTCAATGTCTTGGACTAGACTGGACCGGACTGGTCCTAAACTAAGGTGGGGGAGGGCGAGGAGGGAGTAGGAAAAGTAGGAAATGGACAAGAATGCGGCCAGTGGACCGATGTGCATCCGCTTCGTGAGCGTAAAACCGGTACTGCCTGTCCGGCGAGCATGTACTTTGCCGTCTTGTTTTGCCATCCAAGAGTCCAATTTGGTGGCAAATGGTTGTTTTTCTTTTCCGTTGCGTTTCTTTTCTTTTCTTTTCTTTTCTTTTTCGGCATATCGCATGTTTGCTGATTTGGAGGGATGGGCAGAAGAGAGGGAAAGAAGAAAGGAAAGGAAGAGGAGAGAGAATAGGCACCACAGCCGGCCCAATGGACCTGCCTCCCCATGGGGGAAAGGGCAAGAGAGAACTGTGCAATTGCAATGAGGACAATGCATATGCGAGCAAGCGCTAAAGCAAGAAAGCTTATCTCTATCCTCAGAGAAGAGATCGCCGATCACAGACTGACATCTCACCCAAAAAAGAAAATATGCAAGAAAAAGGGGCTATTGCTCTCTCTACCCTCCTCCTCTCCTTCAAAATGCTCCTATTATTTTCTTCCTTTTAGTCATTATTTGCTGTAGTCGTAGTCGACCTTTCTTGACTCAAACCCCTTTCTGTTCGTGGATTACTTTCGAGTCAGTCAGGGTCACTGGCACTGTCCCTTGCTCACTCTCTTTGAACGCAGAAACACAACAACACACAACCACCACCACCACCACCACAACAACAACAACAACGACAACGACACCAGCTAGGAAGTGTGTGCGTTATTGTCCCTTCAACGCCACTCTATCTCTCGCAAGAGTGTCTCTTTCTCCCTTCTCCCTTCTTTCTCCATCATCCTCTTCCTTCTCTCTTTCTTATTCGCAGTTTCACCTCCGACAGTATTCCTCGCTGTTCACAACCACTCTTTTTTTTTCTCTTACTCTCCTTCCTCGCTTGCTTCTCTCCCCCTTTTTCTTCCCTTTCTTCCCTCTCTTCCCTTTCTGTCCATCGTTAAACCCTGTCCTCACACACCCACACCCACACATACTCCTGTCCACATACCTTTCTCACACATTGCTCATACACACATTCCAGTCGTCTTCATTGCCATCGACTTTCACTTTATACCCTCAGATCACAATAACAACGCTCTGAGAATCAAACACACGACTGCAGCAACGACGTGATGGCCGCCTTCAGACCTGACAGCAGTGAGCCCTTGCAACAGCAGCAACATACTCAACATCACCAACAACACCAACATGAGATGATCGACATCCAGGGCAGTCAACGGCAGAGTTCAACCGGCAAAAACAAAATGGTCGTTACGACCCTCGATGGCGAGGAGGAGGAAATCGAGGTTATTGGAAGTGGCATCAGCACTTCCTTCCAACCAGCGTCCGATAAGGGGCAAAGACTGCCACCAAGGCTGCCCAACCTCAAGTACAACGCCCCCGAGTCCTCTGTCAACAACTACAGTCCGGGAACCAGCGTCATATTCAACGCGTATCGCGGCCATGGAAGGCTGCTGACCCAACCGTATGCGATCTCGAGCGACAACGAAAGCGACCGCCCTCCGGAGCACACCTACCAGAGGCTCCCAGGCCCGCAGTCGCAGGAGTGGTCCCAGGATCCATACCGTCAACATCCACACTCACAATCCCTTTCACCATCGCACCCGTACGATTCTGATGGCTATCCATCCTATCACCAACAGCATTATCCAAACTACCCCTCCTATCACACTCCTCATGACCGTCCGTACCATCCTTATTCCAGCAACAACCAAGACCCAAGGGATCCACTGGATTCGAGAGACACAAGAGATCCACCAATAGACCCAAGAGATTATCGTGATTTCCGGGACCGAGAGCCGTATGGGAGAGAGTTTGATTCGACTCATAGCAGACCAGGACCACCGTCTCCACGAATTGGGTCCTCGGGAAAGCCTGACGACCAGGAGGGTCGAGGACGGATGGGCCACTACCCCCCTCCCCATCCCCGCGACAGTCGCGTCGCCCAGCCGCCACCGATGCCGCACCGGCTCAGATCGCCCCACAACGTGCTTGACCCTCCACACCCAAAGAATCCTCACTCCTCTTATGATGGCCCAGTCAGCAGCCGCTACCACCCTTTCCCATCCCAACAAAGATCGTCGGCCGACCCATGGGAATCTTCGTCGGAACACAGGCCACCTTTTCCTTCCGCAGCGATTAACATCCCACAGCCACCCCATCGCCGATCCATCAATACACCAAGCGATTACAGACGTCACGAGCCTCTCGACAATGCTCGAAGCCAGCACCACAACTCCTACCCACACATACCCCATCTATCTCCTTCAAGCTCTTCCGCAGGACCGTCAAACTACCGTGATCCATTCAACCCTCCCCGAGGCGAAGGACCTCGCTATGAGTTTAGTCGGATCAATTACCAGATGGTATGTTTGTTTCATATACTGGCTTCTATTCTTATATGCCCAGAAGTTGCCTTGCAACAACGACAATAGCGCTAATGTCACCCACTCTCTTTCTCTTTCCTTACTCCGCCTATATTGTTTCTTTCCTTCTCTCACTTTTCTTGTACGCACGCACGCACACTTGCATCACTTTAACCCCCTTTCACATTCTGATCTGAATGGGTGCAGATATTTGAATATGCGAATGAGATCCGCGATTGCTTAATCAAGGGGAAAGTTGGCACGACAGACCGTCTCCTCTACAACGCTGAGATTTTGAGCAAAATCTTTATGGTACGCCTTCTATATCGTCAGATCTGATGTGGTATTTAGAACCGAAACAGAGTTAGCATGACGCTGGACGTTGGGGACGTAACAATATCTTAAATCCCTATTTTCACTCCTCTGGCCATGGATCTAATTAGGGCTGTCGAGTCGACCAAGAGCCAATTGACCATGTGGAAGGAGAGGTAAAATATAACCCGTCTGGAATTGGTTCCATTCTTTGCACACAACGAACGAAACAGAAAGGGTACCTCACCAGGTCAACTCTTATGTTGCAACCAGAGATATTTCAGTCATTTGCGATTCTACAATATTAAAAATCAATCTCACTCATTTCGCCCTCATTTATCTCTCTGGACTAGGTTGCATTGAACCCACATCAATTGCGATGCACGTCGTGCAACATTGTCAAGACCCCAGAGTGGCGAAAGGGACCATTGGGTAAGCTACACTATTACAGATGAGTCTATTTTGATGCATGCTTATGCGACACGTTGAGGTATTTAGGCCAGAATGCTCACCACCGCACCTTATTTCTTTTTCGATTTCATCCAGGCCCTCGCACGCTCTGCAATGCTTGTGGTTTGAGTAAGTTGTGAACAAGCAATATTAGCAAGATAGCGTCATGCCATCTATTATTTTCTACAATCGCCCCCTTACGGTATTCTAACATGCTGCTCTTTTTAATTTCGTCCGCATTGATAGTTTGGGGCAAGTTGTCGAGGAGTAAGGCCGCACTCGCAGCCAAGAGCAAGCAAGAGTCTAACACCAAGGCAGCCGAATCGGAAATGCCTGCGATGGATTCCCAGACGACGGCGGCGACGACAGCGAGAGGAGTTGAGATACCCAAACGGCCGGCGACTGATCCTATTACATTGACGGACATTGCTCGCAAAAAGCGCGGTCGTGGACGGTCAACAACACGCGACGACGGTGAAGATACAGGATCAGGGACAATGCTGAACGGCAGCGAGGCGCCTGGATCTGCCGGACAAAACGGGAGCTCTTCCTTTTTTCCACACATGAACGGACAGTCAGGTTCTCAAGGCCAGGCAGAGGATGTGATCATGTCTGGTGGTGTCAGTCCGCCACCGCCTCAACCCTCGTTTCGTCCCTCGAACGGCGAACCCCACACTGTCAAGGAAGGTGGATACCAGATAGACCCGTTATTGGCTGCTGCAGGACCCGTCCCACCTCCGCAGTCACCAGATACTTTGCCCTTTAGCACTCATGAGAACCACGACAAGGAAGGATCTGTCGCCGGACGCAAGCTTAACCTCTCTTATCTCCTCGCATAATACACCTCTTTTCCCCCGTGTTCACTTGTTTGTTGTTCATGGGTCGTTTGACTTCAAAGAACCATTATTTCTCGGAAAGTTTAAAACGCACAATTAGTAGTATATTTGAACAAAACAAAAACGAATTTTATGTTATTCTACTGAAGAGTCTGTCAAAACTGTGAAAAGCATGTCCTGGGTAACCTCTAGGACATGGAGTAGGGGTCTAGGGTTATATGGGAAAAGATTGTTCTTGAAGAGTCGTTGGATCTGATGAGACAATTGGTCCAGACAGTGATGGACGTTATCGAGTAACCCAAGTCGTGTCTCTGGCTGTGGCTGTTGTAGTTGACGTTTGTCGTTGTCAACAATATCCGTGTCACTTTTGCTGTCCGAGGCATGTTGTTCCAGTTGGCGTAACTGTACTTGTTGGTCGTCCAGAATCTCCAGCCGCCACCGACAAAGCACCCGCTCCTGATCTGAAAAATCTTCCGTAAAGGATCGGAGGATCGCCATCACGGCCGCGAGCATTCCACCAGACTCATGTGGGTCGTCCAGTGTCAATAGCAAGTCGAGGAAGGTTTGGTAGTCGAACCCGATGGTTTCTAGAAAGCTGAATAGTGCTTCTAAGGGGTGGAGATGGTGCTCTAGGAGAGTGTGGGTCTTGTCTAATACGTGCTGTTGTAGCTGTTGTTGTTGTGGTGGTGAGGTGCGTGAAAGTTCGAGGGTCCTGCGGTATATCCGAGATATGGTTGTCAGGAGCCAAGAAACACCTGCGTCGTCCTCGCCATAGACTGTGAGCAGCAGCAGGAGTGTCCTCTCCCCGACCCATTCTTCCAGGAATGGTGTCAGGTACTTGTCGGTCAGTTCCATGATCTTTCCGTAGCAGTCGCCGATAACGTTGTTGTTGACGGTTGAAGTAGAGGGCGAGGACAAAGTGTCGAGGATCGAGAGCGTCGCTGTAAGGCAGATCCGACCGAGTTGACGGACAGCCTCCGGGTTCGAGATGAACGCCTTGATCCGGGCATTACTCGAAACCGTGGCTGGAGAAGAGTCGCGGACGAGGTTGTCGCCAGAGAGAATAAAGGTCGTCTTGCCTGAAGAAAACTCATCCAGCTCTGGATCCAGGTCCCGAAAAGCCCAGAGTACATCCTGTACAATGGGCGACAAAGCCGTGAGAACCTCCAATGGCCGCTTCATATCGATTTCCCGATCCACAGACCATTCAAGTCGGTGTTGTTGCCCTGATGAGGTTTGAGATGGAAGTGAGGAGGGTTTCATGGATATGCAGATCAGTTCCAGATGTTTCTTGAGTGGCAGGGATCCTATTCTGTCACTGCTCATCCACTATGTGTACATCGAAAAAGAGGCAGAAAGGGATGTTAGTCAATTGAACGACAACTGTCAGCGTTCAGGTCAATTGCACAACCATTAAAAAAAAAAAAAAAAGTACCTCGTCCAAGTAACGAATGAGGTTGTAATGACACGTTATCACAGAACTCTCGAACTCGTCGCTCACTCCAGTAACAACATCCATAGGAACTCGCGCCTTCTCGAGATCGATAAAGAGGACCAGTGCTGGATACTGCATCTCCCGAAGACCCAGGATTCGGTCCAGGACGGTCGCCTCCCAAAACTCAGAAGTCGCCAGTTCCCCCACAATGGTTACTGCGACGTGTTGAGATATCGCAGCCATCCCTGCGTCTACTGAGGATGATGATGGATTGTCGTCATTGCCGTCATCAATGTCAGCGCCGTGATGCTCGGCATTGCGGACCAAATGTCGGTGATCCTTCAAGAGTCCATGAAAGAGTTCCAGGATTGCCCTCGCGGTTCCTGAACACCCCCGATCGTCAACATTGATGAGTTTTTGAACCAAAGTCCGGATAACTCGCTGTCGGTTGTCTTGAAGCCTCTGCGATTGTGATTGTGATGTTAATGTCCTGTCGAAAGTATAGATGTCGTGGTTGAGGAGGATCGCTTTGGCAAGTCTGTAGGCTGCGAATTGGACGTACAAGTCCTTTAGTTCCAAAAGGCGTATCTATCATTTGGTAGATAGTAAAGTAAGGAAGGACGTAAGTTAAAGGGAAAAGATAGGAGCAGGGGCGTCAATTCTAGCATAGCCGTAACATTACCAAGGTGTCCGGCTGGTGGAGGAATGCGAGGTGCAATTGGGTATCGTTGACCAATTGGTCATCTGAGAGGACAGCCAGCTGTGCAATGACATCTTCAGTCGAGTCTACCACCTTTGTGGATATTGATGGTCCAGTAAATGTGTGCAACAAAGTATGAGATGGTGAAAAAAAGACAAGAGATATTCTTGGAGGAGTGATAAATATCAACAAATAAAACGATTAATTAAGCTTACCTCAAGGACTCGGCTCAGTTCTGGTGGTGAAGGGTGCAGTAGCTGTGCAATGGTGTTCGCGACATTCATTCATGAGTTTGTCTTCTTTCTTTTCACCAGCCTGCAAGGGTATATAAAAAGTGTGTGGAAGTGTGATTATTATTATTGGGAAGGGTGCAGAAAGCATAAATCAGAAGGGTGCGAAGGTGTGGCTTTGTTCATGAAAAAAATCCTGGCCGCGTGTGCCACTTTTTTCTTTTTTCTTTTTTTATCCACAGAACCGACAGAAAACCTTCAAGGATCAGCGCAAACTGTTCGGGACAAATCACTTTCAAGGAAATTGCACAACGGCATCTCGCATCGCCATAACTCAGCAAAAAGGGATCCCGCAATCAACCATTTTGAAAACACAACGACCAACCAATCAACTCACCTACGCTACTAAACCGTCTTCCTTACCCCTCACAAAACACAACTCGTGTCCCAAAAGACTGGAACAGGACAACACATACACAACATATACGAACTCCGTGACCCTCCCTCAAGCGTTACCACAACTCGCGCACCTTCAGGAGACCAAGGCTAGCCATAGCGCACCCATACCGCAACACAGCACAGAGAGCAGACAGAACCGAAAGCCATGGATCCCAATGATCAGTCAACATCGTCACCCTTGAACATGATCCCCACCCTGCCTTCTCAAGCGCCAGCAACAGCAGCAGCAATAAAGAAGCCATCATGGGCAACAGGCGACCCCTTCTTCGACACCATGGCCGGCATGGACACTCCCGAATACCGCCAATACTACAACCACCTCACATCCGTCAGCTCCCCAACCGATGATCTTCTCGCATCCAGTACAGCGCAATCACTTTCAATAGACGGTAGCGTGGACCAACAACAACAGGAGTCATCTGGTTCCTCCTCTTCACCATCACAACAGCTAGGACAAGGACAAGGACAGGGGCCACCCACAGGCGCGGCGACAGGATTGGAGCATTGGAACCGGACGAGGGAGGAATGGACGAAGGGACGGTGGCAGGTTGTGCAGAGCGCCAATAGCCAGAACCCGGCGCTGAATGCTATCCATCCGGGCAACCACGATGCCATCTATGACAGTCTTGTCTATGACAGAAAGAGACTTTCTAAACCTATCCCTTTGCCTCTCGTCGTAAGTTTCTGTGTTCAAAGTTGACGGGATATCATGGGGAAATTGGAGCATGAGCAAAGAAAATAAGGGGCCGGGGAATGATGAGGACAGGGACAAGAGATAATGGGTGGAAAGGGGACACAAGGACACGATCGTGATACTATACACGGAGGTGTGAAACGGGAAAGTCATGCTAACTCCACATGTCTCTTATTTTTTGTGAACTTACTACCTGTTTCACTAGATCAAGGTTCTTGTGAGTGGCTGGAAGAGAGACGGTCTTTGGCAGGATAGCCCAGCACAACCACAGGTGGCGCCTGGATCAGCACCTTCGTCTGCACCTCCGGGCGTCAACTCCTACGTCCCTGGATTTTCTTCCACCAACTCGAAACCGCTCCAACGGAAATAGGGTCCATAGCAGGAGCAGATTTTTGCGTCAGAAACTGTTACAAAAGTATCATCATCATCAAACACCTCCAGCGCGTAGCAGAAAAGAATTCATTCTTGGTCAGCAACTTCTCGATTATATTTTTGGTAGTGTTTGTTCAGGCGCGTTATGAAGGAGAAGGAGAAGAGGGAAATGAAGAGGAGATGGAACAAGAAAAAAAGGGCTCCCAATTGATATCTTTGGCTGTCTTCCACAAACGACTATTTTGGTCATTCCCAATGGATAAGGAACTAATGAACAACAAGCGCGCTCTTTTGCTTTGATAGCAACCACGTTGTTGTTGTTGACGAACGATACCGTCATGATTACCACATCCTCCAAACTCCGTGAAAAAGAAAGGGCTTATGATGTTTTGTCAGCCGGTAACTGGCTTTCTATTCTTCTCTTTTTTTTTTTTTGGAGTTTGGCTCGTTTGCTCTCAATTCTCAATTTCTCATCTTTTCCTTGCAGAAAAAAAAAAAAAAAAAAGTTGCAGACTAGACTCAATTACGTCTTCCTCATATTCTTCGTCGGAGGATACGGAACGGCCGATTTACCGGCAATGATCGAATGGGGGAGAGAGGGAGAGGCGGGGTACTGTAGTTCTTTCAGGTACAAACACGCGCTCGCCACATGGCGAGATTTCTCTGTTTTATTTTGATTCTGAGTTTGTGTTGGATGTTTAAAAAAAAATTGGGATTTCCACAGAATTATGAAATACTTTAGACCCGAACTTTTTTGTTGTTGTTGTTGTTGTTGTTGTTGTTGTTGTTTTTGTTGTTGCTCCTCTTTTAGTGACCGACTTTTGTGCAGGTAGAGGAGAGGGGCGAAGGTAGAGAGAGAGAAGGGGGGTACGAGGAGGGAGGATGGGGGAAGAGGAGAGGAGATGAGAGTGAAGTAAGAGGTCGAGATGCTTCGAAAGCTGACTCCTTTCATTTCCTTCGGTTCCAACCTAAATAAGACAAAAAATTGTCAAAAACCTCCCACGCCACACACACCCCAACCGTTGGAACGGAAAGGTACCCTCGTTTTTTGTACGTAAAGACGAGCCCTCGGAGAAATGGCTTAGGCGATGGGTACTTTCAGTTATCGAGATGGGAGGTACTTTTTGAATTACTGATCAGGGGTAAAATAATAATGAACATGGGATGAGGGGCGTGGAAACGAGGGGTTCGGGGCAAGGGAAAACTGAAGAAGGAAATGAAGAAAGCGCAAAAAAGAACAGCAACGGTAATATATTATAGACCATGACAATAATGCGCATAATCATGCACAGGGGTCAGGGGGGACACGACAAGACAAGAAAGGGCACAGAACAGGACGGGGTGCATGGCTGGGAAGAAGCATAAACAAACACGAATAGGTAGAAATGTTCCAGGGCTATGCATGGCGCTGACTCATGCCCCTCCTGTTTGTCTGCGTGTGTGTGTTTTCAGTATTAGATCGTTAAACAGGAGTCCCCCTTTTGCCCTTTGCCCTTCCCTTCCTTTTTCTCCACACAAAAAGCACGCTAACAGAACGGACTCAGTGCAACAAACAAGAGGTGAAGAGGGACAAGATCAAGATCTAGAACACAGAGAGGGCAATGCATTTGTCTCAATTGAATTGAATAGTGAAACTGGCTAGTCCAGCAATGAACCACAACCACAGCCTCCAAAGCCTTTTTTCAGGCACCAATTTTTTGGTCAGCATTTTCCACACAGGGTGTGGCCTCGTTCACGTTTTCTACATCTGTCTCTGCCCATTTATCGACAGGTTTTTACTTCTTCCCTTGGTGAAAGGGGAGGAGAATCGGGGTTCATCTGCATTAAATGACCGAATTGAACTGTTGATGACCTACCTGGCTCTTCTCTTCTCCTTTGTTGTTAGAAAACCCCCTCACGACTCAACCCCATGATTTTTTTTTGGAAGATGCGGACCAAGAAAACCTCAAAGGTCAGCACTAAAAAAAAAAAAAAAAAAAAAAAAAACGTGGCGACTGACAACTCAAAAGAAGAAGAACACTATTTATTTTTGACGATGATGATGAATGAATGAAATGTAATCACGAATGGAGATTCTTCCATCCTTGGAGAAACCTCCCAGTCCATCACCTCATAGCTCATACAATTGGACAAAATATAGAACTCTTTTCGCTGAGCTGAGTGAAAATGAGAGATGAGCGACTCGTTCCAGAGGAGTCATCATTATTTTGGCTGAGTAACTGGGGAAAGGATTTGCTATGCCCACTCCTCGGGTAGAGTTCAGGTTTTGTTTGTATGCCGGTGATCGGCAATGGAAAACAAGACTCTCAATCTTCTTCATAACCCCGCAACAACCAATCCCACTCACTCCAGCCATGAGGCGCATTTTGAGCAAGAAAGAAAGAAAGAAAAAAAAGCCCGTCTTTGGTTTGTGTTCTTGGTGGTTTGATGAGCAATCACTCATCTTCAGCAGGTAAGAGCAGCAGCAGTTTTTTTTAGCCATCTAGCATCAATGGGAAGGACAGAGGAGAGATTGAAGGGGGGGGAGAGAGAGAGAGTGGGAAAGAGAGAGCGAAAGAGAAACGAGGAAGAAAAAGGGATAAGAAGTTAGAAAAAGAAAACAAAGGTCACCTCAAGGATGTCCTCTTTCCCCGGATGTTGTTTATTTGTGTTTGAACGAAGGTTGAAGGAAGAAAGTGAAGAAACCTTGTTTGTGTGTCCAATCCTCCAATCAGGCGAGGCGGATAGACGAAGCCAAGCTTCTGGATGGGATGGTGGTCCAAAAGCTAGTCTTTCCTCTCTTCCAACTTTCTTCTGTCTTGTTCTGTGTTCTTGTTGTTTCTGCTGTTTTCTTTTTCGAAGGCTCATCCAGCTCCCCGAAAACATTAAAAAATACACAAACCTGTATCCGCCACTCTCCTCATTCTTTTGCTTCCCTACCTTGCTGTTTTTTGCTTTCAATTGTCACAATGCAAGTGAGCGAGTGAAAAAAGAACACAAGATGGAGAGAGGAGAGAAGCAGATGGAGATGGAGATGCGAAACATTTAATATCTTGCTGTTCCTGAGTCGACAAAATAAACAACATGCATGGCGCAGGGCGAGGGAAAGGGAGCAAGGGAGCAAGGGAGCAAGGGAGCATGTAGATAGGAGATAGGATAAGAGAGAGAGAACAAGAATAGGATATAAAGGTGGAGGAGAGGAATAGCAAGACTCGATACAATATTCATGCAGTAAAGAACTTCTATCCTCTCGCTCATAGATTCATTCATCTTCTATCTTGTTGTTTTCACTTTCGCGTCAAAAATACAAGTACGTATATACATCCGTACCTGAGCTGGGCGCGGACCAGACTACGACCGCCATCGCCACCGCCGACAGCACCGTAATCACCATACGCGATGTGAACGAAATAAGGAAGGAATCGAGTCGGGGACTTTTTTGTTCAATTATAAGGCACAACTCAGATGCATCCCGCCCATTCAACGACCCCAAAGTCCCTCGTCCCCTATTCCTTGTACCTTGTCCCTGAACAGCAGGTTATTGTAGTCTCGCCTATGTACCTTTTCGACCCACGCTTGCCTGCATATTGCCCAATCTTCATTTTTCTTGCTGGATTTCTTTTGCATGGATGCTCTACCTCACTCACACCATGCACAGGGTCACACATGAAGTGAGTAAAAAGGTCTAGCCATGATCCAATCTGTGCTTTGTATTATAGCCCTATCCGCTTGCTGAAAGGTTTTTTCGTTGCTTAGGCAAACTCCTAAAAATGGGGGGCACCACGACCACGGTAATAAAAAAAAATAGGGCGTTGAAATTGCGTGGGTTGCGTTGGGTTGGGAGGACGACAGATGAACGGGGAGGAGCAATAAGAGAGGCGATCGTTGTAAGATACAAAGAGAGGAAAAGGAAGGAGTACCGCGTCCTATTCCATCTCAACGCAACCCACTTTAAGGCCTCAACTCCACTAAACTCTCGACCAACTCTCAATCCAACTTTACTTGACCCAACCTTTTTTTTTTTGTAATTATCGAAGGTTCTTCTCTTCTACCATCTTTTGGGCGTGGAAAAGCTGCATACTTTGTTCCTTTTTGTCGAGTTCATGGCCACCGCCCGACTCTTCTTTTTTTCATTTCTCGTTTTCTTTTCTGTTCGTTTTCTTTCGCGTGTGGCGTAAAGTTGGTTGTGGGTTAAGAGTTGCGTTGTTGTGTGGATCCATTCATTTGACCAGCCGACTTTTCGCGTGTTTTATTCTCTGCCTCCCCTGCAGATCTCGCTACAAGCTAATTCTTTTGTTTGTTTGTTTGTTTGTTTGTTTGTTTGTTTGTTTTTCTTTTTCATTTTTGACTTTCTCAACTCCTGTTGGCTTTTGGATGCGATGCATGATGGAACTTGTTGTTTTTTTTCTCAGCCGGTTGGCTTTCTTGGATATCTGAAGAGTGCAAAAAAAAGGGAAAAGGGGGGGATATGTAATAGAAAAAGGGGATGAAAAGAGGTGCACGAAGGAAAGGGGCGTTGGGAGAAACGAGACAAAGGATTGTTGGACAAACAAAAGCCTTTCAGGCATATATAATGTCTTGGGTTGATTGCCTTTGTTCCTTTGATCGATTGTTCGTGTCCTCCATTGTACCTTAATGGCCCTTGAACACTTGTTGCTTTTTTTATTCAAGGCAGTGTAGGTTGTCAGAAACAGAGAAACAGAGAAACAGAGAAACAGAGAAAAAGGAGAATTAGCGAGACAAACAAGGCAACGATGAGCAGACAAGGCAAACAAGGGGTATTTTCTCGCCCACGGGATAAGACGAGATGTGATGGAGGCGCCAGTTGCAACTGTGACAGTAACCAACAACAATGAACACGCAAAACAGAGGCAACCAACCAACAAAAGAAAATAAACAAACATGAAGGAATCAATTGAGAACAACAAGGACAAAGAAACACAAAGAGAGAGAGAGAGGAAGAAAGTGCTCTCATTTCTCCTTTCCGCATATATTTTTTCCACATGTGTACAGCACCCAGACAACACGAGTCAAGAAAAAGAGTCAACCAGTCAATCAATACAGTTCAATCCCGATCGATTATATATACTTCTTTGCTTTTCTTTCCACGTTTTAAAATTCTTTTTCTTTCTTCCTCTTGTTCTTAGTCTCTTTTTCAACTCTTCTCTTCTTTCCGTCACTTCTCTCTTCTTTACTTCATCCCCTCACTTCTTCACCTTCGCTCGTACCTTTTTCTCTTGCACTTCACTCTTCATCCTCTACTTCCTTTCCGCTGCTTCCTCCGCATACCTTTTCTTTCACACTTGCATCTTCATACCCGCAACTGTCCCTTTAATCCGTTCGTCCTTACTCTCACTCTCACTTCACTTCTATTCCACCCTTCTCACTCCTCTCCGCTCCACCCTCTCACATATAAACCAACTCGATTTCTCTATCGCTGCTGAAAAGCACTTCATCGCTCTATTCTCCATCTTGTCCCTTCACGCTCCCCACTGTTCCACTCGGCGGTTTTTCCTTTCAGGCACCAACCTCGTTATATACATCATTTCTTCAATACCCCACTCCCTTCCTCCCTGTATCCTCCTCCCTACTTTCTGACCAATTCACTCGCAGAACCCATAAGTAAAACAACCGATCGGTAAGTCATTCTTTTTTCCTGCGCAAGAGGAAAAAAATCCCCCCTATCTCGAGAGGGACTCCTTATTTTTTGTATTGTGCTTCCCTCCCTCTCACTTCGTTACTATCACTCCCACAGCTAAACGGAGAAACTTAATGGCGGTGCATTCTCCTTTTGAGCTCAAACCATTGGCCAGCCCCCCCCCCCCTCTTTGTATCTTCTCCCTTTTTCCCGCACGCTTACCATCACCCTGCCGGGGATGGTCCAAACCTTCACTCATTTCGATAATTTGTATCACCATGGGAATCCCATAGAGAAAACAATGACAAATGAAAACAAGAGCGAGCGAGTGATGAAAAAAAAAGGAGCTGCAACGAACTCGAAACGTCTTACTATCTACTCGAGGGAAACACAGCATCCTTTTTTAATTGTCTACTTTGGAGTTTGCAAGGAGACAGAAGAGAAGAGAAAGAAAAGGGCGCTGAGTCGCCTTCATCTGATTACGGCATTTTATGCCAACTTGGGTGGAGACTGTGATTGGCCAAGGAGAGAAAAATTCAAATAGCAGACAACTAGAACTAGAACAACAACAACAGCTATGAAAGAGACTCAGCAGCAATTGAGTGACAATGTCACAATAGGCAATAAGAAAAGAAAGAGAGCACAGGGAGGGGAGTGTGAATAGAAGTGAGAGTGTAAAAAGAGAGGGAGATAGAAAACGTGCTAATCGAGTGCGAGTGAGTCGCATAAAGTGATTGTGATGATGTACATGTACCTCTGCGGATCGTATCCGTGTGGATGTGTGTAAGCGTGTAAGCGTGCAAATCGGGTACGATATGCTACAGCAACATCTAAATGATGATGATGAAGGAGGGCGTGGCGTGAGAGAGTATCGAGATCGAGACAAGTAGAGTTGTCAACGGTCGATACATATAATTAGTGCCTTAAAGTACTATCTCTAACCTGTCTCTCCATTCTCTCCTCTCTTTCCCTCCAACAGGTCAATCAAGATAAACATACATACCCTACTCATACCTCCAACCAACAACAGCCAGCACATAATAATGCCTCTCACACGTCCAGCGCCAGTCATGCTCAGCATGAACACCCGTTCCGATCCTGCACCCTTCAGCCCCTCCTTCCACCCCACCGTCACCTTCACCCTCACCGCCGGAGGTCTCCTCTCGCCCAAAATCAAGTGCACCACCGACAACAAGAAGGACTCCTACACCTTCCAGTCTAAATCAGACTCTAGCAACCGCAACATGACCGTCAAGGACTACAAAAGCAACCAGGTCTGTAAGATCAAGTCCAAGGGCGAGCACCTTCTCGACCTCTACCTCACGACAGACTCCAAGGACATCAACGTCCAGTTCCGCGATATGGTCGCCTTCAAGAAGGCCGTCGAGAAGAATGCCCTCCAGTACAAGCGGGTCAACACCCCTTACTCGTCCGACTTAGAGTACGACCGTCCCGATCGGTTCCTGACCGACATCTCGTCGTCGGGTATTGGTAACACCTGCTGGGCCTTTGAGTTTGAAGGCCAGATTTACCAGTGGACTGCCGGCAATGGCCAGGGCATCATGGCTCCTCCTGGATCGGATGTTCTCCTGTGCCACTCGGCCAGCCTTGGACCAGCGACCAAGGTCGCCAAGCTCCAGAGCAGCCATACTGGCGCCTCTGACAAGCTGATTATCTTTGCGGCTGCGACTGCCCATGTACTTGACAAGTCGGGTCTCCAGATCCTCCTTCTGGCTAGTGTACTGAGTCTTACCGAGATTATGAACGAGAGGAGCCGGGAGCTGATCGATTTTGATTGAGGGGCGCCTACTCCCTTTGTCCCGCCTTTCATAATATTTTTTTACTTCCATGTTTTGCTCGTTCTCGCACTTTTCTTCCTTCCTCGCATTCATTTCCCGTTTCCTTTAAGACCCATGTACCATAATTAGCACCACAATCGATCGCTTTATCTTTTTTTTTTTTTTTTTTTTTTTTTTTTTTCCTAACTACTCTATAGTGCACACCGCACACACTAATTAGAACCAACCCCCACAGTCTTAAAAAAAAGATGAGCGAGCATTGGTTCATTCAATTTGCTTGCTCAGAGAGATAAATAAATCCTGTATCATAGCCCATAGCCCTATCTATTCTTGTCTTTGTCTTTTCCTTAATTGATGCAATTGAACAATTGCCCATGGGCGAGATGAGCATGTGTACGGAGGACAAATGTTGCGGATGTGCCTGGCTAATTTGTCTGGCGCGCTGTGGAGTCAATTGTTGGATCTGCCACGATGAGATAGGAGTACAGACTGGAACAGATGTAGGGCCAGATCAGGCAAGTGAGGAAGATGCGCGATTACTACTTTACGCTCAACCGTGGGGAACTGGGCTGCTTTTAAGACGAACAAGAATGTATATGTTGCTGCTGCTTTCTAGCCGCATCAACAGGACCACTGACCTAAACTAGAAAGAAAGATATGAAGACATCTGCCTTCTATAGCCCATACTAACTCATGGCCTCATTCAGTACATTACCCACCGTTCAGGACCCACAACAAAAAAAAATAGTGTTTGTGTTCTGACCTCATCGAATAACAGTTGGCAGCCCATCCAATAATGATACTCTGGTCAGGTATGTCTCTGAATTCATGTCCTCTCCCTTCCCTTCGGCTGCAACCAATGCGAGGCTCGCCCTATTTGACTGCCCTTCTCCAGTATGCCCAGCCTTTTTTATCGTCCTCATCTCCTCTTTTCTCTTTTTCTTTTTCTTCTTCTCCTTCATCGTCTTTCCTTCCCTTCACCTTCCTGCCTTACTTCCTGCAGTCTACCCCCTCATTCAACCCGACTCTCTTCTTCCTCCCTCCCCCCTTGATATATCCTCAACGTACGTGTCTGCCCCCTCTTTCTCTGCCCTTGGGTCTTCTTCCTCGTTGCTCGTTGCTGACTTGCTTACTCCAACCCTCGCAGCTGTTCCTCATTGTGGCAGTTCATCATCGTGTGCCTTCATCTTCACCAGTACGGTGTCCTTGCTCGCGCGATAACTTCACCTAGAGTGTATTTGATGATTAGGCAGGGAATGTATGAGTAGAGAGATGTTTTCTCATCGGGAGATCATGTCAAGTTCATGACCGTGCATCATACTTTTTCCTACGGGAAGAACGAGGCGGTTCAAAGTCATGACGATGTCACATAATGCTAACCTTTTACTTTCTTTCTTCCCGGCGCGTCTTCGTCTGTTCAACATGATAGATGTCTCGTTTCGTTCGTGCTTCCAAGTACAGGTACGAAAAAGAAGAGAAGACACACGATTTAAATTGACAGGACCAAGGAAGGCTATTTTTCTGCTGCCCGCTCTTTCCCCCCGGGCACCATTTCAACCAAATAGTGTCGTGTGCACAAATAGCCGGAGAACGCGGGAAAGCACAAAACTGCAAACACCAAACAGAGGTTGAACCTGCAAAAGAAAAGACCTGGAAGCAACCCGATACCTCAGGAATGAACCCACCCTTCACCGGACAACTGTTTTCTAACCTGCAAGCAACTTTTGCCACCTGGGCAACTCTTTGTTTTTCGTCCTGTTTTCGTTCTGTTTTTCGTTTACAATAGACACGTCTATGGCACTGCTGCCAGACGTGAGCTCAGCTACGACAACGTCAAGGTCTCTGGCAATGCCTGGGATACCAACCTGATCAAGGTCAACCCTGTAAGTGGTCGTCGCTAGTCCTATCCATTCAATCTTTAGCTTTCTCTTGGCCCTTGACTTGTGTCATTGCGAAAGATTATGTGCCTCTGTTAGCCAAAGCCAGTTTTGTCTATGAGAACAATGAGTTGCTGTGTGATAGCTAGCGAGTTCTAACATGCCCTGGACGGATTCTTTACAAACGGACAAAAACAAACACTATAGAAATTCTTCTCGTTGAACTGGAACTCGAGCGGTGGAGGAGCGTTTGCTGTCATCCCCTTGTCCATGACTGGTGAGTTGTACTTTTGTGGTTTTCCAGTTGGCCTGAATGTGGTGTGTGGTGTTCAGGAACTGAGAGAAAAAAGGCATGCTGTATTGTTCGACCGAGTCCCCATCCTTGACGACACAGCCCGAATCCTGGTTGCGTTGGATCTGCCATCAAAAAGGAGGACTGCTCTCACAACATTGTCTCATACTGCCGCTTTGACTGGACCGGATTGGCCTGGAAAGCCAGACGATACAAAACGGCCCAGCAACTGATAACGACACGGGAGTGTGTGCTCTCCAAAGAGTAGATGAGTAGAAGATTTCTTCCTCTTTTGTAGTTGTAATCACTCTTGGCATTGCTCTAACACTTCACTTTGACAATGTCATGAAAAACCGATAGGCAAGATCTCGGATGCTCTTCCCCTCTACCGTGGTCACTCGGCTGCTGTTCTCGACACCGACTTTTCGCCCTTCAACGACAACTTGATTGCCTCGGGAGCAGAGGACAGCAAGGTCTTCATCTACTCTATTCCCGATGAGATTGGTGAGGTCGACATTGAGCCCGTCGTCCGCCTCAATTCTCACGGTCGCAAGGTCGGACAGGTTCTTTTCAACCCCGTTGCCGAGAACGTCCTCTTGTCTGCCTCGGCTGACTTGACCATGAAGCTCTGGGATGTGGAGAAGGGAGTCGAGAAGCAGGAGATTACTGGACACATGGAGGTCGTTCAGGGCGTCACCTGGAACTACAACGGTACCTTGGTTGCCACCACCTGCCGTGACAAGAAGTTGCGCGTCTTTGATGTCAGAAGCAACAAGGTCGTCCAGGTAAAAAAATCGTCGTCGAAAAAGGACAAGAGCTTTTTTTTTACTCGACTGTTAAAAAAAAAGAGCTTGCTCCTCTTACAGAAAGGGCGTACATTTTGGACATCATTTTGTATTGGAATGCCGAACCCATACTTCAGCTCTGACCAGTGTGTCCGCATTGATGTGAATTGCCAATAGATTGCTGATGGACATGCTGGAGTCAAGGGATCCCGTGTCGTGTGGATGGGTGACTCTGACCGCCTTGCCACCACTGGATTCTCCAAGATGTCGGATCGCCAGGTCTACGTCTGGGACACTGCCAACCTCGCCACCCCCCTCAAGACCAACAACTTGGATACTTCCTCGGGAGTCGTCATGCCCTTCTACGACGGCGACAGCAAGATGCTTTACTTGGCCGGAAAGGGGTACGTTGGCTGTTGATTGTTTACTTGTTGTTTCATCGTTTCATCAAGGGATTTTTCCTCGTGAAGATACTAACACAGAGACGTACTTTATTCAAATCTTACAGTGATGGTAACATTCGTTACTACGAGTACGAGAACGACGAGATGTTCTCGTTGTCCGAGTACGGCTCAAACGTTCCCCAGCGTGGTCTTGGCTTCATGCCCAAGCGCGGCTTGAACGTTAACGACTGCGAGATTGCCAGAGCCTACAAGGTCTCCAATGGCATTGTCGAGCCCATTTCATTCACTGTTCCCCGCAAGGTATCATTTTAATCATTTTCGCTGCTGTGACTAATTGTCTCGCTTTGATGTTCACTATGATACTAACATGCTTTTTTTTTTTATCTTTGTCTCATGCATAATAGTCGGACTCGTTCCAGAGCGACTTGTTCCCTGACTGCGTTGGTGATGAGCCATCTTTGACTGCTGATGCCTGGTTCGGAGGCGAGACTGCTGACCCCAAGTTGTTCTCGCTCGAGAAGGGTTTCACTGCCTCGGTCAAGAAGGAGTTTGTTGCCAGCGTTGCCGCTCAGGCTGCTGAGGACATTGTTGCGCCCCTCAAGAACGACAAGGATTACCAGGAGGCATACCACAAGTTGCGCCAGGAGAACGATGACCTCAAGAACCAGATTGCCCAGAAGGATGTCAAGATCCGTCTCTTGGAGGTTCAGTTGGAGCAGCTTTCTTCGGCATAAGTTGTTTTCTTTGTTGTTTTGATTTTTAGTTCCTGCACCCACCGTGTTTTTTATATCCCCATCGCGACGACTGACTGGCTCTCCCCACCTTAAACTTTTCTTGGATGTGAACGAGAAAGGATATTTGTTTGTAAGATATCACAACCGGAAAGAAAGATAAATAAATGTATTAATGGACATGGGGTCCATTGAATAATTTAGAGTCGCCTCTTCATTTTGGCCTTGTTGTGTCCACCTCTAATGATAATGAATGCGTGCGAGCAAGGAATGAGAAAGAATATCTGCGAACATCATCTATCGAGACAAGAGGATCATACCAGTTTGTTAAAGCCAGTGAGGACTGTTTTCGTGAATATTGAAATGATAATTGCATGCATGCATTCCTCATTTCCATCCAAAAATATAAAAAAAAGAAATGCCTTTTCCATTTTTGGGAAGCAAAGAAAAAGTGTAAAGAACCCCCCCCCAACAACAACAACAACAACATTGAAGCGCAATTGAGAGTCAACAAACAACCTGAAGTGTGTCTACATTCTGTTGTTGTTTCTATTTTTCGAGCAATGGGTCGTGGTCCATGTTGTTTGATTTTTGATAGATTTTGATTCTTGCATGTCAATGAGAGCTTTTAAGCTAGGGAACCAATAAACGCGTAGTATTGTATTGAGAGAATGCGGAGGCGGAACGAGTATTACATGGGTGATGTGCAGCTTGTTACGGACATGGATGTGAGTGTGAGTGTGTGTGTGTGTGTAGGTATCGTTTTAGGTCCTAAATCCTTTGATACCAGAAAATGGTATACAAATGCTTTCGATGGATTGCCATGCCTCAGGTCACCACCACCCCTGTATCCTTAACATTCTGTCGTTCTATCCAGCCTTGCCTGACAATGCCAATTGTTATTCCACTTCTCCTACCCCCTTTGTCCTTCTCCACTTCCACCAAGTTGCCTCTCCTGTCCTTCCTCCTTCACACTGAACAACGCACGGATAGCAGTGTTTCATGAAGGACCCGTTTTATTGTTCATTTCAAAACGATGGGATGAGAGCATGGTTTGCAAGAATAGGTTTATGGCAGGGACCTGCATACAAGAGGCATGGAGGCAGGTTATTTTGATGTGGCCCATGTTATTTTGATGTGGCCCATGTTATTTTTTGTCGTCTACTTTGTTCGTTTGTTATTTACCGTGTACAGAGTCATGCGGTTTGTGCATCACTGGCCCCTTACTTACCTTGATTTGGATAGCAAAGAGCTGGTAACGGATATGATGTATAGGCCTTAATGGCGAGCTCCCGGGTATAGAAGGTGCAAGCCTCTTGAGAGGACTCCTTTTTCGGGCGTCTATCTCCCCGCCTTCAATTCCCTCTTGTAAGTCTATGCCATCCGGCTGGTACTTGAGCGTGACGAAATGCAGAAACTTCGCCCCGAGAAAAAATGAGTTTGTTCCTTGCATCATGATCATGATCAAAAGAAATTAACAGTTCTGGTTAGGGATGATTGCTTATCTATACTGAAAGGAAAGAGTATACAAACATACATTTGCACACACCATGCACAACGCAAAATGAAAAATAAAGAAGCGAAATGAACCATCCTTTCATACCAGATGTAGGAGGTGTTGTAGGTTATTGTGTTGGAGGGAAGACAACCAAACTGTGTGAAGAGGGGAAGGAGTGGCTAAGCTGCGTGACGATTTCAAGCCCCGACCAATTGTGATTGCATTTCGCTCCCGTCTCTCTCTCTCCGTGTGTCCTTTTTTTTACCCCTTTCTTTCGGTTGGTGGTTGAAATGGTCGAGGTGGTTCCCTCTCGTGGAGGAATGGTAGGGGAGATTTTCTCGATGCTATTGTCTGTTCTGCCGCCTGCTCTTCTGGACAATTGTTTTTTTTTTTTTTTTTTTTTTTTTTTTTCGATGGAAATGAGAGAGAGGGAAACAGAGAAAGCGAAAGAGGGGGTGAGGAATGATGCTTACTTGACAAGGAAGAAAGTAGAAGGTGAAAAGTAACCCATTTAGGCGATCAAAGACTTTTCTTGTCCGATTGGGTGACAATCCTCGTTTATAGGTTGGCAACGAAGGAAGGAAGAAAAAAACGTTCCTTTATTCAGTGCGCAAGGAAAGGGATCGATTGCGATTTAGGGCTTCGCCACTTCTGTTGTGTAAAGAACCGCTTTCATCTAACGTGGAAGAGAAAAAAATAGAATCGATCCCCTGTGGACGACGGAATGGATAGCGAGCTGTAGAACACAATTGAACAAGCAATGGTCAATTTTGTGATGCATTGCTATGAGAAAGAGATGCGTCGATGGGATATTAACCTTTGCTGTCGTTATTTTGTCCATGTTCTCCTCGACCGTTGCTGCGTACCAGGTGCGAGAGTGAGGTGAATGAAAAGTAGAACATTAATCAACAGCATGTCTGCTGTGGCTCATCGTAGTACGCAATAATAGTTCATTATCCCCTTTTCAGCCCCTCAATTTTGGGAATTTTGAGCAGAGAATTTTTTTGGCCAGCATCAAACAAACACACCCTTGGACAGAAAAACAAATGAACCTCGCCTCCTACTCACTCACTCATTCCCTCTACACATTTTTGATGAAGTTAACACAGGGTATTCAAGAAAGATCGAAAGGCTTATAGAGCGTGCTCACATTCACCTCCCATTGAATTGTCAATCCCCATTAGCCTTCTCGTTGATGTGTATAAAAGGGTTGGACGATCTGTTGTTTTTATCTCTGCCTCCTCTTCAACCTCTGCACTCTTCTTTATCTCCACAGCCACTTCCCGCCCTCATCCCCACTTCCAAGTCTCAAACACACGCAAACTCACAGTTTCTCTCCACAACATTCACAACATTCATAATAAACCTCTTTCATTTTCCCTCCAAAATCAACCTTACACAATCACACAGCACCCCCACATTAACATTCATACTCAGACACTCGATCTGCATTCACTTCGCCATCAAGATGCAATCTACCAACGCTCAGCCCACCCAGAATAGCACCTCACCTCAAGCCAACAAATCCAAGGGTCCACCATCCCCACCTTCAGCGTTGCCCGAAAGAATCCCTCGACCTCCAAACTCCTTCATAATCTATCGCAGGGAGCATGCAATCAAGTACCCTGGCCTGGTTGCGGCCGATCTCTCTGCCAAGATAGCCCACGCTTGGAGGAACGAGTCCCCCGAGGTACTGGAGCAATATGCCGAACTGGCTGAGCTCGCCAAGTTGAAGCACAAACTCCAGTTCCCCGACTGGAAGTTCACCCCGGCCAAGCGTGGTACCGGCAAACGTGCTCGCAAACAAGCTGCTGCTGCTCAGGCTGCCATGGAAACCGGTGGCATCCTCCCTGCCCAAGCCGGAAGTTTGAGGCAGAGCGATAACAAGCGTCCTAAGCACACTGCGCTGAAGAAGAGGACCTCACGGTCTTGTGGTATCTCGGCCTTGGCTACTCCTTCTCCGTCGCCCTCGGCATCCTCTTCGCCCTCTCCACCACCCGAGGATATGATTACCCCTTCCAACCGTCCCAGACGCAATATCCAGCGCCCTGAGCGATTCTCTCCTTGCGGCCACAGGGAGTGGCCTTCCCACTCTCAGACCAAGTCGTCCAGCTCCTCTGACCTCAAGTCCTCTGCCTCCAAGGGAACAGTGTCTTCCTCACTCTTCTTCAGCAGACACTCTGGCCGTTCGTCTCGCCCCGCCAAGACCCTCAAGTCATCTGCATCAGCCCGCTCTGTGACATTTACATTGCCGTCTGAGAGTCACGAGGGGTTCAGCCACACCAGTGTGGACTTTGATGACTTTGATTTTTCGGACGACTTTCTCTCCTCCGGAGAGGATGAAGACGAGGATGAGGAGGAATACCATGACGACAACGACTTTGCCGACAGCGACTACGACGAAAACAGAACGACGTTGTGTTTGACAGATGCCGACCAGGAGTCCTTCTCCCAGTCTGATTGTGTCAATTCCCCTGGTCGACCAAGATCAAGATCGCCTTCCTTCCAATCCGACGAGCACTTGTTCTACGAATCCACCTTTCCGTTCCCACACACGATGGAAAACTTTGAGCCCGAGTGTCTGCCTCGCTCGGATCAGCAGTGGCCTACCGCAACTTTGGTGGGCTCCTTTGGAACTATCCCTACTGAGCCCCATATTCAACCTAACCCGATGCTGTTCTCGGAGTACATGTACCCTACCCCTGGCCTTGAGGAGCCCATCATCAACTTTGCCGCTTATGCCAACTTTGATGACCAGGACAATATTGAGGTCGAGGTGGAAAGCAAGGATGGCGACAAGGCTGTGGTGGGTGATGGTAGTTCCGAGGTTGGTACTCGGGCTCTTAACTTGGCGGTGGATATCATTACCACCTCTGCCGCTGCTGCTTCGTGCTCTTTCTTTCCCATGGACTCGATGATCCCCTTAAAGCTCCTGTCGCCCACCACTGCAACTGCTCGTGCGATGGAGAGCATGAGCCTGTCGGCAGTCGCCTCTTCCGACAACGATGGCAAGGATCACAAGGGCAATGAGTGTCGCTAATGATGACACCTCTTGCTCCGACTCTCCCTCCACTCTATTTTTATAGTCTTTTCTTTTTTCTACTTTTCTACTTTTTTTTTTTTTTTTTTTTTTTTTTTGCATACAATACTTGTACACTTCCCTGCTCATAGAACACACTAGACATATAAACTTTTTCATTGCAAACATATCATGAGAAGAAGGGTATTTTTTTTTGTAATATTGTGGTGGTGAGATTCTCAAGGCCTGCTTGAGAATTTCGTCTATGTTGTTTATTATCATTTTTAGGCTTTTTGGTAGTTTTGTATAAGCTTCGGCTTGAGAGGGCGGCTGCAACTGGTATCAAATGGTGTGACATTCGAAGGAATGGTAGAGGAATGCGGGAGGAGGAGGAGGAAGAGGAGAAGAAGAAGGACGAGGAGGAGGTAGAGGAGGAGGTAGAGGAGGAGGTAGAGGAGGAAGAGGTAGATTGATTGATGGTAGTACAAATATAGAAATACAAAAAGGAGGGAACTATGCATTTAAGCGAACACCCAGGTGATGGGGATGACACCGGTAGAAAGGGGAGCCAACTGGGAGAAGACGGCCTGGGAAAGATCCAAGGAGCCCGAGTTGCAGTACTGGGAGGGGCAGGTGTCGGTGACACGGGCGGTGACAGTCTTGCCGCCGGAGGTGACGCGAACGGACTTGCCGCACATGGAGGTGCCGCCCATCTGGGCCTCGTTCATGGCGACGATCAAGTCGTGGGTGTCGAAGGGGGTACCGCACGAGCCGACGGTGTCAGTGAACCAGGTGCCCCTGCCGGAGAAGGCGCTGCCCTGGGCAGAGACGACCAAGTCCTCGGAGGCCTCAGTGGAGGAGTCGATCTTGAGAGCGCTGGTGTGGCGGACGGGGGTGGTGTCGATGGGGGCAGCAGACACCATGGCAGCGAGGGCGACGGTGGCGAGGAGAGCGAGCTTGTTGAAGATGGCCATTTTGGAAAAAGGATGTGTGGTACTGTAAAAGTAGTGTGGGTTGTGTGGTACTGTAGAAGTAGTGTGGGGGGGAGTAGAGGATGAGAGGATGAGGGAAGGATGAGATGAGGATGAGGATTGAGAATTATCGGCGGGAAGTTGCCCCTTTTATACAATTGTTTTTCTTCAAACATCCATGTGTTTTTTCGTTGCCCTGGTACCTGAATTACAGAGTCCGAATCCGCTTGGATTGTGAGTAGTGAGCCCATACGACATCGCATGGACTTCGCCTGATCTTACTCGCTCAGTTCTGCGGAATTAATCTGCAGCTGGCCAATCGTAACGGATCGCCTCATCTTCCGAACAGTTCCATTCGCATCAAAAAATGACAGGGGTCCTGATCCTGACTTCTGATTGCCTAATTCAATTGCGAAGAGTACAGTAAAAGGGTGGGGTAATACCTACTCCAGGTATCTAGGGCTCTGCCCAATGAGCTCTTGGTGCCCCCTGCATTTCTCCTCTGGGCGGAGCAAGAACCCCCCAACCAAGATGATTCAGCCACTCTCCTTAGAGGGCTTATCTTCGTCTTTCTAATAGCAGTCATTTCTCATACTGTACATGTACTTGTTTTTGTTTGGTTGTTTAAAGTAACAGGAGAGGATTCAGATCAGCTCGTACGTTTCATTGAGAATAATTTTGTTTGTTTGTTTTCTATGGCGTTTCTAAGCTTCTCGTTGGCCGATTTTTTTACAGTCCCTCTTTTGCCTCACTTTCCAGTAGTTTCTACACTTTTCTGGGTCCCAGCATCCAAAAGCGGTTGACCTCAGCAAGATAGTATTCTTTTCTTTTCTCTTTCGTGAGTACCCCTAACGATTACAAATATCAAAAGAGGGCTTCTTCTGTGTGGTGTTTCTGTCTCTCACTACTCTTTCTAGATCCTTTTCTTTCAGCCTCTCCTTTTGCGCCGATGAAAAATGAAATAAAAGAAATAAAAAACAAGTACAAAAATACCGGCGCCATTTTCTAAGTACACAGAAAACATAGGTCCAGACGACGGATTAGAGCCCGAAAGGACTTTTCTTCCTTCTCCTTCTCCCTTTCTACCCTCCTTCAAAGAGAGAAAGAGAGGCCCAGTCTGAACGCTAATCTTCGACAACCAATGCTCGAGCGGGCTGGCTATCCTATGACCGTCAATTAACCCTAATTTGTGGCGCTGTGTATCGTGAGTGGTAAGAACCTTGTTGTTTCGGTAGCTGGGACTGCTGGGTTGGGGCTGATGGGCTGGAACTGATGGGCTGGGCTGGGCTAAGACTGGGACTGGGCGGAAGCTGCGGAGAGACGGCGAGAGGACCTTGAACTAAAAGTCCAAAGTCAGAGAGTTAGGATGACTAGTTCCTGCTAGTAGTAAGTGGTGTGTGCTCCCCCCACTTTTGCTCTGAGAGAGGTAAAAGCAACCACTTGGATAATCAGAAGAAGGCGGAGGAAGTGACTTCTAAAACTGAATAGCGTGAGAAGGGAGTGGAGAGAATGATACCAAAGCTGGAGTATAGATAAGGCACCATTTCTTTGGTATCCAGTGTTGGGAAGGGTTGGTTTATCCGATGGCTGGATCATTTCTTGATGTTGAATGGAATGATAGAGGATTTGTAGGCTCTTTTTTTTTCGTTGTCCTTGGGTTGGCGCAGCTGTTGTGATTAAGGCACTATCGGCCGTCATTAATTACCTTTGGTCGAAAGCGAGACAATCATTGCCCATTGAATTTTATATCACCACATTTTTGGTGGCGTAAAAAGTCTCATACATGAAAAAAAGTTGCCCGCAAATTTTTCTCTCGCTCTCTCCAGGTTGGCTTTGAACCCTTTCAAAAGGATTACACAAAACAATGTACAAAAGATGTCAAGGGTCATACTTTTCTGTCTCTCTCTGCTTTCATAGAGCCCTCTTTTTGCGGGGAATAACAACAACAAGTGTGGGGAACAAGAAGAGCAAAAATCACAAATAAAGAGTGTGCTCTGAATGCGGGGTATTAAGATTGGTTTATTACAGTGTAGGCGGGGTTTTTAGGTGTGTGTGTACGTGTGCTTTCTTCATGTTCTTAAGAAGGTTGGTTCTGGGGGGTATGTGGTTTCAGTTGGATTCATACGCAGGAGGGCGGGCAGTTTTTTCGCTCCTCGCATCGACCTTACTATCAACATCATCATCGTTCTCCTCCTCACTCTTGCGTGCAAATCCACTTTTCTCGTCCTCCTTGGAACTTGTCGAGATTTCCGAGGATGTCCTTGCAGAGGGGGTAGGGGTTGCGATCCTCAAAGAACCGATCATGGTGCTCCAATCCTGGTCTCCCTTGCCTTGCTCCTTCACCGCCATCAGATGGTTGTAGGCCAGGTCGGCGGTTGGAAGGGAAGCACCCGTTTCCAGGGCCAGTTGACGCATGTGGCCGACATCCTTTAGTCCGAGCTCGACCGAGAATCCTGGTTCATTGTCCTTGTCCTTGGTGCTCTTGTCCTTTGATGAACTTTTCTTGTTGCTACCGCTGATGCTCGGGGTCATCTTTTTGCTGTACTCAGTCCAGGATGGGGTAGGGAAGAAGGTCTCGATGAACTTGAGGACATGCTCTTGATCGACATCAGCCTTCTCGGCCAACGTCAGACCTTCGGCCAGCAGCTCCATGGTTCCGACGACGAAAAAGTTGCCTACAAGCTTGAACGAACAGGCACGAGCGACATCGGTGGTCTTGAGATGGATGATGGACTTGGACATTGTTGTGAAATACAGACAGAGCTTCTTGATGGCCTTTTCGTCACCGCTGGTGACCCAGGTCAGCTTGGCAGCCTTGGCAACCAAGGGGCGGCCAAAGACAGGGCATTGGAGGTAAGTGTGCTGAGGCGTCACGGCGAGTCGTTCCTTGAGCTTGGTCGCCAGGGTGGGGTAGATGGTCGAAGTCTCGACAAAGATGATCGAGTGGTCAACCTGACCTGCCAGGTCGATCAGGATCTCGTAGATGTCTTCGACCGCCGCATCGTTCGCGAGGGATGTGAAAATCTATTGGGGAGTAATAAATTAGGACACGGGGTTCAGTTTTTGCTTCATCTTTGTTAGTGCCTCTATGTTTGCTTTGTTGTGGATGCAATTATATAGGAAGTTCCTTACGATGTTACTGTTAGCGACAAGGTCTTCGATGGTTTTGCTTTCACGCGCGCCGTAGTTGTGCATCTTGGCGGATTTGGCAGGCGAGCGGTTCCAGACATTCATGGTCAAGGATCGAGACGACAGGTAGCCCTGGAGATTTCTAGCCATGTAGTATCCCATCTGGCCTAATCCGATCCAGCCGATACGGTCCTGCTGCTTCAGATGTAGAAGGTTGCCGAGCGTCTTGCGGGTCTTGGTCGAGGTCTGTGGTGTTGTTGACATGGCTGTGGTTGGTTGTAAGGTGGGGTATGTGTTGAGTCTTGGTGTTTACTTGGGTATGCGTGGGTGCTTGATTCGGGCTGGCTGACTGGTTGTGTTGGGTATCTAGAGGTGAGAGACGGCGGGCGAGGTTGTTGAAGGAGGGAAAGCTGAAAACCATGGCCTTTATATACAAAATGGACACCGTTTTTTTTTTCTCCTCATGAATTCTATTTTGCTTGTCATCGTCGTCATTGGATTAACCCACTTAGTCAAAATGAGTGTGAAGAAAGGTGAAGAGCCATGTGCTACTTGCTGCAAAACCTATCTTTCTCGCTCGTTTCGTTCGTTGATAGGTGACAGACAACCATAACCCTAATGTCCTTTAAAGGTTTTAGGGAAGAGTAGGAACGATTCAGGCAGCGACAAGCGAGCTGGCTTTAGAACATGATCCCATTCCTCTCTGACTTGGTCGCAAACCTACTTTCCCACAAACGCTGCGAAGGAGAGGATACCCAAATCTCATTCAAAGCGCGACACCCCTGGCAATCCCTACAATTCCCGCTCCATGTGCGGGCAAAGCTTTGCGTTTTCACCTAGCGATCACATGATCTAGCTTTTGCGTTAGTGCCGCCTTCCTGTCAATCCCCATGGCACCTCAAATTTGTCTCTATATGCGCATTGTTGCGTCTGTTGTTTCACGAGTAATCGTTTTACGACTTCGCCAGACCCTCCTCATCCAGACAATCAACAACAAAACCATGAAGCGACACGCTCTTCCGTCGTCCGTACATCGGGACACATCTCCCCCAGAGGAGGACACGGACTCTCTCACAAGCATCGTCTCCAAGCTCGTCAAGGCGGCCATGCGCGGCAAGAAGGATCCAGATGATTATGGCGACGACCTTGACAAGTACGTCGCCGACATGCTCGTCCGCTCCGATACCGACAAGAAACAATCACAGCTCCTACAACGAATCCAGAAGCAGCAGGAGGAAATGGTTAACAAGGCCTACCTACCCTCAGGAACAATCGTCGACCGAGCCAACAGCAACGGGCTAAAGACCAACAAACGCTTTCTATCTTCGATTATCAAGAGCACTGACGACCATAATCAGGCGCTTATCCGGGCAGAGGAGAAGCGGGCGAATGAGATGACAAAGGAGTTGTTGGCGGAGCTGGATAAGAAGGCGGTGGCGCGGGAGAGGGTCCAGAATAAGGAGAAGAGGGCGCAGGAGATTGCATATGAGTTTCTGGCTGAGATGGATAAGAAGGCTGCCGCACGGGGGAAGAAGACGGAGACTTTCAACAAGACCAACATCAATACCGTCACCAACAATAAGGAAAACAGCGACGGCAACAAAAAGTTCCAGTATGGACGCATGCGGATGGACGAGATTGAGGACACGTCGCGTCGGAAGCCACACAGCCATCACCGCCAACGGTCGACCTCCAGATCAGCGTCGCCATACAGCTCCGCGTCCAGGTCCCCATCCCGGTCTCCGTCTCCGTCTCGGTCACGGTCCCGGCCCAAGTCAGCAACAAAGTCCACCACCAGATCAAGGTCACCAACAACTACGACGTCCAGCAGGAAAAGAAGTTCAACAGCAACCACAACAACAGCCGCAGCACATTCAACAACAACGCGAGATCGTCGCCGTGACTTGGAACCACGCGACAATGGCTCATCTTCAGGATCAGTTCTAGGCTCCAAAATGGACAAGTACTTTCAGGAAGGATACGATCCTCTCTTGGATACCTATTCTGGCGACGACGCCCTCGTCTCGGTAGTCAAAGACAAGGCCAAGAAGAAGGAGAAGAAGGAGAAGAAGGACACGAAGGACAGGAAGAAGAAGAGAAGCAAGCGGGAGAAGGAGAAGAAGGATCGGAAGAGACACCGCCACAACAGCGACCGTGACTATACCGAGAGTGAGGATGAGTCGAGGAGGTCGAGCAGGAAGCGGAAACACAAGAGCAGCAGCAGCACTCACAAGGATGACAAGGAGAGCAGATCGCGTCTTTCAAACTCGTCGTCTTCAAAGAAGAAGTCGAGGCGTCGTCGTGACTCGGACTCAGACTCAGACTCGGACTCGGACGGCTACTACTCCTTGGACGACAAGCACGACCGCTCGAGGGAAAAGTCGCGCCACCACCGGCCGAGCTCCCATCACACCTCGTCCTCCAAGAAGAGCAGTTCAAGCACAAAGAAACGGCACAGTGACGACAAGGTCGACAAGCACGGAAACTCGACCAAGAAGAGCAGCAGCAGTAGTAGGAGTAGCAAAAGACGACGAAGAGACGACACGCCGAGCAGCAGCGAGAGGTCAAGGTCAAGGTCAAGGTCTGACTCGTACTCAGACTCGGAGGATTCCGATTCGCGCTCTCGTTCTCGTCGTCGGAGTCGTGGACGTCAAGATTCTCGCAGCAGTAGGAAACGTAGGCGGAGCTCTAGTCGTTCCGACTCGTCGCGCTCACGGTCACGCTCACGGTCGCGGTCTTTGTCTTCGTACAGCAGGTCTGGTTCTATGACTCCACCACCACCCTCTTCATCAACAACCAACAACGGGAAAGGGAACGACAACAATGCACCTGCGCCAAAGCCGATCACGAGGGAGTGGGATCTGCACAAGCTCAACAAAGACGCCATTCAGTTTCAGCACTTTAAAAAGCTCCCCAAACGCCAGACGTGAAACGCTCCTAACAATTAAATCAAAACCACCACCCAATATCTCTGCACTGACAGAATTATACCCTTCAAAAACCAGGTTTATTACAACGTCTACCCCAACTGTGTGCGAGTGTTCAGAGCTTAGAACGAACGGGCTCTAAACGGAACTTGATTTCTTTCATGGCCTTGGAGACCGGGTTCCAATCATTGTATAACTTCTTGACTCGCTCTAATTCCTTGATTAGGATCTGATCGCCACGGGCCATAATCTCGTCGGCAACGCCACGCATCCCCCAGGGCAGGTAGAAGGGGTTCAGGCGCTGCTTGGCCCGGAAGGGGTTCAGGATGGGCTCACTTCTTGCCCTCTCTGAAGTTAGACTCGCTGGTGGCTCCAATAGAGATCGAATCGATAACCTAAGCGTCAACCCAAACAAACAGCAAATAGGCAAAGCAAGTCGGACAAGGAAGGAAGAGAGAAAATAATAATAGAAAACAAAACGTAAATAACGTTAGTGCATTGGGCAGCACTTGGGAGTCGAGAGACTGCGGACAGAACTTCATCCGCATCTTTCCGAGCAGACGATAGGTGTCAATCCGGGGGAAGGACTCATAACTTCAAGTGAAAGACGCTTTTCAAAGACTTACATGTAAACTTCACGTTCGTCATAGATGGTCGAGTGGCCTTCTCCATACAGAGACCCCGCAATGACTTCACTGAGATGCACAAGAATGCCATGGTCGTCCACACCCATATTACGGAGCCGCAACGAGAACGCAATTAGGTTGATCAAGAAGTCGTTCTGGTAACTGGTGCCGTCGATATATACCGCCCTGACAATCGAAGGGTGGTGGATCGAGGTCATGACGGCAGAGTAGAGCGGCACTACTTGGTCCTCTAAGGAAGCAACACACGTCAACCGTACGCCCGAGGAAAGTATCGTCCGAAGTCCGTTCCGGTACTTGCGCGCAATAGGACTCTCAGAGTCCATAAACTCAAACAGTTCCCCTGCAGCCTCAGCCTCAAACCATCGTACAATCAGGTTGCCCTTCAAAAACGGGAATGGTCCATGTGAGATTCCGGCCATAGTCAAAATACCAATCCGCTGCATCGTAGGATCGTCTTCCCGGACGCGCAACAGTCCCTCCTCAATCAGCCTAGCAACCAACAAGATACTAGTCGGTGTTCCCTGAGAATGCGTCGCAACCAGGACCAAATCCGCATCCTGTACAGCCCGTCTCCAGCCATGATTCCGGACCAAACTCTGATACAACAACTCGACCCTCTCCAACACCTTCCCCTCACCCTCCAAAGGAATCTTGACAATATCCTCCGGGTCCAGGATTTTCTGGTGCATGTCGAGGTACTCCTTGAGCGCCAGATCCATCTCATCACAAAACTTTTGACTCGTCCCTGTCGGTTCTCCAATCACTGTCCGGAGTGCTTTCCGTGGATACCAGCCATGAATCCCCAAAATTGCCACCTTGCGGATCCCCTGCGTTCCACGAGGCAGAGCCGTCGCGTTCCCACCGCCTGCCGTGAGTGCACGTGTCGGCTTGGCAAAGGAAAAGACAGACCCAATGGCGCTGGCCGCGCTCTTGAACATCATCGACACTCGTCCCGTCAACGACAACGGCGTCGCAGAAGTTCCTGACAAAGAAGCAACACCATCATTTCCTCCCGCTTGAGTCAACATGACCATATCGCTTTGACCAACAGGAGTCGTGAGCAAAAGACTGGGCCGGACATCGGGGAACTGGTCATAGTAATCGGGGAGAACCAAATTCCGCTTGCTCTTGCTGACTGCTTTAGAAATCTTTGCCACCGCCTTGTTGGCCGTATCCTGTGCGAATTTGCCTTCCCGTTGTTGTTGTTGTTGTTGTTGTTGTTGTTGCTGTTGTTGTTGTTGTGGTGGTGGTTGTTGTTGCTTCGGTTCCTGTGTCAATTGCTCAACCGATGTAGAAGTTCGAGCCCCCTGCTCCTTCTGTTGCTGGTCAGGGTTGAACTGAACAGTATTCCCTTGAACATCATGCCTCTCGCCTTCGCGATAATCCGTGACCTGGTGGCTGTTAGGGTCTGGGTCAACCATCCCATCCTCCTCTTCCGGCTTTGACCCATACGTCGGGATATATTGTCGTAGAGACTTGAGACTGGTCGTCCACCTTGAACCAGACCCTGAGGCAGAGCCCGAGACGGAGCCGGGACCTAGGGTTGGCGGGGCGGGGTCGTCTCCCATGTCGTCAGAGGACATTCAGTATGGAGATGAGTGTAAGCGTGGATGGTTGTCGAAGAGAGGACCGAATGAACAAAAGGAGATGCCGAAGACAAAACGATGCAATGGTGTGTGTGAGAGCAAAGGTGTGCTCAAAGTCTGTGAAAGGTGTGAAAGAGGGGAATTTGACTGCCGAATCACAACCCCGGCCGATCGCCTTCAATTTTTGTGTGAGCCGTCAGCCGTTGCGAAATAGAAAGAAAAAAAAAAGCTGTCTAGACTGGATTGTAGGTTATTGCTTTATTCCAAAAAGTGTATGCTAATGGAGGTGGACATGGTGGTGGTGGTGATGCTGGTGGTGGATAATGTGTTGCTGCGGTGGAGGCTGATCCTGATGTTGCTGGCCATGCTGGCCATGCTGGGTTGTCGGAACGTTCAACCCCGGAGGGAGTGGTGCCTGTGCATGAAAGTTGGGTACAAGCCCTTGGTATATTCGCGCTGCCTGCTGGTCCAGGAAGCTCGTATTGGGCAACGAGGACGATGTCGCCGTAGCCGATGACGTTGATGCTGCTGCTGTCGATCCTGTTGGCATCCCAGCAGCCGACTGCATAAAGTTGCCCGAGAGGTCGAGGAACGACAGCGTGTCCATGTAGTACGGATCTCCTTGGAAATGAAACAGGTTGGCGCTCGCCTCCACATTGCCGATCCCTTCCTTGAACTCATCTGTGCTCATGATAATGGAGTCGTGCGTATGGGTCGTCGTGCCTTGGATGCTGTGGTACACAGGAGTCGCTCCAACAAGCGGCTGCTCGAGACCAAGGGGAGCTGTCGACGTAGGAAGCGCGTTACTTTCGTTCATCTGCGCAGTAGGCGTCAGTGTAGAATCCGCCATCTCTTCATACTCGTTCAGCTCGGGTACCACCTCCATGTCATCCAAAAGGCTCAGATGATCATCCAAAACGAGCGCAAGAGAGGCATCAAATGTGTCCTGCGCCATCCCTTGTTCAACCGTCGGAGGGATTGCGAGTGGTTCGTCCCGTAATAGCCCAGCCTGCTCAGCCAGCCGTTGTTGATGTGGAGGTGCATAGTGAGACAAGTCCTGCAACGACCGCGTCAACATCGCCTTTTGTTGGGCAGACTGCAAGTGCATCTGCTGATGAGAATACACCTGGGATGCACTCTGATGCCGAGCGTGTCCCTGTCCAGGGCCTGGTGACGCGCGCTCGGAGCCCTCCTCCTGTCGCCACATGTAGCCCGCAGCAAATTGGAGTTTAGGCGTCTGGTCCCGAGGAAGCCGTTGTTGCTCTTGTGGTTGCTGCTGCTGCATTATGAAATCAGTTTGAGGCACAGATGCGCCTGGAGTGTCGGTCAGGGTCGGGTCAAATCCAGTGGACATTGCGCCGGAAAGTGATTGAAAATCGGCTGCATCCAGTTGGGTGGGGCTCTGGAGATTGACAGGGGAGATGACATTCGTGGCCTCGGAGTGGCGCATCAATATGTTCCCAGGACTAAATGGGTTGTTCAGCATCCCAGGGTAAGCGCCATTGGCGCCCATGTCGAGCCGTACGTCTGTCTCCTGGAAGCCCAGCCAAGGCATCTGGTATTGTTGCGGTTGTTGTAGGTGCTGCTGTTGGTGCTGTCGTTGCGAGGGTAGGATCCGGGTTCGATCTTGCTGAAACCGTGGAAGTGACTGACTCCGCTGAGAGTGGTGGGCCTGTTGTTGTTGTGTGTGCTGGGTTGTCCGAGAACTCTGAACATTGCGGGTACTCTGGGCGTTTTGGGCGTTCTGGGCGTTCTGCTGGGAGAGCTGCAGTTGTTGGAGATGGAGCTGAAATTGTAGATGGCTCATACTATTCGTGTGTCGTTGCGGTAGAGCCGAGTGTCGGTAGAGCTGTTGTGGGAGCGATAGATCCTGAATGACCTTGTCTGTTGAGGCGTAGAGATTAAGTGACTGTCGCGAAGATCCTGCATGAGATCGTCTTGACGGCAGTGCGCTGTGTCGATTTCGATTGAGCGCTTTCAGAGGCGAACGCAAGGCAGCTGGAGTGCTGTTAGACCGCATAAGCACGGACTGAGGTGGGTAGTGTGGAATATCGTCCGTGGTGGCATGACGACCCATGACTGTCCGCAAAGCGCTGTATGGTAGACTATGGCCTCCACTTAGTCCTACTTTTTGTTGCTGTTGCTGTTGCTGTTGCTGTTGTTGCTGTTGTTGCTGTTGTTGATGTTGTACCTGGTTGAAAGTCCTGCCGTCAAACGTTGGTGATTGTGAATGGCCGTAGCCTGCCCAAGGCGCCGATGTACGCCTGTCGTGATGTGTCTTTGGCTCGCTCTCCAGAGGTGTATGAGAAGGTAGGAAAGACGAACTTGATGCACGTCGAGGAACTCCATGGCGAGAATAGGCTGCGGTGGGTTGGAACTGGGTGTTACCAGGCGGAAACCTCGCCAAGGAGACTCCAGGCGAACTGGAAAGAAGACTCTCTGGTAGCCTCTCTGCAACAAAGTGTAATGGTGTTGGTGGCAATGATGCTTGTGCGTGGCAGAGAGGGGAGGACAGTGGGGATATAAGGTGGGCGACAGTGCTATAGGAGGTATCGAGTGGGTAGTTGAACTGAGTTGCGCCACTTGTCATTGCTGCGCCAGAGGGTGTCGAAGACGAGCTGGAGGGAACGGAGTAGGAGATTTGGGTATCAAAGTAGTCAAAGTTGGTGCTGCTGTTGCTGTTGCTGTTGCTGCTGTTCATCTCCATGGATATTTCGTCCCCGGCAGCCTTGGTCTCCATGGTCGATGTACTCTCGGTTGTGTTGGTGATGGATGATCCCGACTGAAGGAGAGGCTGCATTGAAGCTGTAATCGAAGTATCGTCTGTCGCGGCCCCAGCATTGAATAGGGTTCGCAGTGAGGTGGGTGATGAGGATGAGTTCATAAGACTCCTCTTTGGTTGGGGACCGTCGTCTCCCGCGTTCGTCGATACGTCGTCGTCCACACGCATGAGCTGTCCTGAAGCACTCGCTCTCCTGAGAAGCAATCCTGGTGGTCTCGCCCCTCCTACATCCTGTCCCATGACCGAGTTTGTGCCTGTACTCTGCGCGCTTTGGTCCTGACTCTGGGTCAGGCGAACTGTGTTACCGTCACCCTCCGTCGAGGCCCCCTCAATGCCCAACCCATTGAATACTCCCGTCCCGGATTGAGCATTGACAGCCGCTGCGGTGGCCATAGCCATGGCGACTGCAGCAGCAGCAGCAGCCGAAGACGATCCAGAGATGTTTCGAGGAGGGCGCATGGTGGGACCGACCAAAGTGCACTGAACGGCGCTCTTCTCACAATTCTTGCAGGGGTGGCACTTTTCGACATCACACTTTATTTTCCTAGAGGAACGAAAAAGGACAACGTAGATCATTAATAAAACGATCTTTTGCCCTCACAACTTGCAACGTAATTGAGACGATAATAGACGTGAGGAGAAACTGTGAACGACTTCATAGAAAAGTACAAACACATCTCAGCAGTATAGGAAGTTTGACGAGCAAACACCATGTAATGCACGACAAAACGTCCACCTGTCTCCCTGCAAGCATTGGACGACATCTTGTCTTTTCTTTCTTCTCCGCTTGTGATGTCGACGGGGTCCGCTTGGTGTTCACTTTACCGCTGCCTCGTTGCTGGATGATAAGCAACAGCAAACCGCCTTTTTCTTCTTTCTCTTAACCACCCATCCATTGCATTCCTATGCCCACTCCTTACTTCCTTGCGTCCTTTATGCAACTCCCATCACAAGCATCTCCTTTCTCACTTGGCTGCACCTTTCGCCGCATGCTTTGCACCAAAATTTGATCCGCAGACCGCTCTGATATCGCCGTCGAGGAAGGCCCTGACAGAAACCATGATGCCCATGGGTTTTTTAATGTTGCCAATGGTGTGTGTTTGGTGGTGGTGGTGGTGGTGGTGGTGGTGGTGGTGGATTGAGACTTACCGATAGTGGCAGGTATCACAGGCCAGCTTGGATCGTCTCCTCAGTGGAACTGTCGGAGGGGCGAGGGTAGCAAGCGAGCTCTGCTCCACAACGTCGGCTGTTCCCTCCTTGTTGTCCATGATCAAGAATACAACCCTGAGATGTTCTCACAACTCCTTATCAAGTCCTGGAAAAGAAATAGCGAAATGTCCAGCAGGGTCGGTTGTTCGCTCTCACTCTTTTGTACTGTCGTCGCCTTGGCAAAGCAGGTCCCTGAAAACAAGTATTGCCCGTTGCAAAAAGGAGTCGAATTGTTGGGGTGGGGTGAGAGGATAGTGGGCAGTTGAGAGGTGGTTAAAGAAAGTGGAGCGACGGAAAGAGAAGGGCCAAAATGGTGTTCTCATAAGCTCCGGGTGCACGACAAAAAAAAAGTGTCCAGAAGTGTTAAGTTGACTCTGTGCGAAAGTGTGGAGAGATTTTGTGAGGGAAAAAAAAAGGTGTGGCGAGGTGTGTGAGAATGAACAAAAGGCTGCGGGGACGTAAGGTTGCGATGAAAAGAGGAGAAGAAAAAAAAAAAAAAAAAAAAAAAGGCGAATGAACGAGAAAAAGGAATGAGTCGAAAGGGTGAATCGAACAAAGAGAAAAGGGAGGGAAAGGGGTGGAGAGGGAGACAAAAGGGAGACGGGCAGGTGGTTGAAGGAAGGCGAGGATAGACAGTTGCCTTGAATGAGGGAGTTAATGGGGGGGAAAGACGATTAGGTTGTTGGCCAGGGAGAGGGATAAAAGGGAAAAGGGAAAAGGGAACAGGGAGAGAGAGAGAGGGGTGCGGAGAAGGAAAGAGGGATAGAGAACAAGAAAGAGGGAAAAACGGAGAAAGAAAGAAAGAAAGAAAGAAAGAAAGAAAGAAAGAAAGAAAAGAAAGAAAGAAAAGAAAGAAAGAAAAGAAAGAAAGAAAAGAAAGAAAGAAGGAAGAAAAGGGTCTTGCTCGTCCTTTTTGTCTGGCTCAATCATTATTATTTTTTTCTTTCGCCCTTTCTTTTTGGGGAGGACGGAAGAAAGCGAAAAGGAGTCCTCTGCTAGTCTCCCAGTCTCAGTCCAGGGGGATGGATGCTGCTGGTTACAATTGCATCCATGTCGCACAAAGAAAGGCAAGCGGGCACTCTATGTGTTGTCCATATTGCGTCCAATACTCGAAGCCGCAAAGACGCACGCGAACAATCATTGGACACATGCACACATGCAAAGGGCCAACCTTTATCTCTGATTTTTATATATTTATTTACAATGGACATCTTCTTAGCTGGTAAACCCGGGGCGAACCATGAGCGGGTCATATCCGTCCTTGTTCGTGTCATCCTGCTCTGCACACAAAATATCCAGCTTGGATGGACCCTCTACTGTCAACGGAGACGACATGTAGCCCGAGCCTGCTGACGACTCGTCTCCTGCTCCAGACAAACCTGTCACAATATTGGTGTTGGTGTTACTGGTGGTGTTGGTACTCGAAATCATCCCCGCGATCGATCCCTTCCTCGAGGCTGGTCCCTCAGCCGCCTTATTGCTAGACGAGTTGTTGTTGTTGCGGGTACCACTCCCCGATCGGCTCAACTTGGTTGAAGGAAAGTAGTTCGTTCCTGATCGTCCTCCTTCGTCTTGGTCGCCGCTATTGTATCCACTGTTGTAGCCGCTATTGTAACCGCTTCCCAGACCTCCGCCGACTCCTGCATTCTGAGGTAATCGCTCCTGTTCCGGCCTAGCTTCAGACTCCACTGCCGATAGTACGTTGTGCTTTGGACTAGTCGCGACTCGTGTATCCGCTGCATCCTCTGAGCTCTTCTTGAGATCCAGCTCAGGCGCAAAAGGAAGCCCCAGTCCCGATGGCCAATACGAACGGGACCTTCCATAATGCTCAGAATGCTGGCCACCTGCGCCTGCATCGGTCGCTCCTCCCGCGGTATTTGTCCGAAGATCACCGATGGACTCCCAGGCCTTCTCCAGCGCCTCCAGCTTCTCCCTTTCATGCATTAGCTGTTGTCCAGCATAGTCCTGAACAGCTGCTTGCCACTCCTTTGCCTTGTCCTTTTCATATCGAAGCAGCTCCCGAGTGACGATTTCTTGACTTTTCTTGAAGTCTTCTCGCGACTCGTCCAGCTTTGCATTCGATCCCTCCAAGCTCTGCCTTGCCTTGTCGACCAGATCCATGGCTGGTCCTGTCGCGGTCTTCTGGATGGCCTGCTCCAGTTGGGTCTGCCGTTTTGCAACTTTTTTTGAAGCCGACACATAGTCCGATAACCGGTCTGTCCTTGAATTCATGACATCCTAGCCCAACACAAAAAGAAATGTGATAATATAAAGTCAGGCTCAATTTCTCTGTCTCCTCTTTCGGCTGTCATGTTACTCCATAGGACAATTCAGGAACAATATATCATCCATGGCATACCTTCAGCCCTTGAAGCATGCTCTTGTATTCCTGAACCATATCCATAAACTGAAAGGTTTCTCCCTTGACCTGGCGACGAATGCTGAGTCGAAGGTCATCGGTAAGCACTCCAAACAACTGCATTTCCTCGTCCAATGCTTGGTGGCGCTCCCGGTTATCGATCCGTTGTCCGTCTCCAAGGCGGTATTTACTGCTCAACACCTCCATGGTTGCGTCTCCCAACTGCGAGTACACATCTCCCAGTTCTAAAAATACGAACAAAAAGAACCATAGAAAGGATATTAATTCGGACGTTTACGAACGAACGAGTACTCCACCTCACCCCACACCACCACAATTATGAACTTACTCTCGCGTTCTTTGGTCAAACGCACGCCAGCATCGATCAGGCCAGTGAAGGATTGCTCCATTGACAGCAAGTACAGTTGCCTCCTCTGAAACTCGCCTTGATCATTCTACAGGGTCGATGACAACAAGGTCAATTAAATCGATGACGATGCTTTTTTTCCCCTGCTTTACAAGGACAAGTTGGTATGAAACAACCATCGTGATACGGTGCAAATCAATTACCTCTTCGACGTTTTCTGAGGGTCTGTATATTCTCATTCCGCGATCGTAACTTGGCTTGATAATGTTGTCGAATCGAAGAAACCCCAGCGTAGCGCGCCTTGAGTCAACCGAGTCGAGATGGGTCTATCATCATCGTTTTTTTTTTTTTTTTTTGGGTCAAGTCGAATGACACAAAATGTCAGTTCAGGGTACACAAGCATCGAAATAAATCTGGGGTAGCGTGTCAAATCAGGTTTATCGCCCGCAGAGAAGGAAAAAAAAAAAAAAAAAAAAGAACATGAAAAGAAAGACATGCTGTCATTGCTGTTTTGGTTTACCATCTCTGTCCCAACAAACCACAGGACAGCTTCGCTGGAAGCAAACTCTGCTCGCAGACAGACGCGCTGCAGGAACCTCTCAATCTGTACCCGCTTCTGCTCGACCTGGTCCACGTCGTCCGATAATTTTTCGCTCAGAGGTTCGGGTAAGGGTGGGATCACGTAGTCGACAAAGGTGCCTTGTAGCTTTTGATGCAGCCATCGGACTTGAGGGAATGTTCGAAAGATTGGATAGGTCTATCACATCAATTGACGAAACAGGAGAATACAGAAGAAGAGGCACGCGAGTCAGGAACACTTTCAAACGTGGGGCAACTGCTTGCTGGTTATGTCGCTGAAGAGAATCCTCTGCCAAGTCGTGTGTGCTCCTCAGTCCATGCATTACAAACACTCACCGAGTCATGGTTTGCTGTGTTGACGAGGATTTTGAAGGTGATGGTGCCTCCGCTGGATGCAGCCTCCGGGATGGAAACTCTGAGGGTTTTCATTGTCTGTTGGTGTAATGGATGTAATGGACGTGCGTGAATGAATGTGGTGTAGTGGCGATGGCAGTAATGTTGGGATGTGTGAAAGAAAGGAAGAAAGTGGACAGGAGAGAACAAAGAGAGACAAAAGGTCTTCAGCGCCAGGCACTGCAAAATGACAAAAAGGAGGCAACTGACGGTCACGTTCACTCGAATTGTGGTCAATGGTGTGCTACACATACTATTAAAACCTATGGACCCACGCAGCCTTTTTTTTCCCAATCCATCCTACCCTTCCCCTGTTCAATTGGCTCATTCGCCTTTATTCCTTTCAACCCCTATTTACATCTTGAGAGAAAGTAGGCTTGACCGCTTCCTTGTTTGTTCGTCCTTCTCTTTTGTTATGTTGCAATTGCCTTCACCAAAGATATCCATTCGTGCTACAAGAGGAGTGAAAAAGAGTGGTTGTTGCCTTTTCTACGACGGGCCGTTTTTTGTGTTTAATCGATCTTCAGAAAGACAAACAAAATGATCAGAGATGTTGCATGGGATCAAAATCAAGGCCAAGGGACAAAGGGCGATGGTGCCTGGATGGGGTTCAGCCTTCTGTTGACGAACACTTCGTCCTTTGTGCACGCCTGGCAACGAGGTGGCTAGTTTATTCAATTCAAATTATCGAAGTTGGGGGTATCTGTCGAGTCGTAGTACTTCACTTCTCAAGTATGTCTTAGAGGTCTTGGGGATGCTTGACATCCGTCTGGTGGTCACCATAGCCCTTGCTGTCAGAGTTGGAGCGGCTGAACTCCGGGGGCATTGCATCATCGTCCTCATTATCCGTATCAATTGACTGGTAAGGGGGAGGAGCAGCGTGGTCAGGGGTCATGTCCCTGATGTGCTCTGGTCGCGGAGCCGTGATCTTGACATCCACTACTCATAGAAAAAATCGAGGAAGACGATGTTAGAAACCAATGAATGTATTTAAAAACCAATACGCCCGCTGTCGATACCAAAACTACAACCAACACGATACTTACTCTCGACGCGAAGCTCTTTGGCTTCCTTCTCTGCATTCATGTTGGTACGCACCATCATGATCAGCTTCAAGGTGTGTCTCTTGGTAACAGGTCCACTCTCAATAGCAGCCGCCAGCTGCTTGGCACCAGGAAGCTCGACCATAATGGTCTTGGTGAATCCTTGGTTAGTCTGGGGCCAGTCCTTTGTGACGGGCAAGGAAAATACAGTCTTTTTGTCGTTTCTCACTTTGCCCAACATCTTGGGGTCCGTCAGTTTGGTGTACTGCTTCATCTTGATAAATGCGCTGATGACAATCAATTCCTGACCGCGATGGATGCTGTTGTCCAAGAAGGGCTCAAACTGGACGGTCAATGGCACAATTTGACCCTGGTAGAAAATATCCGATGGGAGCGTACAGGTGACAGGCAAGACATCGTTCCAAAGACTTTTGTAGATCTTGGGCTCGTGTCTTTCGTTAGCGTGGAGACTGGAGCTGTAAACCCAGACCAACTCCTTTGCCGCCATGTCGCGATGAGGGAAACTGCGCTTGATATGGGCTTTGAAGCGGTAATGGAACCAGCCGCGAGTGCCCTCGATGGACGATGGAAGACCAGGTTCGAGCTGGACTTCAAAATCGAAGCGGGTGACTCCTGGAGCAATTGTCTTTGGGTTGGTGCGGTTCAGCTTGATTTCCCATGACTTTTCCTGAAGTCGCTTGAGGTTGTTGAACGAGACGGTCGTCTTTCCGTGATGCTCTGTTTTTTGGGATAGGTATCGAGAGATGGGCAAGGTAGCAGCAAAGGATGGGGTTAGAATCGATTACTTGATGGCTTGGGAATATCAAACAGAGTCTTGAAGTATGAGGAGTATGAGGAGCTGGCGTTACCTGTCCACTTAGCTTGTACTCGCGCCTCAAACGTAAAATCAATGTCGCCTCCCTTGGTCTCCTTGACAGTGCGGAACTCGACGTGTCCCTTGATGACTATTATAGACCAACACATAATGATGAAGGTATCCTGTTAATCATGAAAGAAAGGCAGAGGCATTTAGCTATTACCGATTACCATGAAATGTCGAAGGGTCTTACCAGCTGGGTTCTCTGGGGTGTGGTAGTACAGGGGTTGTCCCTCAGGGCCGAGCTCCTTGGTATGAAAGTGGATTGCGATGGACTTGTCCGAGTCTTTGCTGAAGTCGAGGATGGCCATATTGTTACTTTGTTCCTTCGTTGCCTTGTTATTAAGTTTGTTTGGTGAGTGAGTAATTTTGTATTTGTCCTGCTGAAGATTGACTGTGCTCAAGTAGCGTTGAGCTGTGTTGTTGTTGTTGTTGTTGTTGTTGTTGAGAGTGAAGATAAAGGGGAAGGAAAGTAAGGAGGAAGTGATGGAAAACAGGACCCTTTTATGCATCCTCGGTAAGTTGACTTTTCTACTTTGTGACTGAGAAATGCAGCAAATAAAAGGGAAAGTCGAATCCTTGTAATGCCTATCTTCTTCCTTCTTCCCATCTTTTTTTCTGTCCCTTCCTTCCAAATAGGAGCACATGGGCATGAGCGCAAGAAAGCGGCGTGTGTTAAAAACAAATTTACTGTTCCAATGGCATCAACGATATCGACGTTCTAATCACTATCATTCCCTCCTTCGAAGACAGATGAATACGACGGCAGCTGCTCCCCCTCCTCCTCGGCAGTGGGATGGACCGTAGGGGGTCGTGGTCCCGTTATGTTAACAGGCACTAGTACCAATGTCACAAAAAAAGGTAAACACTTTTTTAGCTTTCTTTTCCTTTCATTTGTTTAGTGTCCTTAACTCTAAACAACATCATGGTAATGTAGAGATACATACTTTCGATACGAAGCTCCTTGGCATCTCTGTTCGACATCGACGCTGTCTTGATACGCATAATCAACTTGAGGCGGTGGGTCTTTCGCACCGGTTCTGTGATGGTTGTGCACGACAATCGAGGTGCGAACGGAACGTTGACCATGATGGTCTTTTGCACCCCGTCCTTGCCTGATGCCCAGCCTTGATTGACCGGCATCTCGATGACCACCTTCTTTTCAGTCTTGACGTCCCACTTGTTCCAGAGCCGGGTATACTGCTTCATCTTGACAACTGCATCAACAACGACCAATTCCTGACCAAAGAGACCGCTCGTGGGAATGAAGGGCCTGAACTGGATGGTCAGGGGTACGGTTTCACCAAGCTGGATGTTCTCGTTGGGGATAGAGCAAGTGAACGGTAGGTGGGACTCCCAGACTCCATCAAAGACGTGGGGTGGAGGCAAATAGCCGTATTGAGGTGATGGTATACAGGTGTTGAAGACCCAGACGTCCTGCTTGAAGGTCATGTTTGGTTGAAAAAATCCTCTGTGTAGCGTGGCAGCGAACCGATAATTGAGCCAACTTCGTCGACCGTCGATAGATGAGGGTGTGTGCATGCTGAGCGCCTCTTCAAAGTCGAACCTGATTGTTCCTGGCGAGATCACTCCTGGACGTTCATGTTTGATGGGAAACTGGTGGAAGTTCTTCTGGAGGACGTCTTTCGACCTATAGACCACCGTCACCTGTCCCCGTTGTCCTAGAGAAATCATGAAACATGTCAGGGTCTGTTGGGCTTTTTTTTTTTTTTTTTTTGCTTCACCACCATGCTGTTCTCTCCTAATGGTAGTACAAGAAACAAATTAGTAGAAACGGTAGGATGAGCACTTACTAGCCCAGCGAGCATAGCTCTTGACCCGGAAGTAGAGGTCTAGGTCTCCTGCCTTGATATCCTCTGTAGTGATTAGTTCGACGTATCCGCGAATCTTGGGAGGTTCCTCGGGAGTGCTGTAGATGGCTGGCAGATTGCCTGGTCCGCGGAAGGGGGTCAAGATGACGACCTGCAGGGATTTTTTCTTGTCTTGAGTGAGTTTCGCAAGCATCTTTTGGGGATGTAGAACAAGGAGAATAATTCGGAGGAAATTGAGAAATGAAAAGATGGAGCGCCAACTTGGAAGGTTCGCTCACTTTCTCACTTTTGAGGGGGAAAGGGGAGGAAAGTCACAAGTCGACAATTCCCTCTTTGTACAGTCGTACAATATCATTCGCGAGTAGGAGTCGACTCGACTGAAGCAATAATAATGACAAGAGCCGTTTACGTCTTTCCTTTAGGCAAACATGTTTACCCGCCTCTAACCCTCGTTTGCCTGCTTATCACACCTTTGTTCGTCTTGCCAAGTGCTAGGTTGGACGCCTAACTCTAAATAAGAATTGGTGTAGAAGATGATGCGCGTTGGCAGAAGGACAGGGATGGATTTGAGTGCGAACAGAAGGAATAAGAAAATGTGCGGTGTCTAACAAAATTTTACTAGTTGTCCAGGATCTAAAGGGACATCATCCCGCTGAAACCGCGCTGCTTCTCTTGGTATTTAGCAATCAAGAAGGCCATATCCAAGGCCTGCTCGTAGTTGAGGCGAGGATCACAGTGGGTCTCGTATCTGTCCAACAACTCTGCGTCCAACAGCTCCATTGATCCGCCAACGCACTCTGTGACACGGTCTCCTGTCAACTCAAAGTGGACACCCCCAAGGTGCGAACCCATCTGCTTGTGAATGCGGATAGCTTGTGACAACTCCTTTGTGATATCGATCAAGTGCCTTGTCTTCACTCCTGATACGGATTGCTTGGTGCTAAATATAAACAAGAATGTCGGATGTCAATTAAACAAGAAAGTCATACGGGGGTGCGATAACAGATCTGCATACATAACCAAAATGAAAGTGAAACTTACTTTCCGTGCATTGGGTCACAGGCCCAGACAACGGTATGTCCAGACTCCTGCACAGCCTTGATATGCCCGGGAAGGTACTTGTCAACTTGATCGACACCGTAGCGAGTGATGAGGGTGATCTTTCCGGGGCGCTTGTCGGCATCCAAAATGTTCAAAAGGTCGATCAGCTCCTCGGGCTTCATGCTGGGTCCACACTTAACTCCGATAGGGTTCTCGATTCCTCTAAAGTACTCGACGTGTGCGCCGTCGAGCTGTCTTGTCCTGTCGCCGATCCAGATAAAATGAGTTCCGACGTTGTAGTACTTTTGCTGTGCCGAGTTTGCGGGGTCGGTCATGAGGCGAGTCAAGGCCTGCTCGTACTCAAGCAAGAGACCTTCGTGGGATGCAAAGATGTCAACAGTGTTAAGGGGGCTGGAGACGGACTCGGAGTGTGCTCCTCCTGCGTTCGGGTCGGCACCGATGGTCTTCATAAAGTCTAATGCGTCGGTGAGTCTGTCGACGATCCCCTGGTACTCTTGGCGCAATGTTGAGGATTTGACATGGTGAAGGTTCCAGTTGGAGGGATGGTGCAGATCAGCGAAACCCTCTAATTAAGACAAAACGATAACCAAACAACGATCAGTATTAAATCTCCGGCAAGGAAAAAATGACGCGTTTTTAGTCAAAACAGATCGTTCTGATTGTGAGTCGTCTGTTGATCAATTGATAACAAAACTCACCGGCAAGAATAGCTCGGACATAGTTCAGCGTGGCGGCAGAGTGGAAGTAAGCACTAATAACAAAGGAAAACACAGTTAGGGCTTTTGGTCTGAGTCACTTGTACGACTTGATATCAAAAAAAGGACAAAAACTTACCCAAGGAGGCGCTCTGGGTCAGGAGTACGGTCATCAGGTTCGTATCCGTTGACGTTGTCGCCACGGTAGCTGAGAATTTCCTTGCCCTCATGCATCTCTGTGGGCTTTGAGCGGGGCTTAGCATATTGACCGGCCATACGCGCAATACGCACAACGGGCATACGTGCACCCCAGACCAGAACAAGCGACATTTGCAGCAACACCTTCAGCTTTGCCTCAATGGGTCCCTGTCAATTCGGATCAATGAATGTTCGGTGCTTCCGAGTTAGTACCTTTATCATTTTTTTACTGCGCAGAGCGCTGTTCTCCGCTTTCTTGATGCTCTCACAGAGCTCAAATGCGCTCAATGGTAGGAGAATGGGATCTTCGATGGAATCGATAAGCATCGAGCAAAGCAGCAATTATTACGGTGACCGAAAAGGAGTCATAACAGACATTAGACACAAAAAAATTGCATCCCAGCTCGGACTCCATTTCACGTTGCAATAGACTGAACAGCAACAAAGAGTGAAGAAGATATCTTACCTGTGCACAGTAATCGAAAAGTTCGGCACAATCGCCTCCCTGCAGCAAAAATGCCTTGCCATGGGCAACATCAGCCAATTGCTGACGAAGGCGGTGAATCTACACAACAGATGCACGTGGAGAGGGTACATAATTTTGCATGGAGAAAAATGAGGGGAAGAAGAGGAGTGAAAGGAGATAGGAAGGAATGGTAAAGCAGGATCATAATGTGCATACAATTGCTGGTTAGAACACTGCAGCTGAAAACGAACAGAACGACAAGATTTCGCAAGTTAGAGTAGAAGAAAGAGGTATTTATTCGTTTTTTACCTCGCCTGGGGCAACCATAGGAGGAAGACGGCCAATTTTCTCAAGAACCTTGCTCAAGTGAGCCTGATCAGGGTAGTCGACATCCTGCTTGATGGGCTTTGACTGCCACGATGTAGGAGTCCAGTCCTTGGCGGCGACGATGGTGGGTTGGACGGGTGAGATGGAGCGGGATGTCATTCTGGGAATGGAGGAAGAAGAAGGAGGTGAAAAGAGAAAGAGGGAGGAAGAACAAGGGACGAGAGAGAGCACGGGCTTTCTCCTTCCCTTTCTTTCCGCCTTTTTGATCAGATCAGAACGGTTTTTAATTCGCTAAATCCGATAAGTAATTAGTGACGTGCTTGGAAATAAGCTCAGTGGCTTGGTGTTTTGAACCGGAAGGGGCAGGCAGGGCGATTGCCCAGCACACGGCAACAGTCGCAGCTTATGGGTATTAGTATATACTCTAGTGGCATCAGTCCCTCTCCTCTTCATTCCTCACCTCTTCTCCACTCAACCCCCCAAACATGAACTTCCTTGCCCGCTCTGCCCGCGCCGTCCGCCCCGTCCGCATGGGTACGATGATCACCCTCACTCCCACCATCGACCATCTTTGACAACCAATAACAACCACCCTTCAGCTTTGATATCTCACGCAAGGACTCGACCAATACATATACACATCTGCACTCACATATGTGTCCAACCTGGACCTGAACCGCCAATCTCTCTTCGCCTCCTCCTATGCCTCCTTTGGTCAGCAAGGGTTCTTTTCCACTCCTTCAGCTGAAGCTACCTCTACTTCTCACCTTCTTCACGTTCGTCTCCAACTCGACCTCAGGACCTGGATCGCGTAGTTTACCATCACTCCTTCTGGACCTTTTACTCGTGATCACATCATCAACTAGTTCAGAATCTCGTCCATGCGATCGATAACCCCCCATTTCTGCAGCCTTCCCATCACGACACTCTACCAGCACATTTCATACAACTTCCAACGTGTTACTCTTGAACCCACACAACCCGCGCCAAAGTCCCACGAGTTGACTTTACTTACAATACCCTACATCCTCTCGACTTGATAGTTCGCAGCTACGCCACTGAGGCTGCTGCCGCTGGTCTCCGTTTGACCTTCGCTGTCCCCCACCAGGTACAGATCATTGATGTGCCTTGCACCTGGAGACATTTATGGCCGTGCCTTTTTTTCTTGTAATCGTGGCGGCTACTAATATATCCCTGTCTCGACGCGTTTATAGACCATCTACAAGGATGTTTCCGTTGCCCAGGTCAACATTGCTGCCGTCTCCGGTGACATGGGTATCCTTGCCAGCCACGTTCCCTCCATTGAGCAGCTCCGCCCTGGAGTTGTTGAGGTTATCGAGGGTGCTGCCACCAAGAAGTTCTTCGGTAATTACCCTATACCGGATGCAAACAAGGAGAATCATCAGGACCAACGAGATGGAGGATAGGAACGGATTTGACAGATCAGGATCTACAAATGCTTTCAGCGCAAGCGATGGAACCATCGAGCCGTCTGTACATCAGGATGACCCGCTTTGTTTTTTTTCCAAGGGACATCACAGACGCCACCAATCCACCCGACCTTTACCCCTAATAACAATGCAGAGACGTAGAAAATCAAATCGACGCATGTACTCATCACGAATAATCTTCTTATTTATCATCGTCTACATAGTCTCTGGAGGTTTCGCCACCATGAACCCCGATTCCACCCTCAACATCAACGCCGTTGAGGCTTTCCCCGTTGAGGATTTCAGCGCTGAGGTACTTTTTTTGTCTGTTATCGCTGTAATTGTACACGATGATGTTGATGAAGGACTGTTAACTAACAAACGTGGCTTATTCACTCTGACTACTGTTTTGACGTACTCTAGACCATCCGCGCCAACCTCGCTGAGGCCCAGCGTCTTTCCAACGCTGCTGCCACCGAGGAGGAGAAGCTCGCTGCCAAGGTTGAGGTCGAGGTTCTCGAGTCCCTCCAGGCTGCCGTCCTTGCCAAGTAAATGGTAGCTTTGCATTACATGACCGTAGATAAAAACACAGGAAGACGAGAAAAGTATCACAATAGACGACGTTCAGCTTTTCAAAATACATATCCATATCCATATCATTCATATTCGCGCGGTCTACGTGCATTTCATATCCCTTTGTCGTATGAAGGATAAAAATATCTTTTTTGTTTCGCCCAGAATTTTTCAAGACAAGTCGGAACAACCCTTCCTCGTGGCGAGCTGGTCCTTGAAGATTTCTTTTCTTTCTACAACTTTTTTTGCACTTCATTTCCTCTCACCTCATCCATCGAGGCCCTTTCCACTCCATTGCGCATGGCACGTTCATTGAGGACACCCTCGCTTTGGGACTCAATTCCCTCAGAAACAGTACTCGATGTCTGCAGTTTCCTTCCAACAATCGACCTCCTAAATCTATGCGCCGCCTATCATGAAATTGAACAGCTGGCCACAACCACGTCAACACTCTGGTGGATTGTTCATCTGCCATACCCAGATCCACAACTATACAACTACCCAGGGTGGCGACATCGTCCACGAGCAGCCCATCGATCTACTTTTCACCAACCAACACCAACAACACCACCAAGATCTGACCAACCCAATAATCCAATCACGATTTTTCAAGACGCACGATATCGCTTCATGGCAGCGGCAGGCGACAACAGCGATCTGCATGGCTCAGAGACAATGGAAAGCGGCAGTGCACATCCAGAATTCATTGCCTGGATTATCTTGGATGTGCTGAACTCTATCCCTCTTCATTTCACTCGACATCTGAGTTTCGACAGTCCACCCTGCCATCTGTGCGTCTATCCTTGCAGACGGTTTTGCGCATGTGAGTGTCACCAAAACGAACAAAATCATCATCAACATGACAGCCCATATCAGTTCCAACACCGTTTGAACATGTGGAATCCATCGCAACAGGAGGAACTGGTGCCAATATCGCAGCCACTGCAGAACCTGTTTGAGTCGGGCTTTGTTGACTTTAGTCGGCATATCAATGTCCGTTTGCTGAGCCAGGCGCTCACCATGCCAGCCAGCAGCACAATTACAACAAGTCAGTCTACAGGAATCAGTCACCTTTCCTTCATCTCTCAACCCAGCACCAACAACCCCAACAATATTGTCCACGACGAGCTGAGCTTGGAGGATGCTTTACTGCAACTGAGTAACATCGAGGATGAGCAGACTGCCTTCGAGGAACAATCACAACACGGGTACTCTCAGCTTCTCTATCGTAAGTAGATAATCCATGGCGTAATGGATTTTATGTGATGAAAAAGAAGAGCCCTAACCCAATTGTGTTCACCTTTATTCTAGCCGAAGCCACAGTCCAAACCCATGGCACCTATGCGGCAGACGCGACCGAACTGGAAGCTTCACAAGAGACCTTCCCCCAGCTTTCGGAGGAGGAGCTCCAAGAAGAATCACGCCAACAACTGGAGACTCGAGCATCTTATCTGCGAGCCCGACTTTTAATGCAGATCCTTTCTTTGAGAGACCTTGGGTCTTTGGAGACACTGCGTGCTCCTTGGTGGCCCGCAGCAAGGATCTACACCATTCGACAGCAATTGGAGAGGTGGTCGTTCGTGGTCGAGCAGGCATTGGCAACAGCCCACAACGAAGGAGCAGTTATAGATCAACAACAACTTGCAGGACCAACACCAATGGATGCGCCTCAACAAACACCGACGCCTTCGCCTCGGACCCATTGGACAAATCGGCTCCTTTCTGGCGAAGACCCCAGTGCGATTTCAACACGGTGGCCAGCCGCAGCTCATTCCAGTCCAATGCCAGCGGCACCAGAAGAATATACACAACCTCAGATTCCAGAGACGACTGCAATACCCACGCCATTATTCCCATTGGCGAGTCTAACCAAGTTTACCTTGCGGTGTGGTGGCGAGATGAGTTCCCATGACCGTCACTGCCTGGGTATATCTGCCATGATTCTCTCTGGACGGTCTTCAGTCAATTCCTCACAAGCAGGAACACCTCCTCCACCAACGACAATCGATCCAAGGACGTTGATGTCCTCCGACAGTAATCCCCCGTCCTTGACCGCTACACGTTCACCTTGGAAAGGCGAGTTTCGCTACTGTCACCATTGTGGGTCGCAGTACCTCCAAATTTCGACTGCAGCATCCAATGCATGTTTTTGCAGGCGCTTCTACAGTCCTTAATAAAAATTGCGCACTGGCCAACGATTTATCAAATGGAATTCCACGTGACTTGATCGCACAGTCACTTTTGTTTTCGATTTTTCTTTTTTTTTTTCCTTGAAGCAACAACTTCGTGAAGAATACTTTCGCCCATTCGTACCTTCATTCATTCACAGTCCACACACCACACAGCCTGGCAGGATGGAAGCCAAGACACAGTTCAAGGACAAGAACGAGCTCGTCAAGGCCCTCTCCGAGCTCAAGGAAGAACCCATTTTCATAGGCACGTCCCTCCCCTATCATTGCAACACGTTCAATTTAACATGCTCGCTCGCAAGCAAAGCGTGTCGCCGCCAATTGAAAGGACGTTTCCTAACCAACTGCAACAACAACTCTCATTCACATAGGCCTGAAGCGTCTCAGGCAACAACTCAATGTCCGACCCAACTCCAGTGACCCGACAGAGAGCGCACAGGCAACAAAGTCGCTCGGCGTTGTTTACGACTATGTTGACGAGTCACCAGAGTGCACACAACTGTTCAAAATCTGGGAATGGCAGCATCAATTGGATATCAGGAGGATCGAGGCTTCCATCGTCGAAGTCCTGTCAAAACTTATCCACCAATGCAACACAGCGCTTCATCGCCCTCATGCCATCAGACTGACTCGATCGATCCTGCAGAACCAGGGCCGGATGACTTGCATCTACAAGAACTTGTCTTCTGGACGCCAGAACACTGTGCAGGCCACCCTTCGACTCTTGACTGCCATGAACCATGTTCACCACACAACTACCAAGGAGCTCAAGGATGGCTTCAACTTTAGTCTGAAGGCATTGACCAAGCTAAGGCACATGAGGCGCAAGGAGGGCGAGACTGAGTCAACCAACAAAGCCGGTATGTTGACACTTTCTGGAGTGCTTTGCGCGACAGTCGATTGGCTTCTGACTTGGCTATATGGATGGCAGGACTGACATTTGTTACCAATTGCCTGGAATTAGACACTCGGACACTCTATGTTCAGTTTCTGCTGGCATTCTTCATTCGAGGCGATGCGACAGTCAAGAAGGAGATTCTGGAGATGCCCGATCTATTCCAACTCGCGCTCAAGGATTTGCCCAACGACCCTTTCCCACTTGTCAACCAGGTTCTCCTTGTCCTCACCAACAACATTATCATGGACAACGAGCTCTCCAGGACAAGCAAAATCACCTTCTTCAGCACCTCCTTCCTTGTGAATGTGCTCAAGCTGTACTTAAGGACAGAGCCAGTGGAAGGATCAGACCAGACCGCCGCCATTGCCGTCCATAAGTTCATGATGACGCTCTGCACAACTCCAGGAGTCGGTATTTGCTTCCAGGATGCGGCTTGGTACCCTCCCAGCATTCTCACCTCCACAATCTCAACAGACAAGACATCTGGTGACGGTAACAAGATAATCTTCAACAAGACCCTTTCGCAGCTCTTGACACATCTCCGACCCACCGAAAACTTGCTCCAGCAGGAGCTGACCGTTTCGATTCTGACAGCGTGCCCCGAACTTGTCCGAGTGTAAGGCATATCCATGTCATTATGTGCTAAATTTCCTGCTCAATGCAAACAAGGCCCTAACCAGCATCATGTGTATATGGAATTACTATAGATTCTGGCAAAAGGCGAGCATACAGCTGGAGCCAAGATTATCAGCAAGGTGGCTGGCTAACATGACGCTCTTGCACAAGATCACGGAGATCCCAGTACCCAACCTCTACCTTCAACACACAGGACTCTTTGCATCCCACCCTCCTCCTGTCTCGACCATCATCGAAAACATCCTTCCTTCTTCCGCGAACAGGACAATCCTCGGAAAGGGCTTGCAACACTCTAGCATGCTTGTTCGGTACTTCACCATCGTCGAACTTGCAGCCGTATTCCAGAAGGCAGAGCAGGTGGTCGCTGTGATGCAGTCGGCAGTCAAGACGCTCGCGATTAATGACGAGGAGATCTCAGCATCGGACGAATCAGCGGACATGACGGAAGGAGCAGCCGACACGAAATCGTCTGATCCACCAGCGCAGCAGTGGGCGAGCGCAATCACGTCGCTTATGGCAGAGCTCCGCCGTCGTGTTCCCGATATCCAGATCATCATCATGCTTCACAATGGGATCCTGTCGCTGGCGCAGTCGGAGGCAGAGAGCGAGGAGAGCATCAGGAACAACCTATTCAACAACGGAGTTCTGCGTCTCATCAAGTACTACCAGCAGTTCCTTCCTCAAACGGTCAGTGAAGCTAAATTCGACATTGGAAAGCTTATCCCCTCGGACTTTTCGACTGTCCAGGCTGGCACCCTCATCCACCTTCTGGAACTTCTCCTGGAACTGAACGACTTTCGATGGTCCAACAAGTCGTTGGATGGCTCGTCATATCTCAACAAGCTTCTGGCCCTGTTCCTCATTACAGCCCACCCTCACATCAAGGCACTGACTGGGCGTTTGGTGTCAAAACTCTTGGGCGAATCGATTCTATTCCAGCATGACCCATCGGAGGCGAGTCTGTGGATTGAGGCTATCCCCATCTCAAACTATGGTCGCCCTCAACTCGCCGGAGATCAGAGCCAGTTCCTGCATTTCTTTGACGACTGCGTGGCGCGTTGTTTGAGGACACCCTACAAGTATGTCGACCAGTCGTCGGTTATCATGAAGGCTCTTCAGGATACGTCAGCTATGGACGTCGACACTTCAAACGACATTCGCCACCTTCTTTCCAACTCCCAGCACCAGGACGTCACACGGCCGTACAGCCCTCTCCTGATGACTGTGATTGAACAGTTCCAGCATGTCTATGCAAAGGACAAGGCTGTGGCCGCGTCTATTGCCGCCTTCCTTAACCGACTGATGCCCACGTTGACCTGGAACCAGAACCGGACTTCTGCCCTTGCTGTTGGATGCTTGCACCGTATTCAGGATCCAAGCACTCAGGAGCTGGATGCCATCACAGGATTGAACGAGGACAAGAGAGCTCGCATCTCCCAGCTTGGCTCGCCCGAATATCTGACCATGGCGTACGAGGGTCTGAAGGAGAACGGCGCGGTCACTACCACCACTAATTCCAAGGCCTTCAAAAAGGTGGATGATGCTGCTTTGCTTCAGCTTCTTAAATCGAGCGACCGAACCGCCTTTGCCACCAACCTCCAAGTACAGTGTGCGGCAGGAGTTGCCAGGAACTTCAAGCTGGTGGTCGAGTATGCGATCAGCAGCAGGGAGTCAACCAATGCTCTGGTGGATTACATCAGGACGAGATACCCTTTTGCCGGTTCTATCTACGACATTTCTGATGTCGTAGCACTCTTGGAACAATCCGATCAAGACAGTGAAATGGAGGACCAGGATCCCGTCCACGGTTTCCTTCAGGAGCTTCCTTTCCCCAGTCTGTTCTCCAACACCCGGCCATCAGATCTATCCAACTCGTTTGTTCAGGACTTGCTGAAGCACTCTATTGGTCGGACCGAACCTAGGCTTCTGGCTATCTACAGTAACCTCGTCATCCGTCAACTTGCAAGCTGGATCTCGTCGAACAGTGCTGATGACGATGCTGTGAATGCAGCCTTCGATCTGCTGACATCTTTCTTGGACTGCAGCAGGTCAGAGGTGACCATCTTTGATGAGTTCAAGAGTCGTCTCTCGGAGAACTTTATCCTCCGCGAGCTGTATCTGTCCCAGTTGCAGGCCACCAAGTTCAAGTCCTTGGACACTTTCGATGCCCGCGTTGTCGATCTTTTGATCGCCAGCACAAAGTCTGCAACTGCTGCTGGCAGCAGGAAGACGGCGGCATCGGATGTCTTGTTGATGAGCCACTTTGTTCGCAAGACTGTCGAGCGTGTCATGCATGAGCTCGAGAGCATGAAGACGTCTGGCGGAAAGGCCTTGCAGCCCATGGTAAGTTACAGGTCGTTATGTAATACACGATGTTGTTTTGTGTCTAGTAACTGACAATACCCTTAACATTCGACTTACCATCTTTAGACTGTCAAGTACTTTTCAAAGTTGCCGGCCTTGTGCACTTCATCAGATCTGACCATGATTTTGGAGTCGCTACTCAAGCTGCACGGACAAGCCAAGTTCTCGGCCACCGCTACCTTCAACGCGCTCTTGTCGACCATCCTCAAAAACCTAACTCGCCAAGGAAGCTCCGCCTCTGCCATCCCCGTCCACTCCACTGCCGCCCTGATGGATCTTTGGAGGAGCCAGCCGTCGGAAGAGCTGGACGCTATCGTTCTGGATGTCATTCGGGGTCGCCTTTGGCCCAACGCCATGGCAGAAGTCGCGTTCCCTCTGGACCTGTCGACTCCCGGAGTTTTCGACCAAGCCTTGGATTCTCTTCACTCGTCCTCGTTGAGCGACCTCGACCTTTCGCTTGTTGATTTCATCTTGGAGAACTCGAACCCCAAGCGCAACTTGATCTTGTCGGCACTCTTGACTTGCTCTGCTTCGTCCCGCCAAAAGTTTGCGACCAAGGTGTTGGCTTTCTCCAAGAAGGATCTCGAGAGGCATATGGAGGATACCGGGTTCCATGTTCTCTTGCATGCCTATTTCCATCGCCTGTCGACTTCCCAGGACAACCAACGGCTCCAGTGGTCGGCTTCTGCATCTCAGGAAGATCGCCAGGCTGTCAAGGCATTGCAGCCCTTGCTTCTTCCTAAGATGGTCCAGCACATTGTCAAGTCATTCGCTAATGTAAAGGAGTCTGCATTCAGCTCGAGCGATCCTTTGCTGGTCGCCGATGCTGCCGCCATCCTGGTTTCCTTGACTACAAAGTCGTCGGACAAGAAGCAGGTGGATTCAGCGTGGTCTCTTGTGGAGAGCATCCCCAAACTCGGACTGGAGAGTATTGGTCTTTTGGAATCCCTCCTCGATATAACCAAGGACGTTACGGGAGAACTCGAGCAGGAGAGCAGACAAAACAGACTGGCAAGATGGTTTGAGGAGACTGCACGTCGATTGATTGTGATCCTGGACAAAAACGGAGATGCACAGTGGCTCGAGCCTGTCTGCGATCGGTTATATAACATTCTTGAGAAGCATGTTGAGGAGCGGAAACAGAGCATCGATCAGAAGGTCCTGTTTGAGCTGGTGTCGTTTGCTATTGAGAAGGCTCTGGATAATGTGGAGCTTGTGCGGTTCTCTGCCTTCTTGGCCAAGCACTACTATGTTGAGGTAAGTTGCAATGACAATAGTCATTTACAAATCGTCTTGGATTTTGAAGGCATGGCAGATCAAGCACTTACCCTCTCCTCCTTTTGTCCAATACGTTTTTGTTCAATGTGTTTAGACTTCGCAGAGCTCAGTACTGCCCCAGATTCTCCAAACGCTCTTCAAGCATAGGCAGTTCTCGTCATTGGCAATGGCCACAGCACCTACAACCAAGCACACAGTCCCCGAGAACTTCAAGACACGCCTGGCCATCGTCCAGCTGATCTATACCCTGACCTGCCTCGAGCCCAAGACTTGCTGCAAAGCCGGATTCCTTCCCATGCTCCTGTCTTGCTACTCTGCCTCGACAAGTGTGGCTGACCAGCTGCTGCTGACGGTACTGAAGATCACAGAGGCTCATACGGCAGGGTCCATCTCGAACCGTGCCCCTGTCTGGGGATCTGGTACCGAGAACACAAAGTCGTCGGGCGCGCTCTTCGGTCAGGCCACGATGACGGAGAGTTTGGACTTGATTGACCCCAGCATGATGATGGCTTCTGCTACACAGTTCCCTGTCGATCGTGAGTTGGAGAGCGAGGCTCCTCTGGTGACGAAGCAGGACTACGACGAGGAGGTTGTTAAGCATCAAGCAGCACCCATCTACGATCCTTGCTTCATATTGCCGCTCTTTGGAACGTACATGGCGTTCGGTGGACTGTTAGATATCCGTCGATTCATCGAGGTCAACGGATTGGGTTACATTATTGTCGCTCTTTCTTCTTGTGATGAGAACATGCGCTTTGCTGCCTACTCCTTGCTCGACGACTTTTACCCTCTCCTCTCTGTATGTTCGCTGTCTATTCGCCCATGCTAAATGCTATTGTTCTTTCAACATTCAAATCTTTTCTAACCATATATCTACTTCTCACGTTATGCTCGCAATCTAGCAATCGACCATGAGGGAGAAGAACCAGCTGTTACTGCTGATGGACGCTCTCAGGAACGCAATCGTCGAACGCGACGACGGCGTCGCACCACCCAGGATCCCAGCCGTGATCACCGCCTTTGTCACCCAAGCCCTCACGACACTCCTGAAACCCGACCATTTCATGTACCCGCACGTCAACAAGTTCTGTCTCCAACGTCCCGTCATTGATCTGGAGGATATCCCCATGTTCTACAGCATGTTCAACTCTTCGTCTGATAACCACCGCAAGGAACGTGTTTGGATGCTCCGACTCTTGGCTACGTCTTTGAAGACCTCGGAGGATTATAAGCTGTTCAGGCGTCGTCATGTTGTTGACCTTCTGGTCGCCTTTTTCAACTCACAGCTTGCTGAGCCCCTTTCCAAGAAGATCGTCATCGAGGTAAGAATCCCTCAGGCGCATTTCCGTTTGTTACACATATTTGGAAAAAAAAAAAAAAAGGACCGAATTTTGACGCGCTTTTCGTTGCTGTCGTAGATCTTGTTCAACGCGGCAGCTATCCCCAAAGCCTCGCTTCAGCTGATCACACAGAGCGCATTCTTGAGTTGGATCCACTCACTCTCAGCAATCAATCCCATGAACAGCGATAATGAGTTTGCTCTGGTTCCAGCAAGGCTGTTGCTTCGTATCATCCTATCCTGCCCCAAGGAAAACATTCGCTGGATGAATGGTATCTGGAAGAACCAGGTCTCGGGCATTGCCACCACCTTGCTCCGTCAGTTGAGTAAGTTTTTCAGCGTGTTTTTTTTTCTTGCTGCCAAACTTGCTTCGTCCTCCCTCCCACTACGAACACCCTACTAATTTACGTAACTTATTGTTTGTCGCGCTTATAGGCATTGTCAAGGTGACAGGAGCGAACTTGACGTGGGCACTCGCTAGTCTAGAATCCATCCTCGAGATCTTTGCGTTCCTCAAGACCTCCCAAGAAACAGCCTTCTCGTCGACCGAAGAAACGACAGTACCCGAGAAAAAGACTGACAGCGAGTCTTACCTCCTCCTCCAGAACACGTTGTTCACACCTAGCCACGCAGAGCAGTTCCTCCAGATCCTCCTCACATGCGAACAGGTCATGGTCGTCTCCGAAGACCAATGCCCCGTCAAGGCACCCGCATCTCTCCATTCGCTTAAGGACAGAATTCCCAAGCGGTCTGATCCTCTCGAGTCCATCTACCGCATTGACCCAGTCCCCGTCCGGAGCCATTCCCGGATCGTTCGCTTGGGCTTGGATCTAGTCAACCAACAACAGCAGCAGCAACCCTCTTCCGCCTCTTCCAGCCAGAAGGACATTATCCTTTCAAGAGCACTCTGCTACCGAATCCAGGAAGCCATTGAGATGGCTCGTCTTGGAGAGAACGCCACCAATTGAAACTCTTTCCATTTTAGCATGATCATTTCGTAATACATAGACACATTTTTTGCATTCCATGTCATGGTCATCGTTGGTTGTAATTATTCGTTGCTTGTGGTCTCGGTGTTCCTAAATATCTTCATCGTCGTCAATGGCAATCTCGTCAGGGTTCGTTACTGCAACAGGAGCTGCAGGTTCTTCCTCAGCCTCTCCGTGAGTCTGTTTAACAGAATGAGCAGACGATCTATGAAAGAGAAACGAAAAAAGAGTAGAGATTGTTAGTCACCGCCTAAGCATTCCAAAACAAAATAACAGCACACACTTCAAATCATAGAACCACGCATCGGTTTAGAAAAGAAAACATACTTGACAAAGGCCATCTCTCCAGGTCCGCCAATAGTCATGCGATCCAAGGTCTGCATAGCATCGCCGCCAGCAGCCTTGCTCTTCTCCTGGGTCTGAAGCATCTGGGCAGTAATGTAGCTGACATCGGTGTTGAACTTGACTTGGACACTCCGTTTGATACGGAGCATCTCCTTGAAAGTATCCTCGTTTCCATGCTGCACCTCGAAATCGTGCCATGTCTGCCAGTAATCTTGCGCGATCTGCAATCATTTCAAAACAGTCAAATGTATGAGGTATTAATAACGGGAAAAAAACAACGCCGCGAGAACAGCATGAGTAACGTGTAACAGCAGAACGCTTACCCTGGGGTCGCAGAATTGACTGCCGTGAGCATAGATGCCTCTGGCACGATCGACTTCGCCCAGCTTGCGCTCCATGTCTGCATAACGCAAGCACATGATACGTGCATCCTTGTCCTGAAGAACCTCGATAGCGCGCTCGTAGATCTCGCGAGTTGACGTGACACCAAACATGGTTGCCGCCTTAGCAATGTAGAAGTGGTACATGTCGGCGCGGTCCTCCGGTGCAACCACCTTGGTCGCTCTGTCGTAGATACTCATAGCGTGACGCGCCAAACCATGAGTCTCCTCCAAGTTTCCGTACATAAGGTAAAGAGGCTTGGCGTGTTTGGCTGGCACCTTCTCAATAGCCTGCTCAAAGAGATCTCTAGTACGCTCGAGTTTCGTTCCACCCTATGATCATCGCCATCGGGAAAAAGGCAGACTGTTAGCTTTCCTCCTAGAAATGAAGCGACATAAACACTTCACGTTGCAAGAGGAAGGAGTAACATGAAAACTTACATAGCGCTCGATAAACTTCAAAAGATAAATATTCCAGAGCTCAAAGGCAATAGGGTAGCCAAAAAGGTCGATACCACGCTCGTACACCTTGTAACTGTCCTCGAAGAACTTGTTCTCCTCCAAAAAGTTGGCATAGTTGACAATGATCTGAGGGTTGGCGATCTTGATTTCCAGAATCTTGTCGTACACAGCCTTTGTCGACTCCACTGTTCCAACCGACTCCTCCAAATCGACATAGAACGACCACAAGCGCAACGACTTGTAAACACGAACTTGAACAGGCAGCGTCTATGGTTTGGTGATAGGGAGGCACACTGTTAGTCAAGGACCGTCCATGAGAATGAGAACAGTTGCTGATTGAAGGGCTCTTGTCACAAGACATACCTCGTCGTGAAATGCAATGTTCTTTTGCTTGGAAGGTATCGTAGCACGCCCCATGACCTGAAGTGCCGCATCGTAGTTCCTGAAAACAAATAAATCAAAATAGAAAAAGTCGGCGTCAGTTTCCAGGGCCATCATCGGTGCGGTAACAATTCGAGAATTATTTGGAGAAGAAAACTTACTCGTGGCGGACCTCCATCTCTGCATACTCGCACCAGACATCAGCCAGGTCATTGACAGTCTTGTAGTTGACCTTGGTCGCCTTCTCAAAGATAGTCCTAGCCGAGATCAAGTCGTTGCCATCCTCGTAAAACTTGGCAAACTTGATCCAAAGTCCGTTGAACTTTCCATCTGCCTTCTTTGGGTGAATCGTCGTCACAGCCTGTGTGTAGGTATCAACCACTTTCTGTGCGTTATCGCCCCAGAGCTCAACCCGCTTCTGCCACTCATGAACGCTGTTGGGGTTCTGTCTCAACAAGACTTCGTTGACCAAGAAGGGACGACGCTCCATCAAACGCTCCAGTCTCATCAAACGCATGTCCAGCTCCATCTGATCCACTCCTGCCTCACCCTCGGCCTCGGCAGCCTCGGCAGCCTCCATCTTGGCACTGATCACAGACTCCTCAAACTCGGCATAGGTGTCAAAAACCTGGGTGAAATCGCGAACAGTCATGACAGATGTAATCGCCTCCTCGTACACATCCCGAGCCTTCTCAAAATGGTTTAGCAAAATCCAATACTTTGCGAGATCGTTCCAGAGACGTCCTGTTTGATCCGTGAACCTCCTGATGCCGCTACGAATAATGTTCTCGATGGGGATTGACTTGACATCCTTAGGGTGAGAGCAAATGATGTCGCACAGCTGACGCCAAAGCTGGTAGTGTGATTTGCCGTGCATGGACTGGAACTTTTCGTTGTTGATCATCTTGCAAAGCCGAGAGGCAGCCTCGTCGTAACGCTCCATTAACACCAACAAGTCGACATAGTCCTCTCCGTGATTTGGCTCCAACTATGTGCGATCAGGAATAAATTCAATTCGGTAGTGAAAAGATCGAAATTGTTAGGACAAAAAACAAAAGGCACAGCGGATATTGTTTTTTTTCATAGTGGCGTTCTTACCTTCAAGTAGCGCTTGTAGACTTTGAGTGCTGTCTCTCCACCAACCTTCTTGGCCCAAGCCAAATACAGGTGCCAAATGCGAATGTGTTGAGTAATGGGAAGAGCCCTCAGTGCCTTGTCGAATACCCTCCTGGTCTTTGTGATCCTGGGTGTTGCGATGAGGTGCTGAAGATAGTCGATCCAGATCCTTGGCATCTACTCATTTCCATGTCAATGTGGTGTGAAGTGGTGTGAACCAATGTCAGCATTCTTTCAATAACGTCAACAAGTAGTAATGAACTCGGAAGGCTATCGTCGATAATGTACCTTGTGGAGGAGCACCAAGGCACGCTCATAACAATCATCCACGCTCTCCCATTCACTCTGAGCCTTTACATAGGGCAAGTTGCGCTTGGTGAGGTGCTGTTTCCTCTGATCCAGATATGCCTTCCAGAGTTTGTATGATCCCGGCAGTTCCTTGACCGCTCTCTCGTAGACGACGAACTGTTGTGCAATGGGCGACTTCGCATGATGCTCCAGATATCGCTGCCAATGGCGAAGGGAGTAAGGGTTTCTAAGAAGATCCTCTTCGAACGCCACATCTTTGTCCGACTATCAGTATTGACAAATAGGAAGGTGGCGTTAGTTCCGTCACTTTTTTTTCCCCTTCGCTGTTACGTAGGATGTCCGCGAACGACAAGACCACAATCATCTCCAGAAAACACAGTCAGCTTGGTCGTACTTACAATGTTGATGGAATCCTCCAGGACAACCTCCATGGCCTGTGGTGCGGCAGACTTTGTTGGTTTGGCGGTGGCTTTCTTCTCTCCTGGCATGATGTCTACGCGCTCCTGTGTGTTCGAGTGAGGTTTGGAGGAAGAAATGAATGCGCCAAAGTCCTGATCTTCCTCGCCTGCACTCTCAGTCTAAGCCTCCATCGTCCAGACAGTCAAGCCATAAAGACCCCTTAAATCAGCGAACCAGCACTACTACTCAGTTGAAGAGCCGCCTTTGGGCGATGTTCCGTTCAACGACATCTTCAACGACCAGGAACAACGGAATCGCAGGAACAACGACAACGCTCATCATCGCGAACTGACGGATACCAATTAGAGCAGTAGCACAGGATGCCTTACAACATTTGGTAGGAAAGAATGTTTGCAGCAACAATAATAAAATGGTGTTTAACACGACACAGATATTTTTAAGCGGTAATATTGACCCTTTGATGTCATTTGGTCTCTGATAGCATGGTGTCGGATTTTTTTTATCCGAATGCAGGAGGAGTCGAATCACATCTCTATCATATCTCGCAGCGTCTGATACAGCGAGGACACAAAGTCGTCATCATCACACACGCCTATGGCGGCAGGAGCGGGATCCGGTGTCTGACCAACGGGCTCAAAGTCTACCATGTCCCTATGCCGGTTGTCTTCCAGAACGCTTCCCCTCCAACACTCTACGGATTCTTTCCTGTCTTCAGGGCAATAGTCTTGCGGGAGCGGATATCGATCGTTCATGGACACCAAGCTTTCTCCTCCATGTGCCACGAGGCCATCATCCACGCACGCACCATGGGTCTCAAAACCTGCTTCACAGACCATTCGCTCTTTGGATTCTCTGATCCCAGCAGTATCATCATGAACAAGTTCCTCAAGTTCACCCTCTCGGATATCGACCACGTCATTTGCGTCTCTCATACAAGGTAACTTGAAGACTGGATCTTGAGGCATGGTTGTGTAAAGACCCGGAGGATGTGAAGAACATGCACTAACATGGCTTTCTTCCGTATTTAATAGTAAAGAGAATACCGTCCTTCGAGCAGCTTTGACACCCCAAAATGTCTCTGTCATCCCCAACGCTGTAATTGCATCGAGCTTCAAACCTGACCCCAGTATGCAGGATCCCAACGTCAGTAAGTACCTTTGTTTATCGCCGTAACTAAAACTGCAATATCGTAAATTGCGCAACAATGACTGTCGTACTAACTTACCGCAAATATCTTTATTTCAGCAACCATCGTTGTTATCTCGCGTCAGACATACCGCAAAGGAATGGACCTTCTCGTCGCTGTGATCCCTCGAATCTGCCGAAAGTACTCCAAAGTACGATTTGTCATTGGAGGAGACGGCCCCAAGAGAATCGATCTAGAACAGATGCGGGAGAAGCACCTACTACACGACCGAGTTGAGTTCCTTGGTTCTATCAAGGCCCATCAAGTCAGAAATGTATGTCTTTTGATTCTCTGGACCAATGTCGCTCAACATGCGGACAAAACTCGTGGTATTCAACTCACCCCTTTTGCTTTCCTTACTTTATAGACATTAGTTCGTGGACAAATCTTCCTCAACACCAGTTTGACAGAAGCCTTTTGTATCGGAATTGTGGAGGCAGCCTGTGCAGGACTCTTGGTCGTTAGTACAAAAGTTGGTGGTGTTCCCGAAGTACTACCCCGGCATATGATCATTTTCTCGAAACCCGAGGAGGATGGTACGTGCTTTCTTTTTTGCGTTTTCCTCGTGAACGAGGAGAAAGGGGGAAAGGCATAATGAATTAAACGACTAGTCGTTACACAGAGAATGGCCAGATGGGACTAATCCTAATTATCTCTTGTCCCTTTCGTATCATTCAGACTTGGTCCAGGCACTAGACCGATCGATTGAAATGATCCAGAGAAAGGAGGTTCAGCCTGCGAAATTCAACGACGAGCTCAAGGAGATGTATAGTTGGGTCAATGTTGCAGAGAGGACAGAGAAGGTCTATGATGCGATCTCACAGACTCGCGATCCTCCTCTCATCGAAAGACTTCGCAGGTACACATACAAAAGGAGGACATTTTTTTTTGCATGCTACAGCTGTTCCCATGAAAGGTCTCTCATCAACCTCATGTACTCATCAACCCATTTTCTCGCGGCATCCTGTCTTTAGCTATTATGGATGTGGCGTCTTTGTCGGCAAACTGTTTTGCATCATGATCGCTCTGGACTATCTGCTCTGGGTGTACCTCGAATGGGTCCTCCCACGCGACGAAATCGAGCCCGCTCCAAAGTTCCCCTACAAAAAATTCAAAAAGGTACGGTTGAGCTATACTGACAAGCAGTGGTTCTACACAGAGATTAGAAGAGTCGAGAGTTAACATATGCGAATCTTATTATTCTTCATAACTGATAGATGTGCCAACGTGCTGACAAGGAAGACGAGTTAGAGCCGAACGTGGATTCATTGTAGATCATTAAAGCATTTGTCAATTGTTCTTGTTTTTTGTTCTTTTTGGATCGCTTTATTCTCATGTTTTTTTCCTTTTTTTTTACTTTTTTAAGTCGCGGGTTGCAAGGGAAGGTTTAGGGTTATGACCTTGTCAAAGTATGCAGTAAACGAGATGGGGTTGTGTGAAGTATGAGTGCAGTTCAATGGTGGAAAATGTACAATGGTGACAGAGAGGAAGAGAAAACGAGAGGAACAAAACGATATATGCTATTTCGAAACCGCCGTGGAACAATTTTCCCTTCAGAGGAGCTTGCAGCGCCTCCTCCTTGCTCCCCTCTCTGTGTTAGTTGGGGTTTGTCGGTTGATCAGGCGGACAAGGTCGTAAAAGACCTCGTCGACGTTTATCCGTGTTCGTGCAGAAGTCTCGTAGAACGGCGTTCCGCCCCATTCTGTTGAAAGAGCATCGCCACGATCCCGCGGTACCATCCTGTCCTCGACGAGATCGCATTTGTTGCCGACAAGGACCACGGGCACCTGGGCAAAGTAGAAAAAAAAAAAGTTGGGTTCATCGGAGCAGGAAAAAATAAGAGTAAAAGAGAATCGATCGTTTAGTAACGCGTTCGTCTACCAATAACGGCCATGCAAGGGAAAGGCGTATGTGAATACAAGGAGAGGGCAGGACGATCGATAGGCGTAAGTCGTTTTGAGAATAAAAGATTTACGGACGCAAAAGATGAGCACCATCGATTACATGCGCAACAACATAGGTCTAACAATCCAACGCCCAATGGACGGCTGCATTTCCTTCGTGGCCGATAAAAAAAAAGGTATGCGTCCCCGGATTCAACGAATCGATGATGCAGAAAGGGACACTGGGCACCACCACGTACGATAAGGGATGCACATCGAGAAAACCTGTTTGTGCTTGCGCTGTGTTGCGTTTAAGTTTGCTCTGTGTCTGTGTGTTTGTGGATGTCCATGTTCGTGTGAAAAAAGAAAGGAAAATAGACCCTTACCGCTCGCGATTCCTTGACTTCCATGATTTGTGTGCGAAGACCTTGTAGCTCTCTGAACGTTGCCTCTGCAATAATTGAGAATACCAGAATAAATCCTTGTCCGTTTTTCATGTATAGGTCCCGCATAGCTGTGAACTGCTCCGTCCCGGCGGTGTCGAGGATCTCAAGCATGCATTGGTGGCCATCGACCTCGACCTGTTTCCGATAAGAATCTTCGATTGTCGGATCGTACCGATCCACAAACACGGATTGTACGAATTGTACCGTCTAGACGATGGAGGGTAGTCGACGACGGGCAAGAAAGAAGTTGGGACGTTAGCTTTAATTGCAGCTTGGTGCTTGTCACTCACTTCGCGCTGAGTGTCAGCGCTATCATTGTCGTCGTCAGCATTAATATCGCCGTTGGTTGTTGTCGCCGTCGCCATCATCATTGCCGCTAATTGCCATATCCTGGTTGGACGCCTTTCGTTGCTTGTTAAGACATGTGTGTGATGTATTCATTTGTGTGTACGCTTTTCTTTCTTTCTTTCCCTCTTTCATTCATCCTCTTCCCATCGGCACAAATGCTCACATATTTTTTTTTGGCGCACCCCTTCCTTTTTTTTCGACCTCTTTGCTCGTCTCTTTTTCCCTTCTCCTTTGGCCATCTCGAGTATTGTCCCGACCGTGGCCTTCCCCTTCAAATGTCTATGCGCTGGCATGCATGAATCATCTACAGTTGAGTTTGCTCTCACTAGATCCATTATTTTTTACTCGTATTTTTTTCTCAAAAGCATCAGTAAAATCGCGCTCCTTGGATGCCATGACAAACGAACGCGAAGGTGGGCGACAGCACTTAAAGTCAATTGGAGTTTCAGATGGCCGTGCCAAGAAGCCTGAAGGTGTATGTATATACGTTTTGGCGCATTAACATAACTGCTATTTCTGAAGTCGTATACAGTAAGGCGAATGATGGCTTGTAAGGGATACAGAAATGGAAAAGACGAAGGATGGACTCACCAATGCGGATTTGCCGACACCTCCGGAACCAAGAACAACCAGCTTGTATTCACGCATAACGAAAGGCGGTCAGGGAGAGGGGAGACGGAATGAGGCGAATGGAGGGGAAGGGATGGCCTTGTGAAAGGAATGAAAGAGAAAAGAATGAGGCAGGAGAATAAAATAAGTCCGCGGACGTGGGGAAAAGGGAGATTTCAAAATAAGGGCAGGTGTGGGATGTCTGTGTGTGAGAACAGGAAATGAAAGGGGAACGACGTTCGAATACGTTCTGGGGAAGGGGGTAAGTGAGAGTGAGAGAGAGTGAGAGAGGGAACCGAGGTAGTGTGGCGAGTGAATCAATGGGATGGCTAAGAGAGGTAGAAGAGAATAATGCGAAAAGGAAGAAGAAGGAGGGAGAAGATGAAGAGGAGCAAGAAGGAAGGAAGAGAGAAAAGGAAGAGAAGAACGAGAAAAACGAGAAGAACGAGAAGAAAGAAAGAAAGAAACAGAAGCGAAAAAGGTGGACAAAGGGAATAGAAGAACGAGGCACGATCCGTTTCTATCGCTGGCTTTTCTTTTTTGAGGAAGTATGCATGATAGCTGAGCTGGCTGGCAAAGCACGATGGATGATGTTTTTGTGTCTCCTCGACGATACCGTTTGCTGCAGAATTGTTTTTCTTGTACTTGTTCTTGTTGCTTGTTCTCGATGGTTTCCACTTTGAGTTGTTCCCAGCGCAATGCAATGCTTCCATTCATTTCAACTTACTTACTTTCTTTCAATTGAATACCAACAGTTTCTTATCAACCAGCACGAAGGGATCGTCTTGTGTTCAAAAAACAAACAAACATGGACATTGTTGGACCAATACTCTTGGCCTTGAATGAACAGGAGGAGGCAGTGGGCGAGAAGGGGAAAGGGGAGAGGAAGGGAAGTTCAGGGAGGAGGGAGAAAGGGGACGGAGGGAAAGGGGGAAGAAGACAATTGTGCGTCGTATTGACATGAATACACGCGCATACACACACTCGCTTGCATTCAATCAATCGCATTCACCCTTTCTCACTTGTACCCATATTACATATCTTTTACAAACACAAGCAACGCCATGTGTTGTTTTGCGTTGTAGTGTTCTGCGTCTGCACCCTTTTCACGACCTTTTTTTGTGTACTACTAAAAAAAAGGAGTTGTCAACAAATCTTCACCAACTTCCCATCCCTCCAACTTCTCATTCAAAACAGCTTTTTCCATTGTTGTGTTCCTATTTTTCCTCCTTGTCTCTCCCTCTCTTTCTCCTTCACTCTCCCTCTTTCTGCGGCTGTTCATGCCTCTTGTTGACGCGGGCTGGTCACGAGCGATAGTAAAAGGGGTTAAGAAAGAAAGGAAACCAAACCCTTTTGCTGACATCCTCCTGTGAACCCATGCATTGTTGCGGTTGTACCGCCTCTCAACGGAAAATGATTCTCTTTTTTTCTATTCTTTTTAGCATAATCGAGCGCTTCCTGGTCATCCCGCCCGGTGAAAGGAGCTTCCTATCTTTCTTTGGTGCAATGGCAAAAAATATGAAATGTTTCCCAGTACTCAGTATCAATACCATCTGCGGTGTACCACGGCTGGTTCATGATTCGGGACAAAAGAAAGAGAGTAGAAGAGGTTCTTCCGCATTGTGGAAAGAAGAAGGAAGTTCATTCCTTCATAACGTAGACCAGTGGCGCACTCGTCAAAAGGCAGGACAGGTAGATATTGTGAAAGGAAGAATAAAAGAATGGGAAGAAGAGCCCAGGGAAAGGGACAAAAGGGAAGAAGTTGTGAGAGAAACAACTATCGCGACCCGCCGATCTCTTTTTAGTTCAGCCAGCTGGGCCTTCGATGCATGAAAATCGCGTCTTTTTTCTTCTACTCTATCCACCTGAGGTATACACAAAAAAAGACGACAAGGGACTTTCATTCAACTGAGCATATGCCACTGAATGAATACATGGCCAAGCTACGTACAGAAGCAATACAACGAAAGGAATGTTGATTTTATTTCCGCATAACTATCCAGTCCCCAAACCCGAGTTCTCATCCCGCAGAGAGGCAAGAGCCGCAGGATTTCTTTGTCCATATCGTAACAGTGGCGAAGGTTCTATGTCAACCTCTGCCTTTTCATCGGTTCATTTCATCCTCAATCGTCCCTGGTCTATAATACTACCACATTCACCACTTTTCGAACTCGGTTTTGGCCATCTCTAAGGCGACACACGCCACCTGGTCAGAAACGCGGCAGGATAGTCCTCAGTGGCTATTACCGCTCACAACCCCTAGCAGTTTGTAAGCAGGGGTGTCTTCCATCATTTCTTACAGATGTCGTGACTCTTCCAAAAGGCCCAGTAGTATGTACGTTGTCAGAAGTGCAGACACAATGTTCTGCTGGCTCTCTTCCCGTCTTCCTTAGTTTTTCTCTAACCCCTTCCGTCGTGCTGGACATAATCTTTCGCACACAAGCTGCACAAACTCATGCACCTATTTTTCTTTTTTTCTTTTTTTCTTGTGGCACAATCCTACTATACCAACTGTCATGCTGTGTGTGTCCACTGAAGAAAATCGATCATAACCTTCGCTTTTTTATTCTCAACGGCTACCATCATCCAACGCCCAGCCTTTTTATCATCTTTTCACCTTTGAGGCTTTGAACATGTGCACAATGCTAAGGAAAAAAACCCCCAAAAACCAAAAAAATAAAATAAAAAATAAGGTGATCATCCCTCTTTGGCCTTTGAAGTTGCACAATTCATGCAACCACAGAAGAAAAAAATCAGGGGTTTTGTCCTGCAAATCCGCGGGTCATCTTCTAGCGATTTTGTCCAGGGTCCCCACCCCCGTCTAAATGACAAGCGGGTCAAAGGAAAAAAAAAGGAAAGAAAATAAACAAAAATCAAGGCACATACGACCGTTTGTTGGCAGAACGGTAACGACAGAATAACTTCTTTTTATTTTCCCTCTCCAGCACCCAACTCCGAATAGGTCCCAGGGACATGTTGGGAGGTATGAAATCGATTTCAACGCATATCGTAGGTGGACGCGACGACTGCGTATTTCCAGGAGCAGCAGCACTACAGGCCTGAGGATACATGCCGATGGTTAGGGTTGTTTGTGGTCACTGTGGTTGGCGGGTTGGCGCTGCAAAGCCATCACTTGTGAAATGCCACGATGCGATTTGACTGGCTCCTGATGATACTGATTTCAGGTACAGAAATACTCTCAAAGTCTCAAACCAATAAGCTCGGACGTGTCGAGCGGCGAGAGAAGTGTTCTTCCACGTCAGCATGTGAGGCGAGGAATGGAGGAATGGAGGAATGAATGAATGACCCACAGTTCACATTTCGTCCTGGCTAGTCCATGGAAGGATGGAGAATGACAAAAGGCGAATAGAAAGAGAGATTTGAACTGCGTCATATGCAGACTGACGATGGCGGTGTTTTTGTTTTGTAGGCTTGGTGGTAGAAGTTGTTGTTGTTGTTGTTGTTATAGATAGGTGGGTGGATGGATTGAATTCCAGAAATGTAAGTAAGGGCCCAGTCCTAGGTTATTTTTGGATTGGCCGCTGGATTGAGGCATCAAACCTTGTGCAATCTATGTGAAATGACATTTTGGACACGGTTCTAGTGCTAGTAGACGTAGAAGACTTCCACTGCGCTAGTCTGTTGTAGCACCCCCGCGCTCTCTTTTTTACTTTGCAAAGAGAAAAAGGTCAGGTATTGTCTGAAGAGCTTGTGAGAGAGAAAAATAAAAGCATTGAGAAGGAGAAATGCCTACTATTGACAGTAAAAGGAGCCATGTCGGCATTAAGAATGAGCGATAGAGGATGATGTGGTCATGGTCTGTTTTGTGGTGTTGCGTATGTCGTTGGTAACGAGCAAGTTGTGGTTGTCGTTGTTGTGTTCTTCGTTGTGGTCGTTGTCGTCATTTAGCCAGGCCGTGGCTAAGCTACGTCGGTCTGCCGTGGCGTTGTTGTTCCTTTATTATTTTGCGCAACAAACAGCCTGTCTGTCTGTTGTCCCTTCTAGATTGGTTGTGTCATCCACAAGGAAGAAAGAAAGCCAAGTTCGACTTTGCTCACCCTTTCGGCCCCTTTTCCTTTTCTTTTTTTTTTTTTTTTTTCTTTTCCGCCTCCTCTCTCCCTTTCTCCTTCCCTCCATTTTTCCGCCACATCCCTTTCTCCGATCCAAACAAAAACGCTTGGCTAACACCAGTTTATTTTATTTCAAACAGAGGATCAACCAACCAACGATCTCTACTCGTTACTGCCTTCCTTTCGTTCTTTCTCATTTATCTTCTCTTCCACTCTGCATCATCTCTCTATTATTCTTATTCTCCTCATCCATCCATCCATCCATCCACTTCATAATAACTCCATAACATGGACACTCACGCTCCTGTAACATATTACCAGACAGCCATGCCGCCTATGCAATACTCGAGCGCCAGGACATCAATGGCCATCAACGTCATATCGCCCTTGACCATGGATCAGATGGGATCAACCGGATCTACCTACAACTCCATGGGTCATCTCCCAACCGTCGATCCTGTCACCCATGCGAACGTCAACTACAGCTCAGGACAATACCACTCTGTCTCAACGACACCTGTCGCCCTTCACAACCAACAATATCAACAGCAACAACAACAGCAACAATATATGCCCGTTCAAACTCAAGGGCAAACACAACCTCACCTTCAACATATGTTGCATCAACAACACCAGCATGGACAGCAACAGCTTCAGCAGCAATTACAGCAGCCACCACCCAATATCCAGCACCTCTCGCACTCGCACTCCTACAAGCAGTCTCAGTCCCAGTCCCAGTCCCAGTCCATGGCCCAGCCGATATACATGCAGCCGAACCAACAGCAGCTCCAGCACCACCTCAAGACCCAGCAGCAAGTACAACAACCTGTCCAGCAGGTGCAGCAGCGCCAACAGCTTTCAGGACCCATTGTAGTGACCTCTCACCCAGCCCACCAAATTCAAGTCCAGATGCAGCCACACGCTCACCAGCAACTCCACCACCACTCTTCGGTTAAAACCACAAGCCAACCGCATCAACAACAGCAACAACAACAGCAACAGCATTATCAACAACAATACCAGCAACAGCAACTATTACAATTACAGCAACAACAGCAGCAGCAGTTGCAACAACAGCAACACCAACACCAGCTGCAGAAGCAGCAACAGCAGCAGCAGCAGAAGCAGGCACAGAAGCAAGCGCAACAGCAACGGGAACATTCGCGGGACCACAGGAATGGAGCGATGGAGCATGTCATCAATCCTCAAACCAGCACTCTCCAACTTGCCGAATTCGCATCTGTGATGGTGTATACCCTTTGGCACACTCGACCCAACATCAACGGCGCTTCCAGTAACGCTTACAACGTTGTTCCGCACCGGATAAGTGTTCCACCCTCGGCAGGACCAGCCTTCAGGAAATTCTGCTTGAAGGTATGTATTTTCGCATATTTCTCGGCTGACCATCTGGCAACGATGAAATAGCCACCAATGGCAATGTATGACCAAGCCGATATTAATTACCCGCTCGTATTGCTATTTTTTAAATTGACAGGTCCTGTCAGCAACACAACTGTCATCATCAGTTATCCTACTCTCGCTGAAATATATTCAGAAGTTGTTGAAGAACAACCCATCAATACATGGACAACAGGGATCAGAGTTCCGACTTTTTACAGTATCACTCATGCTCGCCAATAAGTTTCTGGACGACAACACGTTTACCAACAAAACCTGGTCGGACGTAACAGGAATCAGCGTCAAGGAGATCAATGTCATGGAGATGGAGTTCCTGAACCAGGTCCAGTTCAGTCTGTATGTCAGCGAAGCCGAGTATCTGGATTGGCTCCACAGTCTCGAGACTTGGCTCAAGCAGCAAGGACAGGCTCAACCTCAAGGATCGAACTAGAGTTCGAAGGCAGACATCAGCTGGGTGATAGCTCCTTTTTTTCCTTCGTTCTTTCTCTTTATTTATCGTTGATTTTATGCCTTTCTGGAATGGCACAGGACCGGACCAACATACCCCTTTCTCTTTCTATCAGCCCAGCCCAGCACAACCAGCCATACAACCAACACCAAACAACGACAATCGACACTCCAGCCTCAACAAACATACACCTCTCTCCTTCTCCTTCCCTCGTCGTCTCTCGATCGAGAGCAATGCCCACAAATCCAACTCCATGCAGCGACCCATTTTTTTCACTTTCATGAAAATAAAGCATCAAAAAATGATAACAAACCAATGCCTCTCCACTCGCGCCACTTTTTCTGGTTCCTTTCTTTCTGACACGACCGATGTCTCACATTCGACAATCTGACACCACGGCCTTGATTTTTCTTATTTTTCTCGGTGCGTTTCAGACACGATCAACAGGAACAATGAATAAGAAAAAAATGTTACAATCACTCGCTCGCTTGCTCAAAGGTGATTCCTTACACTCAGGAACCAGCCCCGAAGAAGTGGCAAAAGATAAGTTCTGCCCCAACCCGGATTTGAACCGGGGACCTCTTGTTTACAAGACAAACGCGATAACCCCTACGCTATTGGGGCGACAGAACCAATCATATTACGATGAACTTGAGGTTCTTCGTTTTTCTTTTGCTAGTTGTATCGAATGATTAATTTTGAAACGGCACAGGAAATACAACGCTAAAAAAGGCCCCTTTTTTGGCGGCGCTGGCGCCCGGGGCTGATCTGAAAACCTCTGTGCTCCGAGGCGATCGCGTGGGAGCAGACCCAGAGCAAAATCGCGTACAAAAAAAAGACCCAGAGCATCTCTGCCAAGGACAAGACATCCAAGTACACAGGTCCTCTAGGTGACCGGGGTTAAGGATACGGCTACATCACCCGTGATGGTTTTTGCCCATATCGCGATGATGGTACCTGCCCTCGAGCGACCAAGGACCCACATGTTGCTGACGAGTGGTTGTTGGGGAGTTTGTTAGGAAGGAGGAGGTTGTCAATGATGGAGAGGATGGGAAAAATCCCCTTATTCGCGTCTAATTTTAATTTATCCTCCGTCTAAGCTATGAAGAGCAGCGACAATTGTTGTGCAGAGCCAGGTTCCGGACCGGAACTGCAACGGGTGGATGGTGCACTGAAGAGTTTGGTCTGTAGTCCCTTTTTACTTCCAAATGCCTTTTCTGTCATGTTTGTCAGAGAAATAAAGATAAAGCGGTTGCACAACAGTGAATGTGCCTGAAAAAAATTAATGTCGAAAAACAATGAAGCTGAGAACAATCGATGGTAATTTAGCCCGAAAGTTCCTTTCTTGATAATAAAAAAAAGTGAAATATATCTTTAAAGTACTCTACAATAGTTGACAGCCGTTTAACAATAGTGTTTTTCCCGAAATTGCCGGTTCAAGCATAAAGATGAAAGAGAAAACGTTGAACAGCTTGCATATTCGAAGAACGTTTGAATGAGCAAAAAGAGCAATTGAATCTTTTTTTGTCTTGGTTTCCTTTGCTGCCACAAAGGAGCATCGAAAGGAAAGAAAAAAGGGAGCCCTTGGCCGCCTTAACCTGTGCCACTGCTCTATTTCTTGGACAGCATGTCATGCAAAAAATGCCCATCTTCCGAAAACAACGTGCATTGAATCTCCATGCTCGCAAAGAAGTCGTTCAAAATATGGTCCTTGGCAAGGTGCGCAGAGATATCAATCAATAAATAGAAAAAAAAAACAAGCACGAGCGGAAGGAGCATGTTTATTGCGGCAAGAGAAGCAAAGGAAGAAATTGGTTGACATGCGAGAATTGTTGGGACCAAATAGGTTGGTTGCAAACACGGGACGTGATAGACTGTTCGTATGTTGTTGTCTTCTATACCCACGTTCTCATAAATTACTAGAACTAAAGGACAAAAAGCAAAAAAAAAAAAAAAAAGGAAAACAAAATACAAGTACCCTCATTGACGTGTAGACGCAAAGGACTTGCTCTAGACCATGTGTTTGAACGGCATTTGCCATTAACTCATTTCAAACTTGTTGTTCTCGTTTTTAATGCCAATTCTTTCATCTAACACCTTAAAATGCTATCACCAAAGGATGTCAACACTGAAGAAAGAATGAGAGAATACAACAAGCAAAACCAAAGAAATCTTCGTGTAACATGATTGTGTTTATTGGGCTTGAGAGCCTGAAGGAGACCAAAACTTTCCTCTTACTTTTCCCTCAATCAAATATTCTCCGTGCCACATGCCACGTTGTTTTTTCTTTGTTGTTCGAATCCCAAGTTTGCTGTTGAATGCTCTGGACGGCAGTTTTCTTGAAAGAACAATGACATACAACCCCCGTGAAGTCAAGAATCAGAATTACTAGAAGGCATACGTCTCATTTTGGCTACCACTCACTTTCTTTTTCTCTCTGACTTTGCTGCCAAATTCTTTCCTCTTCTCTTTCCCGTCGTATTTCTCTTTGTTGAACACTTTTCTCATCCATAAAAGGATGCGAGGCTCACACGGACAGTAGCATTCAACAACGAGAAACAAAGGTAAGATACCTCGGATCATCTTTCCAAATGCACATTTCGAGGATGAAAACAGAAAATACAGAACAACAACAACGAACTCTTGGTCCAGTTAAGCGGTACACAACTTCAACAAATTTGACACTATGCATTTGTGTCTGGGATTGTGTGGAGAGGAAAAAGAGGAAGGAAAATGTCGCAGCGCTTATTCTCATACAGATGTGGCTGAAGTCGAAGGAAACAATTGCTCCAAAAGAAAACGTAAAACACAAAAAACCTGCGCTCCATGGATGCGATGGCATGATGAGCTTTGAACAAGATGGCAGCAGGATGAAGCAAGTTGGCTGAATGCAGTCCCAATTGCTCTGATTTTCATTCTATCCCCCATCTTTTACATTTCTCCTCCTTCAATGTCTCTCATCTTTGCTCACTTTACCGGCGTAATTTTTTCTTATTGGTGCACAACGAGCACGATGCAACATCGAAAAAAAAAAGAGTGAAAGGAGTGTTTGTATGACAGGACTCTTCAGAATGGAAGGAAAGGGCAGCAGGCATTAGCTTTATTTTTTTTGTCTTTGAAGAGAGGGAGGGAGAAATTGTGTCTGCGTGTCTGTGTCTGTGTATGTGTCTTTATTTTTCATTTCACCACCCCTCCATTCCATGTCGTGAGTGAGCACATAAACTATGATGAAGGAAAGAGAGGTATGATCATGCATAGTCTACATGCATACATGCATGCATGTATGTATTTCTCAACAGTATGCGCTCATTTTTTTTTGGTGCATCTCGTGTTTTGGCCTTTTGTTTTGTTGTTTTGCCTACTGTTATTCTGCACGATGACCATGAAAAAAAACGAAATGAATACGAATGAGGTCTATGAAATTGGATGAAGTCGAGAAATGCTCAGTTTGGCAGCATTTTTGTTTAGGAGTAATATTATTAAGGTGGATGGTTGTACTAAGGTGAATGATGCTCTCTGGGAAGGGAAAGAGCGAGTATTGTAGAGATGGTATTTTTGTTGCACCATAGGGAGAGGATTGAATATCGACTTGAAACCGCATTGATTGTTGTTTTTTTGTTGTAAACAGGAGGGGCACAGAGGACGTGCTGTTTCTTGCCTGCACAAATCCCGGTTCTATTTCTTGGCACCCGAAAAAGGTGGGAGAAGAGAGCGCAACAAAGGCTTCAGCTGGCATCGTCAGGGCTGGCATTGTCCAAAGCGATGATGTCAGTAGTGGCAGAAATGACGGTGGCGGTGGCGATGGAAATAGCAGGGGTGGTTGACGCGTCGGCGTTTGAGGGGGGTGCGGAGGGGAGGGTCTGCTCACTAGTTGAACCAAGGAAGCGGCTTTTCCGTCGTGTCTTGTGTTGGTTCTTCTCGGAGACAGTCCATTCCTCGGCAATCCGTTTCATGCGCTGTGCATCGAAAATCAAAGATAGAAGAATAACGATAGAGTACGTTGAATGTTAATGGAATGGAGCTCTTGTACAATGCAATAGATCATTGCTACCAGCCAATGTATGAAGGAGGAAAAAACACCAGTAAAGCCATCCGTGAAAAAACTGACTGAATGCGTGTTTCATTTGAGTTCACCGTTGATTATATTGTTTGCCGTATCAAAGCTTCATCCTCAGTAAAGTTGTTCTCTCTCAACTCAGCCATATCATATGCATGCAGGCAGGGTCATGGGTGTGTCTCAAACTCATGCATTTGGTCTTCTCGTCCTTGCGCTTTTAATACCAAACACCATGCGCAGTCTCCCCGCCACAACCCACGTACCATTATTAACCCAAGCCATGTCTCTCCAAGGAAGAAAATAATATAAAAAACAATGATTACATTGGGCGCTGGACATGAATGAAAAGAAAGCAAAAAAGAATATGTGACCAAGAGTTGAGCCAGGTGTTCGGAAATGCAGCCGTTTGCCATATGGTGCTCTTGTTTGTGTCGATTTTTTCTTGGCTTATCTTTCTCAATTGCCACTGTGTCTTTAGGCGTTCGGCATTTGATCAAAGGAGTACAGTACCTGTTGTGGCGTCAAGTTTGGGAGCTGCTCTGCCAGAACTTTACTCCTCTGCCGCAGGAATCGGTTGTAGGCGGTTGATTTCTTGCTCACGCCAATCTTCCTTGACTTGTGCCGGATCTTGCCAGTCTTGGTGGTTTTCAGGTTCGGATTGCTTGTCCTCTTGTCAAATTCTGACTTTGGAAAAAAGGTTGGCTCACTGGTATCCTCCTCGCTGGCATGACCTTCAATTGTATCGACATCGCTCTGAACACCTGTACTCTCCTCTTTCTCTCCTGCTAGGCGCCTCTCACCATCCGCGCCCGTGTAGAAAGAATTCCCCGAGCGAGAGCAAGAAGCCGTTGCTGGGGCATGATCGGAGAATGACATAGGGTCGTGTCGTTGAAGATGCGGTGCTTCAATGTCTCTCAGCTCACTCTCGGATGATCCCCAACTGTGCTGATTCGGTCGATGTGCATAGGTTGCCGTAGAGCTAAACTTTGATGGATCGACTGAAGGAGACCTTGATAGTCTCGAAGACCGAGGAGGGTGTATGAGAGCCTTGTATGTCGCCGACGGATCACGGTCCTCGTCCTCTTCATAGTCTCTGAGTTTTTGAGGACGCCGCTCCGATTGGTTTGTTGGTGATGTTGGAGAAATGAATAGAGATGAAGGTATGGATGTCAAGGATGTGAGTTTTTGTGGGGATTCAGAGGTCGGATGGATCAAAAAAGAAATTGGAATCGACTGATGGCGCCCTGGGGTTGATGTGGAAGATGAGGAAGAGGTGGTGGTTGGTGTGGCGGCTCGTGTTGAAGGCGATTCGTGCAGGTGGCATGAGCGGGGGAAAGGCGAGAGAGAGGACCTTGGCGAAGTAGTTTGACTGCTTTCGGTTGATGTCCAAGGTAGCGGTAGGCCTGGAGAAGGCGGTCGAGCAGTTGAAATGATAGTTGGAGAATGGCTCTTGACTAGGGAGGCATACCAAGTTAATGGCGCAGGTTCGGATGAGGAGTTGGTTGCAATCGGAAGGAGAGTCGACGTCTGCTTTTTCGGCCGTTGTTGATCGATCGAGAGTTGTGTTGGTACTGAGCCTCCTTCACTTCTAGCTCTCCCACCGCTTGCTTCATCCCCTCCTTGTCCTCTTGCAGTCATACTGGTAGATTATGTGTTTGAGAGTTGCTGAGGTAAGAATCGCGAAGTTCTCCGAGGAAAGTTCAGCAGGAACTATTCGACATTTGAATCGAGGAAAATGGTAATGGGGGGTTTTGAGGAGAACTTTTTTTTATGCGTTTGAGATAATAGAGAGAGGGAAGTGTGAGGAAAATGAAAAAAGGATCAAGTGAGAGGTTGAAGTCAATGAAGACAGGAAGGTTCTCAATGCCGAAGCATAAAAAAAACAGAAAATAAGTGGTGGGACGTGGTCCGGAAGTTGGTGAACGGACGAGTGGGAGTTGGTGGTTGAAGGTGGGAGAGAGGGCAGAATGGAAAAAAGCTACAAGTGTGAAATATGAGAACAAAAAAAAACAAAGGAAACGGAAAGGACAGTGAGGGATCAAGGGAGAAACAAGGGTGCAAACTTGTGCGTCGAGAGTGGAGGGAGGGAATGTAAACGAGGGTAACGAGTTCAGGGGAGGCTGGGTGGGGAAGAGGAAGAGAGGAAGGGGGAGAGAAAGAGAGAAAATGGAGGGAGGGAGGAAGAAGGGGGAAAGAAGAAGAGACGAAGCTGACCGAATGGCTAAGAGAACGAGAGAGAAGAGGCTGACATGACCTCGACTGAGAAAGGAGAATAAATACGAAAAAAAAGAGCGAATCGTCTAGTGCCTTAAAATATTAAATAACAACTGTTTATTGAAAAACAGGCTTCCTAGTGACAGGTTGTGTTGACGTTTTTGGGGTGCTTGGCTGGCAGGCGAGGCTGAAGGCGTTTGTTTGTTTGTTTGTTTGTTTGTTTGTTTGTTTGTCTCTTTTTGCTTCGCAGGATGTATTCGTATACATGTCCTACATGCTGCTGTTCGTTGTTGTATCAGTTGTTTCTGCGACTTTTAAGGGCGTGGAGAGAAGACGACAAAAGGATGACAGGAGAAAAGAATACAGAGACTGAAAATAGCAAGCAGACTCGTACTTTACTAATCCAGCAACAGAAATACAAGAAAAAAAAGACGAGGAAAAAGAGTAAGAACGGACTGACTTGGGCCGGTGAGCCATGCAATAGAGCAAGGAAGAAGGCATCACCTCCAACAGCAACGACAAACTGCCGACTGCCCGCAGCTCATAATAAACGTATCTCATCTCATAATCTCTTCATGGAATAATGAAAGATCATTTAGTCATCCCAAAATCCTCCTCCGTCTTGTTTCTTCTATTCATGTCATTTCTATCGCTGTCCTGGGTAATTAGAGGAGAGCGGACACCAAGACCAACTACCAGCTTGTTCTGGGTTGGCGCCTGCGACGTTTAACCGCCATCCAGGAACTGCGGAAAGGGATAGAAGAGGGCTGTCTTGAGATCACATTTTCCAGGGACGGATTCGTTTTGCAGACAGCCACCATCTCCTGAACTCGTAGGTGTCTTTTCATCCCGTTCATTTTTATTCAACCTGCTCTATTCTTATAAATAAGCAACTGGTCCGAAGTTCTATGAGCGACTGTGAGTAGCAAGAAGACATTGAAGGAAGGTGGAACATAGCCGAACACACTCTTTGTATTTTTGGTGGTACCTTGAACAACAGCACATTTCATTGAGTCGATGTTGAATAGAACCTTAACAGTGTAAACAAATCAGTGCCGTTTTTTTGTATGGTGCTTCCCGCCATTTTCACTGAAGGTTGTCACGGACCGTGTTTCGGGTTTCACGCTCGACCCTTCCTTTCCCTCCTTCCCACAACGAACCAACGAACCTTTTCAATTCATTTGCTCTGTTCCCCGGCAAAGGAATAGGAACCTTTTGATCGTCAATTATCAACTTGACAGGATCAACATTTGGAGGCGAGAAAATCGTTCAAGGGTTGCTGTTTATGTTTACTTCCAAAGAATACATCAGACAAACGCCTCCAAGTCTATTCTTGTTTTGGGAACACCAGGTCTTCGAAACTGATTCTCCGTTGATGTTATGGTTCTCAGCCTTCGCCCGTTAACGATATCTTCACTCGCAATTTTTTTCCTCCCTGGTAATGAATGCATGACGCTGGGTCCGTTAAAATCTCATGACCAGAGACCCTTTGGACTTTCTCCGATGAGTCTGGGTCTGATATTAGCAAAAGGGCAGGAAAAGGTAGTGTTCCATAGATTGGAATGAACCCATGATGAAGGAGTGGATGGTCTAGAGATTCTTCTAATTAAAAACGAACGTGCGCCGGAGATAGGACTAAGAAACTGGGCCTGCGCCGATTCAAGTTGCATGAATGGCTGGAGATGCGCGAAAAAAAGAGGAGTCCTTGGTTAGTTGGTTGTTTGGAGGAGATCATTGATGTTTGAATTAGTGTCTGATTGGCCTCGATGCTACGAGAGTAAGCAATGCTTGGTTGCTCTCGTGTCATCTCAGGGGTATTTCCTTTCATATCATGTATCATACGGTTGTGGTCCAAGTGATCCGTGCACAACAAAGGATGTTAGCCTTGTGGAGGTCAAGATATGATTGGCATTGTGTTGGCGCGTACGACTGGGAGAGTGGCGACCTGTTGTCGCACAGCCTGTTGTCGAGAAGGAGAGAGCATAAAGGAAAGAGGAACGCCAGGGCGTTGTTGACGGGTGGGTGGATCCAATGTAGGCTGGCACGATGTCACGTGAACGAAGGGATGAATGATTCGATGGCCTGATTCTTTACGAGCGAGTTCATTGGCTGCAGAATTAACGGTTTTTTTTCTTGTCATTTTTTGATCGCTGGCTGTGTGTGTTGCCTGCGGACAAAGAGAGTGTCAAAAAAGGTGATTCTTTGGGTGGACTGATTGTGCCCTGACTCTCTGAGCGTGCAGAGCCACGCTCGTCCCTTTCCCTTGCCTTGCAGTCCCTTTCTCTCTCTCTTTTTTTTTTTTTTTTCTTTCTTCTACCTGACTCCGCTCATCTTGATCTCTCCACTCTCTCCATCTCCTCCTCTCTCCTTCTCTCCACTCCCCCTCCATTCCTCTCCACTCCCTCAGTTAGTCAGTCATCCCTAAACTCCTCCCCTTCACCACATACCCCTCCCATCTCTCATACATACCTCAACACAAAAATGGCTTCCGCTATTCTCGCTTCCCTCTTCCACCCCTCGGAAGTCCTGGCCCTGGTCCAGTACAAGCTTGCACCCAAGACCAAGTACGACTACACCAACGACAAGGCCAGAGAGCGTCTCTACCACCACTTGAACATGACCTCCCGTAGTTTTGCTGCCGTCATCCAGGATCTCGACGAGGAGCTCAAGGACGCCGTAAGTTGTCTCCATCCAATATGGATATGCTCAATCTGCCTCGCACATTGATCCAGCGCGTTTTCTCACGACCCCAGATCTAGCTCCACCAACAGCAACCCAACACAACCGATCCCATCATGCTACTGTCTCAACTGGTTAACAATAGCACCAATTGCTCCTCTACGCCCTGGAGGCTGTGTAACCTTCACTCTGATTTCTAACACTCTGGTTCCATTCTTATCTTTTAGATCTGCCTTTTCTATCTCATTCTTCGTGGACTCGACACAATTGGTACTTGACATTACCACTCAGCGTACAGTCCTTACGACCGCAGTATTTACGGCTGTTTGTGAAACTGGTTGCTAACTACCTTTTTCATCGCTACTTGTCAAACTATAGAGGACGACATGACCATTGACCTCGAGACCAAGATCCCTTACTTGAAGACTTTCCACGAGATCATTTACCAGAAGGGATGGACTTTCACCAAGAGTAAGCGAGTGCGACCTCTATCTCCAAAGCGTCGGCGGATACGATACGATACGCTACGATTCGATATGAACACAAGCCAAATCTGTAAATTCTCTAATTCGCCTTCTGTGAACTTTTGATGTTAGACGGCCCCAATGAGAAGGATCGCCAGCTGTTGGTCGAGTTCGATGTTGTCATCGAGGGTTTCTTGGCGCTGAAGCCTGCTTACCAGACTATCATTGCTGACATCACCAAGCGTATGGGCAACGGCATGGCTCATTACGCTACTGCAGGAATTCACGTCGACACCACTGCTGACTACGACGAATACTGCCACTATGTTGCTGGATTGGTTGGCCTCGGCCTGAGCGAGATGTTCAGTGCCTGCGGTTTCGAATGTAAGGACAGACAAGACTACGTTGTTACTCTGATTATAGCGTCTCTACGACCCAACTTTGTTCATGCTATTAATCCAAGAATGACTTTTCTCTAATTGTATAGCTCCAATGGTTGCCAAGAGAAAGGACTTGTCCAATTCGATGGGTCTCTTTTTGCAAAAGACTAACATCACTCGCGACTACTTGGAGGACTTGCGCGATAACCGCCGATTCTGGCCCAAGGAGATTTGGGGCTTGTACGCCGAGAAGTTGGAGGATTTGGTTAAGCCCGAGAACTCCGACAAGGCTAAGCAGTGTTTGAGCCATATGGTCTCGAACGCCATGGGACACATTAAGGATGTGCTGGAGTATCTCGAGATGATCAAAAACCCCTCCTGCTTTAAGTTCTGCGCCATCCCCCAGGTCATGGCCATTGCCACCCTCAACATGTTGCACACCAACTACAAGATCTTCACACATGAGAACATCAAGATCCGCAAGGGAGAGACCGTCTGGTTGATGAAGGAGTCCGACAACATTGACAAGGTCGCTGCCATTTTCAGATTGTACGCCCGTGAGGTCAACAACAAGTCCGACCCATTGGATCCTCACTTTGTCGACATCGGCGTTGCTTGCGGCGAGATTGAGCAGATCTGCGTGGGCAAGTACCCTGGATCCACTGCAGAGCTTGCCCGCCTCCAAGCCGGAGTGATGGCTGGAACAAGCGGCAGCGTCATTACGGCCGCCGCTGTTGTCGCCGGAGCCGTTGTCCTCAAGAGCACTTTCGCATAGACCCTTTCAGCATACCATTTTACTCACACATAAAAATATACATATTTCTGATCATTTTGGTGGCGCTCTCCAGGAAGGTGGCTTTGCATCGAGGCTGGTCGGTTCTCTTGGGCGCGTGCTTCGCACGAACGAACATGAGCAAACACACTGCAAAACCAACCTACGTGACCATGGAGGAAGACAACCATGACAGCTACGAGAGCATGGAAGAAGAGAACCAAGAAGACTACGAAAGCATGGAGGAGGACAGCCATGATGGCTACGAGGAAATGGAGGACGAGGTTCAGGAGAGCAGTGCTGCCATGGAGGTAGAGAGCGTGGGAGACCACTCGTCCACAGAGGACTGGGAAACTCGAAGCGACAACATGCCACTAATGGACGACGAGGACTCGAACAACACCAACTCGAACGTTTGGGTCTACGCCAAGCACCTTCAAACTCCAGGGGCCTTTCAACAGGTCTGCCTTGGCCAATGGGCGCCGAATGAACTCAATGAATCGAAAGAGTCTGACGGTCCACGCAGGTTGGCTCACACTGACGTCGTACTAGGAAAGGTCAGTCTCCACAACAGGACCTGTTGACTGGACAAGGCACCGTATCCTTTCATTGTTTGGCTGACTTTGTATTATATCATTGGGATCGTCTAGGGATCTTATATTTCGCTGTGCAGGTTCACGGAATACGAGGCAGACTATCCTTCGGGCTCATGGAAGGCAATTCACGAGCAGCCTGTATTTGGAACCATCAAGGACCTCAAGTCTGTCTCTATAGACTTTGAGGATGAAGAGCATGGCTTGGATCTGGAAACGAATACCAGCTGCCACAACAAGAGACCGAGAATGGGTTATCTGCCGGAATTCGCGTCAAAGTCTCTCCTGGTCGCCACGTCCGACAATGGCTTCTTGACATTCTTGGCGTTCCATTATGATACTGAGCAGCAGAACCCTGAGGACCGCGGTCACTTTTACGCCGTAAAGAAGGTAATTGTCATTCGGACGCAGTGTTGGCACAGGTCTGCACATATTGAAGACACCACGACGGCGCCTCACACCACTACCTTGACCGCTACATAGATATATATCACAGAACCGGGTCATGACTCTTCAGAGATGGGAGCGAAAATTGCCCTAGACCCAACGTAGGTGCTGGTCACTCTTTTTTTGCACCGCAAGCGTTGTTTTGGTCGATTCGACCACTGATGCGTTCCTTACTCTGCATCACATATAGGTCTAATGTGATAGCTGTTTCTGGGATTCAGGGTCACATCAAGTTGTTCTTTCTCAGGAGAACAAAAAGATCGAGCTTCGACCCTATTGAGATGGTAAGAATTCACCCGAAGTGCAACTGCGAGCGCCATAAGGGCGTGTATACCTTCAAAATCAATGTACGTCCTAATCGTAACTCTACTTCATCCCTAGATTTCATCCATCAAGGTCGAAGGAACAATCATTGCTATGGACTTTCTCTACGTGGATCGAAATGCGACGCTCGTTACTGCCATCCTAGGGGTCTTGTACTTCAAGTATGTTTCCGTGATTTTCACTTGGATGTTCAAACAGTAGTGCCGAAAGGGAGTGTTGACATTTTCATCTATTTATTGCTCCAATTAATTAGCACTGCATCAGAGAAACACTACATCTCGACGTTCCACATCGGACCATCATACCTTGACCAGGAGCCACCTATATACGTCGGCACGAGTGAGATTGGATCTAACTACCTTCTTTCTGTGCTCCTGCTGAAGGGTTTGCCGGATCTCCCGTACTGTATGGTCTATGTCGACGTAAGTTTGATGTGGATACCAGCAATGTGATGCAAGTTGCTGTTTTTCGTGGAGTTATTAAGGTTACTGATATGCTTGTTTTGTTCTTTAGGAGGAGAGTATTACTTACGTGACGACGGAACAGCTGACGGCACCGAGTGGGACCACAACAATCAACCACACTCATCACAAACCACTAAAGCTGTTGAAAAAGGAGTCTCGTGTGAACAGGAGTACAACGGACGACGCAGACGACTACAAGGACACGTACCCGCTTATATCTGCATGCGCAACACCTCCCAGATCAAACTCCCTGGATGGTCAGCAGACGCTTTATCTTGGAAGCGATTCTGCCGACTTTTTCCGCGTCAACATTAACGGGCACAACAACACCATATATTTCGAATTGGATGCAGGAGAACGGCCGATTGGACGCGTATTGGAGGTGATTGGAGGAAGCCGTTCTGTGCACCAGAGGGCAGAGTCAGGTCCAGACCAACCTCTCCACACGGATTTCTTACTCTATTCTAGTGATCATGGAAACGGGAGCATTTTGAGTGTCAAGGAAGAGGAGGAAGGTACTATCGGCGTCTTTGCAGTCTCAGAGCTGTTGAATGACGCGCCGGTCCTAGACTTTTGTGCCGACGAACCAGCACTTCCAGGACGGGACTCTTTATTTGCTTGCTCAGGGATGAAGAGCGAGGGATGCATCAAACGAGTTCGGTCAGGGATTCTCGTGGAAAGCTCAGGGAGTAGTGGACACCAGCTTTTTGCAGGAGCAACAGGAGTATGGAACGTAAAGGCAAAACGGAAAGATCTCTTTGACTCTTTCTTGGTGGTATCGTTCATTAAGTCCACAAAGTTAATGAGAGTTAGCGAGCAAGGTAAGTAGAGTATATGTCCGTTATGTATCACGCCTGTTTGTTCTGCTGTTTCTCAAATGTGCCTGGGGGCCGCGTGCAATACAAACTAAAAGGTGAATTTGCCTATTACTCAATGATTAGGAGAGTTTGAGGATATTAGCAACCATTGCGGTCTTGAACTTTCGCAAGCCACTCTTGCTGCAGGAAGGTTGACAGACGGAGCCCTTTTTCAAGTCCATCGTGCTGGAGTTGTGGTCGTTTGTCCAAGAACTGGTAACACTCGCCTCAGTATCCGCAAAGAGCTTATGCCCATTCCTTGTGAAGAATAATTAGGTTCGCTTTATGATTGTTGATTAACCAAAGTGTATGATGTTGATTTAGGTGACAAGTGCGAATGGACACCTAGGGACGGAGTTCTAACTTCAGCTAGCTGGGCAAAGGAAGGTACTCTGGTTCTCGGACAAATCTCGTCAGGAGGCAGCAGCCTCATCGTACTCGAGTTGGGGCAGAACTCTGACGATTCAAAGGCAAAGGCAAAGGGAAAGGTAGAGTCGGCGTCACATTCCTTCAGAGTGATCACCCTAAAGTCCATGAACGCTGAACCAACCACAATCCATTGCTGGACCGAGTCGAGTCCGGTTCAACCAGAGACAGAGCTTGGCGACATTTCGACTGAAGTTCTATGCTGCGTCGGAACGTTGGAGCCCGCCATCTATGTGTTCCGCATGCATCAGGAACTCATAGAGGAGATTTACACAGAATCGTTTGGTAAGCTTTGAATGTTCGTTGCGAACTGGAGCAACAGTGACAAATCAGAAAGAAGCTGCTTTGCAGGAAGAAAGATATGTCAACTTTATTCACGGACCTGTCTTTGTATGTCATTTGAAAACAAACTTCACGCCACATAGCTCAAAGGCGCGAGGATGTTGCAGTCCCACATTCAATTGCAGTTCTGAGGAATGGCGAAGGTCTCCAAAGGATTCTGGTCGGACTCCGGAACGGAAGCGTAGTTGTTTACGAGTGGAACCGACTGAGGCATCCTGACCTTTTACACTCCAGCCTATCGATGCCTGAACGAATCATGTCGCTGCCAAGGAAATTCGACCTCGGTATAATGCCAGTCAAGTTTGCGTACTCTGATGAGCCTCTACTCTCGAGAACTCTTATTTTGTCCGACAAAATCTGGCAGGCTAGCTTCGACAACGAGTTTGAAGTCCAGCTCATTCTCTTTGACAACGAGGTATGCTTGTATTGATTTAGCTTTGACCCTCCCCGTCCATTGCAGCAACTTAAAACACTTTTCATTCCGTGCCGCTCAGGGTCGCACTCTTTAAGTTTTGACCATCCTACTGTTTTCTTTGGTCCTGCTCTAATGGCCGGTCCAATTGACGGTGGTAGTTCAGTGGGATGGGTGTGCGATGTGTATGAGTCTAATCGTATTTTTTATTCCTTCACTTTTTGCTGACAGGTTTCAGAAGCGTGTGCCTTTGAGTATCAAGACTCTGAGTATCCAACCAGGCCAGGATTCGTCTTTATTGTAGATCACCAAGATCTTCAACTGGTTACCTTGGAAGGAAAGAGGAAATACGATTCCCAGACGCTTCCTCTGGGTCATGTAAGTTGAAACCTTCATGCTATCACCCCTAACCATGATTATCAAGGAAGTCAGCTTTTTGCATTGCTGAAGCAGCTAATGGGTCCGATATGTATCCGCCGCTCTTCCATGGCATGATGGACGAGCGAAAGGTAGCTAACTCACTCACTATCTGAACAATTGACTGATTTGATGCACCGTACATTAGACACCTCGAAGGCTTCTCGATATCACATCCAAGGGACTAATGCTAGCTGCAAGTGTCGGGAATGGATTTCCGTTTGCAGTATCCGTGTTACAGCTCATTGATCCCGCGAGGTAAACAACGTTTGCAGAAAAAGAGTGACAAGGAATTTTGGTACACGTAGAGTCTCGCGCTGACACGATCGGTGGTGGATCGTCCATACGTATAACTATCAATGTTACTGACTTTTCTATTTACTGTGCCGTGTGCCCCGTACAGAGTGTCGAGCGAACCAGGGTCGGAAATGCAACATGTGGTCGCCGAGCTGTCGATAAAACAAGGAGAGGGAGTGTTTTACTTGGCAGGTAAACTCAACATAGTGATGGGAAGTTTTTATGTTGAATTTTGGCGATCGAGTGGTCAGGTTTGGGCTACACAGAGTGTCCCTTTTGAAGTGAGTCCTGCGGTACCTGCGCTACCTGTTTTACCAACGATTTATTCATACCCCTTCTTCCTTGTGTATTAGAGTGGAAGCTTCCCAGCAAGGTGCTCATTTGTGTGGGAACTGGAATCTTCTCGCCCACAGGAGCAGCAGCATCTGCCGCCTCTCCCAGGACCGGACGTCTCCTTATCTTGTCGATCAAGCACTCAAAGGTACAAGAAAGAAAAATTGACGCAAACAAGAAATGTCGTGTTTTAGTGACCCATTTGTGAGAAATTAAGGGCAAAAGCATCGACAGCCCCCGTGCTCCATCTAACGCGACGCCCCGCTCGTTTCATTATCTTCGACCTCAATAGTCGCAAGGATACAGCCTTGTGGAAGAATTGGCTATGGACATGTCGTTGCCCGTCTTTGCGATTTCTCCATTCCTGGACAAGTAAGCCTGACAGTCCCTCTTAACTGCCTCGACTCTTCATGAAGTAGTTACGTTGGTTGATCTAACTCTCTCGTCTTTCTTTCTTGTTCCCTTTTGTCCTCACAGCAAGATTTTGGTCTCCAGCGGACCTACGCTGAAACTCTTTGCTCTTTCATCAAGTGAAAACTCGTAAGTTTCTCGTTGTTTCGAGGCTTCCTGTTGAGTTTGTACTCCTGATTTTTCCCCCCACTGGCTATCCATTGCCCAACTCACATGTCGCTGATTTTTCTCGCGCTTTTTAGGTTGGTGGAGAAGGCTACTGCCCGTGAACGATGGCCTATTGTCCAGATATCGAGTCAAGGCAAGATGATTATCACTGGATCCCGAGGAGAGTCGATCAACTTTTACGAATATGAAGCCGGGAGCGGCGAGCATAGTTTCGACAAGCTCAGATTCTTCAGAAGGTAAGACTTTTAGTTCCTTGTTGGTTCGTGTCGGATAAATGTTAGAAATATTTTGTCCACGGCGCGTCGCATAGCTCCCCGCTTACTCTCTCTTGTTTTTCTTCTTCGATCATTCTTTATGCGTAAAAAGCGCTCGCTCGGCGAGGCAGGTTTCTGACTGCTTGGCCATCTCTCCAGAGCTGGCAGTTGGTGTTGACTTGAGCGGTAGTATTTTCGGTGTTGGATACACTCCTGGTATGACGCCCCTTTGCACCTCAAAACGCGTCCTTATATCTGTATTCATGCATTGTCTTTGGACCCGTCGTTCTCACTAATAGTGATATTTTTTTGTTGTCGAACGAACATTAGGCGTGGTCGATCGTCAGTACTCTCTCGTGGACCAATTTTCGTTCCACATGGGCGAAATCGTGAATCGGATCCGGCTTGCAAAACTGTGGTTGGATGATGGGCGGTCGCTGACCGGTGTACCCATGCCGCACTCAGTGTTGAAGGACACCGCGTCACCAGCATCAACAGCTTTGATACGTCCGCCTTCCTTTGTATCACTGCTGAAGCCCTTTATTCTCATCCCATGGTCACCATTCGACAACAGCGAGTCGTACACCGATATCACGACCTCCACAACAAAGACACCGTCTCCATCATCTCAGGCTCTGATCGGTTATTCAATAGTTGGGAGCATCATTGGGATCTGGAGACTGTCACCACCACTCTACGACATCCTCAAGGCCCTTCAACAGGTCATGGCGACTTTTTATGACTCTCGGCCAGTCCTTGGTCCGAGCCATGGAGTTTACAGAAGCCAAAACCAACCGACAAAGGCGTTTCATACCATCGATGGAGATTTGATCGATAGATTCTTGGCACTCGACCATGCTGTTCAGATTGAAGTTGTGGATTACGCCATTCGGTTAGAGGGGATGATTGAGGAGTGGATCCGGAACTGTGACGCCGATAGCGACGTTGCTGGTGGTGGTGGCGGTGGCGTTTTGGCAGCCGCATTGGAACGCGAATTCAGGACGACAATCTGTAGCGACGATCATCCGACCGGAAGAAAGTGTGTGGATCATGCCAACATCCGTCGATTGCGTTACTTGAACGACAAGGGACGTCCTATCGATGTTGATCATCTTGAAGTCGACGACGACGGTGATGAAAGGTCTTGTTGGAGGCAGGAGGAGAATGGAAGACCAGTGGATATCTTCCGTGTCCCCTGCAGAGCCATCCACGTCCTTTGTAGCGTTTTGCGTTTTCTTCGCAGTCTGGACTGGCACCAATAATGAATTAAAAAAGAGCGGATATCATTCATTCTTCAACTCATGCGCGGCGATATTATTATGTACTACAAGTTACAACTGACAACGACGGAAACAAAGAAAGAAAAAAAAAGAAAAAAAGCAAAATGTACATGGACTACAAACTACCGCCGGTCGGGCGAGTCCTCGGCAACTTTAATGATGGCGACCAAGACACTCATATCGTCCTGCTTGCCTCCCTGGTAGTACAGACCCTCCTGCATAGCTCGACTCTGGAAAGGACTGCCATGATGCCTCGTGTCCTCGGCCACATTCCTAGCCCGCTTGGCAAGTGCATCGCTAATGACGTTGGGTTCAGGGATCTTGCGTACGTATTTTTGCTTCTCCAGGTATGCTGCCTTTGCTATTGGGTTGCTGTGCAGTGATGACGATGAGCCGGAAGTCGAGTTTTGTGGGTAAAGAGCTGCCGAGAGAGGGAGAGCACTAGACTCGGCAGCAATGATGGCGGCTGCTGCAATAGGTGACAACTCCGATGTCGATTCCTCCTTGGCAACCTCTTCCAAGGCCACCAGTACTTCGTTCTCGCCAGCCTTCTTGGCAGTTGATTCTGCTGCATCCGTTGCTGCAGTAACCTTACTACCAGAAATCGCCGCAATAGTCGAGGATGATGTCGATGCAAGCTTGCTCCAGAGTCCGCTGACTCCCTTCCCTGAAAGAAGAGCCGGCGATGACGTTGGGTTTCCGGTTCCAAAGGGGTTATGATTCTGGTTCGGATCGATTCCCTCGACACATCGTACTACCTCCTCCAGAATATCCTCGTCAAAGAGATTGTCAAAGATACCATCCGTGCCCATAACAACAATATCGCCACTCTCAACTTTTACGGTGAACACCTGAGCATCTGTCGGGCTATCTGTGCTCCCTGTCCCGAGCTGGTATGGGTAGTTGAAGGAATGCTGCTGCTCTTCCGTCCGGAAAATAAACTCGTTCCTGCGAATAATGCTGACTCCACAGTCGCCCAGATTGGCGATTCGGAGCTCGTCGTCCCGAAGTATTGCCAAGCATGCTGTCGAAGATCCGATCAGACCCTATCATGTTTTTAGGTAATAGGCGAAAAGGTTGCGTAAACAAGAGAGATTCCAGGTTACCATCTGCTTGTCATTTTTGATGGAGATGTTTGTGCAGGACGATTGATTAATCTTAATTTCACAGCTGATGCTGTTGTTTACTGTACCTCTTTTTTGGCATCCCTTGCACTCTGCTCATAGCTCTTTTCAAGAATCTGAACTGGATTCACGTTGAAGTAGTCATAAAAGGCGTCTTCCTCAATGTTGTCGTACTTTTCTAGTTCCACGAACGCATAATGCATCAGCTTCCGTGAATACAGCGCAGGATTGGCTCCTATTGGGCGATATCATCAAAGAAGATTGTATATTTGTTGTTAGGTATGGTCCATATTGTTGTTGTGTCGATACGCCCAAACGTAATCGCGGGATGCCACAGGGTTGAGGTCGTACTATATAATCAAGTCTCTTCCACGCTGCTGGAAGAAAAGAGGGTCGTGCATGAAATTTTCTACTCGTCACGCCAGCGCATTGATCATTCGTTGAATCCTTGTGGTGATAAGTCCAGCAGCTGTTTGTCGGTTGTCCGTCTTTGTTCGTCATGTTTTTCTTTGTTGGGATGTATCCCATGTTCTAGCCTATAGTTGTCGTAAAAGCTGGATGTTCCGTGTGATAAAGACGGCTCGCCGGAACTATGTTCTAGCCTGCGCATATACAATTGTCCCCGTTCCCTTGGCTGTCTTCTCCTTATCTCAAAGCATAATGCACAGTCGGCAGGGCTCCTTTCCCCCCCTTTCTCCCGTTCTGTTATTGCCCAGATCGTCTTTTTGGCGTCTTTCACTTTGCACTCCAGACCATGCTACGCCCAACATGGGAATATGTCCTTTTCGATTATTGTGATACCGCTGAAATAGTTCTAAAACAGTTGTAATATGACGACCGTATTGCCACTCCAGTGCTCCACGATGTCTTTCTTTTGTCGTTGTGTTTTTTCCTTGTCATTGGCGCGAGTGAGTGCGAAGAGGAGAAGTGAAGAAAAAAACAAGACCAACAACAACAAAACAGAAAACAAAGATAAGACTTGCCTGTTGTTCCGCTCCATCCACCGACTCCGTCAGCAACCCCGAGGGCATCATGCCTCCGAAAGTAAGAATCCTCTCCGACTTGTACACTGAAATAGGCGCGGTCTTCCTCTGGAGTCAACGTCGATACCTTTTTTGGATTCTTGGCGAACCCAGAAGCTCCGTGGGCGAAAACATAGTTGTGGCGTGTGTTCTGAAAAGGTTGGTCAAAGAATGATGCTGGAGTGAGTCCTCCTTGATTGCTGCTGGTGCCGTTGTTATTGTTGTTTCCTGCAGTAGTTGGTAGTCTGGCTGGATCGTAGGACGACTGCGTGAGAGGATCAATCCAGGGTAGTTCCGAGGTCCATTGAGCTGCAGTGGTCTGTTCACTAAACGCGTGTCCTCCTTCCGCCTGGCTTCCTGCTGCTGATGGCGGATAGTGTATTGAGTCTGCGCTAGCGTTGGACGAGGACGACGATGAAGGGGCCGAAGGGGCGATAGCTGCAGCGGCGGCACTGACGGAAGACGACGGCAGAAGAGAGCTATTCCTGGTCGAGGTGTGCAGTAGACAGGCGGGGATAGAGCAAGGGTGACCACGGTGGCGAGCTCGGGACGAGGCAGAGTGATTGTGGTGATGTTGGTGATGACATGACGTTTGGTGGTTGTGGTCTAATGAAGAATGAGCTGAGGTGGCATGGGTGTAGATCGAGCGTGAGCCAGAGTCGAGGCTTGGTCCGACGACGAGACGCGAGGGCAGGAGCCTGAGGGAGGCAGCTGTGGTAGTTGTTGAGGAGGCGGAGGAAGCTGCGGCTGAGGCTGTTGGGAGTTGTTGGAGAAGGTGGTGCTGTCCCCTGAGGATGGCGTGGAGGTGCTTTGCCTTGCTCATTCGGAATTGTCTTTGAAAGTTGTGTTGTTGAGTTGGGTGAAAGAAAAGGAGGGGAGGAAAGGAATGAAGACAAGGAGGAGGTGGAGGTGGAAGAGGAAGAAGAAGGGGACAAGAGATAAGGAAATGAAGAAAGGGAGGAAGTGTGGAGAAAAAGCTTTTTTTTTTTTTTTCGTTATCTTTTTTTTCTTTGTGCAAGGTCAGGCAGCAAATCCGCTTTTAGGATGGCCGACGTGTTCTTTGGTTCTTTTCTTTTTCTTTCATGCCTGCATTGTTCACACTCCTCTCGGAGTAGACTTTTGCTTCAACTCCGTCCCTTTTGCTCAACCCACTGTGACGTGCAAAGAAGAGAAAAAAGGTGCTGTTGAACCACCGGCACCATCCTTGTCCACATTCACCATGCAATACACAATACAGGCACAGAAAAGAAAAAGCGGGCGATGTGTGGGGGAGTTCATGCTCGGGAGAAAGCGTAGGTCATCAAAAAGTGTGGGGAAAACCATTCATTTTATTATGATCTGCTGATCATTCGAGGGTGTGGAAAAATTCACAGTGAGAGCTACTCCTCTTTCTCGCGATCATGACACATCTTCATACCCATTCTTTTTCTTACATCGACCAGGGTACCTCCAAGTTGAGGTTAGAGAAAGTAGTGAGAAGTGTTCGACATTTACATGATGGAACAACGCCGATTTCCCACGCACCTCAAATGGTATCTCCCTTGTCAATGTTATTTGTTGTCTCTTTGTGGACGCTCTCGCATAAAAGACATCCATCCTTGTGTCTTGTCTCGTGCAGGGATTCAAAGTAATATCCCTTCTCCGATCCTTATCAACCTGCATGCTCTCACACCCGTGTCAACAAACTTTCTCTGAACAGGACATGACATGCAAAAGCATGTCTACATGTTAATATGGCATACGGCATAGTTTCGCACATAAACTAACATGCTCTTGAAGCAAAAGCTGCTGGATATGTACCTTTTGTGGATGGTCATTCATCTCCTATCAATGCCCTTGTTACAAAAAACAGAGGGCTCAACGGTCGTGATTCTTTCTCCACAACCCGTTGGTAACCCTCATTGCATGTCCATTCATAAGCTAGCATGGGCGGAGAGATTGATAGGTAGGCAGACAGGCAGGGGAGAACAACTCGTCAAGGTGGATTAGCCGAGAGCAAATTTGTCGAGTATAAAGTCTGGAAGGAGGAGGAGAGACAGAGAGCAACGACGGTATAGCCAACATATGGTGTTCCGAGGAATGCCTGTAGGTCCGTCTCTACCGACGTTGGATGCCTTTTTTTCGATATTTATTTTCATCGAAGACGATTGGTCACCCCCCGCTGGGCTAGCCTCCAAAAAGCTCTCAGGCACGCAAAGAAAAAACCACCATCAACCATCATCCTTTTTTCTTTTGTCTTCTCTCTTCATCCTCATCATCAACTCGCACCTTCTCTCCTCACCAACACCCATCCACTCCTTCCCAAGCACTCATTGCTTCTTCCCCAACTCCGCCGCCCCCCTCCCTCCTCAAGAGATAGAACTCTTTCCCTCTCCTTCAACCAACCACTCAAAACAGCCAATTCCTGACAAGAACTTAACCTCTGAATCTCCCAACCGACACTCTCAAATCGATGGCCTTTAACCAGAAGCGTGGTTCCATATCCACGTCCTCCTCCTTCACCTCCTCTGGCCCCAACCCCAGGCGCCAGAGTTCCTATGGACACATCATGGCCGGAACCGGCGGTCTCCCCTCCGCCCACACAGCAGCCATCAAGTCGGCCCAGGCTGCCGCTGCAGCTGCAGCTGCGTCCGGCAACAATAACAATAGCACCGCCAACGGAAGCGCCAACAGCAACAGCAACAACAAGCACGCCAACCCAAGCAAGCGACTCAGCAACCTACACCTTTTGAACCCTCTGCAGTCTCAACACCGGAACCAGACCCTCAAGGCCCGAGTCGCCCGCGTCTGCCCCTCACTCATCCACGGACACGGTCACAGAAAGCGCAACACCTTTGTCCTCCTCTGTGCCGGTGGTATCGTGGTACTGATCTACTTCATGTCGACCTGGAACATCACCCTCTCTTCCACTGTCCTGAATCACGCCTCTTCTACCTCAGGTGGCGCGTCTTCACAACAACACCAACAAGCAGCAGTGCCAGCAACGCCAGCAGAGTACCTCAACCCCGATGGAACCAAGATGGATTCACGCTCTATCTTCATGATCCGGGACTTTGGTCGATCGGCCTGCAAGAAGGCATTCGACGACTCACAGCATAAGGAAACTTTACCAGAGGATATTCGATTCGAGCGGGAGCGGGCTCGCGCTCAAGAATGGAATCTGATCACTAAGGAGGACGCCTGGAGCATGTCGTTGACCTGGAAGAGAGAGTTCAAGAGGACGCTCCCCAACTGGAAGGACTACAGCTACGCATGGATCGGTCAGGGTATTGTCCTCGGGGCTTTCCCTGATGCAGACGGCAAGGACACTGTCGCCAACACATTGGTCCAGATCAAGTTGATTAGGAGTCTTTCGTCTATACCCATCGAGGTCTGGTTCGAGCGTGTGGCGGATATCACGGAAGAGACTCAGGAAACAATCGCCTCCTGGGGGGCTATCATCCGCACGCTTGACCAAGTCGGCTCGACCGCCATGGATGCTGTTGTTCAGACCTCCGACAGCGACACCAATAATGTTCCTGGATCGCTCCACCAGGCGATCCCTCCATCTGAAATCCAAGAGTTCAAGGCAAAGATCGGACAGGATCTGGGCCGCTTACAAAAGGCCATGACCCTCGCCGCGTTGATCAACTCTGGATTCGAGGACATCTTTTACCTCTCACCTTCGACTTTACCCATGCAGTCCCCTCGAATCATCTTCCAACGGGAAGATTACCTGCGTTCTGGAGCCATCTTTTGGCAACACCCTTCATCATTCCCTGCCTACGATAGCCCGATCTGGTCGATCGCCCAGGCCGACTGCAACCCATCCATGTACGAACAGTCCTGGAGTGCCTTCGCCCTTCGTCACAAGGATTCCTGGAAGGGCCTCTTCCTCGCCTGGCACTGGTTGACGGGCGTTGAGTCTCACCGGTACGAGCATCTCATCGGAACTCACGGCAACGATCTCTTGCGAGTCGCCTGGATGGCCCTCAACAAACTATACACCAACGTCCCCAGGATGCCCCAGGCCGGACTCTTGGACCTGTCCCGCTCTAAAGGCGACGGCATCGCCTGCAACCAGGGCGCAAACCTATACCCCGCCCCAGGAGCCACCGTCCTCGAGAACCCCAAACAATACACCGCTGACCAACGCCAGATCCAAAAACTGTTCCAAAAGAGCTACCGCTACGGAGGCCCCGACGAGCTCTTTGTCCCCAACCACAACGTCATGATGGTCGACACCAGTCTTGACAGCGGACTGATCCACTCGGGCTCGAACGATCGCCACTTCCATGCGGCGCTTGATACGGCACTGACGCACCAAAAAGACCCCACACGGTTGCTTCTCACAGATGTCTATGCCGCTGGTTCGGGTCGACGCACTTGTCTGAAGATTTCAAGGAAGCTCAAGGGACACCAACACGAGTAGCATCGCAGCATCGTGTGAGGGGTTTCTAAAGCAAAAAAAAACCGTAGACGCTTCCGAAGAGATGGTGGAGGGGAAACAGCAAGAACATACCGCAATGAATAAATAGTAATTTGAAATATAATAGTACAGGATTGAGGGACAAAAGTTCTCTCTATGTGCTTGGTAAAAAGGCTCTGCAGTTCGGACATTCTAATTTGATTCGCATCCACTGCAAAGATTGCAAAAAGAGACCAGATGGAAAAAGAGGACAGACGGTCAGTCATATACTCAGGAAGCACAATTCAGCAACAAAAGATCGTAGACAACAAAAAACTTACGCGTTCTAAACAATCTGAATGGAAAAGATGTCCACAGGGCGTGAGCATATAGTTCAGTCGACCAAGACTGCCAACGACACTGGATAATCTCGCAGCTCCTGAAGCAGTATCGATAGGGAGCATACAGATAGCGCAATCCTGCTGGGGTCCGTGCTGGTGGCCTCCCGGAGCCGCGCGTCCAGCTCTAGACTCTTCGTCCGCCGCCGGCAGAATGGGATGGTAGTCGTAAATTGGTGGCAAATACTATCATTGCAAAGACGAAGGAAGATAAACTTAACATGCAGGCTTGAATAAGTTGAACAACATGAGCCATAGTCTAGACAAGGGGTGTGTACCTTCTTGGGAACAAAGAAGCGGGGACCGAGCCAATCCTGAAGCAACAAGACTCCCACCTGAAGAGCCACCCAGGCTACAAGGCCCCAGATCCAGGGTGTAGGCTCGTGACCCATCAGGTTATCAGGGCAGCCATAAAAATAGACAGGGATTGTCAAGCGTGTGGCGCTCATGCCCAAGATAAACCACAGGCTGAGGCCCTTCTTAGATCCCCGGATCACATTGCGGATGATTTGAGGGATCCAGAATGAGAACAGAGCCACGGCACAGACCGAGATCATCAAGTTTTGCACTTTGGTTGAGCTGATTGCGATCTTGTACAGTATAACCAGACTGATTATGAGCATCCAGTCTACAGTTGCAAAATAGAGGGAGTAGAGGTATGGTTAGAGGTCGAGTTCATCACAGTTTCATTGCCTTTGAGCTTCATAGCGTAAAACACTTACAGAATCGGCCATAGAGTGCCTGCATGTCTGATCGCGGACTATCATCCTCGGGTGGTGGGGTCGGTCGAGGTGCTGTGACGGGGAGGGGAAGGCCACCAGGCATGGTATCGGTAGGTCTCGCAGCCGTTGTTGCGGAGCCTGCGCCGTCAGTCGTCGTCGCGTTAGTGGATGTCGCCTGAGCCTGTGCTGCCTGCGCCGCTGCAGCTTGTGCGGCTGCACGGTTGCGTCTCCCGCGTCGTTCTGGCCGTTGTATCCGCCAAATGACAAGCATATATCGCATCCCGAAGATCGCCACCAAAACGAACGAAAAGAATGATGCCGCCACAAACGGGATGAACAAAAAGTCTACATCGGAAAGATAGAAGAGCTTACAATCGTGAGTTAATCCAGTCAGATACAGTATATATTACGAGAAGATGGGCGATTGCTTACCAACAAGGATACCCGTCGTCAAATGAAGCATGCACAGATATGAATCAATAAAGACCTGGATTGCGATTGTCCAATATGACACCTTGGAGACACTCTACATACCAGAAAAGGCTTTGGTTAAACATGCTATTTTCCTCTCAATACCATATATATTTTCGCTCAAAAACAGGTTGGCTTACTGATGGCGTAGGAGTGTACTCCATTTGGCGGACAAGGAGGAATACTTGGATGAACGCGACCGTGCCAGCCATGCCCGCGTAATAGACGGCCTTTGTATAGAACTTTTCGCGTTTCATTCCTTCCGACTTTTTGACACCGATTGTTAAGCGGCAATTGGGTGAATACATAAAGAGTGTCGAGTTCAGGTGCGGCGCCTTGATGACCGATATTCCTTGCGGCGCCGCCCATTCTTGTATGACAAGAGAAGGAAGAAACTAAGTCAGTTACAAGCTATTTTCAAAGGCTGTTTTGAAACAATGTCTGAGGCCATATACAAACAGCATACCTCGTTCCAGATCTTTCAACGCGTTGGGTCGGACACTTGGGCTAATAGCGCCGAGCTGCATGTACATCTGATAATGGCAGCTCGAAGGCTCTGAGAGTGCCGTCTCTACAAGTCCGAAGAAGATGATAAACAGAAAGAAAACGGTTATTGAATGTCTCTGAAAACCGCCACATCACAGCTTTCCCCGACTCCAAAATGTTTCGTACCTGGATATTCAAGACGCTCCTTGCCGTCCATAATGTCCTGGATGGTTTTGATCCGCTTCTGATATCGCTCCTTGAGCGCCGCTGCCGCCATTGCAAACGAAGCATTATCAGGCATCAAGTCCAGGATATGCCAAAGCGGCATTCGGCTTCTATATGAATAGAAAGTTCAAACTGCTAGAATACATTGTCGACAGCAATCAATTCTCACATCTCACTGTTAAATGAGGACAGCAATACACTTACTCTTCGGGTATACCCCACATGTAAAATGATCCATTGTGGACGAAGTGAATCCCCTGAACCGTCAAAGAGATGCCATAATCCTCATTGTCGTCGTGCTTAAGTCTCCAGCTCCCCTTGACAAAGTTCACATACTCCGTGGCCTTGGTCTCCTTGACATTGAAGACAAACGTCCCGGACTCGTTGAATTGAAATGGTCCCCGGAAAGTATCGACATCCTCCTGGTATTTGGGTCTCTTGTCCTCGATTGTGTCGACTGCCTTTTCTTCCTCCTTCTCCTGCCACAGCTCTCCTATCGTACTGTTGATGCCACCTTCTTTGCCGCTCATAAGTAACGTCGTGCCGTTCGCTGGTTTATCTTTGTCGTCCGGATTCTCAATCTTATCGGTGGAGTTATCATCTTTGGAGCCATCGGTTAGGGTTTCGTTCTTTGGCGCGGGTAGAAGTGGCTGTTCTTTGTTGATCATTTCTGCAATCTCTTCGTCAAAGGTCCAGTCTCCCCTGAACGATCCTGTCACGTTGCTGTAATAATGCGCCCGAGGATCCCTGTTCTCTGGGTAAAAGAGTTTTGTCAGCTCGGCTGTGACCACCTCCGACACGGGCTAAAATATATGTCCATTGAGTACAGGAGGGGGATTGTTCGTTAGCAGGCACAATGCAGGTCTGTTGTATGACAGCTTAGACATATCACCATTTCGCTTCCTGGTGACATTTACGACCATTGTACGCGGATGAAAGTCTTACATAGGTCAAATTGGTTCCAAAGGTCCTGTTGGCGCAGAAACTAGCCTCCTCCTGAAGGTCCGAGAGTGCCTTTTGAAGATAGGCTGTTTGGGGAGCGTCATCGCCGCTGAGGATCCAGAGAACAAGGAGAAGTAATATAATGCCTGCTCTCATGGCACAGAAGCTTTTTGTTCTTTCTTGCCACTCTAGTGGCCTGCGGTAAGCGGCGGAGGAGAAAGGGTTGACGAGGGAAGTTGGTTGGTGCGTGCCCTGTTTTTTGTTGGGGTTTGTTGTAGGATGAGTGAATGCGAGGAATCGCTTGTGGAGAGGAGTAATGTGCGCGATGTGTCCTGCTTCTGAGTCCTGTGTCGAAACCTCTGGCAGTGGCGATGGTCCTGAACGGTGATGGAGTGAGGGTAGATGTAATGATTGTCAAGAGTGTGGCCAACCAACCCTTGGCCGTGATGGGTGTCTGTCTCACCCTCCAGCCGCCAAATGTGACTGCGCCTACCTGTACCTGGCATTTCTGCTCAGTGACACGTTGCGTGTAGACACTAGCCTCCCCTAGGTTGCGACCTGGCGTTGATCTTGCTGAACACCGATTATCCATGCTCGATTATCCACGATAGTCAAACAACCTTCCTCATGCATACACGCCGTGTATATTTACGTCCCTAATGGCAGGAAGGACATGACATTGTATCGTTTTGTTTGGGCAATATTTGTTCTCCTGGACTTTGCCCACTCGGGTAACTTGCCATAACAAATCGACTCATCTTGCTCACCGATCAATGGAACATGCCTGATAACCCACATCCCTGTCCTTGGGACAAGTCAAACCTATCGTTTTGGGTCATCTTCGTAATAAATCAAGCTAAATAAGCAAAAATAAGCCCCAACGCCACATGGTTGCGCCAACGTGGATGGTTCTTCTTTCTTCCTTTCTGTGGTCACCATAAACCGATCGCTCTACAGTACACCAGGATCAGATAAATAGTCCCGACTCTTGCGCAGACTCTCTCTTGTTTTTTTTCTTCACCAACCCCATTTATTCACTTCTGAGCATTGAGACTCAGAACTTCCATTCTTCTTTTCTTTTTTGTTTTTTCTTCTTCCACTTTGGAAACCCCAATTCTCTTACCCCCTCATTCCCACCCTAAAGTTCACAATCATGCCATTTGGTAACAAACAAAACAAATAAACAACAGCAACCGCAAACCAGACCACAATGCCTCCATTTTGTTCACACATTCCACGGAACGAAAAAACTTACACATATCTCTTCTTTCATCTTGTGCCACCCTCCCAAATCCTCAACAGAACGCAGAACAACCCAGCCCGAGAACCCATTCGCAAGTCTCGCTCCAAACCAAACCATTGCCCTCGTCCCAGAGTTCACCTTCGAATCTGGCCACACCATCCGCGATGTCCCCGTGGCCTATAAGACCTGGGGTGTCCTCAACGAAGACGGCGACAACTGTATGATGATCTGTCATCCCCTCTCTCGAAGCGTCGACGTCGAAGATTGGTACTTGATCACTCTTTATTTTTATTTTGTTCTCGAATGTCATCTGGTGCTTGAATACACGAGATTTAAACGCGCCCAACATGACTTTGACATCCTCCAATGCTTCTTTTCCTTCACTTCAAAGGTGGATGAACTTGATGGGTGCTTGTACTCTGGAAGGAGAAGGCAAGGTGATCGACGAGACGAAGTTCTACATCGTCAGCCTCAACTGTATGGGTTCGCCCTACGGATCAGCCTCACCTTTGACCACAAACCCTGACACTGGCGCTCGTTATGGACCCGAGTTCCCCTTGTCCACCATCCGCGACGATTGCAGGTCAGTCTTTTCTTCATCATTATTCAATGTTACGTTACGTTCTTTTTTCGTTGCCGAGGGGTTGACCAACGCCTCAACTGCTTACACAAACATCTGATCGTCTCTTACTCCTTTCAACTACCAAAAAACAGACTGCACAAGATGGTACTCGACAAACTTGGAGTGAAATCCGTCGCGATCTGTATTGGTGCCTCGATGGCAGGAATGCACGCTTTTGAATGGACGTTCTTCTCCGACACACAAGGTACTTCTCCCTTTGTCAAGTCCATCGTCCCAATCTCGGCACCCGCCAAGAGCTCTGCCTGGTCCATGTCCTGGACCGAGGCTCAGCGACAGGCTATTTTTGCTGACCCCAAGTACCTTGATGGCTACTATCCTCTTACCGCCGTAAGTTCTCACCCTTGAATGTTTTGTTTCCTACATCTCTTCAATGACTTTGTCAGACACTGTTGTTGATTTTTTGTTCACCAATGTTCTCCTTTGACTTGATTCTGTAAAAAAAAAAAAAAAAAAAAAAAAAAAAAAAAAAAAACTAGCCGCCACTGCAAGGAATGACGGCCGCAAGGATGACAGCCATGCTGACCTACCGAACAAGAGACTCATACGAACGTCGCTTCGGTCGAGACATCATGCCACCGTCCTCCTCACCAACGGCTACTTCCGGTCAGTCATCCATCCCTACCATTGCCTCCACCGCGTCAGAAATTCACCGCCGAAACCACAACGAAGGCCGTCGCCACCAAAACACATCCGCCGCTCCACCACCCTCTTCCACAATCGGTGTCCTCACTCCAGATGGAAACCCCAAACCTTCTTCTGGTACCACAACCAACAACAACCTAAACACGCCAGCAAACACCACTTCTGCCTACCAGTCACAGGTTTACTCAGCTCACAGCTACCTCCGCTACCAGGCCGCGAAATTCAATGAGCGCTTCGACGCCAACTGCTATATCGCCTTAAGCCGCAAAATGGACGCCCACGATGTCTCATACAACCGTGGCCCCTACGAAGATGTTGTCCGTTCCATCAAGCAGCCTGTCCTTGTTATTGGTAAGAAGCACAAAGGACAAAAGAAACATCGCGTCTTCAGACAAGGGAGGGGGTCGCACTTTGAACAAAGAAAGGAATACATAGTAAATAACCACGAATACTCCAAATAGAAATCGACTCGGACGTGTTGTACACATCAAAGGAGATCAAGGCCTTGAGCGACCTCCTCCCCAACGGGGAACACTTTACTGTAAAGTCAGACGAGGGCCACGACGGTGTCCTGCTCGAGTATGAGAAGATCAACGACGCGATTGTCGCGTTCATGCAGCGACAGGATCATATCCGTGAACTTGTTCGTCGTGAGGGCGTTGCCGTCCCCGAAAAGAAGACTTCTCGCGGCAGTCTCTTTGCCTCTTGGTAGAGATACTATCTGAATGATACCACTATTGTCCACATATACCATTCAAGATACATTGCACTCATCATCTGAAATGAAGCTTTTGAGTGTTTTAATGAGAAATGCGTATGAAATAAATGAGATTGACAAAAAAAGTACGCGAAATGAATTTATGCGGCACCGAACAACTTTCTGTACTTGGCAGGGCCATCCCAGTTGCCCTTGAGCATGGACTTCCAGTAAATATCAGGGATAATCTCCTTGGTCAAGAAGTAGGTCGAGAAGCGCTCCTTGGACTGGTCAAAGGGGAAGGTCTCCTGAGGCTGGCCAGTGTATCCGCTAAACTCGGCCAAAATCAACTTGTCTGATCCAGTTACCAACTATTACCAAAATTAAAAGGGTAAAATTGAAGAGACATGGTCAATACTGATTGTTCAATGAGCTGCGAAAAACATGGAAAAATGTGTCAAGTCTGTAAACTTACTGGGCAGGAGGTGTATCCGTCGTATTTTGCGACCTCCTTGTTGTCGCCAAGGATATCGCCGAGAAGGTTGCTCTTCAAGACAGCACTCTGGGCAGTAATGGCAGCTGCAGTCTTGGAGGTAGGGAGGGAAGAGCAATCGCCAAGAGCATAGACATTGTCAAACTTGTTGTGGCGAAGAGTCTCCTTATTGACATCGACCCATCCGTCAGCGTTCGAGAGGGGCGAGGCCTTGATGAAATCAGGGGCACCCATAGGGGGTGTGACGTGCAAAAAGTCGTAAGGGAGAGTGAGGGTCGAGCCCTTGGCGTCGCCAGCGAGGACGTTGAAGACGGCCTCCTTCGAGTCGGGACGGATCTCGGCGAGGTCGGTGAAATAGTTGATGTTCAAGTTGCGGGCCTTGCAGATCTTGAGCAGCTCGTTGGCGTATTTGTCGATCGCAAAGATCTTGCCGAGTCCTGTGAAGTAGTTGATCTTTGTCTGGTCGCGAATGCCGGCCTTGCGCCATTGCTCCTCAGCGAGGTACATGATCTTTTGAGGGGCTCCTGCGCACTTGATGGGGGTCGAGGGCATGGTGAAGAGAGCGTTGCCGCCCTTGAAGGCCTTGATAAACTCGTCCGTCTTTTGGACAGACTGTGCAGAATAGTTGGACGTGACGCCGTTCTTTCCCAATGTCTCGGGCAAGTTCTTGATTTTACCCCAGTTAACCTGGATCTATTAGTAATTGAAAAAAAGGGAGCAGGGTATCAGTCAAAGCTAGTTCTTAAACTCTTCCTCAGTAACAACTGGTCTCCGACTATCCCCTACGCCTTTCTGTAGCAAGTGAGCATGAACAGATAAATGGACAAGGGAACTACTTACTCCGGCAGCAACAACAAGGTAATCATAAGAAATCTAAATTGGCAGGGAAAGAAAGTAGGGTGTGGCGTTAGTTCTTTGTAAACAGAGTTTAACCCTATGCGGGAATATCCAATGCCACCCTTCCGTTTCCGAGGGATCCGACACCAGTCCCTATCATGCAGCAATAAAAATATGCATTGGTATTTTTTTGGCCCTCCTTGAGCCATGAGCTAGAATGGGATCCCTGTTATCGATGAGGACATTGTCTTACCGACTCTCCGTTGGCAAGGACAACGGTGTTCTTGGTGGGGTTGAACGATGCGACAGAGTCCTTGATCCATTGCGCCTTCTCGGGCATGACCTCGCTCATAGCCATCTTGGACTCGTCAAACGTCTTGAGACCGCTTCCGACAAAAGTCCACAGGGGTTGGTACTGCGCAGAATAAGTAAGCAGAAGCACGACATAAAGAAAGGAAAAAAGATGGACCCAAAGCGGGAAAGAGGAGAGATTGTTAGGATACGCTGCAAATCTCTGAGGAGATTGATACCTCTCACGCTCATAGTCTGTATCCATTCGCGCTCAAATTGTTCACACGCCGTTGATTCTTTGTTCTTGTAAGGATGACTTACGTAGTGGACATCTGATGGCTCAACAACGGCAACAGACTTGTTTCCCAAAGTCTCGGCAAGGGTCGAAGCAACAGAGAGACCAGCAGATCCACCACCTAGGCAGCATTCATATCCCAAGACGCGACAAGAAGAAAGTCAGTCCTTTGTGATCAAAAAAAGGTACGGGTTTAATTCACATGTTCCACTTGAGGTTCATAGTCCATGGAAAAGCGTTCCTTACCGACGACGACAACCTTGTAGCTGGAGGGCTTGGCCTGGTCATGGATCTTGGGGGTGGCGCTCACCTGGGCCAAGAAGCGCTTGGACTGGAAGGCCGAATTCCTGGCGGCCATACGTGCGACCGCGCTGAGAGGAGAGAATGAAGCAAGGACCATGGTGGAATGAAAGAGTGTGAATTAGGGTGAGAAGAAAGAAAAAAAAAGAAGGAATGAGGACCAAGGGGATGAATGTGGAGAAGGAAGGTAGGTAAGGACAAAAGAAAAGAAGAAAAGAAAGCAACGGTCAGTCAACAGATAATGAGATATCAGCATTTGGGCGATGGCGACTTGTTCCATCATCGATTTGCTTATTGCGTGATTGGATCTAATCGAGCAACATCAATATCGAAGGAAGAAAGAGAAAACAAAAAATATTCTATTTTTTGTCAGAAGATTTTCGCCTTTACCCTTTTACCTTTCGATTGTTATTTAAGGGTCAAGGTCATTTGTCAATTCCTTCGCCTATTTGGATGGATAGAGTCGGATGGACGATGATAAGTAGATCCATCAAACGAAAACGTTGTTAATGTAACCGAGGTCATTGAATCTGCTGATGGTCTGGCTTCACATGCAATTCATCATCACCTCATCGTTTCCAGAGTTCATCATTCAACAAAGTTCGGGAAATTTTTCATACTTGCTCAAGATCTCACACTGCAGAAAAGATAAAGTCCCTCAATCCCCAACAAACGTACATAAGGCGGCATCAATCAAACATCATTGTTCAACAGGTGTTTTCTGGTGGTAAATGGTGGATGTTATTTTCTACAAGTGTGGTCTACAGTCTAAAGTACAAGGGTGGAGAGATGAGGGAAGGATTACAATGCTAAAAGAGGTGGTATTTTTTTTTTGCTTTACAAAATGGGAAGAGAGGGGAGTGTGGGTGTCTGTCGCTTTTGGTTATTTTGAGGATTGCTTAGCGGTAGCGGTAGATCTCGCAACCAGCCTGCTCCTGCAAGAGGTATTTCTGGTACTTGATCTCCTGGACGCGGCAGAGCCAGTCGCAGAGTATCAAAGTCGAGCTGCCTAAGGCAGCAGACTCGGCGGGGCAGGAGGAGAAGAAGGGGTGGCTGTCAAGGAGCTCCTGGGCCGACTTGCGGTTCTTGGGGTTCTCCTCGAGCATCGAGCGGAGAAGGTCGGCAGCCTGGACGAGGACGCGAGGGTAATAGGCACCCTGGGCGATAAAGTCCTTCAGGTAGGCGACGGTCTGGTTGGTGTTCTCGAGACCGAGGTACTTAGATCCAAAGTAGTGGAGATCGCAGTCGGGGATATAGGGCTCGAGCATCTGGCCGAGGACGATTCCAAGAGAGTACAAGTCAGCCAAAGTGGGATCGCAGACATCGTAGTGCTGGGGGCGGAGGACCTCGGGGGCAATGTAACCGCTGGTGCCGCAGATGGGGACCTGGGGCTTGCCGCTCTTGCAGGAGCGGTCGATAGGCATGGAGAGACCGAAGTCGATGATGACAATATCCTTCTTGGCGTGGGTGACCATCAAGTTGGAGGGGTTGATGTCAAGGTGGACAATATCCTTGGCGTGGACGGCAGCGAGGCCGGTGAGGATTTGCTTCATGGTCTTGCGGACTGAACAGATGCTCTTGTTGACAGTATTACAGTCAAACTTCTTGAGCATGGGGAGGACGAGGACGGTGTCGCCGTTGTCGTTGACAAAGGAGTCTTCGAGGTGAATGACGTTGGGGACATCGACGAGGCCGTGTAAGAGCTGGAGCTCCTTCTCGGCGAGACCGGCGACGGGGACGGTCTTGAATGCCAAGGGCATGAAATCGGCGATGCGGATACCGAACTCGATGGTCGACAAGTCGTGCTGGTTGAAAAGAGAGTAATAAAAAAAGAAAGGTGAAGGTTAGGAAATGGGCTCGACATGCATGGTGGAGTGGACGTGCGCTGAGTGCGTGTGCGTATGTTTTAGTGGCAAGGACAGGATTGGCTTGTGCGCGTGTGTATTTGAGAGTTGGGCTGTTCGCGTGAGGTGGAGAGAGGATGGTTGGTTGGATGGGGTAGGATGACGATATCATTTCTGACCCAAGCACAACGCATCATCAAACACATACAAACAAAACCACATGCAAACAAGATGAATGCATGCCGTGTAAAAGACGAGAAAAGTGACTGCTCGCTATCCGTATCTACACATGTGTCTAGGAGTCACCCTCTTCGGAAAAGGGAGGGAAGGGAGACACGACAAACAAACAAAAAGGTAATTTATCGTATCCTCGAATACGTATCTGCTGCCATCACAAACTAAACCCCTTCTCTGCCTCTTCCCTCTTACTCGCCATCACACGCCAAAATACGAGTTGCATAGAGTACATGTACAACAACCACACAAGAACCCTTCTTCTTTCCCCGCAAATTGGCATTGCCTTCTTTTGGACATTGAATGAGGGCACCAACAGCGACACTCGGTTTTGGAGAGGCAAGGAGAAGGGAGTCAACAGAGAACAATCCAAACTCCGGATCAAGCCACCCACTCATACAAAAAAAAAAACTGTGAGCTGGTATGAGTAACAGAAAAAAAAACGTGGGAGAGAGAGGGAGAAGGAGGGAGAAGGAGGAGGGATGGTTGTTGGTTGGTTGCAATGGAAAATAAAGTAACTTACTGTCAATTTGGGGAACATGTCGTTGACAAGATAGTCAGTCTGCCCCGTGGAAGGATGGTGTTCGCAAGGAGCAGTGTACACATATGACACAGGACTCGTAGGCGCGGTGGCAGAAGCTGCAGCGGCCTCCTTCAACAGAGGGGCGATCAAGAGTGGACTCGACATGATATCCTCCAGCTTGCCTGCAAGGTGGGTGGACTGAGTCTTCTTGTGGGTATGATGGTTGTGCTGGATCTGATGAAGGAAAAAGGGGTGGTGGAGAGACTGCTGCTGGAGGGGCTGACGAGTCTGGGGGAGGAAGGAGCGGTGAGGAGGACCCATGTGGAGACGCTGAAGGGCAAGGGACTTTCGAAGCGAGTTGACAGTGTTGTTGGTGGTGGAGGGGGCTGGTTTTGACGAGTTGAGGAATAAAGAGGTCGAAATCAAGTCGTACTTGACGACAGGTTCAGGGTTATAAAGGGATGTGGTTGTTGATATAGACATGGCGGCCATTTGTATGTATTGAAGTATTGTGGAGAGGGAGGAGAGTGAAGAGATGTAAAGAGGATAAAGGTGTGTTTGACAGTTGGTGGACAAAGCAAAGGAGGATGTGGAGTAAAAAGGAGATCCGAGTAGACTGCTGACTATGCGAGGGTTATGAAAGGCTAGTGAAGGAGTCGAGAAGATGTATAGAGAAACAGGTGTTTGGGTTTGAAAGATAGCGACGAACGAATGCTGGCATGAAGGAAGTGAAGATATAGGCGAAGAGAAAGGAGGGTTTATGTAAAAACAGAGAGCGACAGAGAGCGATTAAGAAAACTACAGAACGTGCAAAAAAGTAAAGAAAGAAGTAAAGGAAGGGAAAGGTGAAGAAATAGAAAAAGAGGAAAAAGAGAAGAACAAAAGTGGGACCCGCGATTCTTTATATACGCGGAAGCCAAGGAAAGGATTATTTAGGGTTTGCTTTGGCTGGAGACCGTCATGGACAGAGTCGGAATCGGGACAGAGAGGGACACTGAAGAAAAAATATCAATGGTTGAATCCGTTTTGCACGGGGGAAAGGGTGCAACAGACAAAGCGGCATTCAACAGGCCGAGTTTTCTATCATGCCCAACGCAACCACTCTCAGAGCACTCCAACACTCACACACCGCACATTCCCAACGATGATTCATTCTGCAACTGAACAACTTCACTGTGTCTCAATGGCCCACTGAAGAAACTTTTTCGTTCAACCTCGTAAAAAAGCATGTTTTCACAAATAGCCTTCCAAATGAAAAAATGAAACGAAAATCGCTCAGTTGTTATTCCCTCATTCATTCACACTAGCTATCGTTCATTTGCCATTGGACCCTTCCTCTCCAATATCCCTATCGATCACAAAAAGATGGATAGAGGATTGATGGGGTGAGAGAGGAAGAAAGAGGAACAGGATTCGAGAGCGCGATTTTTTATTCCTCTCAATTCCACAGTGGCACCAATGGTCAATGTTTTTTCGATTGCAGCCTCCTTCAATAGAAAAAAAGGCGCTCAATGTCAACTTCTAGCCTACATCTCCTACTGTTCCGAGGAAAGGAGGAGCTCCCAATGCCATGGTCCTTAGAAAAGGGGTGGGATGGTGATGTCAGGCTTCTGGGGTAAAAGCAAAAAGCTTGGCCTCGCATTCCTTATTTGTTGCGCCTCTTGAAAATAACAAAAAATAGCATGTAGTCAGCCAGAGTATCCCAATAGACGGGTGGGCACTAGATGTCAAAGGTACATTGAGAAGGAAGGAAGGAAGGAAGGTGGAGTTAGGAAGGGAACAAATCGGACTTGATGACAACACAATAACCCCTGCCAGCCCAGGGGTTGGTAAAAAAAAGTAGTAATACGAAAAGCATAGACCAGTCTTAGGGTCCTCCTTCACCTGCCCATAGTCAACCCATTGCTCTCATGGTTATGTTTGCTCTCTCCAATCGTCCACCAGTTGACCGCAGGCCCGTCATCACTTCTCATCCCTCATCTCTGTCTCCTTCCTTCGCCTTTTGCTCCAATTGTTTTTTTTTCTTCGTGCGTTGCCTATCTTGACATACTTGTTGAATAGAAACAGACTATTCAATCCGTAGAAATGAGAACTCATCAGAAATTGGGACTGTCTTTGTAGATCAGCCATTGTCCATGGGCTTGAGGCGCGCATCTCTTGTTTCACTCTTTCGTGGCAGTGTTGTTCTTGTCCATTCTTCATGACGGATGTCTATTTGCGCCCAATAAAAAAACGAGACTAAGGCTTGCGCTAGGTCATTATTACTATGTCAATTGTCGCCGACCGCCATGGTCAACCCCATAGCCAATTTTTCAATGGGGTTGTAGTGCTATGAAGGAAGCTATGAGTCGCGAATATCGCGCTTTCCTTGCTACGTTAATTGAGTTACAATAAACCACCTTCTGATCAATTTCGATGACCGCTTTATTATGTATGGTACATGCTAATCCTTGTTATCCCGAGGCAAAAACCAAAAAAAAAACATCCCCATATCTTAATCGCAACGCAAGCCAAAAAGCAATCAATGGACCAGCCTCTACAAAAGTGACCTGAGCATTCACCAAAGAGAGAGAAATGGGGTGAGTGGGCAAAAAAGTAAAGCAAAAGGGGTCGAAGAAGAAATTCTAGAGAACAAAGTAAATTTGTGTGGAGATAATCATCCATCCGAGTCGTGCTGGATGTCATAGCCTTGCTCTTCCGTATCAGAATCTTGGTTGACCTTGTCGATGAGATCCCGAATGGCATGGGACGACTTGCTATCAAGGTCAAGCGCCCATGTCAGTTTCTTCAGAGCCTCTTTCTTGTCGCCCATCTCAAGGAGAATTTCGCCCTGGAGCATAAAGACCCGCGGCTCTGTCGGAGCAATCTTATGGACCACATCGAGCTCCTTCAACGCTTCCGTATATTGACCCATCTCCTTCTGCACTTTGGCCTTTTCGAATCGGGCCATAGCGTGCCCTGGCTGAAGATGGATCGCTTCCTCAAACGACCGCAGGGCTTCTGTCGTCCTGTTCATCCTCTCTTGAACCTAACAAATAACAATGTCACGAGGACGGAAAGATGACGGCGATTGTTTCCGATAGGGGATCATTAGAGTTTGGTTTTGCTGGAGTATGACACCGCGATGTTTATCTAAGACCGGAATCGCCGAGGATCACAGAAAAACAATAGAGCAAATAAAAACAACGTGGCATTCAAGGGCAGACAGACAGACAGACAGACAACTTACAATGCCAACCAGGAAAATCACTACGGTGTTGGACGGGTTCAGTCTCTGAGCCTCTTTGTAATGAATCAGTGCAAGATCACTCTTGCCAACCTTGATGTACACATCTCCCATACCGCACCTAAGTGTTGCCCGAAGTGACAAACAACAAAACAACAAACAAACAAAGTAACAGCTTCTTAGTAACATACTTCTCCTTTTGCACGTGTAATTCCATCGCACTTCCCTGATCGCCCTTCCAGATAAAAAAAAAATAAGATTACCATGCGGGGTAGTGTCTATCATCAATGCTCAAAGCGGTACGGTACTCCGTTAGGGCCTTATCGTACTCTTCCAGGCCCTTATATTCATGTCCAGAAAGCGTGTGGGCGTAAGCAAACCGATCGTCCAATTGTATAGCCCGCTGAAAACACTTTAGCGCCTGATCGTTCTCGTTCCGTAAACTGTAGGCGTTCCCGAGCGCACACCAAGCCTGCGGCGAGTGGTGGTTAGAGTCCTTGAGTTCCTTGCCGAGTGCCGAGAGTTTCATCTCCTGTTTCAAGTGCCACAAGCATGTTGAGTAGATTTCCATGTCTCTGTGTATACTTGGCTCCATCTCCCTTGCACGCTGGAAGTACTGGGCAGCCTATTTAATCAAGTGAAGGAAGGAAAAAACTGCAAAAGTTAGGAAAATCCCAACAGGCACTGTCCAAGGTATGTTGCTGGTTTTATTCGACTGATACGTACCGTGGTATAGTCTGTCATTTCAAACTTGTTCTTGGCGAGTTGGCATTGGACCCAACCGCTTGCCAGGTGTTCATACGGCAGGGACTCATACTCCACCATAGACTCGGTGAACTTGTTTTGAGAGAAGAGGCCATATGCCCTCGCTAGGATCTTGAAGGTATCGGCCACAATGCGCAACGCTTCCAGCTCTTCTTGTAACTCGGCTTTTGATACTGCTGGCGCCACAGCACTCGCAGCTGGTTCCTGCTCCAGTCAAATCCATAAAGAAAAATGATGTGAGTTAGATGGTACTGGTATAGAATATAGAAGCGATAGGAGTATTGTATTATCGTTGGCCTACTTCTGGCACGGCATTGGATGAGGCATTTGCGACTGAGGTGCGATGGGAGCTTTGCAAATTGGCAAAGGTGGCATGCCTGTCGAACCCTCGTTTCGTAATCGATCCCGATGTGTTGCGCGCTGGTATAGCTGACGAAGACTGAGATGGAGGATTGTAAAGTTAGTCCTGCCGTCGCAACATATATCAGACAGATTCTTGAGCCACTGCAGTCAAGTATTCAAGACTTACTTTGGTTCGCTCGAATGGCCTCTTCATATGTCCTGCAGTGCCTCGCCTGAGGAGGGTATTAGGTTTGTCGATCCCATTTCCCTCAGATCTATGAGGATAAGATGACAGTGGCGAAAAATGTGAGTTATCGTTCTTGCGGAACATTACCCCTGAGCAGACAATCATGGTGACAGCACATCCTTACATTTGAGCAAGTACGGCCATGCTGTTGGTGTCGATGGTCGGGAGAAATCCTTGTCTGGGTTTTGTCAAGTCGTGTGCTGGGACGCTGCTCTGATTATATGAAGGCTCGGTTGCTGTCTCGTTGATGTTTTCATCCTGCAGATCCTCAAGCTTGATTATTGGTGGCGCTGGTGGGTTCGGCATTGCTGATTTGACACGTTGTATTACCAGTACTGGTCGAGAAGCAAAGACGTTGGCGATCGTGGCGTCAAACTCTGCAAAGATGCTATTTGGGTCCGGCGCAGAACCTACAGAGGTAGAGCGGAAAAAGGAAAGGTTATAATTTGATCCGCACTGTTTCAATAACAACGCACGTCCCGCAAGTCGAGTCGTCCTGTTCTTACCAAGCTCAGAAAGGTTCTCGAGCGCTTCCCACAAAAACGGATTGGCTTCAAGAGCCTGCGTAAAGTATTTGATCGCCAACTTGTGCCGCTGCTGAGCTCTAATGTGACATTGACAACCATAGTAGCAAAAGCATATTGTAGTAGAAAATGACTTTATTATTACTAGCTCTTCATGTGAACAACCCATCCCGTCATGACAGCACCCTTGAGCATTCATGTGCTTACCTTGCGGTCCGCCCGAGGAGATTCAATACTGATGCTTTGTCAGGGTCACCAGTGCTAGATACGTTTTTGCCAGCCATGATGTCTAGAATGCAGAACACATAATCTCGCGTTAGAAAAAGAGTTGATAGGTGTTGATGGATGTTGGTGTGGGTTGATTCCTGCATTTTCCCAGCGCTCCGTCAAGGTGATATCAGCAAGGCTTTTTTTTTCTTACCAGTGGCAGAACAGGCAGGTAAAGCCTCCTGCAGGAGCCACTCCAGAACGCCGTTGCACTCGGCATACCGCCTCAAATCCAGACAGCACTGGGCAAACAGGTACCGATTCCTGATCGAGGTGCAACCATCGAGACTCGCCCATGCCAGTTCAGGTTGTCCTTGCCTGTATTGACACGTTGCAAGCAAATACTGGGCATATTCGTGTTCCTCTGTCGTGTGACCAGTACCGCGTGTGTGGTAGTAGAGCCTCTCTGCCAGAAAGATGGCGTTCCTGAACTGGAACCGGTCAAGCGAGTATCTTATGATGTGCTCCAGACGCTGGCCGACAGCTGTGAGCTTTGGTAGCGAGTCTACAGTGACGGACGCGGAGCCATGGCTGGTGGTTGTCGATGCCGTGACAGCCATCGTGGCAATGAGTTGCGATGCTGAATCCTTTTCTTGTTATCAGTGGAATGAATGTTGTTATTGAAAAGAGCCTAGTCGGTATTGTTCTTGTTGTCTCCTGTCGTGTCTGTAGTGTCGATAGAGAAGAAGGTGTGTTCAGTTCAGTTGAGCGCAAGTTCGGTGGCGATAATGGAGGCGAACAAAAGACCTGAGCATCGCCCATTTTTTAAGCGCGTGACAGGCATGCGATAATAACAAATTCTGAGACGAGCCTCGAAACCAGTCACACTCGCAGCCCTCGGTTTGCCGTTCAGTTCGGTTTCGAGGCCCAGTTTTCGTGTCCGTTGGCTCTACCACACCCTCTCCATTTTCTTTACAGCAATGATGAATGTCAGGACAATCGCCCAGGTGGCACAAACCGGACGTGTCGCAGGCGCCAGCCTCACCGCTGTGAGGAGAACCTACGCCAACCTGGCCTACAACGCCGCCTCGCAGCCAACCAGCGGTGAGGCCCCTACCCTGGACAGAAAGCTGGATTCACTCGAGGAGCGCATTCAGGCACGCAGGGATGCATTGTCTGCCAATAATAACACCAACGCCAAGCCCTCTACCTCGGACGATCAGTCGCGCACGGAGACTTCCAGCACTTTGGGGGTTTCTCAGGCCCCCAAGAAGGGCATCATGTCGATCCTGCCTGGTATGAGAGTCCTTTCTTCGATTGTACCAAAGCAAGGACTGGTATCAGTATGACATCAGCTTTAGGACATGGCATTGACAGAGCACTTCTTCATTGTCATTGGCGAAACGTGCGAATAGGTATCAACAGCGCCTCCAAGTGGATCAAACAGCCCTCGGTCGCCGATCCCGAATTTGAGGTTGTCAGCGCAGGATTGGGATCGATGCTTCACGTCAGATTGCCCCAGCGTTCAGAGCTCTATGCCGCACCTGGTGCTGCTGTCGGAAGCTCGGCTGAGGTGAGTCTTTTCACGCCGTTACACTTGGCACTTATAGGATCTGTTCCAAGATTTAGCTCAATAGCTAACGCGGAAGGTTTTGTCATGTCAACTTATCTAGGTCCAATCGGAGCTCTCGACTGTCACCAACCCATTGAAGGCTCTTGGACGTCGCTTGGCAGGAGGATCATTGCACTTTCAAAAGGCAAGTCTCGGGAGATAGTCAGACATAATAGCAGAAACGGTAGCTAAAGTAGCAACGGTCAGTTTATGGGATGAAATGGCAAACGACTAACCGAACGCGATCTGGACTTCACTTCTTTCTATCCTTAAATAGTTCTCAACGGACACTGTTTCAGGAGACGTTTTGTTGGCGCCTCAACATATGTCGGACATTGCAGCTATTCGCATGGATGGCACTTCGGAATACTACATCAGACGCGACGCTTTCTTGGCCAGATCTCCCCGCGTCATTCTTCAGCTTGGATTGGCCAAGGCAGGATTAGGCGTCACCAACTTTTTCGCCCACCGTGTGACTGGTCGTGGAACGCTCGCTATTGCAAGCTACGGAGGCATTTACCGCCTTGTTCTCGCGCCCAAGGAGGAGTACCTCGTCAACCCTAGGTAAGTCGCCACCCAAGAGTTTTTTTTGGATAAGTGACAGTCGCGTGGAAGAAGCAGTGAGAGACACAGGATCTCGCGTGCACTCTAACTGTAACCTAACGACGTTTCTTTTGATTGGTCATGGGTCCTGTAGACATTTGATCGCTTGGGAGGCTGGTTCATCACCTACAGCTTCGCGTCTGGCTATCGACCCTACGCATTTGGCAGAGCCCGAGTCGCGTTCGTCCAAGATCCTCTCTAACCCCTACGTCGCCACGACATTGAACATTGCCTCCCGTCTCGGAGAGCGTCTGGGCAATGTCCTCTTTGGAAAGCAAGAGTTTGTCCGCCTCCAGGGACCCGGAGATTTCTACCTCTGCAGTCGCGTCCGCCCGAGCACTGAAGTTTTAAAGCAGATAACCTCCTCAGCCACCAAGCTTCCCGTCATTTTCCCTGCCCCCGTTGCTCCCGCACCTCCCAAGCCTACCACCCCTCCAAACACTTTTGCGACTGTGACTCGTGATGGCCATGTTACTATTACCAAGACTGGCTCCGCCGCTGCTGCATCGTCTGCTACTGCTTCTACGCCTCTTTCGGGATCGACTCCTCAGATCAAGCGTCAGGTTATTGACCACCACGGCGAGGGCTCTACTATTACCAAACGCGAGTCAAGCAGCGCATAGATCATTCATGTCTCTCTCGTTCACTTTCCTCCCCTCTCACTTTCATATTCAATTAAAAATTCATTCTCTCAGTTTGCATCTCGGCACCTTCTTATTCTTTACCACATGTACAGAATAGTACAATCATGTTTTGAGATAGAATTACGATTTTGTGATGATTGTTATGCCGAAGAGTCTATCCTTCTTGACGCATATTTACATTCATTAGGGTAGCATGACGGTAAAAGCTAGAAGGTTCTATCATTGCCTAAGGCCCAGTACCAGGAAAAAAATGAAAGGCTACAATAAAAAAAACCACTGCTCGATTCACGTACCGTTTTAAGTCAAAGTAAGTGCATGCATTGTATCAATGGAGAAAGTCTCCCCTGCAGCAAGCTGAAGGAAGAGGGTTGGATGAGTCGAGGCCCTAAGAACGTAAGTACGATGCTTACAAAAACAGGGTGCTTCGTCTCTTTTTTTTTTTTTTTGTGTAGATGAAAGGGTGTACAGTAAAAAAAATCTCGCTCCTCGACCACTTTGACCTCTCGTCTTATTGGCGCCCTCGTTTCAAAGTGGTTGAACGATGATAGACAAAGAAAGGAAGGATGGATGGAGAGGAGGAAATATAAAGAGAGCAAGAGAGATAATACACAAAGATATTGATGGATCCTGCGTTTAGGAGGGTTTGACTGGGATTAGTTCTTCCAACTTGTTTTTATCTCCGAGGAAGTTCCGGCTATATTTGGATGACCTCCTTCATCGTTCATCGGTACCGGTATCGTTTCTTTATGTTTTCATGCGTTTAACTCACTCACTCTCACTGGAGGGGAGGCAAGACTTCGGGTCAATATGCAAAAAAAAAAACAAGGTCGCCTCAAACTCCTAACGGCAAGAATCGCCTATGATGCAGATTCAGGCACAGGGGTAGTTACAAAGTGAGAACCGAATAAAAATCAACTGTGGTGAACGGGAGAGCGCCGTTCGTCATTCGAGAAGGAAAAATATCACTCATGTATCACCACCGTGGTACTACCCTATTTCTCACTGTCTCTCCTGTCTTTCGGTCGTAAATTGCCAAATGTGGAGGGCTTTGTCCACCTGCGCTTCCTTTTGCATTGTCATTTGATTATTTGTTTTGGTCTGTTCACTGTATTGACATGTCAATTGCGGAGAGCACTTTATTTTTCTTTTCTTTTTTGTTGCCTGACCTCCTTCCCGTTCATGCCCTTCGACGAATGGTCAAGAAGCATAAACATCGAAATAAGTGGGAAATGAGCTCTCTTTTGGACGAGGGACCCGTAATGCGGAGACATACGCCCAGGCTAAGAAGGCAAACAATGGGTGCTGAGCGGCGGCGAAAAAGAAAGATCATATTGTGCGCCTGCCAGAGCGACTGCTCAAAGGGCGAGAAAAAAAGAGATTGAGATACCCCACTACTTGACCCCACTGCTTGGTCCCAACTTTGAACACTGTGTATGGCTGAAAAAAGAGGGGGAGAGAAAGCAACACACTTTCAATGTAGCTGCCTTGCAAGATATTGTTTAGAGATCACAGAAAGGAAGGAGGAAGGTAGGGACGGACATGGAAGAAGGATAAAGCAACAGAGGAATGTTTTCATCGGACGGATCAACCTTCCTTTCATCCTTCGTCCCGTTGTTTTTTGTTGTTGAATAGCTTTTCAGCGAAGCAAACGGCTATTTTTTCCAGCCGGTCAACACCTCTTGGTATTGTTTACTTTTTTCTCATTTTAATTACATTCAGTGGCCAATTTAAACAGCCAACCAAGACTGAGTGAATGCGCGACGACCTTGATGGTCTGGAAGAACTATTTCTGTAGCTGTTTTCAGTTAAGCGTCGAAGGTTTATATACCAGCTCTCTCCTCCCGTCGCTCTTCACTCCTTCTTCCACCTCCTCCTTTTCCTTCTGGCCTTTTATAACCCCACTCCTTCCGCGGCAATATCCTCCTTAATCGCCACTTTGCTTTACATTCTCAATCACGCTTGCAACCAACCCACCTTGATTCTCATAAGGCCAACTCTCGCCTCTTCGCCATTTTTATTCTCTACCTTTCTTCAACTACCACTATTACCCTCTCACCCTTCTAATACATAATACTCCCAACGTACTATCACAATGGTCAAGCTCACATCGTACTTCCTCATCTCCCTCTCCGCCTCCCTCCTGGCCTTCTCCGGTTCTGTTGAAGCCAAAGCAGACCTGGGGGCATGCTTCCTCAAAGTGCCCAAGAACCCTCTCACCGCCCACGGTCTTGCCAGCACTTACATCCTCAAGAAGGGCAACTGTGACCAGACCATTGCGGACCAGCAGGTCTTTGTCGAGGCTACGGTGTTTGATCTTGATGCAAACACCTTTAGCGTGTACCACCCACTCGTTATTAACGAAGGTAAGGAAGGAAAAGTGAAGGAAAATAGGTTCCGAAACCGCCGAAATATGTTCTCAGACAGAGTCGAATGAACCCTGTTCGTGCACTGTGTTCTTTTTAAGAGTGGGGTTGGTCTGCTGGACATTTTTCTTCTAAGGGAGTCTTAGTTCTTTTTCCCCTTTCACACTGACCCTGAGATGAGATCTAATATGGAGAGAAGTAAAGAAGAAAGTTGCATTTTTCCATTTTGGATTGACTGTTCTGCCGTTTGGACAGCGGCAAAATCAAACAAAAAAAGGCGTCAATTTACTTAACACGCGTTTCCTTCTTCTATTCTTCAATACCCCATCTTCCTTCCAAGGCACGAAGCCAGCAATCGCTCCAGTGGTCCCAAAGCTGCCCAAGAACTTCATCGTCGGCCTCTGGTTCGGTGCAAACTCTGACTCAGTCACACTCACAGGCGACATCACGGACTGTGTCAACGGCCTCTCGTCCACCGACATCTTTAGTCAAGTCGCCTTCTGCAACGCCCACAAGTTTTTCCAAGCCGTCCAGATTGCCAAGGATGCTGGCAAGGTTACCATCCCTCCTCTCGGCAAGGACCCCAATGGCAATCCGTGTCCCACGACCCGCCACTTTGGTATCATTGACCAGGACCAGAGTGATAATGTCATTACGACTTACCTCCAGTCCAAGAGTGGCCATTTCTCTCAGGCCACCAAGGCTAACCGCAACAAGCTCAAGAAGTTTACAGAGATTTCCAACGGCTCTGATAATGCCTTGGTTGCCGACTTTCTCGATCCTGTAAGGGGGGGTTTTTTTTTACTCTACCTCACCTTTTATCTTTTTGACTCTTATGCATTTCTGCTCGCTGTTCCTTTGTTGAACTAACAACCTCATTGTATCCAATACTTAATAGGAGCTCAAATGCCAGCCCTTCAAAGCCCCATCGCTGATGGAATCCGGCGTCCAGCTGGGCTCAATGGCGCTCAACGAACTCCACGCCTCGCACCAACACGCCCCCGTCGCCTTGATCCCTTCCAACGACCCCATGGCCGTCTCCAACAACAAGCCCTCCCTCACAAAACTAAACGCCTACCGCCGAGGCGTCAACCAACACCTCGCCTCCAACCTCAACCAAGCAAACCCGAAGGCCTACTGCATAAACTTTGGCAACGTTGCTCCTGGTTACATTCAAAAGATTGCAAAGTTCATTATCGGCGGCCCTTCGCCTGATACTGGTGCTGCGGACAACTTGTTGACGTTTATGGGTCAACGTTATGCGGCGTCTTGGGTTAACTTGGGTTGCGACAAGATTCTGAAGAAAACTTCGGATATCACGGTGACGACCGACAAGAAGGGGGTTGCGATCAAGGTCCATTTCCGCCAGTCCAAGCCTATCAAGAAGTAGAAGCCTTATTAAGAGGGCTTCTTTTTTTTTTTTTTTTTTTTTATTAAAATTTCCTTTCCACTCTCTTTCAGCATTACTCTTATGAGCCAAACTTAGTTGTTCCATGTGGAATAATAAACCGAAAGCACTTTAATATCATTCGCGTAGATTGTATTTGAAAAAGACGTTTTGCTATGTTGTTTGCTTTGTTTTGTTTGTCGGCGAGGAAGAAAGGAAACAATAGAATATGTACATCTTGCAAGTTGAGCAAAGGGAAGGACAAGGAAAGGGAAGTGCGTGCAAAGGTAGCGAAGGTAGCAAGGTATAATTTGGTGATGTATGCGCGACAAAAAGATAGCAAGTGTGGAAAAAAGGCACAACAAAAAAAAATATGTAAAAAACAAGCAAAGGCGCAAACAAAAGAAAGAAAAAAGGAACCGCAGGACCGCAGGCGATCAATGATTGGTGGGTGATGGGAAAAAAGACTTCGCTGCTCACGCGTGGCCTCTCTTCAGCCGTGTCAAGAGGTCCTCCCAGGTGACGTTGGCGTCCAAGAGCTCCGTCCTGAGGTTGGCCAAGGTCGCAAAGTCGACAAAGATACCCTTGGCATCAGATTCCGCGTCCTTGTCATTGTGGAGGCTCTTGTCAACACCAAACTGGCGATGGAGGTGATCGTCGTCGTCATCATCGCTGCTGTCGCTGTCACTGTCGCTGCCACTGTCGCTGCCGCTGTCGCTGTCCTCGTCGTCATAGTCAGTGTTGCCGGTAGTGTATCCACCCGCTGCCATGTGGTCGTCCGAGTGAATGGCATCTCCAAATGACACACTCGACGCGGAGTGGCATCTTGATTCGTTGAGGGCTGGTGGGCCACTGAAGGCGTCCGAAAAGTCAATCAGTGTAGACTCTGCAGTCACAGCGGCCTTCTCTGCTGAATCCTTGGGTGGCTCGGTCCCAATGTCGGCACCAATAATGGGCGCAGTAGTCGTTGTTGTAGCGGGGGTAATAGGAGAAAAGTCCAGGTCCATCAGATCTGCCAACACACTGGAATTCAGGGTAGGGGTGACAGGAGTGTTCGAGGTGAACTCCAGATCGATCAAAAGGGCAGGGGGGCGAGGTGGTGCCATTGGAGCAGCTGAAGGCTTGGAGGTTGAAGAAGAGGAAGAAGAAGAAGAAGAAGAGGGACGAGCTGCAGAAGAAGCAGAGGCATGGGCAGAGGATGGCTTGGCCAAAGGCGAAAGTGACGGCTTCTGTGCCTGATGAGAAGCCACCGCTGTCGAAGTAGGTCCATTCGTTCGAGCTGTTGCTGTTGCTGTTGCTGCTGTTGTTGATGCTATGTTGGTAGGCCTTTTGGCACCAGGTGCTGCTTGACCGCGAGCATAGTTTGCCCAGTCCTGTTGAGTGTACGATCCATTGAAAGCATTCCAAACTCCCGCAGCCTTCCCAGTTCCTTCTGGCAAAGGGACAGAGACTCGCTCGGTAGATGACCTTGCTTGAGGAAATGGTTGGATGTCCTGGTGTCCCTTGCGTGAGAGGTACGATTCAAAGTGGTGGGTGTTCTGGCCAGTGCTAAAAAACCCGTAGGCTTCGTGTCTTGTATCTCGACTGGAGGGATAGCTCCTTATGACGTTATTCATGATGTTGGTGCTGCTGTTGCCGCTGGTTGTGTTGCAGGTGCCTTTGATGTAGGCGTGGCTGTTGCTATTGTTGTGGTTGCTGCTGCTGCTGCTGTTTCCGTTTAGCTTTTGAGGTGCCCTGGTCAGTCGAGCTGAGGAAAACGAGGATGAAGGAGGAGGAGTAGGACTAGAGACAGGTTTGTGCGAAGACTTTTTTTCGGAAGGAGCACCGACGACCCAATCGTCGTCTTGGAGGATGCGAGAGGAGGACATGGTAATCGTATATGGCTGGTTCCAGGACTGGAGAGCCTGGTAAGGTGATTGTCGTTTTGTTTCTTTTTTTTTTTTTGTGTAAGTGGGTGAGAGCAAGAATAGGGAGTAGGGGGATGAGAGGGGAAGGATGTGCGTTGTTGATGAAGGAAGGAAGGTCGGATGCGACGAAAGGGGAGTAAGGAACGAGGGATGGATGGAAAGGAACCAATCGAACCTTCGTCTTGTCTTTTTGTTTGTGACAGCGAAGAATGGCCACACGTTCACCACGTACGGAATCCATCATAATAAAATGGTGGCGCACTTGCAAGTGCAGAAGAGGCAAGCAATGGTACTGGTACTGGGACGTGACTTGCTCGAACAAGCTTCCTTATGTTTCAAGGAACAAGCTCTCTTTCACTCTCTCTCTCCCTCATTGTCAGGGATATGAGGATGCAAGCTGTGCAATGTTCATGGCATGTATCAATGTGTGTATGTATATGAGTGCATGAATATGAGCATGGAAGAGCCTGTCCTTCCTTATTTTGTTCTTTGCTTCGTGATCCAGCGACCTGGCAGTGAAGAAGTAAGGAGATGGACTGGAAGAAAGAGGAAAGAAGAAATAAGAGAGAAAAACGAAAGGCACGCACGCCGCAATAGATAACAATCTTAGAAAAGTATATCGAACGAATACCCTGTTAGTGGCGATCTACCCTACCATGGTCCATGCCTCCATGGTACCATGGCACCATGTGTCTCCATCGCCACCAACAATGACCTAGTCTATCAGCTTGGTCAACCTCAGATATGAAGAGGATCAAGCTCGGGGGCAAGTAAATTTTTTAGGCTTTCCCTTTCTCTCCTGCCTCCTATCAATCTCAACATTGCTGCCCTTTTAATGTCCTTCTTCTCCTTTATCTCTCTTCTTTGTTCTTCTTCCTCTACTCCACTCGTCATCCTCTTTTGTTCCTACTCCCCACTCTTCTCATACGCTCTTTCATACCCTCCCTCTCACCCTCTTCTCCTCCCTCTTCTCCTCCCTCTTCTCCTACACCACATCAACACCCAGTGATAAAGATGGTCTTGCAGCTCGCATCGTCACCGTTAGTGGCTCGGTCAACCTCAACCACCGCCGCCACTTCGTCCTCCACCTCCACGTCGAGCAACAACAGCCCTGGATCTACCACAGCGTCCTCAATCCTCCAACTCTCCTTCCTTTCTGACATGTCCAAAGGAAACCACCACCACCGTCAGAGGAATCGTCAAAGAACAGCCTCCACAAGCCGTTCGTTACACAGTGCCTTCAGCTCCCAAACCCAAAAAGAAAAACAATTGTCCTCTATCGTTTCATCATCTACCTATTTGCGAACAATCGTCAAGACAATTGTGCGCCTGGCAGGGTTCTGTTCTGCCCTGTATCCGATTTTGATCGTTCCCACCTTGAGTACAAAGGGATTCAAGAATGGTTTCGGAGGAGGAACCGAAGTAAGTACAATCACTCACTTAACCATTTTTTTTACTTTGTTGTGCTTGTTTTTTTTTGTTTTTTTTTTTTTTGGACCATTGCCTCTCTGTTCTTAAAAAAGAAATGTAATATTTGGGCTGACCACGGATCTTGTCTTTTCATTGGTTTTTCATGTTAATTGCACCTTGTCTTCAACATAGTTCTTGACCATCGTTGGGCTGCTGGTCACCATGGTCTGCATCGGCTTGAGTATCGCGGGGGATGCTTTCAAACAGCCAGGTAACAAAAAGCACTTTCAATGGGTTACTCAATTTTGGTAATGTTATCTTTTTTTTTTGATGTGGCGTGCCCTCACTGTCGTCCCTTTCTCCTGTATGTCCCATCATATCCCTTCCTGGTACATGGACACCCGACAAACAAAAGCAAGGAGGAAGACTAACAACAGGGCGAGAAGGCGATAGATGAGATATAGGATGAACGAGATCGTTGTCGCTACCCAAGATCCGCACAAAGAGGTGGATAGTACAAGCGAAACTCAGACTGGAATTGACATCTATGCGGACATGACCACAATGGAGAGAATGCGGAGGAGAAGAGGGAGAGGACGGAAAAAGAGGAAGGAGAGAGTCAGTCAACGGACCGGAATACACACCACGCTTTCACGTAGGACACTTGGTTATGAAAAAGGGAATTCACTCTGCCATTCATTTCCATCGCAACTCGCAGGGATATTTACGTCCGCATACCATCACGCAACACCCACACGACCACAAGTTGAAGAGGAGATAGAGGATGGCATTTTTGCGATCCAACCACATTTGATGTTCTCACCCCAACCCAGAATGCAGACTCCGAATCTCATGTCATTATCAAATGGTGTTTTCCACCCCTTACTGCTATTTTTCTTACACATTACACCCTTTATCCCTTCTTTACCACCTCCTCATTCTCACCTCCTTGTCACCAACTGATCTAATGCGTTCTCGCCTCACGTGTGTGTTTGAATAGGTTTAATTGCTGCTAAAAACAGGATTCTCCTTATGGTCGTTCCCGTAAGTCTTTGCTCAATTGAGGCGATGTAGTTAATGGACATTCACACGGGGCTATATGCTAAAAATGAGTACCTCATTCTCTTATTACTAGGTTGAATGTGTCATCGCAGGGTTGTATTGGTACCTGGTCCTCACAGACGTGTTCCATATCTATCCAGACGGGCACAAATAGTACGTACCACCTCTATCGTTCTATTCAGGCTCCTCACTCGATCAATTCTTTTTGCTTCGCCGAACCCAAGGCCTCAACTCTAAACTGACACTGACTTTCTTACACACGTGATACACTGAACTCTCCTGAACTAGCTTGCCATTCTATGTCGACATCCAGATGCACGGTATCCCATTCCTGACGGGTCTGGCGGAGATGTTTTTCTTCTCAGAGGCCCTTCGTATCCACCGCGTCAAGGATGCTTGCTGTTATCTCCTCTTTGCCCTCTTTTATACATCTTGGTCCAGTTTCTGCGCCTACATGGATGGCGAATGGGTACGTCTATTTTTGCTTGGTTCTTGAAATGTTAAATCGAAGCAAAGAAGCACTTTGTAATCCAGGAACGCGAGGAATCAATTAACGATGTCTTCTTTTCTTACTTGCCCATCTACTTGATATGTTGATGCAGCCATATCCAGTTCTGCAGAACCAGGCGAGTGACTGGGAGAGGTATTCGATGATGGGCAATGCGACCATGGTCGGACTCGCCATCTACTTTATCATCTCCGAAGTCCACATTCGAACTACCGCCAAAACATCCCAGTAACTACAGGGGGAAAGAAAAGGTAACAGTGATAGAAGAATACCATACCCAATAAATATAAAAAGTAATAATATAGTCAACTGCCTTTTTGTTTTCGTTTCTTCATTGCTCTTTATTTCCTTCGTGTATGTTCGTTTTCGGGTAAAGTCGATGACCGTGTGGAAGCTGGTATTGAAAGGAGAGGTGGTTCATAATCAATCGTGAAGAAACGCTCATGCGCCCAAGCGCTGGATACGCTCAACAAGGTCTGTGATCCTTCCGTCAATCACCTCAATGTTCTTCTGGATCGCCGCATCGTTCTCCGTCAAACTCTCCTGCAACTACATCATCACAAATAAAAAGTATAAAGAAAGTCGGGTCAACACTTCATGGCCTTGCATCGTCCTCTTCTTCTGCGTGCACTTTTGTTGAATAAACATTTGGGATAAGGAGCATCTCGTTTACCTTAGTGGAAACAGTGTCAAGGCCCTTGAGCTCCTCGCTGATCTTGGTCTGTTCGTTCGAGATCATCTTGATCGAGTCTGAAAAGACGGCCGCCTCGGAGTGCAAGCCCTTCAAACCCTTTAGCCTCGTCACCAAAACCGGTGCCAGTGACACCAAAGGATCAATCTTGTCAACCAACTCGAACAGCGCGTTGATCTATCACCCCCCACAAGGGATATATAATATCAGTTATTACATGCAGCACATCGTCACCTCCTGTACGCAGCATGCATGCTCGTTGTTGTAAATGGTAGCATCCTGTGAATGGAAAAAGTACCTTGTTCTCTGCGTCGGCAGTGATACCAGTGGCGGTAGCGTCCTTGGCCTGAAGCTCCTGAACACGCTCCAGTTCTGCTGTGACGACCTTCAAACGGCGAGAAAGCTGCTCCAACTGGCGAGGCTGGACCAAGATTCCAATATGTTGCTCCAACTTTTCAACTGTAACAACCAATGATCCCTATTGCGATATTAACACAGTGGGTGATTAGTTAACATTCTCCAATTCTGCAAGGTGTAGTGACTGATTTCAACAAAGGATCCATAAGTTCGCTCACGTACCCCTGATTGCATCTGTGTCGATCCAATTGCCCGCTCAAGAACAGCAAGACGCTCAGCAAGCTCAGCAGTCTTTGTAGCAGTATGAAGTCTAGCGTGGTCGGGGCTGTAGTAAAGTTCGTATGTCACGGTCTATTCAAGCACAAACATAAGAGATGGGAATAATTAGTGGATGGTACTCAAATTGCACCTTATAGGGAGCTGAGGTCATCCAGGTAAGAAAGCGTTCATATTCAAAGAAAACAAGCAGGGGTGGTATGGTACCTTGCCGTCACCAGATTCAGCGGGTGCCTTGGGGGCAGAGGAATCCTGAATTTCAGCATCAGGCGAAGATGCAGCCAAGTGCTTCATAGCCTGCAATTGCTGGAGGAGGCGCTTTCCAGTGTCTGTCTGCTTGATCAATCCCTCGTTCGAGAGAACACCGGCGTTGGAACCATCGCCCAAAGTCTGTCCAATCTCGGACAAGTCGTGCTCCAACGACTTGACATGCGAAAGCAAATCCTTGTGTGAGATCTCTCCTCCTGCCAATTCCGTTCCTTGCTATTGTGTTGGTTTTCGTGTGTTGTCGTTAGTTATATGGCGGGTTGATTGTTTTTTCGCATTGTTGAATTTGAGGCGAAAGAAAGTGAGAAAGAAAGAAGACAAGAAGGAGATAGGTGAGTGGCAGGACACATGATATTACATCCCCCAAAATCTCTCAAGACCATTGAGGCAAAATTTTGGCCTTGACATGTGGTTTCCTTCCCTTCTCTGCCATTCAAGGCACAGGAGCAAGGATAAAAAAAATATATACCTTCTCGTTCAATTCTGCTTCCTGTCCAAGTTCTTTGACCTCATACATGAGTCGCCTCAGCTTTTGAACAGGGGTCTCCTGAAGAATCATCTCCTTTGGTAAAATCTCGTACTCTGAGCTCTCCAGGTTGGGTCTCCTGACAAACGTGCGGTACATGGCCTTCTTTCGTCGATTAAGGCGGTCCGAGAAATCTATCATGGATGTAGAAGTAGATACATAAGTACTTTGCACAATGGTTCATCAAGTACAAACGGAGACAGACCAACAGGGGAGGAGCGGGTCAGTATGTTCGAGTAAACAGAAGCCGAGGAATGAGTATGGCTTATCTCGTTACCTGCAGAGGAATTATCTACGACGCAATCCTTGAAGCGAGCAGCAGCGTTCTTGACCGAGACGGCAGACCTGTCAATGCCCTCTCGCTCCTCGTCACTCTCGTAGTCCTAGAAACAGCAATAAAAACCCAGGCAAGTTAGCTTGTCTGTCGATTGGGTGTATCCACAAGCGGCTTCCCTATTCACTTGTTCTCGAGATTGGAAAGGGAAGAATGGTTCCGTGCGCTGGTCAAAAAGTTCTTTCTTTTTACCTTGCCGTCCATACCCTGGACTTGAGGACCACGATCGCCAGTGTCATCAGCGGTCTCGTAGACGTCTGGTTGAGTGTCCTACAAGTAGATGGAAATGTAAAAATACACGATGTTTTAGCCTCTTGATGTCAGCTTCCTTGCATCTTGTATGTGCATCCTTTGCTTGTCCAGCTCCTGTCTTTTTTGAGCTTGCTCGTACAATGTCGGGTAACGTAGAGTACTTGCTCGACATGGTGCGTCCTGTGTGAATTTGGTTGTTGCGAGTGTGTGGGTGAGTGCGTGTGCAAGTTGAGATGAACGGAAAGTGTGCCAGGGAATTGGGTGACAGGGAGGTAGATTGTTGAAGTAGTGGGGGTAATGAATAAAAGTGTGAAAATGATGAAAGTAACGAAAAGACGAAGTGAAGTGGGGGTTGGTGCCTGGGGGTGACCTTTTTTTTCACAAGGGTACGCGACTTGAAAATTGGGTTGTGACTTTGTCCCAAGACCCCTTTTTCAGCATACTCAGGCACAGGGAGACTCTCAACTCATACTCATTCCTGCACCCTTTTCCCACCTTCAACTCCCTCACTTCCCGCTCCGGACACCATGGCTACAAACTACGACTTTCTCTTCGAGACGTCGTTCGAACAATCAAACAAGGACGCCAAAAGACCCCACGTCACCCTCACCTATGCCCAAAGTCTCGACGGAAAAATCGCAGGGCGCCACGGCCAGCAACTGATCCTCAGTGGCGCGCAGTCCATGACCGCCACCCATATGTAAACTACTCGATGCCTCTTAGCATGCGATATTGATTTTGAGGCATGGGAGTAACCCAGTATTCAATTACCCTAACGCTATTCAGTTGATTGCAAATCGATAGCTTGAGGCTTAGGCACGACGCCATCCTGGTCGGCATTGGCACCGTCCTGAACGACGACCCGCGTTTGACAGGTATGATAACTTTCAAGCGACTACCACCCACGCACGAGCCAGTGCCTTCCTTCAATTAGCTTACGCTCATACAACTCAACACCTTTATTTTCCAAACAAAATAGTCCGCCTGACAAGCGACGATCTGCCCAAGGGAAGCGGCCCAATCCGCCACCCACAACCCATCATCCTCGACAGCAAATTACGTTTCCCATTAACCGCAAAACTACTCCTCCCTACATCCCCGACAAAACCCTGGATCTTTACTAGTCCTATTCACAGCGACTCTCAAAAGAAGGCCAATCTTGAAGCTTTGGGCGCCAAGGTCTTTTTCTTGGACCTCGATCTTTCAGGTACACAATCTAACCTGCATCTCCTCAACCTTCAAGCTTATGTGCTGACTTCTGACAGTGAAATGGTTCTAACTGACGTTTTCTTACATATGGTGCTTCTTTCTAATGTTAGGACATATCTCGCTGGAAGGACTATTTTCGACGCTGTGGGAGAACAACATGCGTTCTGTAATGGTCGAAGGCGGCGCCAGTGTGATCTCTTCATTCCTCAAATCAGGTCTGGTCGACTCGTTCCTGTTAACCATCGCCCCTGTCTTTGTCGGCAAGGATGGTGTCAGTGCTGTCGAAGATGTAGAGGTAAAAATATTTCGGACCCGGCGGTATATAACGGGTACATGCACAGTGCGCAGATATCGCTATGAAGTGCGTTTGTATTAATTGGAACAATGTTTTTCTCCTTTCTTGTGTATTGCATTTTAGGCGGCTCCAGAGTTTGACGATATCTCGTACCATCCGCTTGGACGAGATACTATGATGGTAGCCAAACCTCGCTACATAGCCAGGTCATAGCCCTCCATTACTATCCATTTTCACACTTCTTTCTTTCAGTATATTTATTCACTAATATAGTACATGTATGTTATTTTGTTGTTGCTACTGTTGTTGTAGTTCGTCAATGCAAGTTGGCATATCAGGTCTTACAAGAACGGCTGAGTGATATCCTGCTTCACTACTTTGCCCGCTGTCTTCCTGTGTGTCCCGTCTGTCGAGAAAACTATTTAGTTGACGATGGCAGGTCCCTTGACAATGTTGGCAACAACGCCTCCACTGGTCGCCGTTGCAAGACACTGATTAACGACCTCAAGCAAATGCGAGTTCTCCAATGCTGCAGCCACACGCTCCTTGTCGTTCAGCTGCTTGTTGACTGCATGCTCACTCTGATGAGTTCCTTTCCTGACCGAGATATCCACCTATGTTCAGTTAAGAGTGAGATAAGAAGAAAAAAAAGATGATAGGGTATTAGTAATCGACAAGGAGGAATCATATGAGCGGGCAGGCAAAAGTCGGGAGAAACCGTCGATGATTTTGAAGGCCCCAGTCTTATCAGATCGAGACCAAAAAAAAAAAAAAAAGAGGTCAAGTCCAGCCTTTTCTTTTGAAAGGTTACCTTGAAGCGAGAAGGCAGGCATCTGAGGAGTCGGACACGGATACACAGGCCAATGAGGGTGGCCATGGAACAATGTGGGATGGTGGGGGTGAACTCGACCAGGATACTGTTGTTCTCGTCCGAGACCTGGATATGATCCCTCTGGGTCACATTCAGCTGCTCCAATGACAAGGGGTGCTCAGGGTCCGAAATAGAGCGAATGAGATCTATTGTGCATTCGTTCACAGTGAAAAGGTTGACTTGATGTCAGTGGAATCGAATCGGCATATGAAGATTGAACAGTCTAAGGGTATGTGCTGTATGTGTACAACAGAGTGCAGTTTCCATGCAGCTCTTTTTCCTTCCTGCTTGTGCTGCTATTGCTCTTATTTTTCACAAAACAACAAGGGAAGGGAATGTACCAAAGATCTCCTGTGCGTCGATGGTGTCGGCCAAGTTTTCGTCGTCGTCTTCCTCCCGCCACTCTCTGGTCGAGTGTCCGGCTGAGGCCTCGTAAATGATGGGGTTCTGGTTGATGAGTGTCGTCATGGCGATTTGTGTGAAAAGGTAGAGTGTGTAAAGAGGAAAGACTTTGCGAAGCAGCCAAGAAAGAAATGGAAGAAAAAAAAAAAAAAAAAAAAGACAAAGACGACCAAGAAATGAGCCAATCAAGTCACAGGTGGATCTGACTAACATTATTTTGAGTCTATGGACATTGTCTATCATGTCTATCAGATATTCAGATTACGAGAACTTTTCCCTTCTCGCTTTCGTCCTTTGCACGCTCCTCGTCGTCATCACCATCCTCCGACTCTTCGCCATCAAGCCCTCCCCAACCATTCCATAGAAGCGACAGCTCATGCCGCCTGGACCCCAAAAGTACCACAGGAATCACAGTGCAAGGCACAAGGTATAGCAACGCAGGTTGACCTTGATTACTCCACATCATCGCCACAAAGGTCACCTCCAACCCAACAGCATATCCCAAGATCGCAGTCAGATAATAACTCCATCTCCGCCGCCCTTCCTTCCTGCTGCTTCCTGGAAGAAGTAACGCAGACGTTCTTCTGGCAGCGGCCGAATCCATTCCGATCAGCATCGCCGACGACAACGACAGGTCTTCTTCTAACCTGGCATCACATTCCCGCAGGAATGTAACTAGAATCCCAGGCAGAACCACATCTCCAAACCCCAGCATCGCCTCTCCACCATTCGGCCGGAAACTGGGTACGCGGAAGAGCATTGGGATCGTCTCCTTGACCGTCAATGCTGCTCCTGTGGCTGCTGCCTCCATGATTGACTCGCCTGTTGATGTCAGGTAGGGCGTCACAAAGACAAAGAACACATCGTAGATAAACGCCGTCAGCAGGAGAAGTGTCGGAGACGACATAGAAGGAGCCTTCAACACCTTGAGCATCAATGATATCGTGAATCCTACAAGTTCAGTATGAAAAAATAATAATCAGTTGAGACAACTCATTCGCATTGACAGTTTCAATGCGTTTCAGGGACACTAAAAGAAGTGGTGGAAACAGCATACCTCCTAGGATGTCCTGGAAGATCCATGCATGGCTAATCATCCAGGGGACGAGATAGATTCAAAAGGGGACGGGGAGAGAATAAGAACGGTCATTTGTCTGCTTATTCTTTCAAACTTTGCTGCATCATCTACTGAAAGCCTTCTCACTCACCTAGAGTTTCTATTCCAAAACCACGACAGGACAAGCAAGCTAGCAACACCATTATGGTGCCAGCTATTTCCTCGTCCCAATCCCAGGCTCTTCATCATGTCCGGCATGGACTGCTGGATACTCACAAACGATCCTAATCCAAACGTAAAGAGACTCATATACACTATCAACGACGAAAGAAAGCAATTGAGTCTGCTCTAAGTATTTGCTTCACCGTCTTCTCCTTCTCACTACACCACCCGACAAAAAAAAAAAACGAATGCGAAAGACTCTTTGTTTACCAAGTACATTCGACCACATCCACATTGCTAAAAGTCCTAAACTGGCCATGAACCCGAATCCGATAGCATGTACTTTTGTCAGTGCCACAGACTCGCCACTCTCCTCCTTCTGTCGCTGCATCTGTCGTTCCTGAACTGTAGTGTCTGCGGCAGAATGAGTTGACAAGACTAAGACAGCGATGGCCAAAAGGGCGAGTGGGAGGAGTGGTGCGGAGACGAGGTGCGGTATGTAAACCGCCATGGCTTGTGTGAAGTTCATCTGTTTTGATGAGAAGTGTATATAAAGGGGAATTGAGGGAGGAGGAGGAGGAAGTGGAGGAGTGGGTGATGTGGGAGGAATGAGAGAAGATATAGCAAGAGGTAAAGTTAGGCAGATTAATAAAAGAGCTTGCTTCGCCTTACTCCCACCTCAGAGGTATTGGGTCAATTTGCACATAAGGTCTGATCAGGTCGATAAAAGAATACATTCCCTTTGTGCCTGACTGATCAGCCTGCAAAAAAATAATGACGGATTGCTGCCGGACATTGTATATCAAGTTGTCAACATGAGATCATGCGTTTATTAGAATACTACAGGGTTATTTGTGCAAGGCGTCCAGGGGTAATCATGAGGGGAAGGAAGCGTTTACTTTTCGTGCATGATGGGACTTTGTGAAAAGCGGAGCGGAGGGATAGCAGGGCGTGCATTAGGGGACACTTCGGTCTTGTACATATCGGCATTGTCCATCTGGCTGCGCTCACGAGGGTCTACAAAGCCAAGCCGGTAGTTCCTTGTTGGGGTTGCAGATGCATATGTCGAGTTGTCGTATTGGGAGTATCCGCCATAGCCCTGCGAGGTAGGTGGATTGCCTGGAGAGGAGTATAGTTCTTGAGTGTCGCTTCGTTGAGGCATAGCTGGCGTGTATCCTCCGGATGGTCCTGGCGCTCCGTTGCCTCCTGTTGCATTCTGGTAGTGTAGTTGAGAAGGAGACCGTTCAGGAGAGTATGAGGCGAGGTTTTGTTGATAGAGGCGCTGCTGCTCGAGCTCGAGCTGGCGTTGCTGGTCGTGAATCTGGTTCAATTGCTGTGCGTGTGTGTCGCTCTGAGGAGGTGAGGCGTAGCCTGGATCCTGGACAGGCGAGGCTTGTGCTTGTGCTTGTGCTTGTAAGTTGTTGCCTTGGCCAGCGTCAGAAGAGTCGTGCCCAGAGGGGTATCCTTGGGGTGGTGATTGGTTCGAGGCATAGGAGTGGACTGTTGGTGGGGTCTTGGTATTGTATGCAATTGCTGCTGCCGACAAGGCTAGCTCATCCTGTGACATAACCGAGTGGGAGCGCGCAGGTGCGCTGCTCAGGGGCTGTGGCTGCCATTGCGTCACGGCAGTCTTGACCTGGCTTACCGCGCCAGCAGTGTATTCAGCTCCGGTATAGATCCTCATCCTGTCAGAGACCTGAGTTTCGGTATCAATCACCAAGGTGATCGCGCGACCGTATCCGGCGATGAGGGCCATCTTCTCCGAGTACTCCAGCATGGCGTCAAACTTGGCGTCAAAGGCTTCCTTGAGGGTCACCCGCTTGAACTGCATCAACTCAAGTTCCTGGTTCAGAAGCTCGGCTGTCACTCTTTCGAGACCATTTTGCAACTCCATCATTTTGATAGGGTTCTCCTTGTTGGACTTTTGAAGCTTGGCAAGCTGGGTTGTCAGGTCGTGCTTCTTTTTGCGATTCTAATTATGAATTTAGTTCCGACAAAAACGACGTGGGCGTTAGTAAACAAAGAGTCGAGAACAATTCTTTGGAAAAACGAGGTCAGCAGAACAGCCCTCCCGGCTGAATCGATAAAGTGCGTACCTCGTCCAGCGTCATCTCCTGAGTTTTGATAGACTTGATAGTCTTGCGATAGGCAGCATGTCGGATTCCATATGCCTGCTGGATCAATCCAACCTCCTAAAAGACGATGCATACAAGTTTTTCTTCGTCAGTAAAGCCGTTGAATAGCGAGGAACGTAACAATAGAAGGGCAAGGCCAAAAAAAGTACTGCTGCTCACATATTCATGATGCACACGACGCTGATTCCACACACTCTCTTTTTTGTAGTCTCATTCCATACCTCCACAAGCTGCGACATGCGCAGACAGACATCAGCCAGGTCATCCCCTTCATGGGAGCCCCAAGTAGCAATGAGTTTTGCCTCGGCTGCGCTTTCCTTGTCGAGAGTCTTTAGAGAAGAGTCGATGTTTTTCATCTCGACAAGCCATTTGTTGATGTGTTTGTAGTCTTTCCTGTTGCAGTGAATGAAAAAGAAAAGAAACTATGTGTTAGGTGATGTGGTGGAGCGCAGAACACAATAGAGTGTCAAGGCCGAGCGAGAGAGGTCAAGAGAGTTGAAAAGAATGCACAGAGGGTATATTTACCCAAGGGGGTTGAGGTTGCTGAGTCCTCGTCTGAAGTCATGTCCTATGCTCTGCATCTTGAGTGTGAATCTTGAGAAGGGGGCAATGGTGGCCGTGATGTGTATGTGTGCGCGAGGCGAGTGTGGAGTTGTTGTGTTGCTGTGTGTGAAAGGCGTTGTCGAGAATGGCGATTGAAGGACGAGTAAAAGTGTGTGAGAAAAGGAGAAAAGAAACGAAAAGTAGCGAAGAACGAAAGGAAGAAGATATCGATAAAGCTGTAGCCACGCGACACAGGCCACCTTGAGAAAAATATGACGCAAAAGAACGAAAGAACGCCAAGAAAGAAAAACTATTTTTGTCACTCGAAACAGCCCTTTCTCGTCTAGTCCCGGCCTATTTAAAAACCCGGGACCCTGTAGGTGCCACTCAAACCCTAATTAGTCATTCACCCCAGGGCACAGCCACTATTAATGTTCTGGCTTATTGGTGGTCAGCATGCTCGGTCGCTCTCCACTGGCAAGCATGGGCATTGGATCGACGAGTCGACATGCGCCTGACCGTGCTTCTCCTTCCCTTTTCCCTCCGATGTTGATAAAGTCATAGCAAGTGGACTTTTGTGAGACAGCACAGCCACAATCAAATAGCCTCCCCATCATTCCATTGGTAAAAATTCGGCACCTTCCTGGCACCTTCCTGGCACCTTCCTGGCACCCCCCTTTGACCTACCATCACTCTTTGATGACCCTCCTCATTGTCCGTGTTGTGTACATATGCTAGTACTTCTAACAGACACATGCTCGTGCCTTCCTTCTCGCTCTCACACTCTTCTCGCTCAAACTAAACACACACATCACCCATCCGCCCTCCTCCCCCACGCACGATCCTCCTCTCGTTTTATTTATTCTCGCCCCTTTTCCATTTCTTCTTTGCCTTCTCCACAAACGCCTCACTTCTTTCTTCCTTTCCTCTCCTCTCCTCTCCTCTCTCCCTCCCATAACAAACACACATACACACACGCATACACATACACGACTGTCGCCATGTCCAACAAGCCCTCCGCAAAGGCCATTGCCAAACTCAACGCCTCCATTCTCTTTCCGGCCATCCGCTCAGGTATGTCCATGGTCTTCATTCCTCTCATTAACACACGCGTCGTAAGAACAAGAATTTTTTGTTCATTCTTGTTCGATAACACCCACTGACTCGCGACTCGGATTATTCGCGTTCCATTGAATAGAGATTATCGAAAACCCTTCTTTGTTTGCCATCCGCGGCTTCTTCATTTTCAACATCACCAAGAAGACTGTGCCCATGACAGAATGGTAAGCCAGGACCCTGGAGTCGCTATTACCTCAGTTCTTCTTTCAGAAGCAGCCTTGTCGCTACTCCCAAGTACTAACAAGTGGTTCTTACATGCTGCAATGATAGGTACCTTTTGTTTCAAGGATTTGACGCCCCAGCTGTCGTCTCTCAGAAGAGACCTGTCCTCCCCAAGGCAAAGCGCGACGAAGACCCTATCCCTGTTGCCATTCTTCAGATTGAGGACTCGGACTTGCTCAACTTTATGAGTGGCGGATTGACCGTAAGTTTGAAGGGCATTCAACCTTATCCAAAGGTCGCACGCCTTATTCGCAGTGCTTTTTTTACACTTGTCAATAAGGTAATAATGGAAGTGCGTTTTATCACTCATTACTGACCATCAAACTCGTGTTACTACTTTACCATACGTCTGTTAGGGATCCCGAGGTATTGTGAGTGGAAAAATCAAGATTGCTGGAGCAATTGAGTTGGCAGAGCAGCTGGAGCAAATCTTTTTGAAGGCCAAGGGTCAGGAGAAGACGCTTGCCTATCTGGAACAGAAGCGTGGAAAGTCGGAAAAGGCCAGGGCTCGTCTGTGAGGCTGCAGTAGGATGGTTCACTCGTTATATTTGCGCCCTTTTTGCCATACAGGAGCATAATAAAACATCACGACAAAGAAACACACACGCTCTCTCGGAAGCAATATTTCCGTATGAGTATTTGACATGACAAAGACAGGTTTTTTAGTTCGGAGGAATGAAGAGGACACAACAGAGGAAACAGGGAGAACTTTGGTGGTGTATGTGCCACAAAATAGATGTGTGTTTGTTGTTGTAGAGAGGTTGGGGGTTTGCATGAATGGAGGAGGCAGGTTATGAGGACGCCAATGGTCCAATACAAATGGGGTCCAAGCGTAAGTCAAGGCGCGTTTACTTTAGCATTCAGTCCTTCTTCTCCACAAGTGACCATCAGCAAGAGCGTTGCGATGCATCATGCCTCGAGGAATATGGCTACACTAGGCAGGATCTCTAGTCTGAACCGGGGGACCGTGTCTGCTTTCTACGCTATTATTCTCATTTTGATGCTCATTAATGAATGGTCTTGGGTCATGGGTAGTTGGAAGGGGGTGGGTCCTTCCTTCCTGTGCTCTTGCTCTTTTCTTTTAATTGTTCATTGTCCCTTGCCCTTGTTATTTTCCATTGTCCATGTCATTGTCATTGTTGAAAGAGTATGGCCGTTTTCTTCATATTCCCATACAAATGTGCCCCTTTCCTTTGCCTCCTTATCTTTCTGTTCTTCGTCGAGAAAGTTGCTTGCTGGATACTACTGCCTTGCTTGCTCTCTTCTTCATCCAGCGTTTTCTGTTTTATTTCTTTTCTGTTCTCATTTCTCATTCTCTTTCTCTCAACACATACACACTCACTCATTCACATTCTCAATTCTTCAACTTTTTTTACATTCTCTTTTTCTTTTCACATTCCAAACACAAGCAACACTGAAACAGCTTTATTTTTATTATTTCACGAAACCATATCATGTAAGAATAATGCACCTGCCACTTGCCACGAGATTAGCTTTGCCTTTTCAGCATGCTATTGCCTAATTGAAATCTTAACAATAAGTGTGTTTCGCCTTTGTACCTTCACCGCACAGGTCGAACCCAACTTCATTCTCATCCTCGCCCCCAACCTCATCGGCCTTGAGCGAGCACAAGCCCATGCCAGCAACCCAGTCCAAGGTCCACGACCTAGCCCGTCGCTTCTCTGCCATCTCCAAGCAATCCGTTACCGAGAACGCTGTCTTGGGAGTTCCTCAAACCCATCAGCGCAAAGGCTCGTTTGGTCGCACCGAAGGGTCCAAGGTCTCAGGTCTCCTGAACAAGTTTGCAGAGCCAAAGGCCATTTCGACTGCACTTCCCTCTGCGGACTCTGTCTTTAAGTCTGGTGACGGTAGTGGTGCTCGTGCCAAGGATGTGACAGGCAAGGAACAGCAGCAGCAGCAACAGCAAGGTGATGAGACACCTCAGACTGAGACCGTGCAAGGGGTTGTCGCCGATGCGGAGGATGATGTGGACAAGGAAATTGAGTCGAGTTTGAATGTGAAAGATTTGTTGGATAAGGTACTCCAGCTGGACTTGGACTTGGTGGATATCCCGCTTAGCAATGGCAACAACGATGATGAGCTGGCCAAAGAAACTGTGGAGGAGCCCGTGAGCGAGACTATCGAGGCTCAGGGAGCAGAGACGGAGGAGGAGGAGGCAAAGCCAGCTGAACAGGAGCATCAGAAGAAGGAGCAAAAGCACGTCCCTGGTCTCCTGAATGATGAGGATACTGGTGTAATGTTAAAGGGAAGCCTTGATGCAGCATCAGCAGCCGGAAAGGGAGAGGAAAGCCTTCGTCATCGCGACGACAGCAGCCTTGGGGTCGAGACCGAGAACCATAGTATATAGACAAGATAGGAGACGGCTTAGGTGTCATTGACATTTTTTTTTGTTCTACCTATTATTAACGAGTCCTGGGTTGCCAGAGAATAAAGAGAAGTTGGCGAATGACCTCAGAGACCTTTTTTTTTTGTGCAAATGCGAGTCGATATGTGGTGAAGTCCACAACCGTCTCGTCTCATTTTTGGTGGTGACCACGAGAAACGACGGAAAGATGTGATTCTCTACCCACAAGAAAGCGGCTGTTAAGCAAACAACAAGATTGCTTAGTGGAATGCTATGAGAGCATGCGTATTTGTTCTTCCGCTCCTCCTCACCCCCAGCCCATGCTCCAGCAACATACACCCTTTGAAGATGCACCGCCCATTTTTTTTTCTTGAGCAATGGACCATTTGAGAGTAAAAGAGAGAAAGGTTTCCCTCGTTTCCTACACAAGAACACAATTACACAGAACAGGGCTCTCGTCAACAACAACAAATTAGTGCATCGTTCATCTTCTGCGCGGCGTCTGTTTGTAACGGGGGGGAAGAAGCAGGGGCATTGATTATCTTATGTACTTATGTATTGGCCTTTGTTACTTCCCTTCGCTCCTCTTCTCCTCTCCTCTCTTCTCAATCCATTTCGCCCTCTCTCTCTCTCTCTCCCTCTCTCTCCCCTTCTCCTTCCCCTTCGCCCCACCCTTCCTCTGACCATATCACCACCTTCCTTCACTCGTTCTTTCATAGAGGACCCTTCGCTCCTTATTGATCACGACTCTCCCTTTCATTATTTGACCCACTTCCCATTCTTCGCAACGAACGCCATACCCCCCCACCATGGCTGAAGCTGCTTGTTCTCACATCCTCCAGTCCCTCCAGGGCCATGTCATCTTCCTCGCCAACCAGGGACTCATCTCGGACGAATCTCGCGCCATGTAAGTTCCACTTACACTCACTTCGCCTTGTTTTTATCTCTCTTTGTATTTGTTGGCGAACAACTCCCTCTAACTTTCACTTTGTGGTTGTGCTCATTGTGTATAGCATCTTGGGAGAGCTCTGTAATCTCGATCTTCAGGCCATCTCTACGCCTTCAATCAACGACAACACCAACAGCAACATCGACAGCAACAGCAACGTCCAATATGCCTCGACAAAACCATTGACGACACTACAGCGCGAGTCGCAGGAGAGTCGCCCCTCGATTGATACCGAACTGCAAATGCTTGTCGTACCTCCAAAGTCGGCTGTTGTCCCTGTCAGCCAGCCTACCCCCTCACCCCCTTCCAGCAACAGCAATAGCAACAGCAACAGCAACAGCAACATCAACAACGTCTACCGCTCTACCCTAAACCACCAGACTGTCATCGGCCGCGCAGACAGCGAGAGTGACGAAGAGGACTTTCGCGACTCGGATCTCGCTCACCAGGAACGCCTCCTTCGTCAGGAGCAGAACACTGACATTATCACTGGAGAATTGGACAACCTCGTCGCTGCTAGCGCCACCGACTTGGAGGAAAGCGAGGTCGGCGTCCTGGAAGGAGCCGATGAGGACGACGAATACGAGGAAGAAGAGACTGGGGTCCAGCTCGAGCGCTCTTTAAGCTCGCCAAGCCAAAAGCCTGAGCTGCCCCCACTACTCTTCTCGAACACCCATTCCTACGACTCTCGTCCCAACAGCTTTGACTTTTCTTCTACCCCATTGAACAACCCTGCGCAGGAGCGAACATTGGATGCCAGTAACAAGTCATCTGATGCTGTCGCTCCCCTTACTGTCGTTGCCTCTGACGCTGCTGCAGCTGCAGCATTGCCACAATCGCACACCCCGTCTTCTCAGGGCTCTATCCACTCAACATCAAACGCCGCTGTCACGTCTCCATCTATCCCAACAGTTGTTGCACCAGCTCAGGCTAACCAGGAAGCGCTCTCTTTCTCGACGGCTTCAACAGGAGCAACATCCACCACAACAACAACAACACCCGTTGCTCTGCCCCCTCCCTCTGCTAATTTAGAGCGATCTGAGCAACATCATTCCGCCACAGAACACCACAACTTTGCTCCAGCCTACGTGTCTACCGCGTCCCCTGCCCCTGCTCCTGTTCCTTTCCCTGCCTCGACAGCCGCCTATGGTGCCGTCCCAGTAGCATCACCTGTTGCCGCCTCGGGCCCCACCCACGTTAATGTTCCCGTCACATTCCAACAGACTGCCCCTACTTCGACCGGCTCAGTTTACTCGCCATCTTATTCCACCCCCGCCCAAGAACAGCCTACGATCTACAACCCTAACCAAGCCGTCTCTCCCCCTGCTCCAGTTGTTTATCAGCCTCCAGCCCTCTCCCAGACCCAGCAGCCAGTCCTAAGAGAGACTCCTGCCGCCGTCATTGAGGAGCACGTCGCCACACCTCAAGGAATGCATGGACATGAGCAGTCGTACTCGCGACACCTTCATGACGCCTCTGCCAGCACAGCCCTCTCCAACGACGGAAAGGACTCGATGACTTCATTGGACTCTGGAAAGCCATCGGATCAGGCACCTACTCCTCCTCCCAAGGAAGAGTATCAGAAGCCTGTGACTTACCAGCCCCCATCGGCTCAGCCTGTTCAGGGAGCTTCGCAGCCCGCGCCCGTTGGACCTGCTTCGTCCTTGCCCGACCCCACTTTGCCCCAGCCATTGGCTATGCCTGTGCAGGCGTACCAGCTGTACCAGCCAAAGCCCTATCAACCAAAGCCCTATCAGCCAAAATCGAAGCCCTCGGTCAGGCAGCCACCCAAGCAGGTCCAGTCACAGGAAGCAGTTGTGTCCGCTGCCGCAGTTCAGCCCGAGAACCAGATCCAGCAGCAGCAGTCGGTCCAATCTCAGCCCCAGTCTCAGTCTCAGTCTCAACCTCAACCTCAACACCAGGAGCAGGCACAGGCGCCTTTCCAGGCCCAGGGACAATCGCAGACACCTGTCCCAGGATTAGCGCATCAGTCGCCTGAACAACAGCAACAGCAATTCCAGCACCAATACCACTTGCAGCAGCAATACCAAGCGCAGCAGCAGATGCAACAGCAACAGCAACAACAGCTGTTCTTCCAGCAACAGCAACAACAACAGCAGCAGCAGCCATGGGCAGGGCAGCACCCACCCATCCACACAGGACCTGAAGTGAGCAACGTTGGCAGCTCTGGTCCTCCTTCTGCCACCTCGTCCGCCAACGAGTCGCCTGCCGCCAGCAAGTCTACAGGAAAGGGCTGGATGTCTGGTATTCGCACCTCGTTCATGCCCAAGGGCTCCAAGAAGGATTCGAAGGAGTCCAAGGAGGCCAAGGAGGCCAAGAACCAACATGCGGCGCAGGACAGCCCCTCGCAAATTCAAGTCGCGCCTGCATCATCGGCTGTTCAGCCTCAGGCACCTTTCGGACACCAACAACAGTTTGAAGGCCACCCTGGACAATACGGCAACACTTCATTGCAGTACGGACAGCAACAGCACCAGCCCCAGCACCAGCAGCAACAGCCTCCCTTCCCTGGTGGACAGGCTCCAGGACAAGGAGGATACAACGGCGCCAACTTTGCCAACCCAGTGTCTGGTGCCCCTGGATCGTCGCCTGTAAGCCAGCGTGAGAATATTGCTGGAGCGACCCCAGGCAGTGGCGCACTCCCAGCTGCCGCAGCGGCACCTGCCAATTTTGCAGCACCAGGACGTCAAGACTCGTTCCAGAATGAGGCCTCTGCTCAGATTGCTACACCTCAGGCCCAGCAACAGCAGCATTTCCAGCAGCAACAGTTCCACCAGCAGCAGTTGGATCAACAGCATCAGTCGCCCTACGCCACCAATGCTGTCCAGCCAGCTCTGCCAGCAGTCGCTCCGCTATTCCAGCAACAGCAGCAGCCTCCTGCATCGGCCGCGCCAATCACTGTTGCGCCTGCAGTTACCGTGCCTGATTCTCAAGGCGCACAGGCAAACGATGACAAGGGTATGAGACGTCTTTCCAGCGTGTCCAACTCTTCGTTCAACAACGCTTCGTTGAAACCTGAGACAATTGATGCAGCTAATGCTGCTTCTGCCGCTATCCAAGCCGCTCGTATTTCTACACCGAGCACCTCATTGCCTGGCCAGGTCAAGGTGGACTCCCCCGTCACCAGCCCTTACCAACTGCAACAGCAACAGCAGCAACAGCAGCCTATGGTAGCACAACAGGAACAGCGCCAGCAAGCTCCAGGATCGCCCTTGTCTGATGCTGGCTCCCGAATCTCGGTCCAGTCTGGTGCCTCTGAGGTCCGCAACTTGGAGGTCATTGCTCGTGCCCAGGCCATGTTTGACTTTCCCGGAGAGGACCCTGGTGACTTGCCCTTTAAGGTCGGCGATATCATCAACGTCATTGAGTTCTGTAAGTTCGCTCGTCATAAGTCTCGGTTTTGGTTGTCACTGTTATTCTTTCTTGCTTCCTAACGCCAATGTTAAAATTTTCTTTGAACATGTAGTGAACGACGACTGGTGGAGAGGTACCCTCCGGAAGGATCTGGGTATCTTCCCAACTGCCTACGTGCAAAAGTTGTAAGCGCTGCTTCGTTTTGACCCTGCGAGGCACAATATAAATACTGCCGTCAATTGAGCAGGAAACTCACGTAAATGTGGTTGTTATTATTGTTATTAGGAACGCTCCTGTTAATGGAACATACCCAAAGATCTCGGTCACTGTCCGCCAGTCGATAGTCGGACCTTCGCCCACAGAGCAGGCAGGATTTGCCAACTCCCTTCAGCAGCAAGCATCATTCAGAGCAAGCTACCAGCCTTCGTCGCTTGAACCCGCCACATCATCGGCCTCTGCGGCCGGACTTATCCCAACCCAGGCGTCTGCCGCAGCCCCTGGTCCAGATGCGAATGCCCCAGGAGGAGGAGGAGGAGGAGGAGGAGGAGGAGGAGGAGGAGGAGGAGGAGCAAACTTCCCCGCACCCCCTCCTTCTTCATCCCCCTTCCCAGCACCACCACCCGGATCCTCGGCCATGTCCCCTACGGCGTCGTCGGTGTTCACGTACTTTCCCACCTCAGGAAACCAGCCTCCGATCTCGCCTCCCCCAAGCTTGAGGAACCAGAACCAGCGTCTTCCTTTTGCACAGGGACAACCTGGTCAGGAGAACTATGGACCCCCCGGCAGCCAGCCTCTCTCGCCCACTTCGGGTCAGCAGAACCGGTTCAGCCAGCAGCCACCAAACATGATGCAGTTCCAGCAGCAACCTGGCCAACCTGGTCAGCCCGGACAGCAGCCACAGTACCAGCAGTACAGTCAGGCACCTTACCAGTACAGCCAGCAGCAGCAGCAACAGCAGCCTCTTAGTCCTACCGCTGGCGGATCTGTTGGTTCCAACTCGCAGATGACGACTGCTCAGATGGCTGCTGCCGTCAAGCCCAAGAAGAAGTTCGGCCCCAAGTGGTAATATCAACCTTCCCTCAAGAAACACAGAGTTTTGAAGATTCAATTTTTTTTTTTTTTCATGAACGAACCAACAATAACTCATCATCCAAAAGAACATTTTTGTATGCAAAACACAAACCAAACAACCATTACCCATTCTATCACACATATAAGCACTTAGTATTGACTCCCCCCCCCCAAAAAAAAAAAAAAAGAGAAATGACCAAAAGATATCCAATGTTCGATAATAAAAACAGAACATTCTAATGTAAAGCAATGGGGCAGGACGTATGGTTCAAATGTTTGTTTTTATAAGAATGTTTAGAAACGAAAAGGGGTCATAATTTACAGCTTGGCCTTGGCTTTCTCGGGCTCCATGATCTCACGCATGTTGAGTTCCTGCTCGCAGACCTGAGGGTATCCAAATTCGAGAGAGGGCTGCAACCAGTTACCACCATCGACGATCAAGACCTGGCCAGTGACATATGAGGCAGCCTCCGAGGCCAAGTACAAAGTCGCATGCTCGATATCACGGACCTCACCCAGACGACCGATGGGGACACGGACATTGTCGGTGCCCTCGGGGGCAAGCTTGGACATACCAACGGTATTGGCAATAGGGCCGGGGGCAATGCAGTTGGAGCGGATGCCGAGGGGACCCCACTCGTTAGCCCAGACGAGGGACAAGGCATCAACACCAGCCTTAGCAGCACAGGCATGTGACTGGAAGACCTGACCGTTGTAAGGCAAAGTGGCGGAGACATTGATGATGGACCCCTTAGAAGCCTTGAGGTGAGGGAAGCAAATCTTTGTGGTGTTGAATGTTCCGATGAGATCGATCTCGATAACGGAGCGGAAGGCGTTGAAGGAGAGGTGCTGGGAGAGCGAGAGGAAGTTTCCGGCGGCGCCGTTGACGAGGATGTCGAGGCGGCCGTAGTGGGCCATGTGCCTGTCGACCGCGACTTGGACCTGCTTGTGGTCACGGACATCGGCGGCAATGGCCAGGAATTCTCCTCCGGTCGAGGCGCGCATCTCCTTGGCTGCTGCCTCCAACTTGGAGAGGCTATTTTGTTTGGAAAATAAATAAATAAAAGTAATGGTGGTTAGATCAAGACTGGGTTAGATACTGTAATGAAGCATTAGAACGAGGCATGTTATTTTTCTTCTCTGCACAAAAGAATCTACGAGGAAAAAAAAAGGTTGTTTGTTATGCATCCACTCCACCAAGATCCATGCTCCTTATTTTTCTCGATCGAATCTTGTGCGAATTTGTGTGCGCTGCGGTCACCCTCGATCGGTTGACTGGTTGGTTGGTTTGAAATATAAAAAGAAAAAAAGATGAACGGCGCCTTTCTCCGGTTCGGTCGCTCGGCCGAACAAATGGTGGAAGAGGACTGTATATTTCCTTGTTACTCTGGGCGGGGGATCAGTCAGTTGAGAGTGGATCCTGAATTGTTGTTTCTGCAATGCCGTATCCGTGAGATGTTGAGATTGAAAAGTGTGGAGGAGGAGGAGTGTGGAAGGAAAAAGTAGTTCTATGTTCCTTACGTTCTGCTGACGATGGTGACCTTGGCGCCGTGGCGGGCCAATGCCTCAGCCATACCCTTGCAGATACCGGATCCACCACCTACATTGATACGCCATCAGATCGAGGAGGAGAGCAAGTGAAGCAAAATGAGTACAATGGCACATGATCGTCCGACTATTAACAACAAGTGAACAAACAAAGGCGTGAGGAAGGGACGGGCGAGGCGTACCGGTAACAAAGGCAACCTTGCCCTTGAGGATATCGTCCTTGAAGATGGAGGAGGTGGGAATGACGACGTTGTTGGACATGTTGTGAAGGTGTGTGAGGAGGAGTGAGGTGGAGTGGAGAGAAAGGGAAGAGAGATGAGTGTTTGGTTTGTGAAATGGAAAACAGAAAAAAAAAAAAGGAAGCACGCTGGTTACTTAAGTATTGTATGAACCGCCGGGGAAGGAAACCAACAAAGTGGTTTGTTCACTCCATGTTCATTTTAACAAGCATCATGTGACGACCATGTCCGATCAAATACCGGATAATTTGTACCGAAGGCGAAGAAAGGAGGGGGCTACCTTCTGCTGCTCTCGCTCACACGGCTGGGGAGAAGAGTTGTGGCCTTTCTCCTCCACACATCATCTCAGCCACCGACCTTCCCCACCCACACTACAGCATCTTCTTCGGCTGCCTAGGGAATACGGCACCAAGGATAAAATCATGCCGAGCAGTAAAGCAGATGGGTTTGTAAAGTGCCAACTATCAATAGTTGTAAACGCGTCCCTGAAAACACAGTGCCTCTTCCTTTTGTTCACAACAGTTAAAACTTTGTCTCTTTTTTGTATTTGAATTTGTATGAGGGTGTGGGGTTGTTGGGTCCTAGGATATACTTCATCTTCTAAGTCCGTCTGGCTGCCAAGTCATCAGGTGAAAATTGCTCCATTATCGAAGATTCTCCAAGGGTCCGCGATTGTTGTTTGTTGGCATCCTCATCGTCCGTCGTCGTTGTAGTTGTATTGATCCTGGACCACTAGTCTTTGCTTTACTTCTTGCTTATGACATTATCGTACTGGACGCCGTTAACGGATCCTCCGCGGATACTCTTGTGGACATTCGACTCAAAGTTGCGACGGTTCGAGCGCAGGTCCTCTGCAGCCTCTTTGTTGAGCGGATCGTCGGCGTTGGGCTCGAGAAGTAAGTATTGGAGTCCGACCATGACCGAGTTTAGTGTCAGCACGGGCTTCCAGTCCTCACGCAGAATGTTTAGACAGATCTTTCCGTCGGCCTGAATGTTGGGGTGGTAGATCTGATCAAACCCAGGAGGTCACGTCCAAATATAAAATATGGAATAAGTTGTCCGTTGCGAATGATGGGTGTGTATGCGGCATGTGAGATGGTGGCAAGCACAAAGGTGGCGAAGGGAAGGGAAGGAAAGGAAAGGAAGGGGAAGGATACCATAGGTTATTCAATTGGTCATCAAATCAATATGGCAAATGGTCCCTGTCTATGTAACAGACTCAGTCTATTCTCATACGAGAAAGGGAGGGTGGTCTCTCCTTCTTGCAATCTGTACATCATTATTACCTTCTGCAAGCACTTGACACTGGGGGCGTCGTGGGGGTAGTTTCCGTTGACAGCGAAAGAGAACTTGAAGGTACCGCCGGCGTAGAAACCTAAAGTCAGACGACAAACACACAAAATAGGCGTCAGACCACAAATTGTCATCAACACCGCCTCATCCGCGTCTAAGGGAGGTGTGACCTGTCCAATGCTTCGTCGCCTGTGCTGTCCCATGTGGTTATTTGTCATTCAGAGGCTGCCATGGCGACAAAAAGGAAGTCAGCTAGTACAACCAGAAATAGTTGTGTAGAGCTTCCAGAAGAATCATCGAGGGGCCATGGCTGTCCCGATTCCTGTTGTTTCAAACAAAAAGCTGAGCGTTCAGCATTCTCGCCACCGACTGACCGCAGTTGTTTGTTAACAGCTTCCTTGAAGTAGGGTGGGTAGGTTCTCCAGAGTGTCCAAAGCGAAAACAGTTCCTGATGTATGTCTCCTCACCTTCATCAGGGGAGATGTCAAGCTCAAAGTTGAGCAGGTCCTCGGGGACAGGGAAGGTCATCTTCATCGTCTGTGGCAAGTCCAGTTCACCCAAATCTATTTGTCAAAAACAACACCCGCAGCAAAACGAAACCAGTGGAAGTTAGTTTATTTTGCTAGTCTGACGCAGTGAAAGCTATCTTTCAACTCTTGTCTATTGTACAAGGGTGACTAAAAGTGACCATAGTATGTCGCCTCTTGTCAACATTTGCTCACGAGGGGTGAGATGGTGGCGAGCGAAAAATAAAGAAGCACGCAAGGGCATTTACCTTTTTGAACACGAATCTGTCCGGCACTGACTTTGGGCTTCTTCTTGTCGACACCTGCATTCTCCTTTTTCATAGACCAGATCTTGATCATTGTAGTGTGTGAGTTGGGTTCTTGAAAGTGGATGAGTGGTTGTGCAGTTGTGGCTAGTGTGAAGGGAAGGAGGTGTGGGCGATGGTTTTATTACAGCTGGAGGCAGAGGGGAAAAAAGAACAAAAGTTGTTCTTTGTACTTCTGCGGCAGCATCTCCATAAAAACGATTCGAAACACGTCACACGCACAGTTCGTACAGTGGCACAAGGCATTGCCACCAAAATATTTCCTCCGGCTCAACATTGGACGGTCCTTGCGTAAGGAACAGACGTCTACGACTAAAACGATTTTTCTTTAATAAAGCAATATGCATGTAATATGGTACAGAACAAAAGAGAGGGATAGATGATATGATGATGGCTTGGTCGAGGCAATTGGCCAATCCATGCAGGGTAGACGATAGAAAGATGTCCCAATTGAGCACCAATGCTGGTGAGTCTAGTTTTCGGATCCTGGTAGTGAGCGGCGACAGAATGTGTATTGTGTGATGTCCTCTGCCCCTTCTTTAGCGACCCTTCAGGTTTCCAGCCTTCTTCTTGAGTCTCTTGAGCTTGTTGGCCGACATCTTGGCTGCCAAGCTGGCAATCCTCTCCTTCTCCTCCTGGATCTTTTTCCTCTCCTCGGTGATCTCTCTCTTGCGCTATTAGGTATGGTTGAAGCAGAAGCACTTGGGATTAGCAGCCATTCTTGAGAATTAAAACGCTGGTGCCCCAACTCTACCTCGCAGGGAAGAAGTGAAGCAGGATCAAGATAGAAGAAACACATTGTCCCGATTGTTCTTCGATCGGGAAGAGTAGAGAGTAGAGAACAAAGATCTAGAAAGAGATCAAGTGTGTAACAACAATAACAATGACAGCAGAAACAACTTACACGCTTGTCGTCGATCTTCGCCTGGGTCATGGACTTGGCCATATCACGGGCAATGTTGAGCTGCTTGGTCTTGGCCATACGCTCGGCATAGGTCTGCTTCAAGGCATTGGGCATCTGCGATCTGCGGGTAGCGGTCTTTGCCATCTTCCAGTCCTTGCCAGAGACTCTTGTCATTGGCTCCTGAGGTTCGGGCTTCTTGGCGGTCATTGTTGTTTGTTGGTCTTGGTGTTGAATGTAGGGTGATGGAGAGAGAGCAAGCAAGCAAGCAAGTCTTTTTCTTTTTTTTTTAGAGAGAAAAAATAACAACAGTTTGATTTAGTAGTCACATGATGGTTTAAAAATTGTTGTGTATGTATGCTGAATGGACTACTGTCTCTCTTCAGCTCGGGCTGTCTCTCTTCAAGGCAAAGGAAGGCGCCTTCTTCACTCACAGAGCAAACGCTCACACTCAAAGCGAGGCTCAATCATTCATCGCCGTCTTCTGCCACCACAAAGTGCTTCCCTCTCTCCTTTGCCTTATTTATTACACTTTGGCATCTTACTCCCATCACCCCCTTTGCCACACTTATTGCGCCACACCCTCACCTCCTCTCTTTTTCCTTGCCTTCAGCCACTCTCTCAGACCTCAAATACCATCCCCGGCCCAGCCATCACCTGCTGCACCACCAGCAACACCTCACGTGTGTCTTCTTCTTGACGCCACTCCACCACACACCTTTTCCCTTTCTCTATCCCCCCGCTCAATCCCCAAAACCAACTTTAACCAACGACCACACGGCGCCACCATCCCGTCGTTCTCGCTCATGGATTCGGCAACAAAGATGCGCGTCAAGGTCTACAGACTCAGCGCAGGCAGTCAGTGGATCGATCAAGGCACAGGCCACTGTTCGTGCGAATTCAACATGGTAAAGAACAAACGGTACCGATGACGTTATGTTCACTGCCTCCAACCAACTTTACCGCTGCTTGACTGCAGCTGTACCAGAGGAACGGATTGTCAACCCGCACATCCGTTATATGTTATATCTGATATCAGGATATTTTACAACATCAAACAACCTTGTGTTCAGACAGGATATCACTCCGTAATGAATAATCAACAGTTTGGCACGTCTGCGCCGAGAAGATAATGGACACGCGAGCGCCCATCATCCCCCAAAGCTATTTGCAATAGTGGAAAATTACCTTGCGAAAGAAAAAAAGAGTCGCATACCTTTTGACATTCTGAAAGCTTCACAACTGACAAGTCGTTGAATATCTTTATTTCGTATAGGACAAATCCGAAGGCACCTTGATCGTGCACTCAGAGGACAGTGATGATAAGGTCCTGCTAAGCTCTCGGATAAGAGTCGGTGAAGACCTCTATCAACGACAGCAAGGTACAGGAACACTGCATGCTACGCAATCACGCGGATGACTGTTAATCTCAAGGAATTGACACGGGAAATCGGTTGTCGATTAACACGGCTGTCGCTTCTTATGCACCAAAATGATTTAGAAACCCTCATTGTGTGGTCAGAGGACGAAGGCGTCGATCTTGCCTTAAGTTTCCAGGAAGCAGAAGGATGCGGAGAGATTTGGTAACAACACTGGAAAAAAACTATACATGTAATGTTATATGGTGCCAGGTGGGAAAAAAGACGACAGCTGACAAAAGAACCATTTGTTTGCATAATTATTTAGGGACAACATCAACGAAGTCCAGCAACACTATGGTAAGATATCTCACGGCCAACAAGCGCCCGCGCTTGGATACATTCTGCGCAATCGTCCCATGTGGCTAACTATAAAATGTTTGTGTTCCTGTTCTTCATGTAGCGGAAGATCTCTTTTCCGATCCATCCGACGTCAACGGGACAGGCAGCGGCGAATACATTACTCTCCCCGACCCCGACATTTCCAACTTGGCAGAGATCGAACACTTGATCAAGGAAACACAGTCGGGCGCCAACGAAAAGGAGAAACTTGCAGCTTTCATCATCATGGATGTATGTATCATTACTTCGACGCGTTCTCTTTTTTTTCCTGCGGGCTACTCTGGATTTCGGAGAGATAACTTCAAATGGGTACTAACAGTTTGGATGCGCAATTACTTCAATTTCGATAGAGCTATATTGACAAACTGTTCCCAATCCTGGAGACCTGCGAGGATCTGGACAACTATGCAGACTTGCACATTCTGCACGACATTATGCTCGGGATAAGTACGTTGCTAGTCAGAGTCATATCGAGCGTGTTGGCGACGGAAATCACATCGTGTATTAATTGACATATTTGTTTTGTGCCTATTTTCATTTCCTATAGTTATGCTAAACGACATTGCGATAATCCAGCATATCCTCAAGGACGAGATCATTCTTAACTGCGTGGCTATGCTGCAATGTAAGACCAATCTGATAACTTAGGTTCTTTGTTCACCAAATTTGTTGGAATTGCCGATGCACATACACAGGGCCATCTAACGTCAATTATTTCTGCCACCCTAGATGATTCTGAACTCGGCGAATCTAAGGATGAGTATCGGGAATTCTTGTCGAAGCGGTCCAAGTACAAGCAAATTGTGCCGATCAATGACCCCGAGGTGGAACAAAAGATCCACCAAGTGTTTCGACTCCAATATCTCAGAGACACGGTTCTGGCGCAGTACATGGATGAAAGCCTTTCGTCCATTCTGGGATCGCTCATTTTTTTCCACAACATCGACATTGTCAACTATATCCATGGAGATCGAGCATTCTTAAGGGATCTGTTTGGCATTCTGGAAGATGATTCGGAGACTATCGATCGGAAGCGGGACGTAATTTTGTTCACGCAACAGTTCTGTTCCATTGCCAAGGCAACTCAACTGCCCACCCGAGTTGGCCTTTACAGGTACTGCTGCCCACCTCAGGGAGTATCAATCCTGAAACGGTCTGCGGTCAGATTGAAGATGTGAGCTCTAATTCTAACTCATAATTCTTTTTCGGTACTTCGTAGGACGTTGAGTCAGACAGGTCTTTTCAATGTTTTCGAAACTGCGCTTGGAGACCCTCTTCCTAAGATCAGGATGGCAGGAACGGAGGTGTTTTTGGCTGCCATGGAACATGACCCGAATCTTATCAGATCGTACATTGTCAGACAGTCAGAGGAGAAGCCGCCAAAGCAGCTCATGGACATCATTCTGAACCAGTTCTTGGTGGAAGAGGATGTTGGAATCAGACTGCAGTTCTCAGAAGTGATCCGCAGCCTACTGGATATCAACGCAGCCCAGACAGAGACGGGAATGCCATTGGCGCTTGACGTTCCAACCAACTCGGATCCAGATGCAGACAAATACCTCGAGCTGTTCTACATGCCCTACATCTCAAAGTTTGTCTCGCCGCTTTTGGAACTTAGCGAAGGTACCCTCATTGTACTTTGATACCATATGTGGTGGTTTTGCCACTATAATCTTATTCGTCTAACTGGTGTTATCTAACCTTCATTACTGCGAATAGAAAAAACGCAATTTGATCGAACGTTTGCCAGTCTGTGCGAGAGCATTTGCCAGATCCTGTCGTTTATGGTCCGCCACCACACCTTCCGGAGCAAGTACTATGTCTTGTCAAGTGGGATCGTCGCAAAGATATGCCTATTGATGAAGAATAGGGACATGCACATTCGACTTTGTACGTAGTGACAGTTCTTATATTGAATTTCAAATTGGGGCTTGATGGCGTTTCGCATGAAGGATCTGACACTAATGAGCTCTCACTCCTATTTATCAATAGGTGCATTGAAATTCTTCCGCACATGTATTCACTTGAACGACGACTTTTACCACCGGTACTTGATCAAACACAATGTCGTTCAGCACATCATGGACATGTTATTGGCAACCGGCAACAAGAACAACCTCGTAAACTCAGCCTGTATCGAATTCTTTGACTTTATCAGGAGTGTAAGTTGTCATATATTCATATATGTGGTTCATTAGCGGATCATGGATGGGATAAAGCGAGAAAGGCAGTAACGCAAACTAAGACTGTCTGTTTCGTTCGTGTTTTTAGGAGAACATCAAGTCGTTGATCAACCATATTGTGCCCCTCTATCGCGACCAGATCAAGGATATCGAGTATGTGGCGACATTCAAAGGACTCATACGGCGATACGAACAACAGCACGATACGTCCATTGCTGACGCAGAGGCTGCAGAGGTGGCGGCAAGCGAGACCAGTTCGGCCAAGCGTGGACAGGAACACAACGCCTGGTCATCGTCAACGGTGGACGATGACGAGGAGGCATACTTCAACAACTCGGATGATGAACTGGAGGTACCGGATGGAGGAAAACAGGAGGACGACCCACCAACATCCGATCTCCGGAGGCGAGTGGTTGCAGGATCGGACTCTGACTCTGACTCGGAAGAGCAAGGGGTCACTGCTATGGACACGGAACCCGTCTTGGCTTCGCAGGCGTCCTTGCTCCCACCACTCACACCACCCACGAGGAGGAAACTCGTCCACTATGGCGAGGATGATGACGACGAGGACGAAGGAGTATTTAACCGACACGACCGGGAGCTGGAGAAGAAGGCCAATGGATCAGAGCCATCGGCGGAGCCATCGCCAGAACCACCGTTCAAGAAGGCCAAGCTAGACAGCGACTCGGATAGCGACGATCAGCACGACCAGCTAATGACCGATGCGACCGAGGATGCCTCCAAAGCCAAGACTGGACTAGGCTCAGGAATCAAGTTTAAGCTCAACTCTGGCCGGAATGGCAGGTCGCCATCGCCCCTGTCCTCGCCCAATGCACGGTCACGGTCTGTTTCACCATTAGCATCTACCTCGGTGCTGCCACCAGTCGCAACGCGTACGGGAATCAAGTTTGTGTTGGCTGGCTCGAACGACGGAAACGGTGAGTCCAGCGGAGACGATTCGAGCGAGGGTGCCAGCAAGGATGGCCGTGAGATTCCTACCGAGGCCGCGATTCATCTGAGGAGCGATATGGCGCGGGATTACAAGCTGTCGGACGATGAGGAGGAGGCTGAGACTGCGAAACCACAGCAGATTGGCGGCACAGCTTCGCCGGTTGAGCCTCAGTTACCTTTGGGGGAGCAATCAGCAGAGACGGAGGAGCAGGAGCAGGCTAGGCCTGATAGCGTCGATTCATCAGTGGAACAGGAGCAAGAGGAGGAAGATACGGGAGTGGTGGTTAATGAGAGTGACGCCGAATAACGGCAGGCTTCCTTCCCTGGATCACTCTACAAGCTCAAGAACTCTATTACTTTTTAAATCCAGTGGCGCACTGATTCCTTCTCAGGAAGTTTACCAAAACACGTAAAAAAAACACACGCGCACACAACTATCGCCCCCACCACATTTCACCATGTACATTAAAACTGTCAAGAAAACATTATTTTTCTTTTTTCAGACTTTTTATATATACAGGTATCCCTTCGATTGTCAAGAAGACAATACTGAGATAATAGAAAATTTTCGCAGATTCAATTTTCCTTCGTTGAATAACCTCCACGAAGGAAAATTGATTGAAGGAAAAATGAGTTGTTTCGCAGGAATTTTTCAGTCGTACATGCTGCGGTCAGAAGACAATAGGCTTCTGACCCCAGCATATAAATGGCCAGCGGCATTGGTCAGTAATCTTTGTGTATAACTGAAAACACCCATCAATATCTCCAAATGTCGGCCGCACTCAGATTCCACCTATACCTGGAGGAGCTTGTTCTCAATGGAGAGCTGGATGTGGACGTATTGTTCGACGATGTCAGCCAGGCCGAGGATGAGGATGTGGGTGAAGACGAGAATGAGGACGAGGATGAGGATGAGGATGAGGACGAGGACGAGGACGAGGATGAGGATGAGGACGAGGACGAGGATGAGGATGAGGACGAGGACGAGGATGAGGATGAGGATGAGGACGAGGACGAGGACGATGCTTTTGAGGTTTGCCATGAACCAGGACCAGAGGAGGAGCAGGAGATAGAGGTGGAAGACGACGACGTGGAGAATGGCGACATGGCGGACAACGGTGATATACGACCACCATTGTTTCGTGGGCCATTCCTACCCGGCGAGCGATTCAATCTACTGCTTGTGGATGATGAAGAGGCCAAGGAGCAACTACGCTTTTACAGGAACAACATTATTGACATCGTCATCGCCCTCCGACTACCAGATCTGATTGTCACTCGATCCAGAGACAAGGTTTGGTCAGTTGAGGCACTTTGCCTTGTGCTCTATCGATTCGCATCTCCATCCAAGCTCAGTCGAATGTCGTCAGTCTTTCATCGCAGTAGCGCGACGATCTCAAGGGTTATCAACTGCACACTCTTCTGGATCATGGAACATTGGCACAAGGTTCTTGACTGGGACACGCTCCGCCTCACTCCGGAAAAACTGGAAGAATACGCTCTTTGGTGCAGCCTAAAGACTCGCGGCTTATGTGGCAATGTTTTCGGCTTCATTGATGGAACTTGCCGTCCTATTTGCAGGCCATGTGTTGGACAGGAAGGACAATACAATGGCCGTAAGAAGCAGCACACCTTGAACTATCAAAGCGTGGTTGCGACGGACGGAATCATGATCCATTTGAGCGAGGCATTTGACGGCACCCACAACGACATCGAGATGTTTGCTCTGACAGGAATGGATCGCATACTGGAGGAGCACGCATACGACACTCAAGGGCGGCCATTGGCGATCTTTGGCGACGGTGCGTACCAGCTCGGGGCTCATGTTCTTGTCCAGTACGACGAGTATCCGGGTATGTCTGATGACGAGGCTCGATACAATAGAGTCATGTGTGAACAGCGTTGTTCAATAGAATGGGCGTTCGGCGAGATCACTCGTTATTTCAGCGCTCTTAACTATCGGCGTCAACATCAGCTTCTCAAAAGTCCCGTCGAATATCACTACAGAGTAATGGCACTCATGACCAACATTCGAACCTGCATCTATGGTAACCAAATCAGCTCACATTTTCGCTCTAACCCGCCTACTCTGGACGAGTATCTGAACGATGAGGTGTTCACGCCAAATGCAGGTGTTATTCGCTTTATTGAGCAATAAAAGTCTCCTCACTTCTCAACCAGCTTTTGAAGGAGGATGGCCATAGTGTCGAGCACTTTGTTTTGTTTAGCACTATTCTCCTCCATAGCCATGATCAAGCCTCGATTGCCTTCCTGTATGGTGCGGACAATGTCGTCTGTTTGTTGCTGACGCTTGGTCTCCGTATCCTCGTGCCTCTTGATGTCGTCCTTGATGATGTTGCTCCTCATTTTTTTAACGTCTTCGGTAATACGTTTCCTTCTCTTGTAATCGGATTCAATCCTGACCTTGCCTGTCGCCACCGTTCTCGATCGAGCAGTCTGTGAAAACCCGGCTGAGTGAGACGACTGTGGGTCGGAAGATCGAGATGAAGACGATTCAGTTGGCTGAAAAGTAGAAGGACCCTCAACCTGAGCTGGTGAAGATGCGCTAGAGGTGAAGCCGCCATCATCAACTGAGGAGGGGCTGAATCGGTAGCAGGCCTTATCAAGAGAGGCACGGCGTAGCGCGGCGCCTAAGGCTCTATTTTGTTGCTGCCGTTTCCGCTTCTTTTCATTCATCTCCTTGGATGCCGACTTTGCTTTGTCGTTCTCCACTTGGTCGTTATAAAGGTTGTCGACGCGTCGATCATGATCAGTCTCAATGGGAACACTTCCTGCTTTTTCGAGAACGGTCTCGATGCGCTTCTGGTGCCTGGCGAAAATAGCCTCCCAACGACTCCGACAGGTCTTGGTTGTAACACCTGCAAACATCGAAGCTTGACCATGCCTAGCTCTTACTTCGTCGATAGTCATCAAATACCCAAGCACCCGGTCCCATGTTGCTCCTTTCTCCCCATGATCCGCCTTGAAGGGATTGTGATGCGCCAACGCTTGGACCAAGAACTCGTCTTGTTTGGAGTTGTCAGTGAATCCGAGAAATGGACTTTTCCGAGATGGCTGGTTGGCTGATGTTGTCGGTGTGGGTAGATGTTGAAGATCCTGTGGAGGACTGATGTTGTCCATGGCTGTGGAAGTTGAAGATGCAGTGAAGACAGTGGTCTTATGGCCTTTTTGGGACGAAAGAAATCCTTCCCAAATTTCCTTCCGCGAAGGATAAACGGGAAGGATTTCTTTCGTTTCAACCAACATAAATTGAATATGAGCCACTGTGACTACGAAACGAAGGAAATATGAGGTCTGCGAAAACTTTCTAATGGTGACTGCGTTTTCGGCGCAGGTAAGCTAGTCTAATTCAAATTATGGAAGGTGGACTCATCCGACAAAGAGGACCTGGGCGGGTAAGGCTCCGAATCCAGGTCTCCCCTACGATAGCCAGGTTGTGTGCACCGACAATGTCTCGGTGCAGCCACCGACCGCAGCTCAAACATGCGCATGACCGCATGGTTGGCTTGGCTAGACGCGAGGTTACCCCGAGCTCCACGCATGTTGGGCACATGGTCGATGTTAACATTTCATCGACCAGTACAACAATGTGCCCTGCAGCCACTGCCTATGATATAAAAAAAATACAAATGAACAAAAGTCAGTCTTGTTGAATCGCGAAAGTAGAAGTTGAAAGGGGACAATATAAAAAAACACTCACCTTTTGCGCAAATCGGCCCTTGAATGACTCGTGCATGGACGCCAAGTTGAGACCCGTTCTGAACTTGCCATTGCCGTAACAGAATAGCGTTTTCCTTGTACAGCTCCTCAGCACACCATCAACCGCCCAATCTATCTCGGCATCCTTCCACTTGGTAAGTTCCCAGTTCAACTTGCGAATCCGGTCGGAGGCGTAGAAGCCCTGCAAGACGGAACGAACAAGAAAGGCCCGTTGGAGTGCCTTCTCGTGGTCTTCTTTGGAATCATACTGGTAGGGAAGAACCAGGTTCTCGACATCCTTGATAGACGGGATGGATATGCCAGTCTTGTCGCGGTCAAGGTCTGCTTTGGCCCAAAGATCTGGAGTCGTCTCCTGTCCTGGAAGGAGAACCGGTCGATGCTGCTTGATGTTGTTCAGTTGGTTGCGATGTGCGATTATTGGACTGTATAGCGCAAGTCGGCTAACGACCAGATTGTTCGCGACGACTGAGGGAGGTAGGATGAGGCTGTCGACTTCGTCCTCGGGTCGATCCACAGTATCCTTGCTTGAGTTGGTCGTAGCACCGCTTGATTTCTGGATCTGACGCTCAAGACAACAAAATGTGGCAGAGTTGACTTCACCCGGGTCGACCCCCCATACGTCAAGTTCTTCCACTGAATCTACTCCAAAGGCGTCCAGAATTGATTGTAGCGTAGGAAATTGTCGCTCGATGCGGTAGATAGGAGCGAAAGACGTTCGAGATCGGAAAGGTTTTGATGTATCGAAGCAAAGTGTATGTAGCTGCAGCCCATTGGTCAATATAACATTCGAGAGGGCGTATCGGTCCGTGCTGGTGTCGGTAGGAAGAGGCGGCGGGGTCCTGTCGCATGCCCGGTCTTGGTCGCGGCATACGCTGGCGTAGCTGATGTAGTCAAACTTGGCTGACAGATACGATTGAAGAGCCACAGTTCCATAGACGCCACTGTTGGCGTTGGAGAGGTCGTCCATTGTAGACGTTCGTTTTCCATAGCTGGTTTGCCACACGGATGTTGAATCCCGAATCCTTTGCCGGTCTCCGTAAAACAGTATCTTGATCAAATGTCCATACTCCTGATCCACTAGCGTGTGCGCCATCTTTGTGGTCATGATCTTGTCGGCTGACGCCCTAGCGGGATTCGGAAACTTTTGGCTTGTTCCCCAAAGGATCTGTGGCAAGGCTCGTTCCTCCAACATGACGAAGCAGCTCTTGAAAGGGCGCCGAAGACAGAAGACCGGGCGCGCCGAAGAAGGGAGGTGAGTTGCTTGTCGCCACCAGTGATAGATGTATCCTGTTGAAAAACTTGTTGAGGGATCCTCGTCCACTACCCCAACTTCCGCGTCATCATCGTTATCATTGTCCGCATCGTCCATCACGTCACTGTCGCCCTGATCTGCTCCTGGATCCACCATCTCGTCCGACGCTTCATCATCCTTGAAGGAGCCTTCAGGCAAGGTCTCCTTAACCCATCCACATTTTAGCATCTATTGTGTAAAATTAAGAAGCTAAAGATAGTCAGTCTCTAAAAAATAGGCATACATGCATGAACGTACAGATGCGTAAAAAATACATACCCTTGATCCAATGGTGAAAGGCATTTGTCGAACGTGAGTCCTGAGGCACACTATCACTTGTTTGGCGGCTGCAACTATCGGTCGCCCCATTTGTATGTGATTGGTGTTGGTCGGCTTGTACCCGGGAACAATCCGCAACAGGCGAGCGTAGGTGCGTTGAGCGATCGCCTTAACGGCCTTGCTGGCGGATTTCTTGGTCTTGGGTCCTCTGTTGTCCATCTTGCCGTTTAATGCTAGAGCGTATAGGTGTTTGATAAGAGCCATTCCCGCTGAATTCTGCAATAGAAGATCCAGAATATCAAACTCCTCGCTCCCTGCCTCCGAACTTCCTGAGACGACGGTAGCCTTCCCACCAGAGAGCGTCACCTCCCCGATCACACAGTCCGGCTCCGGTTGTCCATCACCTGCGATGCCGTTCGAACCGCGTAAAAGCTCATCCCAGATAGTGATCTCCAGCATGCGATAGACGACAGCTGAAGCCTGGTTCATGACGTCCACAGCATCAGTCAACCTCATGGCCAAAGCAGTGAAATCTGCGTCCTCGAGAGTCTTGCGATCACCCGTCGCGTATAGAGGTAGCTGAGCTCCCTCGGACATTGGCAATAATGCGCGGCGTAAACAGCCTCGAAGACTTCCGAGTCTCTGCGTCGACACTGCAAAGGCAGCACCAAATGCGGCCTTCTGAGCGGGCGCAGGTGCCTTGAGCTTGCGGGGCTTCCTAGGTTTCTTTCTGGACTTCTTGGAGGTGGCCTTGGGGGTGGCTGTGGAAGGTGTGACGGCGACACTCTCAGTGCTGTGAGAGGGTGGGGTGCACGATGACGAGCTTGAAGATGATTGTGGACCGGTATTCGACGGGGGTTTGTTTGGTGTGTTCTTGAGCTTCGGTACAGCTGGCGTCATTTTGGCCAACTCTGCAGGGTCGACCATAGTGGCATCCGCAATCGTAATCCTGCGCACCGAGTACCGCTGGTCCAGGTCGGTTCTTGACTTGAACCTGAATTGTTGTTCAAAATAGTATCACTATGTTAGTAAGCCAGAAATATTATTACATGCAATAGCTGAAAACAAAATCCTCGTTAAACTTACTTCGAACTTTTCCATGTTCTGTACTTTGATGTCTTCTTCCTGTGCTGACGCCTTCGTTCCATTTGTCGTTCCTGCTGCCTCAACGATCTCTTCCTTTTTGCTTTGCCTGGTGGCCGATTGGCTGCCGAAAGCGCTGATGGTATGCTGGATGAGGTGGAGGACTTTGAGGTCTCGCGATCAGTCCCAGAGGTCGGCTCTGGCTCCGTTTTGATCGATACTCGATATTGTCGCTCCGACGTTGATGAGACGCTGTCGAACGTGGTGGTGTCGGCAATGTCGGCTTCATGCTGTTTCTGCTGCTTGCCTGCCTGGTGAAGTTTTTCCAGTATAGCAACGACAATTTCGTGAGCCGGAGGGGTGTTGTCAATGGGCTCGATAGGATTTAGTACATCCGACTCTGTTCGCTCAACGAATGCGGTGATGGCGTGGCGATAGTGGTCGACACCAGTGTTGACTGTCGTTTGCCTTTTTCTGCCCTTCCCGGATTTCCATCGTGTTTGTTGTGATAGATGCTTGTTGACAAGTTCGATGTACTGCTGGATATAGTGTTGAATCTCCTTGGCTCGTTTCTTGTTGTTGTAAACCTCCCCGAGAGGAGAAAGTCCTGACAGATCCATGCTGCGAACGATCTCACAATTCAGCATCAAACCAAAATATGGAATGTTGCGAACGTAATCGTTGCTCGTCACCATACACGCGAGGAGGAGGTGCTGTTCCGAGGGTAGGTCCAAGCAGCGTAGGACGGAATCCTTGGTAACGGTCATGAGCTCGTGGGACTTGCCAACCGGTAAGGTGATGGACTGGACCCCCTCGTAGACAATGATGTCGCTGTCTCGTGTGATAAGAATCAAAAGGCTTGGGTCTGGGGAGACCTGACACACTCGAGCCAGGCAAGTGTCTGCTTGATGAAGACACTGGTGAAGATTCCAGCCGAGTCTTGTGAGCCCTAGGAAGATCTCGCTCTCCATGGTTGATCTCGGTGTTCGATATGCGTTCCTGCACCGTTTCAATAGTGAGCGGCCCGGCTTGCAGTTTGTCTTGCTCACATCCTGTTCCAGCTTTGTCAACGTCCTTCCTAGAGCTGCGTTTCTTCTCCGATGCTCCTCCCGCTTCTCTTCTGAGGGCAGCCCGTCAATGTGAATAACCGTTTGGTCCTTCACCAGAATCTTGGAGAGTACCGAATCCAGAACGAACGCAACCGCTCGGTATTCCTATTGTAGTGAAAATATCAAGAAAGCCAAAATCTTAGCAGCTGATATTACAGAATATGACGTTAATCACTGGCAAGAGTAAACAACGAAAATATCTTACCAACTTGTTCTCCTCCTTTGGAGATGTCGAGAGTCCATCAGAGTGTGCGTACAATGCCGTCGGATCCAGTTCCTGGATGGACAATTCAATAAGCTGGTCTAGGGTGAGGGTTGGGTCATAGGGAACATGGGTGTGGTGGTTGGGGACGGCTGTCGGAGGCTGGTGTTCGTCGAGGATCCGTCTCTTGTTGGTAGCATTAAAGTTGTACGTGTCATGGGGTTGATTGGGCTTTTGGCTGTCAGGCTGGTAGGGGATGTCGTTCTTGATGCGGGTTTGAACGATGTTGAATACTCGGACTTGCACAAGCCGAAAGAAACGAGACATGAAGTCAACATGTGTCATCGCGCCGGGGTTCTTGAAGCGAGTCTCGACCTGACCACCGCATTCCTTCAGTGTTTTTGGGAGATTAGTGACACCCATGGCTAAAAATCGACGCATAAAAAATTGGAAAAACAACTAGCATAAGCATTTCCTTCTCTTCTGGAGCCAAGGCTGACGTGGCTGTTGCTCATTGAATTTATGCACTGATCTCTTGTTCTTTGTACCTTCGAATCGTCAGGCAGGCTTTGTGTGTGTGTGAGTGGATGGTGGCGTATTGGGTGAGTGACGGGAAAGAAGGAAGAGGTTATTCAGATGCGCCCTCGCCTGCTCTTTTTATATCCCCCTGTAGTGCAAACTTGCACTACATTTTTTTTTGGCGTGATGGTCACATGTAGCGTCATATGGCAATCATAAGAGCCTCACTCATCAGTGTGATGGTATCGTACGGTGGTGAAGGGAACCACCGGGGGATTCGCATCATCGGCGAAACCGGAACTGATGGGATTGATCGCAGGAATCATCGCAACACCACAGGACCAGGATGCAATGATCAGACAGGACTCGGAAGAATGGGTATTGTTTTTGTTATGTTTTATTATGAAGAGAAAGGAAAGAGTAAGGCAAAGGACAGATGGAAGTGAGTTGTTGCAGGCTGAAGGACAAGACAGGGGAACAGGTGGTCTATTTATGCTAGGAACCGGTTAAACAGAAAGGGGTCAAGACAGGGCCTGGAACGGAACCGGAATTGGGAAAGACAGAATGACAAATGGCAAAACGAATGACAGACACAAATGGGCGATGAGGCAAAAAGGCAAAGATGGTTAACGGAATGTTTCTAGGCAAGTAGCTCTTTACAGGTACCGGCCTAGACCAAGGGGACAGAAGGATATAACCAAGGAACTCAGTCGTGCTCATGCCGGACTGGTGGCAAGAATCAAGTTGGTGGCGGAGGTCACGTGACGGATCAAAATGCAGGACGCGTTCAATGGAACAAGGACAGAGCCGACTCTTGCCTAAACCTGGCAACCTGGGGCTAAACGTGGCACAGGACCTCTGCATCCGACTCGACAACCAATCAATGGTGAAACAGCGTCGGTGAGAGAAAAACTGAGGTGCGGTTACGCGGCAGAGTGGACGGCGATCGCACGAATATGCGGCGAGCGCACGGGGTCAACAACAGTCGAGTGGGTCAAGGGTCACAATGGAGACGAATGGAACGAAAAGGCGGATATGGCAGCAAAGGAGACGGCAGTACGGCATGGGAGATGGATAGGACGACATCAAATGCTCTGCGACGATGGCTGGCGTGATCCTCGATCAGGGCACGAGACACGTGTTCAAGATGCAGACCACCAGATGCTGGCACCAGGAGTGGAGTGCACTGAGGAGGACCAAAAGATCGATTCAAGACTACAAGGGCGCAGACTGACTTGGTACCCTTTCAAACATACACACATCAACAAACCAGTCAACACCCTTTTCAGTTCACAGCAGGATACACGCCTACGCAGCCGTGGGATAAAGAAGGTCCACGAAATGTTGCCCACCATGGACGTCTTACGCGCCAGGCGTCCAGATCTGTACAAGGACGACTTATGCCGACTTTGTGGTCTAGAGACGGAGGATAATGAGCACATTTGGGCGTGCTCCAAGAGCAGGGAGACGCAAGAGGAGTTGTGGGAGGATGCCCTTGACCGAGTCGACGGATGGGGAGAGATCGCCACACGACAGTTCAACAAACAGCGACAGAAGCAGCTCAAGCCAGGAAAACAGTCCCCTCCCGAGACCGTATGGAGGATACCAAGAACCAGCAAGCTCCGCAAGGCGCTGTGGTAGGCGATCAAGCGGTCAGGCGAGGAAGAGGTGGAGGAACCGGAACAACATATCCCGAGCGCGTAGACGGTCAACCACATCTACCGAGGCCTAGTGACGAAGGCTCTAGCTACGCAATGGAGCAAGGTGTTCAAGGACGTAGCAGAGAGCATCACCCAGCATGTGAGCCGTCTCTTTTGCCGATGTGACGAGAAGGAGGCCAGGGAGCAGTTATGGAAGACACGCAGCGAGAGAACTATCAAGTAGGAGGAGGAGAACAGCATCACCAGCAGCATGAAGCACACACACACCACCAAGGACCAGAGGGCACGGTGGACACAGACCCACAGGTGGCAACAGATCTATGGGCGGAAACTCCGAGAGGACGAGTACCTTTGCGGACGAGCCGTAGCAGAGCACAAGGAACAGCGGTGCCCAGGCGAGCAGAGCGATACTCGAGTGGCTGACCAAGCAGTTATCGACACCCTGCTGGGCCTGAGGCGCATGGATATTATGGAAAGGAGAGGCAGCATGGTCATCAAGGAGTTGGAGGAAGAGCGCACCTAGATCTCTTGAACGTTTGTACGGTTTAGGATACTTACTGAGTGAGGTAGACAGTGTGCTCGTACGAGGACTAAGACAGCCTGAATAAAATTGATTTGTCGTCACGGACGGGCATCTTTGGGCAAGGTGAACAACAGCTGAAGAGGTCATTGTCAATCATGCTATCTTTTCTATGCCGATGATGGATTGGACGCGTGAGGTGTAAAGGAAGGGGTGGGTGTATCCAGCTTGACAAAGTGCGAGAATCTTGTAGCCCTCTGGGATAGGTTTGTTCTTCATGCGTATGGTATAGCCACTCCTTCCTGAAAAACGAACAATCATCTCGTCGATGGACACATTGGTGGAGGCAACGTAGTAACGAACGAAGTCGGTAGCGAGTTTGGTCGAAGGAGGCTCTACTTTTGAGAACCAATGTTGCTCAGGCTCGTTGGGGTTGGAGACATGAAAAAAACGCTTCAGTTGTTTGAAGCGGACGAGGGACATGAAGTCAGTGATGTTGTGTTGAGGACATTCAGGGAAGGTTGACCAATACTCAGAGACAGAGTTCTGCCTGAACAAGCCCATGTAGACAATGATGCCGAGAAATATGCGCAGTTTGTCAGGTGTGGTCTTTACCCATTGGCGCGATCCCTCTCCTGTGTCGGCTCCTTTTGATGCTGCATATGCGTTAGTGTTGTCTGCCAAATCCGTCAATACCGGGTCGGAGAAGAAGAGAGTGAAAATTGTCAATGGGGATAGTTCGCTGTCGAGTTGAAGTGCAAGGGGAAGGTTGGTTTGTGCTGACCATACTGTTTTTTTGGTGTTTGAAGACGTCCTTGAAGTCAGGGACGGCTGGGATTTCTGTGGGTTCGCGGGCGACTTTCTTGCTAGCCCTCTTCGCTTTCGCGAGAGCTAAGGATGCAGGGGACACCTCCTCTTCCGCCCGGTTGCTCTATTTCTGGTGGTCGCTCTTCATCATCGGAATCATCCTCATTGGGAATCTCTCGAGTTCGGCAAATGACCGAAAACGACAGCTCCTCTGTCTCCTCGGAAGTGAGTGTGCTAGTACCTTGACCGTTAGAAACGTCAAAGGAACGTAGGAACTCGAAGCTTGGGTCCATGGATAGGTTGGGCGAAGTTTTCTTTGTGAGGGAGACAGTAACGGAGGCTTTGGAGATAATGAGAGAGAAAAAAAAGGTTGAATTTGACAGCGAAGGTGGTAATGAGGCAAGCTGGGAAACGACAACTCTCGTTGTTTTCATTAGACGACACGGGACCCTTCCCAACCCGTTTTATCGGAAACCCTGATAAATTGAAAAAAAAAAATTGGAATCGATTTCGATTCTACACGGTTGAAGGTATATTATTGTTGTCTAGTTTGCATGCTAAGGATATTTACAGAGGAATGCTCTGAGGGAAACGGAAGATGTTGGTGGGGTCGATAGCAGCCTTGGTCTTCTTGAGACGGGTCATGGCAGAGCCGTAGTAGGCGTCCTGCCAGTTGGGGATCTCTGCATCGATGTAGTTCTGGTAACCGCGGAGGGGGCCAGCATAACCAGCAGACTTGAAGTCGGCCAAGAATTCGGCGTACATGTCGTTCATCCACTTGAGACAATCCTTGCAGTCAGCCTTTCCGGGCTTGGGCTTTGCGCTCTGGTCCCATTCGACGACAAACTCAAAGACGGTGTGGGCGTTGCGGTGGATGAAGGATGTGGCGTCGACGGCGGTGTCCTGGACGGCGCCGCCCCAGAGATCGACAATGATGTAGTTTGAGGTCGCACCAGAGGGCTTCTTTGCGCCCCACTTGCCCAGGAGGGCAATGGTCGAGTCCTTCAGGGCCGAGGGGTAAACGATGGACTTGCCCTTTGTGTAATGGGAGTCACCGGTGCGGAAGGGGCTCTTGAGTGAGAGGCCGTTGATGTCGCCCTCCTTGCCGCCCTCGACAAAGGCGAAGCGGAGCTGAGCGTCGATCTGGCGGCCTTGACGGACATCGTTGGAGGTGGGTTTGGGGACAGCGCTGAGGAAAGGGGCGAGGGCCTTGGCTTGATCGGCCTTGGAGCCCTGGAAGATTCCGTAGAGCTCAAGACCGGAGGGGCCGACGTTCATCTCGACACCGATATCGCGGGTGGCCTTGGATTGGTAGTTGGTGTAGGCCTTGAGGACGGCGGCGTAGTCCTTGATCTTCCATTCGTAAGAGAAGGAGGTGGCCTTGGTGGCGGCCTTGAAGGGGAGGATGGTGAAGGATGTGACGACGCCGAAGGAGCCGCCGCCAGCGCCACGGAGGGAGTAGAAGAGGTCGGGGTTGGAGGAGGCAGAAGCCTTGACGACCTTGCCCTTGGCATCAACCATCTCGATCTCGACAATACGGTCGGCAAGAAGACCGTACTTGCGCGAGAGGAGACCGAATCCACCACCGAGGGCGTGGCCGCCAATACCGACACTGGGGCAGGTACCGGCGTTGATGGTCCATCCTCCTTGGTTGAAGAGGTCGAGGTAGAGCTTTCCGAGACGGATGCCGGACCCGACGGTGGCCTTGTTACCCTTGACCTTGACAGAGTTCAAGGCAGTGAGGTCAAGGACCATAGATCCATCCTGACCACCGAGCGAGTAACCCTCAAAGGAGTGACCTCCCGAACGAGGGGCAACGGCGATCTTTGCGGCGGCGGCGCATTTGACGGCTGTCTGGACATCGCCGACAGATTTGGCCATGATGATGACCGAGGGCTGGTAGGTGTACCGAAGGTCAAAGCCGTAACGCTGTTGTTGGTAGGCTGTGTCCTTTGCGGTGAGGACTTTGGAGGAGCCGAGGGGTTTAAGGCATTTGAGGAAATCTGCTGAGGGGCCGGGGGCAGCGGCGGCTTCAGTGGCGGGGGCGATGGAACTGAGGGTCAAGGAGACCAGGAGCAGTAGTACGCTGCTTGTGGAAGGGATGTGCATTTTTGAGGTATGTAGAAGAGAGAAAAGAGTGCTTTTTTTGGAGGGTTGCCCTGGTAATGTAGAGAAAGGATGACAAGCGACAAATGCCAGGTAACAGAACAAAAACAAGCGTTGCACAGAGGGGCGGCGAGGAGTGGGTTTTGTGTAAGAAAAGAAGGAGAGTTGGACTAGTGAGTAGAAAAAAAAAAAGCTGAAAGGTCTATCCTTTATATCATCGTGTTTTCGTTGACAAAAAGAGTCGCTTGAACGGGAAAAGGTATTGAGAGCACTTTGAGACAAAAATAACCCAACTGTTGTTATTAACTTTTTTACGGCCCGGAACATGGTGGATGTGGTGTGGGGAGGGGCTAGCTTTTAAATGCGTTCATCAGAGCAGTACGCTCGGCGCCAAAAAGGAGGGGGAGGTGGGCGGGAAAGAAGGGAGAGAACGCTAGGCTGGCGTGTTTGTTTTGCGATGACATGCCTTTTTTATCATGTCGCGAGTACAATTGTTTTTAGAAGTGTTTTCTTTCTCAGTGAGGTTTTTGGACCTCTTTAAAAAAAATACCTGTTCCTTGAAAACAAGGGGACAGCCGAACTTGCTTTAAATGTTTATTTATTATGCTTTTGTTGACAATGGATCAATTGGGATCTATGGCTGTTGAACTAAGTAAATGCATGTAAGCTAGGAGAAAGAAAGGAGAAGGGAGAAGGGAAAGAAAAGAAAAGGAAAGAAAAGGGCTATGGTAGCGACCCTGAACTTTACCAGTGCATCACACGCACAAAAGATGCAAATGAGCCAAAATAATAAAAAAAAATTCAAAGGGTGCCTGGTCAGCCAACCAGCTGCTTCACGAGGGCGCACGCACAGAAACGTCTCTGCAAACATTTGAGCATAGAAATAGAACATAACAATCGCCAGAAATAGTTTCTCGGCGTGTGAGAGGACGATCGTACTGGAGACAGGAAGTCAGCTTTAACTTCCGATTTCTTTTACAGGGCAAAAAAACCATGACAGCCTCAATCCACCCACCCTTCACTCACATCACTTGGGCAGGTTTTGTCAAATGGCCCCAGTGACATAGAAATAAAGAAGAGAAAAACAAAGTCCTGTGGACAGATATATATCGCATTTTTGTTCATGCGAATGAACAAAGATGCAACAGAGGGTCGGGGCTTTGTCGGCGCCAAATGGATCATCAATCATGGCTTTATTTGATGCATCTCGTTAATGTTACGCCATGCAAAGTACCATCCAGGTAACGCCGCGAGGTAAGAAAGAAACCATTCCCGATTTTATTTTTATTCAGCGAAACACACAACGTTGCTAGTACACTTCGTCTTTCTTCTCTAAGTTAAGGATGGCGGCGGACACAAATAGATCGAGAAGAGATAAAATATATGCCGCAGACATTACTATGTAACTATGATCGCGTGTTGGCGGCTAGGTTATATTTTTGGATGTACTCCTGCAATTTTGGGTTTATTGCCTTTACACCCCCAACTCCACCTCCAGCTGCAGAGGTATACGCCGACGACGCCATGGGTCCGGTGGCGGCAAGGGCGGTCGCACCCGAGGTGGAAGAGGACTCGGCTGCTCGACCATAATAGTATCTCGCCCTCTGTTGTTGAGCGGGTGTCAAGGGTGGTGCTGCTTTGGCAAGGGGTGGGATATATATATTGTTGCTGTTGAAAATGGCTGCTGTTGCGGACCCTGGGGCAGCAGAGGGTCTGATAGGGGTCTCAGTCGGCGGAGATTGTTGTCGTTGAGGACGGTGGTCGAGGATCCGAGACCGGGGGGTGGGTTGCTCCTGAATCTTGGGGAGAGTCTTGTCCAATCGCGGAGGAGCGATGACTGAGGCAGTGGGTGTTGTTGTAGTGTCTGAATGAGCTTCTACAGCCACGACGACAGGTGTAGGTGGCAAATGATCGTTCCGGGAGGGCGTGTCCATGACTTTTGAGACTGGCTGGGATCGACTCTGGGTAGGGCCTCTTTGTTGCGGGTGATCTTCTGTCGTTGTGGTTGCAGCTGCTCTTTGGATCACCTTCACTTGATGCTGGCTAGAAGTCACAGGGATGGTAGTCGTGGCTGTCGTAGGCGCTGCTGCCATAGACGTTGGTGCAACCGCTGATACATTCTCAGGCGTCGCCATCGGAGGGGAGGTTGGTCGGATGGGAGAGATATTTGGCAAGGGCGGGTCAAACATGGCGGCGGCCGTCGGCTGCTCAAAAACATACTCGCCAGGAGCAAGGGTCTGGAAATGAATGTCTTTCATTGTCAGATCGTGAACCTGCTCATCAACAGGGCTCTGGTGATGGTGACTGCGCCCAGGTGCCGCTCGATCCAGATGTCGTGATTTGGGTGGCGACTGTTGTTGTTGCTGTTGGGGGCGAGTAGGGCGTCCTTGAGCCGCCGGTGGTGACGAGGACCTCTGTGGGCTCTGACCTGATCGGCGATCTCGATATTGCGCTGATGGCCGTGGAGCTGCGATGGGTGCTTGTTTGGAGGGAGGAGAGGAGGACTGTTGACCACCCCACCCCAATCCTGAAGCAGCCGCAGATGCTGCGCTCATGGCTCCATCGGCTAATGCCTGGATCAACTGACCGCTGCTTCCTCCAGAGTTGTTGCTATCGGTGTTTCTGATAGCCTGCCGCAGCTTGCCGGTGTTGACGACGTACCCACCCGAGTTGGCACCTTTGGCTCGGAAACTGTTTGCTGCTGCGATGGCGTGTGCTCGGAACTCGCTGGGTGTCTCCTGGACGATTTCATCATCAAGGGCCTGGCTGGGTGGTGGTCCACTGATGTTGCTGTTATCATCCTGTGGAGAGCCCTGTACTTCTGCATGTCTGTGCTGTTGGTAGCGTTGTTGGTGTTGGTGTTGCTGCTGGTGATGTCGATGGCGTAGATCTTCACTGGCATCACCTCTCGAACCTTCCGTTGGTCCCCGCTGTTTACGTGCTACTGCTGACCGGCCCTTATCCATCTGTCCTGGCTCTTCTTCCAAGATGCCATCCCTTGGAGATTGAAACCCACGAGTGACATGCATCCCCTTGTCACCTCTAGGCGACACACTCCTCCTCTCGGCACTCTTCGAGGGTGGCGACGACGACGACGAAGGCGCCGCGATCATTTGTGGAGCTCTCATGGATGCCGTGGGTGCTAAGCTCTCACCCTTGCTCTTGGATATAGCAATGCCTTCTTGAAGTGGCCTCCGCAGCCGCTGATCAAACTCCCGATGAGCTGCTGCATCCATGACAGATCGAGAAGTCGTATGGTCAGGACCAGGAGGGTCTGTAGTGTGAGCATGCTGCTGCGAGGCGGAAGCCAGGTTCTTGGGCTTGGCTGCAATCGTAGGAGGTTTGGTTCCTGCTACAGGCTTGCGGGTCGCCTTTGGGTAGATGAACCCGCTGCTCGGATCCTGTGGTTTCATTGCTGCTCCTGTTGGTGCAATTGGCTTCTTGAGATGCCCTGCTGTCGCTCTTGTCGCTGGTGTCTGTGCCGACGCTGACGCTGAAGCTGAGGCAGCACTAGCGGTAGGAGGTTTGTTGGTAGGAGCGGCATGTTGGCCGACTCGGACTGTCGTCACAGGTGCCGGGGGTCGAGCCGTCAATGTCGGAGTTGGTTTCGGGGTGTACAAATGACTCGATCGTGTTGCTCCTTCCTCCATCACTGGTTGTGGTCCTCGCAGATGACCGCTCGAGGTTGTCGTTGCTGCTGCCGCCACGGGTACTGTTGTTGATGCCGCAGGCGCTGTTGCTATAGGAGGTCTTGGTGCCGGCTCTGGTCTTGGTCGCGCCTCTGCCTCTCTGGTAAAGATGTTAGGATTCGATCCGACTGGGTCCCTAACTGGGATTTGCGCTGGAGGTTGTGCTTGTACTTGATTTAAGTGCTGCGGTTTCGGACCAGGTACAGGAAGAGGTCGATTCAGTGGGATATGGCGCAGTTCGGGGCTTGAGCAAGTGGGTGGAGGAGAATTGTCGATGAGATGTCCGTCATGGCCATGCTTGACATGGTGGGTGAGTTGTGGACCGGGAGCGGAGGCGGGATCGTTTAGCAGTCGCGAAAGCCCAGAGGGACTGGTCGCAATGTTGGACTGCGTTGCTGCTGTGTTGACTGGGGCAGGGACCTTGATGTTTGGGTGTTGGTAGTGGTGATTGGAGTCGAAGGATGAAGGATGATGATGAGGAGAGGCAACAAACCCTGAATGTGGTGCACTGCTTCCTGGAGTTGTCGCATTCTGGAGGGGATCTGGGATAGGCGATCCGGCACGTTTGACACGTTCATATGCCTCTCTGGCCAAGGCGAGACTTTCAGCTGTTTGGATGGGGATAGGAACAGGGGAGGGAGAAATAGGGCGTGGTTGCGCAGGTGGGTTGGGCAAACCGGGTCGCATTGGCGATCCTGTGGGTGGTGGAGAGGGTAGTGGGAGAGGTCGTGCAAAGAGCGGTGGGTCGGTCATACAATCCTCTACTGCACTTCCAAATTCCCCGGTCTGTGGAGCTGCTGGCTGTCGATGAGCATGGTGAATAAACCTTGAGGTTGTCTGGTTTGAGAAGGCAGCCGCTGTTGGAGAAGAAGGCTCTGGCGATGCGGGACTGTAATAGCTCTGTGGAGATGCGCTTCCAGGACTGATCTGGGATGTGAACGATCCAACTTGGGTGTTGATGGGCTCAACCGGATAGCGCCGACGGTTGGGCGAAGCCGCAGGGATCTGGATAGGTGGCGTGGGTCTGGTTGCTGTCGGAGCGCGAAGTGGCGCCTGACTCCGGTATCGTCCCTCTGACTCCTTCTTTGAGATCCACTGATGAATCGCTGTCGCCATCGTCTTATCGTCTAGGTCGAATTCGACATTGTCGTCTCCTCCAAACCTAGCGAGTGCGCCCGACATCTCTTGTTGGTACTGTGCAGCTGCTTTTAAAAACTCTTTGGCCTTTGTTGTGGGTGGTGGTTGAAAGGGTGTATACCGAACTCGCTCGACTGCAGGGACATAAGCAACAGGGGCAGCTGGTCCAAGAGGGGGCGATTTGGCCATGCGACGACTTGGTGCCCCACTGAGATTATCAGAATCTTTCCTGTGCTGCTGGATATGCCCACTGGAAGTTGGACTGGTCGAGCGTTGGATCTTGTCGGCAAATTTGCTCAGTTTCTGCTTGGGGCTGGCAAGCAAGGATTTGATAGATGTGATCGAGTTTGCAGGGGATAATCCACGGTCATCGCCGTTCCATTCTCCTTGTCTCCCGACACCTCCTAAATCATCCTGTTGGTCTTGTCCATCAGGGTCATACCTAGTCGAAACTGCCAAACTGGCGTTCGATCCTATCCTCCTGTTGGACTTTGTTGGCCCACCATTGTCCAAGTCCAAGTCGTCGTCGACAATGTTGTATTGGTGTGGCAAGTGGTTCTGATCCAGTTTTGGTTTTGGTGCTGGTGTTAGTGAAGCTGGATGACAAATCTTGACAGGGATCTCCACAGACAGTTCACCACTACATTCATTGAGCAGAAGTATATGAGGTTAGCAAACATTCCCGTTTGTCTCAATTAGAGAAAGTCTCAAAAAATATGCTCAAGGTATCACACACATTACCTGAAGGCGCCAAGGAGCATAGAAACAACAACAAAACATGTCACCTCAAAGAGAGCAGTTCCTCGGATGGTCCTGGCATTTCCAGGAACAATCATGTTGACAGTCATTGCGCGCTCCTCGCCTGTGTCAAAGAGATAGCTCGATGATTTGAACTCCTGAGTTCCAATGACTTCAGAAACACTGACAGTCTCGATCGTCAGTCCTGGATTCAGCTCTGCCTGGGCTTTGTCTGATACCATCTCCAATCGACGCGCCACTCCAATGCGAATGCCCTGCACCTACGATAGTAGAGTAAAACAGAGTACTGGTTAGATTATCAAGGAAGTCAAGTGGTAGGCGCTAATGTTGACATTGCAAGGGGAAGAAGTAGGCTACCTTTCGGCTGGTATTATTCTTGACTTTGACCTCGACAGTCAAATTGCCTCCTGCACTATGTAGCCTCTCTGACAGCAATGCCTCTAATTCGAGGGTACCACTCCCTCCCCAGAACAACTTTGTGGAGTTGGATGCCTGGACAGGTATCCTATAGTCGGGGTTGTATCCATCCCAGGCCTCGACCACAAATGCTTCTTTGGACTTCAGGATCGTTTCATCCTTCCCATGATAGAACACCTGAACTAGGCTGATCATCGCAACATACGATTTCAAAAGTATGGTAAGGGAGGAGTAAGAAAAATAAAACGTTATGTCAACACAAAAAAAGGGGTGGATTTGGCTGATTTCAAGAAAACTCATGACACTTTTTTCACTCCTACAGTACATAATACGACATAACAAGAGTGACAACTTACCCTGTGACAACATACCGCAAAGAGGCGGTCTGACCAAAGACGAGACTGGATGGGCAGTCGAGGGGCAGCTGAAATGCAAAGGGAAAGGTTGTCTTGCCCTTCTTTGCCATCCAGAAGCCGTCGTCGTCGCACGGCCCGTGGACAGCGTTTGAGGGGGGGATGCCGGTGCCCTGGAAGCAGAGGCGGGATGAGAGGAAGGACTGTGTTGCCGTGAACTCCTTTGACGTGATTTCTATTGTCGATGATAATTCAGGAACCAAAGTGGATAATAATAGCTGATCAGTACTATTGGAGATGATCAGTGCAGTTTGCTGGTGTGTGTAAGTGACAGAGCTTATTTATCATTGAGCATAGAAGCTACCTTCATAGGCAGCAAGCTCGACTGCAATTTCGCCCAGTTTCAAGGACCGCGAGCTCGTGGCTGTGACCTCCATCCGCCCAAACAAAGTCCCTCCCGCCTGGAAAAGAGTCGAGTCAAAATAGATGCGAATCTTCAACTTGCTGCATTTCGCCGGTTGCGATGTCATCGGTCGAAACGCAATGTTGTTGGCTAATGTCAATGCCGACGCCGCCGCTGCCTCGATTCCTGAAACAAACCCAGACCCGGACGTTGACTCGGCGGGCACAGACCCTGGGGGTGGTAGGATGGGGGGAAGTCGTGGTTGGGATTGGTGGTTGTGTTGTGGTTGTTGATAATGCTGCATTTTTGGTGTAGTATTATATGTTATATGTGAGGGGAGGGGAGGGAAATTATGTACAGGGTTGTGTGGGTGGAGGGAAGAAGGTGGAAGAGTTGAGAAAACGATGAGCTCCTCGCGCTGTGGATTCGTTGTCGTGAGGCACTCTCGCTGGGAGATGCTGGTGTGTTAGACTCTTCCTGTATCCGAAAGTGAGAGAGGGAGAGAGAGGGTTGTGATGATGAAGAGTTGAGTGAAAAAGAAAGGCGGAAAGGGAAGGGAAGAAGGGAAGGCTAAAGGACAGAGTGGGGATAAAGGAGAAAGAAAAAAAGGAAAACGAAAAGGTGTGAACAAGGGAAGTTGCCGTCGGTCGACCGCCCTCTGGTCGACTCTCTCTCTCTCTCTCTCTTTTTCTCCGATCCCCTGCATCATGACCAGAATGCGCGCCAGATGACAGAGGAGGGCTTGTCTCTATGGCCAACTCTTCAAAGAAACGGAGCGAGGATCTGCCGGAGAACGATCGGCATTATTCTTGGCTGCAACTAACAATCTGATCTGTTTCTACAGCTCATTGTAAATGGTTCTTGTTGTGCCATAGACAAGAGTGGGTTGCCTTGTAACGCAATTGCGGTTTGCTGACAATGATGACGAAAATAGACCACACTGGCAGTGAAGGAACAGACGCTATTGTTATTGTGGAGGAGGAGGAGCAATGGTCTTTGTATTGCTTAGTGAGACGATGGCTGCAGCAGCAAAGGAGGGAAAAAAAAGCGCGTGTGAGTGAATTGGCCCCTATTGCAGGGTGCTGACCGTCACCGCATGACCCTCCCCATTCGTTATTATTACTTCCGTCCCTTTTTTTTTTTATTTGAACTCCTTTTGCTACTACAAACGAACATCATCATCCTGTCAAAGAAACTTGTTGTGCTCGGAATCATCCACAGCCTGTCAGTCTGTTCCTGCTGTCAGCCTTGTTAGCTCCTATTCCTTCCCCCTGAGAACAAACAACCACGGCGTCATTCTTTAGTAGCTGCACCTCTACCGCAGTGTCGGCGCAGTTGTGATGCCATCAATTGGCTGTGGTACAGTTTACACAGATCAAAAGTAAAGGAAGGGTGACCGTTGAATAAGGAGGAAGAGAGAGCCAAAAGGAACGATACGATTGAACGAGGGAGTGGACACGAAAGAGGGACGCGTTGCAGCATATGCGATGATGTCTCCCTTCCCAATTTTATCGCCCGCCCTGAGCTTACAACTCCTTTCTCTCCTTCTTTCATCTCCACTCCCAACTCCCATTCCCATCAATCACCAACAAAACGACAGACACAATGTCGCTCATAGGACGACTTCTCCACCCCCACTATCTGGCCAATGCGGCTATTGCACTCTCATACCCCATCCACCAGATCATCAACCATCCCGACCTTCTCTCCACTGCAAGCTTCGGTGCATACTCGCGCTACCTCCTCCCCGCCATGGCGCTGATCACAATCAAAATCCGAGGCGCCCAGTCTCCTGAAGAACTCGTCAGCGTCATATCTCTTTACCTGAAAGTCTTTTCTCTCTATGGATACTGGGCTGTTTCGTATGAGCCAGTCGAGTTCTTGGGCTCAGACTGGAGCGGACATTGGCGATTTGTCCTCTATCTGCTCGTGTGGACAGGTAATTGCTTTTGTGTGCTATTCAATTGACATCTGATTGTGTAGATCTCAGTTGTGGCTGTTGAGTCTGACCTGCGTTCGTTTCTTATTCCTTATTATTTTTAGTTGTGTTCATTGCACTTCCTCAACCTCCTTATCAAGGCCCCTCCAAGGTTATTTGGCTGGATTCGGCTCAATTGAACTATCTGACAACACCGAGCGAGAAGAAATCAAAGGGCAAGGGACGCGCGGACGACCAGTCAAACCTGAAGAACAGAAATCCAAGCGCAAAGATTGTTGAGTTGAATGAGGACGATGAACCCATGGATAGCGAAGAAGAAGCTGAGAAGGAACAGGAACAGGATCAGGGTCGCCACAGCCATCACCACGAACATGGTGAACACTGCAACCATGATCACGGTGATGGCCTGCTTCACCCACTTCAGAAGAAGACTTCCGATCTGGACCCCAGTCATTATTGGATTATTGCCTTCAACGCGACCTGGAGCTCTCCTTGCCGGTACTTTGAAGCATCACACGCCAATTGCTCCATCAAGTAAGTCAATTGACAACTTTTTTTTTTTTTTTTTTTTTTTTTTGGCACAAGCTTGACTGCAATTAGACCTCTGAAAGCTAATTCTCACTTCCTGGATTATAAATATAGATACGACCGGGTGAATGTGCACTTTGCCAAGATCGACATGGATCTGTTTGTTGATGGCGACGAGATTGCAGAACGCTTCAAGATCAATTTGGCGGCAACAACTCTGGATCTTCCTACACTGATCTTGTTCAAGGACGGCAAGGCGTTGAAGCAACTCCCACCCAAGATTGCAACCAAAGTGGGAGGCGATGTTTTGGGCAAGGTCGGCTGGGACCGATCTGTTTCTTCGGTCGAGTCTGCATTCGAATTGGCCAAACTCGGCACTGGGAAAGAGTCGTTTGTGTAATAGCAGAGGGCCTGGAATGGGCGGAGTGTTTTTTCTTTTCTTCCTCAAGTTGTGCGCCGAGTTCTTCAAGGTTTCCGTAATAATGAAGAAGTAATAATGAAGAATGTAATTAATAATAAAACTGCTGCAATTCCAAAGAAGTCGTCAGTGCGACATTGTTGTTGAGAGCACGAAAGACGCATGAGCAAGTGAATATACCAGTGGTAACTGTGGCCAGCATGGCAGAAAAAGAAAAACAAGAAGAGGGAACAGGGTCTAGTGGCGTTATCGGCGTGCCCGAGATCTATTTACGTCGAGAACAAGACAGAGAGAGAGAGAGAAAGAGAGCATAGTTGCAAACGAGCATTGAGAATAATGACGAGACGGCGCCACATCGTTTACTCTTCGAGCCGATAAAGTTATCCTTTCAGGCGCATTCCATCCGTGAGCCTCATCTGCTGATAATCCCCTTTTTCTTTTCTCCTCTCTTTCCCCTCTCTACAACTTCTTCTCCCCCCTTCCCGTCACTTTCAGCCCTCGTCCTCTCCTCCTCCACCCTCTCCCCTTTAGACCAACCCCTACGTTGCAAAAAAAAGTGACACACCCCCATTCCTTATTCGTCGTCTCGATCACATCCAAACCCACACACTCTTCTCTCTCCTGCATTCCCATTACATTCATACACCTAACCACAAACCAAACGACGACAATAGAGCAAACGCATCCAACTTACTTCGAATGGAAGATTCAGCAGCACCGCAACAGAACAACAACGAACAAAAAACACGAGACAACTTTGACACAGTACCAGATACTTCCCAAACACCCATGATCCGCTCAGAGATTGACGCCGCGACCGAGCCTTCTTCCCAGTCGAACAGCAACAACAGCAGCAGTGGGGATGATGCATTGAGGATACGAGATAGCGCCGACAACACAGCCTCTGCCTTGGGCTTGGTGATCGAGGCGAGCGAGGGACAACGTCAACAGGGACCGGGAGTAGGCGGTAGCGACGGCGGCGAAGTCAGCCCCAAAAGTGCCAACCAAGTGACGGTTGTGGGCGACAAGGCTGTGCGGTCAGACATCGCGCTCAGTGTCCTGCAGCAGCTGTACCTGCCCGAGCAGACTGACGCCTACCGCAAGGTCAACCTCCAAGACAAGACGCTCTCGTTCCCTCATTCGCCGTCTTTCCCGTCGGTGAAGATGCTGCTCAACCACGAACGGAAACGCATTCTTGTCACAGGAGGAGCGGGGTTTGTCGGATCCCACTTGGTTGACCGATTGATGCTGATGGGCCATGAGGTGATTGTGCTCGACAACTTTTTCACAGGAAGCAAGAGGAATGTCCAGCACTGGCTTGGTCACCCGCATTTCGAGCTCATTCGCCACGACGTGGTTGATCCCTTTATGATCGAAGTCGATCAGATCTACCACCTCGCCTGCCCAGCCTCGCCACCTCACTATCAATACAACCCTATCAAGACTGTCAAGACCTCTGTCATGGGCACGATTAACATGTTGGGACTCGCCAAGCGGACCAAGGCGCGCTTCCTCTTGACTTCAACCTCCGGTGAGCATTGGGACCTTGTCTTCTTTTTATATTTACGCGGAGCATTTTTCATGTCGACCTCTTTTTCATTTCCGCTGGGGGAGCGAGAGGAGCCTCTTATCTCTTTCTGATGTTCTTACTAACTTTTCTGCACGATGATGACGGTCAACCTTTTTTTAACTTTTTTTTTTCTTTTTCTTCTAGAGGTGTACGGAGATCCGGAGGAACATCCGCAAAAGGAGACATATTGGGGCCACGTCAACCCAATTGGACCGAGAGCCTGCTACGACGAAGGAAAGCGCGTTGCCGAAACCCTAACTTACTCGTACATGCAGCAGGACGAGGTCGATGTCCGGGTTGCCAGGATCTTCAACACATTTGGACCCAGGATGAACGAGAACGATGGCCGTGTGGTCAGCAACTTTATCATGCAGGCCCTGCGAGGGGACGAGCTGACAATATATGGCGATGGACAGCAGACACGATCGTTCCAGTATATCCACGACCTGGTGGATGGACTGATTTTGCTGATGAACCGGAACTACAAGGAGCCAGTCAACTTGGGCAACCCCGAGGAGTTCACCATCCGCGATTTTGCAGAGATGATCCGGAGCGAGATTAATGCCGATGTCGACATTATGAGTCTGCCACCGACCGAGGACGACCCCCAGAGGCGACGACCGGATATCGGGAGGGCTCAGAAGTATCTTGGCTGGAACCCCAAGTTCTCTGTCTACCAGGGTATCCGAGAGACTGTGCAGTACTTCAAGAAGACCAAGAACGAGCAGGCATGGTACACTGACTAGTTAAGCACCCGCATGCCAGATCATTTCTCATGCTCATTTCCTCGCCTTTTTTCTCTCATGGCATACTGCTTACACCCTATCCTCACTGTAGTTTCTAGCTTAGTCACCCTTATACATGTGCAAAATGCAGCAGCTACACTCTACAGCGTACGAAAAGCAACTGGAAGAAAAGGGAGATGCGCCGTCGATTAGAGAGAGTGCAAGTCACAAACGTTTGAGAGGAATGGATGGCCTGTTCTTTTTTCTTTCACTTTTCGTTCCTGAAATTTGTGTTCATTATTCATTCCTTGTCAACACATCTCTCTTCATCATCTCACCACGATGGCAGCAGGAATCAGGACGCCTCATCCATATTACCCACAGGACCTCGTCCTCGACCACTACGTCCCAAACACCAACACTGTCTTCCACACTCTCGTCTACGTCTCTATCGGCTTCCTCGCTATTCTCGTTCTCACTATCCTTCTCGGATACCCTCGTCGCGACTCAACCCTAGCACCCCTTTCTGAAAAGTTTGCCTTCTTTTGGTTCATCCTCTGTGCGAGTCTACATCTTGGGTTTGAGGGGTATTATGGGATCTATCATGCGACCTTGGCAGGGGATAATAGTCCTGTTGCTCAGGTGTGGAAAGAGTATGCGATTAGTGATTCGCGGTACTTGACGAGTAATTCTTTTGTCCGGGTCGTTGAGGCCATTACCACCGTAAGGTTTTTCTTGCTTCTTGAGATTATGATTTTTTGTAACTTTGGGGTTTTTTGGTCTCAAGTGCGAAGGAAAGTAGTGATCTTGACGCGTATTTTCACCTCCTTCTCCTCCTTCTCTTCTTCTTCTTCTACTTAGTTGGCGTGGGGTCCATTGTCAGTGCTCTGCGCATGGTCCCTCTATCACAACCGACCCTCCCGCCACATCGCCCAATTGATACTTGCCCTGGCCCACATCTACGGCTGTACACTTTACTACTGCACCTCGATCTTTGAGGGGTCCCCGTATGGTGATCCTCATCCTTATTATAATTACCTGTATTTCTGGTTCTTTAATTCGTTCTGGTTGTTGGTCCCTGTTTATTTGCTGTGGGGGTCTGTTGGTGTGCTTTTGAAAGCTGTTGAGGCAGGGGAGAAGGAGAAGAGTAAGACGAAGAAGCTTCAATAAAGACATTTGCTGTTGTGTATATTAAATGTAGCGCGTTTATTATGTGATATGGACAATGGTGAAGCTAAGATTGATGAAGGAAAATAATAGTCGAAAGAGGAAAGGAGATAATTACAATAGGATGGTAAAAGTGAACTCGAGTCAAAAAGAGAAGAATTATTGGGAGGCGGTCAAGGGCTTGCGAGCGACGAAAAAGTACATGGGCGTGAAAATACCCAAAAGCGCACCCTCAAGAACAGAATCGGCAGCAGTCTGCAGGATAGTCGACACCTTGGCACTACCAGGAGCGACCAAACCCAACGACTCCAAAGTCCTGACCATGTACGTTGTCGCGGCACGTCCAGCGGTCGTGGTCCGGAGGACCGTCAAGTAATCCCAGAAGGCATTCGCCTGACGGATATCGCCTTGGAGAGGGTAGTACCACTTGATATTGTCGTCGGTCTCGCCCATGTCCTCGTTCCTCTCGATCGTGAAGCCGACGGTTTTGAGGGCCTTGAGACAGTCCTTGACGGTGAGCATCTGGGCGATGCCGTTGCCGACTTCGAGGCCGCGGACGATGCGGAGGTGGTCCGCGTTGGTGGGGTCGTACTTGTCGGTCATGACCCATTCGTAGCATCCAAAGACTCCACCGGGTTTCAGGATCCTGTAAGCCTCGCCATAGACACCTTCAAGAGTCGAGGCATGGACGGTAGCCTCGATGGCATAGCAGGCGTCGTACGAGTTATCGTCAATGGGCATGTTCATGAAATCGCCCTTGACGAAATCCGAGCGCTTGTCAAGCCCCGCAGAGACGGCGTAGCGTCTGGCACGGGCGATCTGGTAATCGTTGTTGTTGAGACCGGTGATGTGGGCACCGGTGAAATGACCAATCTCACGGGCGGGTCCACCGACTCCACAGCCAATGTCGAGGACGCGGTGGTGAGGCTGGATACCCATGTTGGCGGCAAGGTAGTGTTCATGGCGGGCGATGGCCTGGTGGAAGGGCTCGCGAGGGTGGAACCTGCAAAAGTGAAACGATGTTCCCCAACCGTACTATATCGGGAAAAGTTAAAAAGGAGGGGAAGACTAAGGATTAGGATCTTGATTGTTGCGAATCGCGCATTGGGCGTTGTTTTGTTTGTTTTGTTTGTTTGTTTGTTTGTTTGTTTGTTTGTTTGTTTGTTTGTTGTTGTTGTGTTTGTCTCGAAAATAAAAGAGAGCCCTGTCATTGTCTTTACGCGTTATTTTGATTGTTGATCGTGGAAAATCATCCCACCCCATCCACATCCATAAGCTCTTTTTGTATCCCTCTGTATCCCTCTGTCCCTTTCTCCCCCTGGCATGCCAAGAACAAAGAGAGGGACAGAAAGTGTGTGTGAGAGAGAGAGCGAAGAGGGCGTTGTAATACATCTAGCTCCTGCAGAAGAGATGCAAGGGGAGGCCCATTACGTGATGATGCGGGTCCTCTCACCTCCTTTCCCTTGCTCTCTCTTACTGTCAGATCAGGGGGTTGAACACATCCAGAGAAGACGTCCACGATGGTGGCATCCCGCAATCCATGCCAACACAATAACAAAAAACTCTGGAAATCCTCTGTCCTGTCCAGGGTTCCCGATTCCCGCCTAAATCTCATACACCATACCATTCATCCCCACACTTAAAAAATGAAATACAAAATACACTCCTTCCTTACCTCATAGAAATCAGTCGCGAGGTCATAAAACGAATTCGCCACAGCCTTATAAGCAGTCTGTCGTTGAGCTTTGTCCTTCTCCGTCTCCAGCTCTGGTCGATCCTCCTTCCAGTTGTCAAGGTACTTGTCGACGACGGCGGGTTGGAAATCACGGTCCTTCTTGTTGAGCTTGGAGAGGAAGGAGTCTTGGTGGTGGTTGTCCTGGAAGGTATGGCCGTGGAGGGTCTTGGATTTGGCCAGGTCTTCTTGGTTGCGTTGGGTGATTACCGCGGTTGAGAAGGAAGTTACTGAGGTTCTCGAGGGGGCCATTGCGATGAGAGAGGTTGTTGGATTGGTTGGGTTGAGAGGGAGAGGGTGGTATAGATGGTTTGAAGATGAAAGTTGTCGAAGGTATATAGGAATGCTGAGGAAAGGTAAAGAGGAGAAACGGAGAAGAATGGAGCGGGGAAGCGTTTGAACAGGGAGATGAGAAGAAAAAGGTTGATTGAATGAAAGCGAAGAAAGGGGAGCAGAAAGGAAGGCCCTTTTATAGAGAACACGCTGCGCGGTGAATAATGAGGGTGAATCGGGTGAGGAGGATAGAAAGAGATCCTAGTCATTCGAGCGGAGTGCCAGCCAAAGTTCAGTCCGGTTCATTCTTGGATTGAACGAGGGTCAGAGCAAAGGGCTAACCATGAAAGGCAGTTCTGGCGTGTCAGTGTGTGTGTGTGCCTAGTAGTGTGTGTGAGGCATGTAAAAAAGGGATGACATCGTCCAGTTGGCTCGCCGCCCTTTGAAAAAAAAAATTGACACATTTTTCTTCAATTGCATTGGTCGGGTAAGCTGCTTCCGGAGGGAGGGAGACAGAGAAGGGTAAAGTCATCCCGCCCATTTCTTCCTTCTCCCGGTTATCATTGACAACAACAACCCTGTTTTGCATGAACTTTTTCTTTTGTTCAACAAAAACAGGAGTATGTGTGTTGGATTTGCAATGGTTCGTGGATCCAAATGCCACCATTGATTGCTCCATCTCTACCTACAAAACTACTTCGCCGCACCTCTTTGCAATCTTTTTGATGGCGTCTTCTTATCGATCCATCAAACAAAATACAACTGTGCAATGTAATCTTGACCCTCACCCTGTCCTTACAATTGCGCAAGCATGCAAAGAGTACAAGCACAAGGCAAACTGGAGAAGGGTAGGAATAATTGCAAATGTCATCATCACCTGAGGATACCTTTTTACTTCTGCTGACAAAATCAAGTTGACTAATGGAAGAAACGTCCATTCGCCGCCACCATTCTCGTCGCTTCTCGACGAAGAAACCAACTTGCTTTCTTTCTTGTATGAAAACTCTCCTTGAAGGGAAACCTGAGGGATTGGTGTCTTACTCATCATCCAAACCCTGGAAACCAGGGAGCTTCCCCGCCCACTTCACCCAGCCCGCCAGCCAGGTAACTTGCCGTTTTCAATTAACACCAGGAAAAATATATAATGCCAGCCTACATGTGGGATATCCATTAGTTGTTGTTGTGGTTGTCAAATGCCTGCAATGGAGCCGTTTTTTGTCTTGTCTGTGGTTTTTTTTTAAAGCTATGGCTCGGTTGCCACCAAAGTAGCAAGCATCGAGGGGCCCTTGCAACCTCCATTCCTCATTCGGAAAGAAAAAAAATAAAGAGCACGACAACCGTTCAAAAAGGTTGGGCGTCGTTGAGGTCGATGGTCGTACATGTACTATACATGGCGTCGCACACAAAAAAATAAAAACGGTCCTTCCATTGGAAAAGAAAATAAAAACTGGGTGTGTGTGGTCGTTGCAGGTTAGAAAAACATCCAACCCCCCTCCTTCTTCCCTTTTTCATTTTTTTTTCCTTCTTTTGAAGGGAGCAAGGGGTGCGATAGGAAAAATCGAAAGCAATTTGCTGCTTTCTTTCTTTCTTTCTCGACTATCCTCCGATGGTTGCTCTAACACCCTCGCTTTCGCAGATCAATTTTTCTACTTTCTCAATTGAAGGACATCGCGGGTTGAACACAGAAACGCCATCACAATAACAAAACATAAATAGGGAGCGAGAGCTCAGCTCTCTTCTCAAGCACGTCGAAAAAGGAAACGATGGCAGTAACGACCTCTTTTCGAGAAAATGAGAGCTCGTTTCTCGAGTGTCAAAGGTCATTGTCTCTTTCCTTACCTTGCGGCGGAGATCAGTATGCGCAGTCAGATTGAGAGAGAAAAAAAAAAGCTGAGAAAGAGAAGAGAAAAGAACAATATAAACACGCCAAGCTTGCCCCTCACCGCCGTCCACGACGAAATCGCTATTTCAACTACCAGCAAAATGAACACATGAAGCTCTCCATCGAAGGCGGTCCCCGACTCGAACAAAAATACTTTGTCTTTCTCTCTCCCACACTCATGCAGCCATGTCTCTCATCTGAATAGAAGAAGTGGGGTGATTCTCCTTCCTCCCCCACTGCGCCCAGTGCAACAGTGCAACAGACAAAAAAATAATCACGAATCTCAAACAAAGGGTGAGGAGGGATAAAGTTCACGTCCCTGGACTAAATAGATCGCCGTCATCGATACGATACATACTTGGATAGAATACACAAAACCACCGGGATCCTCTTATCCGAAAACAGAGGTTTTATTCTCTCCATTGCCTCCATACCCCGCAGCTTCAACTTCAAGTTCAATTTCAGCTCGGCCATGACATATCAATTGTACCGCGTCGATCTTGGATCCTTTGGAGCTCGCGCTATTTGCCTTTACTCGTCAATTGCATTGCGATACATTTTCACTCGCGTGGCAAAAGAAAAACAAAAAGCGACACCGTGAAGGTTGGGCTGAAGTCGTACTTGGTATTTCCTCTTCGTCCTTTCATGTCCAACCGACCTTTTTCGAGAAAAATAACTCGTCATATTGTCATGAGTGCAGTGGCTAGAAAAAAATAATCTCCGACGAATGCAGAAAAACAGCGCATGCCAAAACAATTACCCGCACAGGACCCGCTTTATGGCGTACGAGCCGCTCTTCCATCGCACCACAATCACCCGTCCAATACGAACACACACACACGCGCGTAGAATACAATAGTAATAGTTTATGGCGATGTTCGCGTCTAATTGATCTCAAGTGCGGTCTTCATCCTCTCGTAGACTGTAAACGAAATGGCTGCCAGCGGCGTGACCTTGAGGTACCCAATGCTCAATCCAACAAAGAATCCACGCACTCCCTTTGCTATGTACAAACGCCTTGCCGTCTCCAACATGCCAACAAACACCTTGGAGTCCAACGCACCGGCAACCTGCATCTTGCGGCGGACAACTTCCAGCGGATATGACGCCGTCTGAGAAACAGCTCCAGCGATACCTCCACACGTCAACTCAGCCACCGTGCGGAGCTCTGGCCGAGAATAGTCGCCATTCTTGTCGGGCAGGCCTCTGTGCTGGTTGGGCTTGAGTGTCCAGGGGAGCTTCTCGCGACAAAATTCTTGCATCACATCGTGTGTAAAGAACGATGCTCCTGCGTAAGGGATCATGCCTGCAACCGAGCACAAGAATCCGCGGTAAAAGTTGGAAATATTGAGCGCTGGCATCCAGCTCATGTTTAGTGGTCTGTTTAGTCCTGCTGGCTCGTTGTAAATCTTGCGGACAAGTGAAATGTATGGCGTGACCTTAGTCTCATAAGCAAGGCGCACTCTGATCAAGTCTAATGGGTATGTAAAAAATACAGACGTAACTCCTAGAAGCGAGATATGGAAGAAAATCAAGCACCAGTGCGTCAGTCAATTGTTTCCTTGCTAGAGGCGGACAAAATGGTGCGCGGTTGCAATTGGTTTCTTACCGGCCATGGATCCAGCCACAAACTTCTTGCCAGGCGTCTCATCTCTTCTAGCAGGCATTAATAACTGGAAACGCCACATCACAGGTTAGTGTTCGGTTCATATTTTCATATATATGCCAACGCAGTATTGACTTCACGTTTCCACGAGTACTTACACTGCGGTATTGCTCGTAGGCCATAAACTTGATGGCGGCATATGGAAAGATTCTAAGCACAGTAGCGGAGTTCCCCTGAAACAGACCGTGGACTCCTCCTGACTTGTAGATGTCCCCGCCAGCCTTAAAAACACCAGTCCATGTGCCTATTATCGTATCGAAATAATTACACTCTGGTTAGGCACCTTCTTTTATGTCCAAGCCCACGAAGGCAAGCACCAAGGATCTGCAATTAGTCCACAACAGCGATGGTTTCAGACCCTGTGCCTCCTCCTGACAGTACAATCCCAGTTGAGTCTAAAAGCAAAGAGTCTCTTATTTCCTTGGTGTAATCCGCAGCCGAATCTGTCAGTTGCTCGAAGTGCGGACCTGAGTGCATGACAAAGGTCAAAGTAACATGGCTAAAAGAGATATGTACCTGCGTATTTCTCGAATTGAGGGTTGCTGGTCTGGAAGAGAATCTTGACACGATCGAGAGGAGCGACTGCTGTCTTGGCCTACAAGTTTAAAGAGAGCGAATGAGAGGAGTCAGCGACTATGTTTGAATGTATGTTCGTTTATTAGAGCCAGCTAATGCTGCTGCCTTTCGGAACCTGTGACAAAATAACAAAGAAAAAGAAAACATTCGAGCCGAAAAAGGAAAACGACCAGCCGTGGGGGAAAAGTAGATGGAATGTGGGAAACGAAAACGTGCTCCACGGTTAACAGTTTTGTTGGGTATTGTTGTTGACCCCGTGGGATCGATCCTTCTCCTGCTATATGAACAATACTTTGGATCCTGTCCTGCAGTTACTACTCTTGTTCAGGTGCTGCTTCTGTTTCAATGATGTCACACTTCCTGTGGGGAATAGCTGTATTTGTTCTTTTTTTTGTCGGTTGAGCAAAATGCGCAAGGGCAATTCTTCCTTCTTTCGAGCGATCCGTTGGTCTGCGCAACCACAAATAAACAAACAAAACGGTACCATACTCCTATTGCTAACTGTGAATCATCCTGAGATTATATCGGCTCCTTCTTCCCCTCTTTCCCTTTAAAAAACATCCAGCAACAAAAATAATAAAAGTCGCTTACAGTGATACCGGCAATTCCTCCTGCAAACATGGTCCTTGCAATGTAGTCCAACGACTTTGTGTCCCGGACCACGGCGATCTTCTTGTGCCGAGATGCATCGTTGGCAGATTCATCAGCGGTAGTAGCCACTCGTCCTGATTCCTTGCTCCATGCAGTCTTCGGATTCGAATCGGTTGATTCGGCAGACCCGAGTCCTGCAACCGCTGCGATGGACACGGTGTTGCTGGTAGTGGTAGTGGTGTGTTGGTGGACGCTGCTAGGGCTGTTATTAGATTGAAGTCTACTCAAGGTCGAGCCAGAGCCAGTTGAGGATAACGTAGCCATCAAAAAATAAAAGGAGAGAGACTACAGACGGACAGACGGAGAGAAAGTATTTTTCAGAAGAGAAATTGCACGAGGTGTGATGTTTGTTCCAAGCCGGAGTCCAAAACTTGTTGAAAGGGATGAGCCGTGGGAGATTGTGCGGGGTGCAGCGATTGATCCGAAAGAGGAAAAGAATGCGGAGTCAAGACTGCCGAAGGATGGAAGGGAGAGGTCCGAAAGGGACAGGTGAGTGAGTGAGGGGAGGAGAAAGAGAAGAAGAAAAAAGGGGAAAAGAACAAAGAACAGTGTAAAGAAGAAAGATAGAAGGAATGAAGGTTGTGTCCGTGGCACTTCGTGGAAAAGGAAACAAAGACTGGAAATGTACTAGACAGAAATCCTGTAAGTACAGTCGATACTTCGTGGAAAAGAAAAATAAAAAAACCTCCATGTGAAATCCGTGCAGCCCTTAATGGTAGCTGGGTCATATCTCATATCCCTTCGACCGTTGCCAGTCACAAGGATAACTTGGTAAGACCTGTTCGGGGTCTTTACAATTGTGAAGGTTAAACGCTGGGCCGAAGGAGAGAGATCAGTCGAGACTGATCGAAGAGCCATTGCTCAGCGATCAGTGCAATGTTGTGAGCTCCAACCGAGTCCCTGTTGATCCATCGACTACAGGCGAGGCAGACACAAGATCTTGAAGTCGGCTTTGCCATCCTGGAGGTCTCTCCTCGGGCAGTGCAAGCTGGGCAAACGGTCGAGGACAGATATTCATCAACCAAAACGACAATGTGGCCATGTGCTCGCGCCTACGTTAGATAGAAGATTGACGGTTATTGAATGGTCCCATAGCATAACGTTGACAATTGAGCAAGTAAATAATTGTTTGTCGCGGCATAATGACGGTACCTTCTTGGCAAAATGACTCTGCAATGTCTCATGCTTGGAAGCCAAGTTTATCCCCGTTCGAAACTTGCCGTTGCCAATAGCAATAAGACACGGCTCCGGTCCACAAAAGCGCAGGATTGCAGCCACAGCTATATCCAGTTCGGCACGAACGGCTTTCTTCTCCTCCCAGGCGGCTTTTTTCATGCGTAGTGAGCCTTCAAACTCCCGAAGCAAGGGCTCTGTAGACACTCTGACGCGAACAGCATCCTCGAAATCCTCCACGGTTACTTGGCCTTTTGGGGGCAAACAACTTTCGATCTCCTGGATGGACTGTACGTCTGTCCTGGCTCCCTTTGGATCGACACCCCTCGCCCAAATTCCTCCATCGATACTCTCGCCCGGCACCACTTGAAGCTTCCTGTTTTTGACTCTCTCTCTTTCGGATCGCGCTGCAGTGGTGGGAGAGTATAAAGCTGCTCGACGTATCATTAGGTTGGTCACAGGTGGATCCCCAGGGTCTGGTGCTCCATTCCACTCACGTTCGTGCTCGATCAGACATAAAGCCGCCGTCACCAACTCCCCAGGGTCCCACCCGCGACACTTTGGTATTTTTCCCTGGAATATCCTGGCGATAGTGTCCTCATCAGGCAAGACATTTTCGATACGCATGACTGGATCCAGGGCTCCATGTGGCTCGTGTTTGGTGTCGTAGGCGAGGACCTGCAGCTCCAAGCCGTTACTTCGAATCATATTGTTCAAAGCATAGCGTGATTTTGTACTGGGGTTGGCGGGAAACTCTGGTGGCGATTTCGATTCTAAAACGGTTGAAGGGATACGACTACGAGTCACTGGACTGTAATCGGACAACAGTCAATCAGAACGCAGTTGACAATTCTAAGAAATAACAAGTCGTTCGATATTTTATTCCTATGATAATTGACTTGATATAGTATCCTTGTACGCTGCTCCTTGCGCTCGTTCGGATCCTGTGTGGCGGCTCCTGTCGATTGTTGCCTCGGCTGTCCAGGGAAAAGATTGCAAAATGTGCGTTCGACTCGGCTCCCGATTGTCGGGCTTAGACACGTCTCTGGGGTGGAGGTGGTGGTGGTGCTCCGCGCCTGATTGTAAAAAAAAATATATAAAAAGGTCGAGGAAAAGAGAAAAAAGACGAAACAGACGTCCAGTTCCCGAACAGAAAAAAGATCCGTCAATGTTGGTTTTCGTCATATCGAGCAGCCATTCTTCTTCCGGTGTTACCCACTACTCGCCATTGCCACTGATCCATTTTGATCCTTATTGATCCTTTTCGCTTCGCCACTGTCCCATGATATCCGACCGTTCCAGCGCCAAATTCCCAAGAACAAAACAATGGCTGTCCATTTTTTTATCATCTAAAAAGGAGCCTTAAAACAAGGAGCATATAATGCCCTACATTGAAAGCAAGTCGAAGAAGACTTGAAGCACAAGTGCTTGTTCAAAAGAAATAAAGAAAAAACGCGCAATTGGCAACAGACAAAGCAGAATTCAAGACGATGAAAAAACAAAAACAGGGCTGTAGTTCTTACCCATAGGGGCTGGGAGAGCGACCACGGCCGCCATCACGGTAGTAGGGTGAAGGGGAGCGACCACGGTATCCACCGTGGTAGGGAGACCTCTGACGGTAACCGCCAGGGGCGCCGTAACCACGGTCAGGGGATCTGGAGTAGGCACGTCCGCGGTAGCCATAGTCATAAGGATCCCTACCATAGGGTGCAGGAGAGCGACCACGACCACCATAACGGGGAGGTGGGGGAGGTCCGCGACGGTAATCGCTATACGAGGGTCCTGAACGTCTGGTGTCAGGTCCACGGCTAACAAAAAGGGACGTTAAATAATTTGTCAGCACTTGACATTGAAAGAGATAAAAAAAACACCGAGGAGGCGCCGCAGGTCAATCATAGAGACCCACCAGTAACGGGCCAAGTGTCCGCTGACACCGCACTTGAAGCACTTCCCGGACTTGACATCCATGCCCTTTTCGCTTGCCTCGGGGCACTCGCGGGCCCAATGTCCAGTTCCGTTGCAAAGGAAGCATCCACTGCCAGGTCCTCCAGAGCGCCTTGACCATTCGACCGTGATTCTACTTCCATCGAGCTCGTATCCGTTCAACTTGCTGACTGCATCATCCGCATCACGAGGATCCTCGTACTCGACAAAAGCAAATCCGCCGTGCTTCAGCTCGACCGAGACAACACGACCATACTTCTCAAACTACACATTAGAAGGAATAAACACATGTGTTGTTAATACCCGTTCAAACTTTCTCGTTGAGATATCATATACAAACAAAAAGAAGATACTTACAAGCTCCTCAACGTCTCTGCGCTCAGTCCTTGGGCTGAGGTGTCCGACGTAGACGGTTGTGTGGGTGCTTGCTGGTGGAGGCGCACCGCTGTCGGCTAACATATCCAGAGAAAACAATAGCAAGTGGGCGGATTAGATTTAGTTGCTGCGCAAGTGATGTTGTGTTGTTATGTCCGTTGTCCGCTGTCCATGGTCCAGAGGGTGGCGTATGGGTAAAGGATTTGTACCTGGTGGCAGTGGTGGGGGTGGGGGTGGGAGAGACATTGTGTTTGTGTGAGTGTGTTAATGGGTTTGAAGTGAGAGGGAGAGAGAAAGAGAGGACGAGTCTGCTCACGCCCCTCTCCCAAAAATACAAAATCAGACCAAAGCTAAGCCACAAGTATCAATTTCGAAAGGGACACCTTCTTCCTTCGAGTATTCGTCTTCACTCACCTACTATCTACCCTATCTAACAAAACCAAAGCAAACCTATACTCAAAAAAAAAATGACGGCGCGTCGCAAATCCGGTGGCGCCGACCCCAAGTTCTACGAGGCCCCCAGCACCATCGCCCAGTTCGAACGCATCAAGGACGACCTCTCGCGCGATCTCCACCAGAGCAGGCTGGGATCAGACATCACCATCACCGCAAAGGACCTCGCCCAGTTCATCCATGCACTCCAACAATTCCAGGAGGACGTCCTCGGGTCCAACAGCTCGCAATACCTACCCACTGCACGACCTGCTCGCATTCCCGCAAAGATATTCCGCACAGATACTATCACCACAGGATCGCCTCTTTACAAGGCACTCAAGGCTGCCTATGAATACCGACTCGCTCAGGGTTGGCGCCGATGGGATCTCGGGAGCATGGCAAGGAAGACACAGAATGTAGAGTTGGTGGCACACATTCGGAATCACCTCGTCTCTGAGGGAGTTATCAAGAACCCTGTTGTTACCTTTGACAGCTCTGTCCCTGAGGATGAACGGGAGAAACTTGAGTTATCCCTTGAGCGGCTAGGAGGTAAGCTCCAGTTTGCATGCCATTGAAGATCCACGATACGCTTTGTCTGCTGTTGCGGCGGAGACTAACGTTCGCCAAAATGTCCGTTTTCGCTCGTTCTAGGAACTGCTACTAACGACATCCGACACGCCACACACGTCGTCCATCATTCGTCGGAGGAGCTGGAGAGTCCCGAAGGAGAGGAATGGTTGCGCACACTGGAGAAGAAGGATGGCAAGGTCCTCGTCCACTACTGGTACTACCCCGATTCATACGATGAGTGGCTGCTGGAGACCACCAGCGAGTTTATGGATCCCGAGCCAGTGCCTGAGCATTCCGGAGCGTGGAGCATTTCGACACGCTGGATCAAGGACAGTGATAAGTACAATGAGTGGATGAACGAGGAAGACTATGAGCCATCTTCCGATCAAAACAGCGACCAGGAATCAGCCGCTGGATCACCTGCACCTTTTACACAGCGATTTGGTGGCAAACGCGACAACTCTGAAAAGGAAGAGTCCCACCCCAAGAGAGTCAAGCGGAGCTCGTCGTTAACGCCCATGGATATCCAGCCCGACCACCCAGGCCTTCAGGTCGTGTCGTTGGAGGACAACGCGCCTCGTGGACGAGGATCAAAGAAGAACGAGTACGAGCCCATCGTTGGAGGAGAACTGGCCAACATCCCAGTTCATCCGTCGGATCAATTGGTCGCACCGTCAACAGCAGAGTCCTCGGAGAATATTGCGATTGATGGCGGTGGAGGTGCAGAGCCGATGGAGCTGGATGCGAAGGACGAGGCAGGGTCGAGCAAGGACATGGATACACAAGAAACGGCGTCGCTGGAACAGGACACAGCCGTGCCAGAATCAACCGATGCTTCTACGCTTGCAGAGGATGAAAGACTTCGGTTAGAGGAGGAGGCCAACCGCTATCTCTCGCAACAAGCGCAAGAAGTCATCATCCCCTCATACTCGGCTTGGTTCTCTCTCACCAAAATTCACGAGATCGAGCAAAAGTCGCTCCCAGAGTTCTTTACCTTGAAGAACAGGAACAAATCGCCGTCTGTTTACAAGGAATACCGCGACTTTATGGTCAACACCTATCGCCTCAACCCATCCGAATACCTCACCGTTACGGCTTGCAGACGGAACTTGGCAGGAGATGTGTGTGCCATCATCAGAGTACATGCTCTCTTAGAGCAATGGGGTCTTATTAACTACCAGGTACATGCCATTCTTTATGTTTGTTTTGCATTGTCAAACGTTCAAGGGCCGTGTTCCTAATCTCGTACTTCTTGCACGCATGAATCTGTGTTCCAGGTTGACCCCGATACCCGTCCTTCGACTGTCGGACCATCATTCGTTGGCCATTTCCGGGTCACAGCCGATACACCTAAGGGGCTCCAGCCCTTCCAACCCAGCACATCCTCACCATCAACAACAAAGCTAAACACCGACATTACGACACCAGGCGCTACGAAAGTGGACATTAACCTCGAACTCCGTCGAAACATCTACACGCCTGGGCCAACGCCTGTGGCATCAGAGAGCGATGAGACGGCAGAGAAGAGGCAACAGTTTAGCTGCTTCACATGTGGTAATGACTGTACCAAGAACCGATACCACAGCATCCAGACTAGGAACTTTGAGCTTTGCTCTAACTGCTATTTGGAAGGTCGTTTCCCGTCGACCATGTCCTCTGGGGACTTTATTCGGTTCCAGTCTCAGAGCTACAAGCAGTCTTCCGATGAGCAATGGACGGACCAGGAGACTTTGCTGCTGCTGGAGGGACTAGAGTTGTATGACGAAGACTGGAACCTAGTCGCCGAACATGTCGGTACCCGTGGCCGAGAGCAATGCATTCTGCACTTTTTGCAGCTCCCCATCGAAGATCCCTATCTTGGAGGAAACACGGAGCGCGACCTTGGATCCCTTCAGCATAACAGAGTGCCGTTCAGTGAATCTGAGAACCCGGTCATGAGCGTCGTTGCTTTCTTGGCGAGCGTTGTCAACCCTGGTGTGGCCGCTGCTGCTGCCCAGAGCGCATTGAAGGAACTTGCGTTGGCGACCAGGAGTGCACGGACAGAGGCAGAGAAGACAGAGGAAGCCGGTAAGCGTCAGAGCAAGACCACGGATGAAAAAGGCGAGTCAAGCGAAGCGATGGATATGGATGCAGACATGGTCAAAGCCGCGGGCGTCAAGGAGGAAGGTGCAGTGACTGGAGGCGATATTGCAGGTATCCCTCGGTCGACTCTCGAAAAGGCGGCGGCGGCGGCCCTGGGGTCAGCTGCAGTCAAGGCCAAATCTCTTGCCGATTACGAGGAGCGTGAGATTCAGCGGTTGGTCACAGTTGTAGTTGAGATGCAGCTCAAGAAATTGGAACTCAAGCTGCAGCAGTTCGAGGAGCTGGAAAACGTCCTCGATATGGAGAAGGGCGAGCTCGAGCGCCAACGGCAGCAACTGTACTTGGACCGACTGGCGATGAAGAAGAGTATCATGTCGATGCAGGAAAAGATGATCCTGGCACGGCAGACTGGCAACCCACAGGTGTTTGCAAGCGTAACAGTTCCTCCTGGCGGTGTAGGGGGCACAGGGATGTCTTTCCAAAGCGACAGCAGCAGCACGGCCCTTCCAACATCAACATCAGCAACATCAACGATAGCGTCAACACCTACACCACAACAAGGAGAAGGGGTCGGACCACTGAGTCGCGACAAGGTTGCCGAAGGAGTTGTCATGTTGCCCCTTCCATAAACTTGCTTTTTTTTTTCTTTTACACATTCTCTCTGTTCAACCGATTGTCGTGTGCACCTGCCATCCTTGTGGTCCTCTCGTGTGAAATGGTATGTACCCATGCAATTTCCTCCGCACCGTCTCACCTCGACAAAGATCTTGTATATAACATGCAACGAATGCGTGGGAGCGGTTTCGAGCTGCATGTTTTTCTTTTATTTTTGCTCTCACATACACATACAAAAAAGGTCGCTTCCGCCTTTCTTTCGTTCCGTCCTTCCTATTCCCGACTACCTTTGCAATTGGCTGTACTTTTTGGTCGGGTGGGAAGCAAAAGAGTAATAACAAGATATGTGTTTTTCATGCAACTCGTCGCACAAAGACAGGTGACAGGGAAGTTGGGGAAGCACAGACCCAAAAGAGGGGGAAGAACAAAAGAACGACACAACACCACCAAGTGTTCGTCGTTGTTGTTGTTGGCAATTTTTCCTTTTCACAAACCGAAAGACCAAGACCCAAGACCAAGACCCAAGCGAGAGACCTTTGTCGATGGTGGGATGGAAAGAGATGGAAGGTAAGGGATGGCACTAGATTGTACAATAACGCCCACGCCCCCCTACTTCCTTTGCCTGTCCCATCCCAACTCATATCGCTTCGAGTGGTCTTTGTTTCTCCTATTAAGAGAGCGCCCACAAAGGCAAGCCAGCAAACCAAAGACAACAACGACCCGGCTAGACAATTCAAGAGTATCATCCGATGGCAGTTGACTCTTTTATGTCTGTAGGTGTGTTCGAGCAAAGAAGGAGTAGTGGAGAAGGAGGAGGAGGAAGAGATCAATTGGGGATGGTGTGGAGAGAAGTTAGGGTGGGATGGGGCAAACAGGTGGTTGGTCTATTGTCCCTTGCATTTTTTTCGTTTTTGCCTCCTTCCCTGAGGATTTCCCAGTAAAAGAGACAGAAGACGAGGGTCAGCCTTGCGTTGGGAGTATAGGAGGCAGTGGAAGTAAGCTTGTAGTATAGTACATGAGTAGTAGTATTCTCATCAGTTGGCGCGACAGTGCTATGATTTTTTCCCCACACTTTGATGGAAAGGGAGTTCGAGTCACCTTCTGAACACACGACCAACCTCATCCGTCAAGGTTCGCATAAAAGGACGTTTTTTCTTCTCTTGAACGACCTCTTCTTCTCTTCTCTTGTCTTCCTTCTTCATATCCACACACACACACTTCTTTTCTACTTTCTACCTTCTACTCACCACCAGTCTCTCCATCCACCCCAAATAACAAGCACACTCCTTCCCTTCCTCTTTCTCACACACATACACATATTTACATCCTGTCCTGCCCTCTCCCTTTCTAGTCTCTTATTCTTCTTTCTTCGTGCGTGCCCCGTCTCATTCTCAACCCTTCTTACACCGAGCTCCACCTTGGCACTTTACAAACAAGCGCCATCCTTCTTCTTTCTTAACCATTCTTATTAGCCACGCTGCTACCACTCTCGACCCTCCACCTACCCCCATCCACCCGAGCTTTCAAAAATGCTTTCCCTGTGAGTTTGGAGTTTGAACCAGAAATTTACCCAAACCATCCTTTACTCCGCCTAGTTTCTGTACATTCTCCAAACGTAGTCAACTCTTTCCATAGCAACCTTTCTTCATCGTTGCCTTCTTCTTTCTCGCCTCTCTCCACCATTCCCACCCTTACAGCCTCCCTTGACAACGTCCTCTTCTGTCCCCTCCTTTACTCGGTCTCTACCCTGTCGTTCTTGTCTCGCCCTTTGACTTGAGCTACTCGTCCCCTTACTCTCTTTTTCCCACTACTTGTGAACAGACCCCCTTTTTCCTTGCTTTGCTTTCGTGCCCAAGTGTCAAAGTGAGAAAGCATACATCAACAACAACAACACCATTAGCAGCGAGTTCGAGACTACATCCACTTCTAGACCCATATTAGGCCCTTCCGTTCTCTCGCGCCTTTTTTTTCTTTCTCCCTCTTTGCTCGTCGTACACTCGTACCACAGTTGTTTGTAAAAGAGTCACGAGAACAAAACTCCGTTTCAGTCGTTGCGTTCGTCCTATTACCAAAACATCCTAGCCGTGTCAACTCCGCTCCCGCTCTCTGCACAGTTCGCGTCAAACCTTCCTCTGTTGACTCTTCTCTCTTTGTCTTCGCACATCGTATTACCTGCATCATCATTGCTCGTTTCCCCACTCGTACTACACACACCACCAACAAGATTTAATCGACACATATGTTGACGACCGCCACCAACCGAGCCCTCGCCTTGCCTGAAATTGTCTTCGAGATCCTCGCCTGTCTCGAAGCCCAAGCAGAACTCTGCCCTCAGCAAATCCAGGCCTCCCTCCGCGCCTGCTCTCTCGTCAGCCGAACCTGGTTCTTTGACGCTAACGTCTTCCTCTACCGCGCCCCCTATATTCGCCATGGCCGAGGATCCGAGACAAAGGTTAATACCCTCGTCCGCACCTTGACCACCACCAACCGCGGTCTCTACGTTCGCTCCCTCTCACGCTGCAAGCTTGAGCTCTGGGAATTGTTTCCCTCGCTCGATAAGCTCTTTGAGCCTTGCCCTCGTCTGTCGTCCATCTCCCTCTGCTTCCGCTCTGGTGAGAAGGGTCATCTGATGGAACCCTTCGAGACTGAGGCCTTCCGCACCTTGGACACGACGATTGCCCAGGGAATGGCCCACATCCAGGAACTCGACCTGACCAGCGTCTCGATCAACTCTGTCGATAAGGACGACACGACCTATGCCGATGCCGCCTTGAATTGCATTAGCGCATGCACTCGTCTGCACAAACTAGTCACCACCCGAGCAGATTGGTCCAACATTAGGACCATCTCGAAGCACTTGACTGACCTCAGCATCTCCTTCCTGGCCCCACCCGACCTCAAGACCAGTGTCGCCCTTGCCCCTTCGCTTGTCAACTTGACCAGTCTCCACCTGCACCATGCGCCTCAGGCCATTCCCGCCCACGACTTTTCGCGTGTCCTAGCCCAGTACTGTCGATCGCTTACCAAGCTGGACATCTGTCCCGAGTCGATCAACCCCCAGTCACTCGAGACACTTGTTTTGCACAACCAGGGCCTGGTTTCGATCTACCTTCGAAACTGCCCCGACATCTACACCGCCGCCGTCCTGAAGCACCCTCCCCAGAATCTCGAATTTTTCGACATGGGAACTGTCGATTCTCAATTGATCCTGATGGCTCTGGCGCTCTGCCCCAAGCTGACATCGACCGGCAAGTCGTCTCCCCGCGACAACAACACGGTTGAATTCTGGCAGAGCTTTCTTGAAAAGGCTCGTCAGATCCAAGAGCTCCATGTGGAGCGCTGGTCCGATTTTCACAGCAAGGACCTCTTCTTCAACACCGTCTTGCCCAAGCTCGGCCCCCAGCTGGTCCGTATCTGGTTCGGCTGGCGTGATCTTTTGGGATGCGATGAACTCGAACAAGTTCTTACCTCGTGCGACCGTCTTCAGGTCCTCCGTGCCCCTGTCAAGGGCAATGGCCAGGTTAGTTCTTTTACTCATGGAAAAAAATATTCATTCATGCAAATTACAGCATCGATTGTGTTTCTTATGCAACCGAAAACGAATTGTATCCTAACGGTTTATGGAAACTCCTTATTATTTTGCATGGGTAAAATAGAATCTCGTCCGTTGTTTCAAGGTGGTTGCGACCCGCTCGCGCCTGCGTGAGGTGCGTCTCTTTGGCGACAATGTCAAGTTTTGTGACGACGACAAGAGACGCATGCAGCGCTTCCTCCCGGTCCTCTGCAGTTTCAGCACCTGAGCCCTCATTCATTTTTCACTCTTCCTGGCGGGAGTCCCTTGTCCCATCCTTGTCTTGCCGATGGCTTTGAATGGACTTTTGTCCCCCGCTATTTGAATGCACGAGTACCGATTACCTAGTACCGTAACACCCACTTTTCCTTACCAACCGATCCTAGCAACCTCGCCCCTACTCCTTCCCCTGCCCTTCGTCCTCTTGTGACTCGTGACTCGTCTTTTTTTTGTCAGAGTTCCATTGGGGATCCGTCCATTACCGTTCCTGTTGTACATATGTGAGAAAAAAACCCCCTTTCCAAATCCCAAAAAAAATATGCCTTGCATGGATTCAGTGGTAAATAAACCCACTTTTTCGAAGACTTTTTTTTGACGAGTCCCGTTTTGATACGGCGGCATACATGAAGATGAGAGAAAAGGAGAGGTCCTTGCGAGTGTGTGAGAGAGAAAAAAAAGCGTGATAGGATACGATTGATATTTGACTGAACGCGTTTATTGTGTTGTGGGGTCGAGTCGAGGTTGGTGAGTGAGAGCGAGAGATTACAAGGTGCCTAGATGATTTAGGCGACGGCAAAGCGCTGGGCAGCGCGGTCAAACAAACTTGACTTCAAGTCCAAGTCCTGCAAGTATGAGTGGTTTGGTGCAACGCTCTGTAATTGCCTATTATTCATGAAATTGGTAATGATGAAGTTGTCAATGGATGCGAAAACGAGCCCAGAAGACGTCTCAGCTTATGTAAGTAACATATCTATCACACCCAGAGAACAAACAAATGTAATTAACTTACTGGACCAAGGCGCTGATCTCTTCTGCAGGTTTGCTCAACAAGGTCGAGAGAACAATCTGGTTGACAATCGCGTCAGTGTTAGAAGGTTCCCTCGAAAGAGCCTCCTGAAGGATCCCCTCCGCCTCTGGGAAACGACCCATCTGGATATTGCAGACTGCCTCTCCGATCAAGGACTTGACGGTGGGGGATGTGGAGGAGGTGGCGATTTCCTCGTAGATATAGTAGGCGTTCTGGTACTTGTCGCCACCGCCCGTGCGGAGACCGACCCAGGCCTCCATCAACTGGGCCAACATTGCGTCCTCTGCCCATGATTTGCATGCCTCAACTTCCTTCCTTGCCAGATCCAGACGGTTCATTTGCAAGTAGATCTGGACCACGACCGCCACACTAGGATTGAAAAGAAATAAAAATGGTTGGAATTAAATATTATATGAATACGTGTCAGCGATCTAGTGTCTCAGCATAATAATGTGAACTCCTTCAATCATGCACACATAGTTTTTCTCCATACCTCTCCAGGTGATTGTTGTGGGGCAAGAGGACAGTAAGAGCCTCCTCGACCAATCCCTCTGTAGCCAAGACCTGGCCAACGACAACCTTGACCTCCAAGGCAGTGATCTCGGGCTGATGGTCGTCAGGCGAGTGGACAAGGAGCAAGTCTCTCAAATGTGCCAAGGCAGCATCCCGACCGGCAGCGTCAGCTGACTGGACAGCATCCAGATAAACCGCCTGGGCCTTAAGGGCCTGGAGTCCCAATCCGTGGGACTCGGTAATCTCCTGAGCGACACGAGTATAGTTCTTTGTGGCGATCAGCGAGCGGAAGAGGAAGAGGTCCAGTTGGTGGGCTGTTGGCTGGTTTGCGGATGCGCGAGTGCGGGATGATGTCGTCTCTGAGATGACTTGGGTGTAGTTGCCTATTTAGTTTTGTTGTTGAGGGTAGGAAAGTGGGGGTGAGTGTGAGTGTGTGTTGAATGCATTGCGGAGATGTGAACGGGTTCTGATGAAAGGGGTGGTTCGTCTACTAGGCGCGATGAAAAAGTGAAAGAGAAACGCGTGTGATGAGGTGAGAGGAAGGAAGATGAGGATGGGGGGAGCCATACCCGAGTAGAAGAGGTTGCGGATAGCGAAGAGGGTGTTCTCGTCCATGGTGATGAATATAGAGTTGTGTTGGTTGATGAAAGTGTTAATGGTCCAGAGAAAGTATTGAAGAAAAAGGGAGCACCTCGTTGTCCAACCAAGGCACGCCCTCCACGTCGTAAGTCCTGAGTGGCTTTGCTTGAGGCTAGTGACGGTCTCTGGATTCAGTACAGTGAATGGACATGGAAATAATTTAATGGTGCATATTACTAGAGTCGGCACGCTTTGCCCAATGCCTCATATTGGATGACTCTTGCCGGTTCCCAACCTCACCCTCAATCATATTCAGCATCTCCACCAACGGCGCTGCCTGTTCCTCGTCGCCCCATCCATACTGCTGAATCGTTGTCTCCTCGCCTGTCAAAGGAGCCGGAACAGAAGCCTCGTTGATATCCCTCTGCATCTTCCTGACGAGACTCAACGTCTCTCGATCCACCAGGGCTCCATTGCGCTGCATCTCCTTCAGGATCTCCAGACATCCTGGTCCATCGCGCCATGTATCCCATCGACTCTTGAGCAGCGCTCTGTAGGACTCGGTACGGACAACTCGAATAAAGACAGGCAGGCCTTGTCGTCGGGTGTGCTCCACTAGCGCGTGACCCATGAAGGGGTGCAACGAACGCTGGGCTTTCACGGGAGGGGTTTGAACTTCCTCGACCTTGGATCGAATAATGGAAGTCGCGGGGACTCCAATTAGGCTACTTGCGGAAGAGCTCAGAATGGCTTGCGCCAAAAGCCCATCCAAACTAATACTCGAGGGACGGGGTTCATTCTTGGATCCCGCGGACGACGAAGTGTCGACATAGGGAGCAATCAATTCGTCCACAAACTCCTTGATCTTGATAACATCACCGCTCTTGGCCACAAGCTCGTTCCTCATCCTGATCGCAACCTTGTTCTCATCTTGGATCGCCGCAAAGAGCGTGTTTTTGCTGTTGGGTCGGGTCGCATCTCGAGACATCCAGTCCTGTCCTGCAACGGTGCTCTCCATAGCCTGGAATGCCGATGTCTTGGGCTTATGGTCCAGATAGATGGGCTCGACACGCTTGGACAGGTTGAACAGTTGGCGGTTAAGGACCTGCATGGGATCCTCGCTGGATGTCGGTATTTCCGGTGTTGATGGCGTATTGGCAGCGAGGGTCTCGAGTAGATTCGCCGTTGCTGAATCCTCTGCCTTTGGGTTGTCCGTCGAGGAATCCATTCCTGCGCGATTGAAGTTGGAGAACAATGACTGGACCTTGCTTCCTGGAGCAGAGTCCTGGGTCGTCGCCTTTTGCTCAAACAACGAGGAGAACAGAGCCTTGAACGCATCCTTTTCTGCGCTTTTCAGCTTGGGATCCTTCCAGCGATCTCCTTTAGGAGTCAAAGTCTCTGCTGACGGCTTTCCTGAGGTCGGTGAACGGTACTCTGACAAGCTCGGGAACAAATCTGATGCGCCTGGTATCCTGTCTAATGTCTCTTTCTTCTCTGCACCCACGGTCGTTGCTGCTTCTGTTGTCGTCGTCGCCTTGGTCTTCTTCTCATTCAAGTCATCCTCGTCAAACAAGAACTTCCAAGAGTCAGAAACATTTTTGCCCAGAGGTGATTTTGATAACCCTGCTGCTCCTGCCGATGCGCCTCCGGTTGTCCTCGAACCTCCGTTCGTCATGTCGCCATCTCCCAACTGCAGCTTCTCAAAGAGTCGATGGATCTTGTCAGCTCCTGATCGTGACTCTTCCTCGGCAGCTTTCCTAGCGGCCTCCTCCTGGTCTCGTTTTCTCTGCTTCTCTCGCTTGCCCGCTCGGATTCCAACCTCGGCTGAAGGCTTCAGCTTGAACTTTTTGACCAGATCTTCCTTCTCGACCGCAGCCGTCGTCTCTGTTGTGGTGGTGGCTGGAGATTCTGTAGCACTAGACGTCAACGTCGAGGCGGCGGTAGTGGCTGGCTCCTGAGAGACGGTATCGTCCGAGTCTGGCCTTGATCCGCTGTCGGCTGTGGCTAGACCTCTGGCCAGCTGGTATGAGGCCTGACATGGCTGCAAGCCGGATCGGATAATTATTCCTATTGTGTTTTTGTTAGATAACATGCTTTGTCAATTTCTTTTGTCTATGAAGACTCCTTTATCAATGTGAGGACTAGAGGTGAAAAGTGATCCTGATTAGCACCAACCTGATCGCAATGGGAGAACTCGTTGCATGGTCAGCGTAGAATGAATGAGTTGGAGAAGCGTAAACAAGTAGAGTCGGGTTTGGGTGAAAAAGGGAAAAAAACAAATCTGCTTGGGTCACATTTCCGCAGTCACTATCCCCCTCCCCCACTTTTCTCCATTGCACCCAGGTACAACACAAAGTGTGTCGATCGTCGCTATACAATGTCCTCAGTGTCTTCGATATACATTCTATTTTGACAGGGCAGACACAAAACAACAGCAAGAAAAACGGGGTCCTTGCATGCCATTGTGTCCCGGAGTCATAAAGGGGAAGGGTTGGATAGAGGCTCTCCTTCCAAGTGCCTTAATTGGATGCATCAAGAACAGTACAGAGCTGCTCAAGACAAAAGCAAGTAATAAAAACAACGCGTTTAATATGGTTGATGTATGCATGGGGGAAGAGGGATGGCGGAGCTATGGTGCTGCCGTTATGTTATTGTAGCAACTGGCATCTAATTGCATAGCAATGGCATTATCACCAAACCTAATGCCCCATGTTATCGGTCCCTCGCCCTCGCTCAGCCTGGTAAAAAAGCAGGCACTCATCTGATCTTCCTCTTACACACATACTTTACTCACGCGTCTCGCACATGGTCTAACTCCTTTTTTTCTTTCACTTTTTTATATACATTTTGGAATCGTTCGCTGGCTCATGGCCCTCAGCTCGCTTGTTACAACGTCGCCCTCTCGTGTGTCTCCTTGCTTTTGAGTATTAGCAATTCGGGTCTTTCAGAGCAAAGCGTTTTAGCGCCATCTCTACACTTGTGCAGTACTTCCTTTCTTTCCTTCTTTTCTCTACTCTCTTCTCAATTCCACCTTTTACGACACACTCTCTCTCTTTTTCTCTCCCCCTCGCCTTGTCTCCTACACTCACTCATTCTCTGTCTCTGCTTCTGCCTCTTCCTATCCTCGCTTGCTCGACCATAGATAGACGCACCTGGCCTGTTCTCATTTTTCTTCTCTCCTTGATATACAATGCACACCTCCTGTGCCTTCTCTCCCACAACCATCCTCTCCTTTTGTTCCTGCTTTGCCTTCCACTAATTGTAATTTCTTCCTTTCCTCTCCGTCCTCGTCAAAGAAACGTGCTACTTGCCTTTTGCTCCTTTCCCTTTCCTTCTTACCTTTTTCGTTTCTTTACTTTTCCTCTTTGTTCATTTCACTTAACGCAATCCTCACTCCATTTTTATTATATTTTTTTGCTCGGCTTCCCTCTCTCCTCCTCTGTCTTTCTCATCCATCTTTTTTCTTTTCCTCGCTTGCCACCACCACTCATTGTTGTTTGCATTTTTGAGCTTCAAGAGAATTTAAAACACCCTATCTCTTGAAGAGGCACAATAATCCCAATTCCTAATAACCAACAAAAAACCACAACACAGCAGCAACAATGGCCCTGGCTCTGTCCCCTCCTGTATGGGTCGAGATCACCGACCCCGAATCCCGCAACACCTTCTACGCCAACTTGGTATGTGCATTTCTCCATTACACTTTTGTTGAATGAACTCTTGGAGGAATGTGAATGAGAAACCATACAAAGACTGTACTATATTCTTGCCCTGACTCTTGACTATGACCTTCGACTCTGGCGGAGGAAGAAGAGAGGGAGGCAGTGCTTCTCCCCGCAGTGTGGTTGCAGTGCTGACGCCGACCTGACCACTTTTTTTTTTACGTTTGGCCCCCTTGAATGAATCACGGTCAATACTGCTACATATGTAGCTCATATTGTAATGATCAGTGATCGTCCCTTTGAAACATCGCTCTCACTAACTGATGACCTTAATTTTCTTCTTTTGTTCGCATATCCGTCCTTCATGTTATAATTTCGTTCTCGATCCGCTTCTCCTCTTCGCCACTCCTTCTTCCTGTTCTTCTTCTTCTACACTTCTTCCACACCGCATAACAATACAATACCCACAAAGTCAAGTGGCGAGTGCGACTGGTCACTTCCAGAGGGCGCCGTAATGTAAGGAGCTCTTTTCTGTCTATCTTTCGAAACCAACTTAACCACTCCTTTAAAAAGAGACAAACAAAAATCCTTGCTTGACCTTGGAGGTATAGAACTAACCTTGCATTGGCCGTGATTGTTTACCTTGACAACGAATTATAGTCAGCATCAAAACCCTGCAGGCGAGTGGTGGGAACTCTTCGATGACATCCACAACCTACCCTACTATTACAACACAAAGACAGGACAGACAGAATGGGAGCGACCGCACGATAGCAACAACATCATCCCCCTGACCGCAATCCAGGCAAGGCTCCATCCACCCTTTGCGCGTTTGAGATTTTATTTTATTTTGTGTTTGATCTTATCCACCTGATACTGTTGTCCTATTGTCCCATTGTCCACCGATATTGCTCTGGCATCTCACGCATCACACACACACATTGGAGTTCTTGGAGGCATTCATTCATCTCCATCCGCTCCTCCTTTCCCCTGGTATGCTTGTCACTTTGTTACTATGGTAGCAAGACTAACATACCCCACCTCCTTCGCCCTTTTCAAATTGACCGGGCTGTACTCTGTTACTCCCTCTAGAAATCAGTCATTGGTCAGCGTCTTTCGCTTCATCTCACTGGTGGAGTGACATCAGGGCCTCAGGAGACAACTTCGCCTACTGCCAGAGAGAGCATCGAGCGACTGCGGATAGTCTCCATATCAGATGAGTTGACCTCCGGAGTCCTAAACGACAGCAAATTCGTATCACCCATCTACACCCCAACAACAGAGTCATTTGCCCCCTCACTCGCCGCAGTGGTTTCGACAGAAGGGCCAAAAGTCACGCCGCCCAAAAATGTACGGTACGCATCATCGCTCTCCTTCCTCCAAAAGGCCGCCCAATCAGAGACACCGACAACACCGCTCTCACCGCCGACTTCGCCCATCGGTGGCTCCACAACCAAAGAGAACACGAGCAATTGGAGGCTGCGTTCAAAGACATCCCAGCCTACCTCTCAGTCAGGCTATGGCCTCTCCACCAACGCTTTTGTTTCGACCTTTCAGAGAGCGGCGTCAATGACACTCAACAGACACACTTCAGGAATAAGCTCGCAACCCATCTCGATCCCTTCCAGACAGAGATCTGGCGTAACATTAGACTCCTGTCTGCCACTCTCAACATCCCATCCTCCTGCGTCAATGAAGTTTCACAAAGTCCACTCTGGAATGATGAACAACGATGCGCCCCTTCAACCTGCCAGGAAGAGTTTCCAGATCGCAGAGCGGGCCAGGAAATTCGGCATTGGCGCTCCTATTGCGAACGACGAGGCGGCAAGGAAAATGTCGCCCATGATCATCGAACAGCAGCAGGAGGCACTTCGCAAGATGAGCGTCAGCCCCCCTCCAGTACACCGCCGACTGTCGACCAGAGGCGGGGTGTCTCCGGAATTTACCCAGACTGCCCAACTGCAATTGAACAGCATTTCACCTACGGTCGAGGGCGCAGTCCCTTCTGGAGCATATCCATCACTCCCTGCCGAGCTGCAGTCGTCCATCTCACAGTTCAGGATTGCAGGCTTTGCACAAAAGTACTTTTCGACTCATAAGAAGGGACTCTTCCGACGCAAGGTACCCATGGAGAGGATGCTTCTCCACCAAAAGAGTCCTCTTTCTCAACCCTTGATGGTCTTCAACAAACGTGGCGTTCAAAAGGATGCCCTCCGCTGCTTCAAAATCATTCAGAAACTGATGGGCGAGCGCAAGGGTAATGGATATGTTGGACCGACGGGCATTGAGCTCGGAGAGACCTGTGTCGACCTATCGATCCAGTCGGAGGACGATATCAAGCTTGTTCTGGAAATGATCAAGAAGGGCCTTGACCATGGGGAGCTTCGAGATGAGATATATGTCCAGCTGTGCAAGCAATTGACAGAGAACCCCAGCCGGTGAGTGCGAGCATCTTTGTATTTTAGCATCGAGAACTCTTCTTTGGCATGACAACACATCTCTGACCTGTGAGCCCTTTTTTCTGTTTGTGATAATTTAGAGAAGGCAGTATCAAGGGATGGCACCTGTTTACTATCCTTTTGATCACGTTTTCGCCCTCGAAGAATCTACACGATTACTTGGCATCGTTCCTCAATCAGCACGCAACGATGTCTCTCCATCCCATCCCTGTCATGGCCCAGCATTGCCATGATCTGCTACGCCGAATTAGCAAGCGGGGATCAAGAGCCAAGCTGCTAACATTGGTCGAGATTGCGAGAGCACAAGAGGCTGCTTTCAGACCCAGTGTCTTTGAAGCGACTCTGGAGCGTCTTATGGGTCGTCAGATGGCTGCAGGAGGTGAATGGGCGGCATGGCGCGTCCCCCGGTTGATGGTATTCTTGAAAGAGAGTGTGATTGAGCTTGGCGGTCTCAAGACTGAGGGTATCTTTCGTATTTCGGGCGACCTTGGAGCAGTAGCAGAACTGGTATGCTTATTTTTTCTGATGTTTGTCAAATATGTTTTGAGAGTGCCAAATGTTTGATTGGTTTATGAGAAGGGGAACTGTGCCACCATGGTGCCTGATCTGTGCTTCCAGCTCAGCCCAGAAGTGTGCGTACGTCTTAAAAGGTATCAGCAAAATTAACTTTTTTCCTTCGTATTCTCTTGTTTTCATCTTCCCTTCCACCACAAACAAACAAACAATAGCGTGCTAGGATAGAGTTGGGTAACTACGACATCACAGGCATCACCGATCCGCACGTCCCTTGCTCGCTCCTTCGACTGTGGATCCGTGACCTGCCCGAACCTGTGATTCCCTACGACGTGTACCAGCAGTGCATCCAAGGCGCGCAGGACAAGGATGCCGTCGCCAAGGTCATTACCTCGCTGCCACTCTGGCACAAGGAGATGATTATCTACCTGATCTCGTTCCTGAAGGTACTTTCATCCTCGTCTTCAACCGTCGAGTCCAACTGTGTTTGTCTTGTGTACTCCAATTGGGCTAACCCTGCTTCCACGTCCTTCTGCTAGACATTCAACAATGCGACGGTCAGGGAGGCGACCAAGATGAGTCTGTCGAATCTGGCCATGGTCTTTGCACCAACATTGCTGCAGTGCTCGAGCGACGATGCACCTCTGCTAATGGGCCATCTCCAAGCCGAAAGGGCGTTTGTCTCGACCCTCATCTCGGAGGTGGAGCTGGCAGACGAGGATCTTCGTATCGTTGGGGAGGCCACAGGTACGAAGTAGTTTCTCTTGTATTTTCCTTATTTTACTTTAAACTAGTGGTGGTTGGTTGGATGGTCAGGCGAAATTGAGAATGTGGACGGGTGCTAAACAGAGAACGAACTCAAACAAAAGCAAACGAACATACGAAAACAAACAATGAAATGAACACAAACAAACGAACATATAGAATAGCAAAGTAATTACAAAACGGGTTCCCTTTTCCCCTTCCTTCATTTCACTTATGAAATATCGGCCTCAGTGCCTTGCTTTAAATTAGATCTTAAGTTGATGCGCCTTGCTCTGGACTCTCAAATTGTTTTGAAGACGCTGGATGCCCAAGGTAGCCTTGGAATGGGATAAGAGTTACCTCGATGATGTGACCCTCTCCTCTCCTTTCAGCCCTTTTCTTTATTAATAAACCACAGCCAGTACTTGTACGTGCCCTGAGTGAGTTTCCTTCTTGTTTTACGAGAGAAACGACCGATTCACACACACGTGGATGGGCAAAGGGATATCAAAGGTGGCAAATGTAGGAAGTGTGGCTTGGCTGAGTAAACAACCTAACCCGCTGCCTGACCTGGCTGCTTGCTGGGCAGAGAGGGAGATGATGCATCACTTTCCTTCGTTCTCTCTTCGCCCTTCGCTCCCTCTCTCATTCACCTACACACACACAAGCAACACACAACTGTCATTCTCATTACCACCACCACCCTTCACTACTACCGCAATACCACTTCAACTACCAACTCCCCTCTCACACATTACCACATCCCTGCACAGCAACAAGAGTCCTCCATGTCCACACCACCGCTGAGTCCATCCGCAAAGAGCCCTACCCATACGACCTCACCCCAAGCGTCAAAACGGAGACTTAATCGGTCGGACTTATCCAAGCCAAACGAGTCCTGGTTCCTGATCCTCGTCAATGCCTTCAAGAGCAACTTTGAACAGACCCTGACCTACAGAGAGTCGGAGCTCTATGCCTGGATCATGCAAGCATACCCATACTATCGCCATGATATGCATACGATGCAAACCAGCGTCAAGACAACACTATCGTCCTACGAGTGCTTCCGGCAAAACGGGAGGAGTACCTGGACATTCATCCCTAGACGAGCATTGGTTCACCTCGAGAGCCTCAAGACTGAGGAAGGCCGGCGAGGGAGCGACGGCTCGGGAGACGAGGACGAGGAAGAGTTGGAGGAAGAGGACGAGGAGATCATGGATCATAATCATGTTGAGGACGGCACAGGAACTCATTATCCCCGCGAAAACCAATATAGTCCACACGAGCACCACAACCGCTTCGATCACCATCAGGATGGCCCTTCCGACACAAGGATACGGTATATCGACAGGACGATCGACATAATTGATGCAGACTCGCCAACACTGTCTGTGGAGGAAATCCAGCGCTTCAAGCAGGAGCATTCGGGAGCCCAGGCCAGGAAACTCAAGCGGAAGGCCTCTGGCGGGCATGCAAGTCGGCCGAGGACACGTTCACCCCCCGCTGCCCTTCAGGACGAGTGCAGCATGTCGATGGAGGCCTGGTGCAATCTGCTGGTTCAGATGTTCGAGGCTTCGCCCAAACAAAAGACAATACGGGAAATCTATGCCTGGGTCCATGACAATTACCCCATCTACCAGAATGCACCAGGAGACGCATGGCAAGCCGACTTGACAGCCGCCCTGGAGTCCAACCCTTTGTTCAGAGCGATGGGTCGAGGACGGTGGCAGATGGCTACCCAGCCTGTTCAACCGGTCGTCATTGTGAACGGCTCTGCTGTCATTGCCTCAGGAAGCGGATCGGCCAGCAATCCCTCGGTCAAAGCAGAGGATGATGTAACGGACAGCCCTTCGGTCACAGAGGACGAAGACTGGAAGGCGATCGGATCGAAGCGACTTCTCAACTTTTCCTTTAGGCGATACTCCATTGCGACAGACACCTTCCCTAAGAACCACTACAAGGTCGGCTCGACTATGCCTGCAGGGTCCAACCTCCACCCTTCTGCAGCCGCAGGCTCGAATGCAACCATTGCGACCGCCTCGACCTCTTCCTCTTTCACAGCAACAACATCATCAGGAATGTTACTCCCGCTGGACCATCGGCCCTCAACTTACACCAGCGGCAGACGTTTTTCATCCTTCCATCAACCGACACCCAAGAACTCTCCCCCTCTCTCAGCAACAACGACAGGATTGCCTACAGTGGACGAATTTGGCTCACAGCTCTCCAATGCCCTTTCGGAGGAGACAGAGGATGAGGATCCGGCAAAGCGGTATATGGCGCCTTTGCAAAATGCCATCAACTCTGCCGTCCTTGCCCTTCAAACACAAAACCAACAAGACGAACAGAGTCAACAAGCAAGGTCAAGGACACCATCACTACCACCGACAATGTCAACTCAGCACGCAGTCAAACCCAACTTCTACGAGTACTCTCATCAACATACACTAACGACTCCCTCGATCACTGTTCAGGACACCAGTGCAGCACAAGGTAACAACCTCATTTTGTTGATTTGTTTGTTTATCTTCGTTGTGTTTTCTCTCCCAGTTAGTAGATCTGTGCGCGAGACACACACCCTGCCCTCAGGTACAGACCAACCCCACTTGTCACATTTCATTAAACTTTTTCAATCCCCCTTCGTATATATTTTATTAGTTTCATCTGGCCAGGCACCGCAAACGTCGACGGAAGCAGACGCTGCGCAAATCCCTCGACCAGAGCCCGAGATCGTAATACCCAATGGCGAGGATCTCGCTTCAGACCAGATGGATGCTATCCAAGCACTGGCTCTGCTATGTGGAGGTGGCGTTTAGAGCCCTGCTAGCTACATAGGCATAGTCTTCTCTCCCTTTCTATTCATTTTCTTTCTTTTGTTTGTTCTTCAGCATCCGCATCCGCAGCTTCCTCTCCCCTCTCCCCTCTCGCTTTCACCCCTTCTTCGCATGAATACAATTGCGATTAAATATATACGGTGACGTAGACAACCTCGCTTGAAATTGGCTTTCCCTGCTCATCTTGTCGGTGTCTCTCTTTCCCTCTCTCCATTCCATCAGTTCTTCGATCCAAATACTCTCGACACCCCTTTTTCGATCACCCATCGCCATCGCTTCTTTTTTTCTTTCTCTCTGTTTGTCTTCTCTTCTTTTATTTTTTCCTTCTTTTCTCTTTCCTTGTGCGCACTTCTGCCCTCCCCACCCCACAAGTGCCCCTCTCTCCCTCTCACCCACTCTAACACTTGACTGCGTCACCCCAGTACAAGCCGAGTTGTTGACGCACCCCGACCAATCTCAACAGCTCTCTCTTCTCGCGTCCTCATTCGCGGTGCTCTTTAGCTCCGCCTCGACACCATCATGAACCCTCCTCAAACTCAGCCACAGCCCCAGCAGGCTACACATGACCTCGTCGCAAACCTGTCCCAGGAGCAAATCACCAGCGTCCTCAACGTATGTTCCCTTCCTTGATTCAACCCCTCCTTTATTCGCCTATTGAATTCTTGTATACACCATAGTTTGTTTTTGTTTGAGGTTTTTTTTTGGTCTCGATGAGTCTGAATACTGACTCTCGATCGATTTTTTTGTTGATTCCTTTTTGTAGGCGGTGAGGAACATGAAGGCCGCAGGTGCAACCGAGCAGACGAATCAACAATATGCCCAGCTGATGGGTCTTTTGCGAGCATACCAAGCCTCCCAGGCTGCACAAGCGCAGGGCCAACAACGCGTTCAGGCAGCCCAGGGCTTGGCACCTTTTCAGCAACAGCAACAACTCCTCCAAATGCAACAACAGCAACAGTTCCAACAGCTGCAACAACAACAGCAGCAACAACTTCAACAACTCCAGCAACAACAGCCACCAGGAGCGCCGGTCTTACCTCCCACGCAAGGATCCCCATTTTCCACAGACCAAATCACCGACTTGCGCTTCCAAATCATTGCATTCAAACTTATCTCGGCCAACATGGCTGTACCACCACATCTGCAGGAGGCCATCTTCACACCAAAATCTGTCGATCAGGCCCTGAACGCAAAGGGTCCCACAGCCACCGTCGCAGGCAAGGTGGTCGATGTTGCCCGTCAGCACTTGTCGGAGCAAACGCCATCTGCCTCGGACTACAACGCCTACACATCTCCGTTCTCGTTCCTTCAAAAGACTTTACCTTCGACTGTCCACGCTTCACGGCAGCAGCGTCTGTTGATCCCCAGTATCTCGCCTATTGGAATCGACCCATATACACTGGCTCAGGAGCGCGACAACCGCCTCAAGGCCCGTGTCAAGTATCGCATTGAGGAGCTCGACAGCCTGCCTAGTAACATTGCAAGCGAGTCTTTGGACCCCTCTGGAGGACTTTTGGAACAGGAGAACAGAGCACCTCAGTCTGGACCCAAGTTGAAGGCCTTGATCGAGTTGAAGGCCCTACGACTCTTGGAGAGACAGAAAAAGGTACTTTACGCGCCTAATGTAGTCGACGCAAACCTCTTTTTTAAATCGAAGAGCCTCTGTATTAATTATTATCTCTGTTTTTGCTTGCTTTTAGCTTCGTGCTGAAATTATCAAGGGAATGTCAAAGGCAACCATGTTGGCGACCTCGACGGACCGAGCAGCTTACCGCAGAATGAAGAAGCAGTCTTTGCGCGAAGCACGCATGACAGAGAAGCTGGAGCGTCAGCAGAGACAAGACCGCGAGGGTCGCGAGAGACAGAAGCACATGGACTCGCTACTCAATATTGTCAATCATGGACGCGAGATGATTCAGTGGCACAGGACACAGCAGATGAAGCAGAACAAGCTGGGTCGACTCGTTCTCCAGTTCCACTCTCATGTCGAAAAGGAGGAGGCCAAGCGTATCGAGCGTATCTCCAAGGAGCGTTTGAAGGCTTTGAAGAACGACGACGAGGAGGCATACATGAAGCTGATCGACCAGGCCAAGGACACGCGTATTACACACTTGTTGCAGCAGACCGACTCGTACCTTGCGTCACTCGCCGAGGCCGTTACCGCTCAGCAAAACGACTCTGTCCACTCCGACTCTGTTACACGTGGTGGTATCGAGCTTATGGACGACGAGGCGGACTTTGACTATGGCGATGGAGTACGTTCGTCATTATTTTTCTCCACGACCAGGTGTGCCATATTGAGGCCGTGAGCAAACAAGTTGAATTTAATACTTACAATCGTTTCATTGACACATCAATTTCTTTAGGAGGACAACCGACGCAACGACTACTACAATATTGCACACAAGATTCAAGAGAAGGTCGTCAAGCAACCGGCCATCTTGACCGGAGGAACCTTGAAGGAGTACCAGATGAAGGGTCTGCAGTGGATGGCCTCCTTGTACAACAACCGTCTGAACGGAATTTTGGCCGACGAGATGGGTCTCGGTAAAACTATCCAGACCATCTCCCTGGTGACATTCCTGATCGAAGCCAAGCAGCAGAACGGACCATTCTTGATTCTTGTGCCCCTCTCGTATGTTATTTTGACTTTTGCTTCGGCCCGAATTTTATTTTTTCGTCTTGAGGTTATCATTTACGGGTGAAAATAACACAAACATGATTTCGTAAATAGGACACTGGCTAACTGGACGCTCGAATTCGAAAAGTGGGCACCTCAAGTCACGAAAGTTGTCTACAAGGGTGTTCCCTCTCAACGCAAGCACATTCAGCAGACTGAAATTCGTCACCGCAACTTCCAGGTGCTTCTGACAACATACGAATACGTCATCATGGACAAGCCGATTCTCAGCAAGATCAAATGGGTCTACCTGATTATCGACGAGGGACATCGTCTCAAGAACGCAAAGTCCAAGCTGTTCATTACCTTGACCCAGCACTACTCGTCCCGCTACCGTCTTATCTTGACAGGTACACCCCTGCAGAACAACCTTCCAGAACTGTGGGCGCTGCTGAACATGGTGCTGCCTCGCGTCTTCAACTCGGTACAATCGTTCGATGAGTGGTTCAACACACCATTCGCTAACACCGGAGGACAGGACAAGATCGAGCTGAACGAAGAAGAGGCTCTTCTGATCATCAAGCGCCTCCACAAGGTTCTGAGACCTTTCCTGTTGCGTCGTCTGAAGAAGGATGTCGAGTCCGAGTTGCCTGACAAGGTCGAGCGCGTCATTCGCTGCAAGTTGTCGTCTCTTCAGCTCAAATTGTACAACCAGATGAAGAAGCACGGCATGCTCTTTACCCAAGGTGGCGAGAAGGGGTAAGTTGCCATGTCCATGAACGATGATCTTTTGTCACACTTTGTATATCTCTGCTGGCGCGTGTACTAATGGACGGCTGTTTTTTTGGAATGTCACTTAGACGTACCGGTATCAGGGGATTGAACAACACCATCATGCAGCTTCGCAAGATTTGCAACCATCCTTATGTCTTTGAGGAGGTTGAACGTGTAATCAACCCTACCAAGACCAACAACGATGGTCTTTGGCGCGTCGCAGGAAAGTTTGAGCTCTTGGATCGTATGCTCCCCAAGTTGTTCAAGACAGGACACAGAGTGCTCATCTTCTTCCAGATGACAGCCATTATGAACATCATGGAGGATTACTTGCACTACCGCCACTACCAATACATGCGTTTGGATGGTGCCACCAAGGTAAGCCACTTCCGATTCATTAGCTGTTCGCAAAAAGGAGTTACTACTACAATCATAGGGCTCGTACTAACACTTTGATTTATTGGATGTTCTAGTCAGAGGATCGTGCTGGAATGCTGAAGACTTTCAACGCACCCGATTCGCCCTATTTTGTCTTCTTGCTCAGTACTAGAGCTGGAGGTCTCGGTCTGAACTTGCAAACTGCTGATACAGTCATCATTTTCGACTCGGACTGGAACCCCCATCAGGATTTGCAGGCACAGGATCGTGCTCATCGTATCGGTCAGACGAAGGAAGTCCGCATCTTCCGTCTGGTGACGGAGAAGTCGGTGGAGGAGCACATTCTTGCCCGTGCGCAGTACAAGTTGGAGATCGACGGCAAGGTCATTCAGGCCGGTAAATTCGACAACAAGAGTACTGCTGAGGAGCAAGAATCTTTCCTGCGCTCGCTTCTGGAGAGCGACAACAACAAGGAGGAGAACGACGTGGAAGAGGAGGACATGAACGACGAGGAGCTCAACGAGATTGTCGCCCGCACGGAGAACGAGATGACGCTCTTCAAAGAAATGGATGATGTACGCCGGCTCGAGGAGGATGAGATTTTCAAGACGGACGGAATACGACGTGAACGCCTCATTCAAGAATCCGAGTTGCCCGAGGTTTATCTCGTCGACGAGGATGATATTGTTGTTGAGGAGGTCGAGGAGGATCTTGGTCGTGGTCAACGTGTCAGGGCTGAGACTCGCTACGATGACGGCTTGACTGAGGAGCAATGGCTTGAGGCGCTTGAGGATGAGGACAAGGACGTCAACGAGATCATTGCTGCTAAGGCCGATCGCCGTCGCCGCAGAGAGGAGAAGAGGCTTTTGAAGGAGGCTGCGGCTGTGAATGGCGAGGAGCCCGAGCCTGAGCCCAAGAAAGGACGCGGCCGAGGCAAGAAGACGATCCGTGAAGACGATGAGGAGGAGGCGGAAGCACCTGTTGTCAAGAAGGGTCGCGGCCGTGGCACCAAGTCTTCGACTTCCGCTGAGATCACCAAGCCGACTCCTGTCAAGGGCAAGCGTGGACGGAAACCAGAAGGTGCCGCCGCTGGCCAAGATACTCTGGCTGAGGCTGATCGCAAGGCGCTGACCAAAATCTTTGAGCAGTGCTACAAGGCGGTTGAGGACTGCACAGTGACGGATGATGGCGAAGTCCGACACCGGTGCGACCTCTTCTTGCAGTTGCCAAGCAAGAAGCAGTATCCCGAGTACTACCAGATCATTCTCCGTCCTATCGCCATGGATATGATCAAGAAGCGGATGCGCTCTGCATTCTACAAGACTGCGTCTCAGTTCCGGGACGACTTCCACCAAATGTTCCAGAATGCGCGCACCTTCAACCAAGAAGGCAGCTGGGTTTATGTCGACTCTGAGCGCTTGGAGGTAATGTGCGCAATGCTACTGATCACTGCAAGTTGGCTTCTTATATCTTTCTATGCAATCGCAATTGACTAATGCGGTGATCTATTTTTTCTTGGTTTGCGCCATTAATAGGAAGTGTTTGATGAGAAGTTTGACGCGCTTTGCCCAGGAGGCGAGTTGCCGTCGGCTGGAGCTGAAAAGGACAGCAGTACATTGAAGCGGGCGGCGCCACTGTCGGACGAGGAGGAGAATGCGTCATCACAGGATCGACGCGCTGGAGCTCAGAAGGCGCAAACCAAGGCGAGCAACCACGGTCGCCAGCACAGTCGGAGCAGCAGCGTAGGATCCCGATCGGCGGCCCAGCAAAAGAATCACCACAAGCGCCAGAAGAAGGAAGAGGAGGATGAAGATGACGAGGAGGATGACGATGACGATGATGACGACGACGACATGGCAGTGGATTCATTGGGAACGGACGACAGCGATGACAGCGACGCTGGGCCAGTTGGTCGCAACAATGCAGCAGGTCAGGCCAATAACAGCACAACGGCCAACAGCAGCGGCAATGGCCACAACAAGAATGGGACTTCAAGTAACACCAAGAAGCGCGCCGATGACAGCGACGATGACGAGCTGGATGATGAGGACGAGGATGACGAGTAGGGAGGAGCGGAATCGCCAGTTTGATTACGGGAATAATGAGCGGAGTGAGCGAGCGACCGATAGGAGATAGGGAATGGAAAGGAAAGGACGGACGGAAGGAAGGAGGGAATGGGAGGAACTTTTTTTCACTATCATGCGTTATTGCTGTCATAATCATCATTGAAAACAACTAATAAAAGTAAAAAAAAGGTACAAAACACCAGATGCAAACATCGGAATGACATTTGAGACATGCTGACAAGGTCAACATGTGAGAGGTATGTTGGAATTGACATCTTGAGACGACTGACAGGTGCCAGAGGAGCCGAGAAGGAGAGGAGAGCAGTGCAAGCCTACGAGAATAGATACTGGAACAGGAGCGAGTACCTCAGTGGACTCAGATGGATGAAATGACTGGTTTTGTGGGACGTTTTTTATCTGCTTGTTTATAGCTTCCGACGACTGAATGATGGACTTAAGTCGCATTCCTCCATTAAATGTATCGTCTCCATCTGTCTAAAATGCCATTCTACTACACTCACCTATCTATCACTTTCAATGTGACAGAATAAAGTCAGCTCAAATATTGCACGCACGAAAGATACATGAATTACTATCCCCGATGCGTTGTGTGCTCGCTGACTTTAACAATTCTTGCCTGTGTTGTTGTCATATCAGTATGCTTGTCAATGAGGAGGGAAGGACGAGAGTCGCGTACATACCTTGCGAGATGTATCCATCGCATTCTCTCTTTTCTCCCTCCCTCATTTTTCTCTCTCTTTGCGCTTATTTTGTACCACCATGGATGTATGTATGTATGTATGTATGTATGCATGTAAGAAAGAGGAAAAGAAGAAGAGAAGAAAAAGGGCGATCTGGTATTCAAGGGTTTTTGGTTGTTTTAGGGTTCATACTATACCCTTGCCTCAACATTGGTTCACTTTGAGGTGAAGTAGTGTAAGTTCATTGTTTTGATTCAGTTACACAGTGTGTAACTGTAAAGTTTGTGGAAGGAAGGGGGGCTCGTTCCCAAAAGAGGATTAGAACATAGTCTTCCAACGACCAGGCAACTGGCAGACCTTAAAATAAATGAGAGAAGTAAAAAAAGGGCGAAAAGGGTTCGCGCGATGGCACCATCGCTGTTAGTGAAAGTATTCAATTTATGGGTTTGAATAATGAACTTTGTTTTTCTATTGTTTTCTTTTTTTTTTTCCGAGAAGAGGAATGAGGTTGGGTTGTTGTTTTTGGGTTTTGGTTTAATGAAGGTGCTGGTGGTCAAGGTGCCTTCCCTCTATAGCTGATTTCTTACTCGCAAGTCGCTCTCTATTTTCTTTCGTTTGCTTGAATCGAGGACATCCGATGACTTTCCTCTCGTCGAAGTAAGGCATTGGTGGTGGGCCATCGGAGATTTTCTTCATTTTACTTTGCTGCTCTGCTCTGCAAGGTCCTCCCTCTCAGTGCTGTAGGTTTGTTGGTTCATGTACCCTCCCCAATATTCCCACCCTCCTCCCTCCTGCAATAAGACGACCTTTCGGGTTCCCCCTCTAATCTATCGACCTTAGCCAGTCCCCGCTTTTCAATCAACCCTCTCTTTACATGAGATTAGAAGGAGGTGGTGCTGTCCTATCCTGGTGATTGTACGGCCGTTGAAATGTGCTCCGCACTCGCCACTAAGAATTTGAATTGACTTTGTATTTTTTTGATGACCAAAGCGGCAGCGGCAGACAACAGACGGCGGCGGGGCCTGAGAAAGAAGAGAATTGCCAGCGGAGGTGAGCTATTGAGTGTAAACCGATAGGCACCAAGTGAAGAAAAAACGCAGATACGCACAAACATACCAAGCAACAACAAAAAATTGAACAACAGATAACCAGACAGTCAAAGACTCAGAGATCCACTTCCGTCAGCGGCGGCGATGGGACCTGAAGAGGTAAAAGGAGAAAAAGGAGAAAGAGAATTAGGGTGTCATAGCCAGCGAGCGGCTTGACCTAACCTACCCTCCGCCAGTCAGCCAATACCACCATCGCTACCTCAGCTCAGCTCAGCGGCGGGAAGGAAATAGGAGGAGGGTTGTCGGGTTCAGGTGGTCCCTACTTCTTCCTCCACTTTACACACATCTAATGCGCTGAGGTTCAACTCTAGGGACTCTGACCTTTTTCAATCTCGTATTTCCCCCTCCCTTTGCTTCAGCCTTCGTTCTTTGTTTGTTCCTTGAGTTTTTTCTTTTCTTCGAAAAGGAAGGTAAGATTTCTGCGCAGGGGAGGAGGGTGGGAGAAGATTGAAGATCTATCTGAGATTTCTGTTCTTGGATTCGAAAAAAAGAAAGATTGATGCAGCTCTTGCGTACAGTCAATGATTATGCCTAGCCTCCCAACAGACATTTGATTCCGCGATAGAATACTTCCCATCGGTCGACCATCCATTTACCCAACAGCCTAGCCCCCTTCTTCCATCACTCCCCGTAACTTCCAGTGTACATGTACACACCTTTCCTTCCTTCTCCACTATCTTCGGAGAGATGTTTATATTTTTTGTGTGTATAGTAAAATGGGAGTGCCAGAGGGTGAGTGCTCACTAAGCTTCTTTTTTGTATCCTTGTTTCTATCTTTGAAATCAGAACCCTGTCTAATCCGCTGGGCTTTGGGCTTTATTGGTAATGTCTTTTATTTCATTTCATATTTTTGTTTCTTGTGTTCCTCTTCTTTGCATCTTTCCGCCATAGAAAGAAGGAAGAAGGTAATTCAGGGTACAAAAATAGCATTGGAGGCGGTTGGACACAATTTCCATAGCTGTTGTTTATGCTCAATTGAAGAGTTATTTGAACTATCCTTCTCTCTTTGAGTGCTCAGCTATGTATGGCATCACGGGGGGACCTTATTGCTATAGACATTGAAGCATAGAAACAAAAACGATGCTACGATACAAAATAAAAATACATGGGTACCACAAGATGTAACAAACAATCAACCCCAATGGTCTGTTACTGTTTGTTGATGATTGCTCTCGCCCGGACCCCCGGAAAAGAAGTGGGGACGGGGGGGTTGGGGGGGAGGGGGAGGGGTACACCCATGTAACTCGAAAACAGAGTTTAAAAATCGGTTGTGTCCATGCTTTGGAGTGTTGCATGTTGAAAAGAAGAAAAAAAAAGGTGAACAGAGTCATGGAGACACGGGTCCTTTGGTCACTATGCATTTGTGACACCATAGCAACATGAACACAAACACACAAACCCAAACATAAACAGACAACAGAAGCACACAAACAAACAAACAAACAAACAAACAAACAAACAAACAAACAAACAAACATAAAGAAAGAAAAAAAGGCGCGACAACTAATTTTGAGCTTTTCGCGCTTTGATAATAGAAAAGAAGTTGTTGTTGTTGTTGTTGTTGTTGTTGTTGTAGGCGGTAGTGCTGTTGATTATGATGCTGGATGTTTGTTTGTTAGAGGAGTATCATCTGGCGTTCAGGTGTTCAGCTTTCTGCATGATTAATTGATTGATGCTCAGGGTTCAAATGTACACGTACGGTACGTAGCCGAGTACGATACGTACATGTTCACTTTGATAACAAGAGTAGGTACAGAGAAGGCGTGAATCAGTAGAACTGACTGCTTGAAATGGGTAAATCGTCAAGTAAACCACAACGTGAACAGATCTAAGCTGTTCAATCGGAATAAAAGGAATGGTGTGAGTGGCTCTACAAAGAAAGGAGGATGAGGAATGAGGGCTCAACAGCAACAAAATGCCAACACCAACAGGACATGACTGCAAGCGGCATGAAATGAGGTATGAAGGACAGAAGTACATTCCCGTTTCACTAGCTCGCTACGGTCGTTAATCATTCATCCAAAAAAAATATGGCGGGATGGAGGAAAAGAGATTATCGCTCATCCAAAGAGGACTATCACTTGTTTCAACCAAAAAAAAAAAAAAAAAAAAAAAGCAAAAGGATGCAAGAGTGTGAGCCCTTTGTAGTATCCTAGCGAAAAGACGAACGGGGGTATTCAAGGTAGCTTATGCTCATGTATCCTTTTTGGCTGCAGGGTCTCCTTCTTTGTGTTCGCCTATTTGCCTGTTTGTTGTTTGTTATTGCTGACTCCAACCTCTTCATCAATTGTTGCGTCTTTGTGGATATCCTTGCATGAGGGAAGGAGGGAGCTTGGACCAGTAAGAACAGAGGTACAAAGCTGGATGAGGCCTCTTCACTCTTCATCAAAGTAGACTATTGTTGGGGTGGAAAGGGAAAGGATGAATAGAAGAACGTAGTGAACCAGTACCCATGGATGTATACCTTATTTGTTGTTTGTTATGGAGGGAAAAGGTATGGACGAACTAACGTCGAGCCCGCGTCTTTGTTTCTTTCTGTCCATTCATAATCCAGTCCCTGGTTGTGTTCCCTGTCCTCCCGATTGCTCTCTGTCTCTCCTCGCCCTGCACGAGGAAAAAAGAGATGTATCAGAAGGGAAGAGGGTGGTTGAACATACCAGCCAGTTATTTTTGGGCAGGTTAGTGTCAACAAATCTGCACAATAACAAAAAAAAAAGCTGACAGAAACGATAGAAGAGGAGAGAGAAACACACAGGGAGGAGCTAGCGAGAGAGAGGGAGGGAGGGAAGGGAGAGAGAAGGCATGCTAGAAAAGCTCGCATAAGGTTTGTTGTTTTTCTTTCATCCATCACGCACTTTCTATTTGGGCGAGAACAGAGAAGGGACATGGACTTTCTTGCATAGAGACAGAGAGAAAAGACATAACAGTCCCTTCACCATCACCCCTATCGGTCCCTTCTCTCTCCGTGTGACTCTTTCACAGAGGGACCCGTTAATGCAGACCAAGAAAAAAAACTCTATGCAGGAATCGCACATGTTGTTGATGATATTTTGTTTGTTGTCTTGGTTTTCCTCCATCTGTGCATATTGCTGTAGTAGTAACAAATTCAAAAAGAGGAGAGAGAACGAGAGAGAGAGAAGGAGAGGGAAAACTGCATCAGAAAGATGGGGTGAGATTACAAACCGTGAAC